TGGCGCGCCAACCCTCGTCTTGCCCGCAACCACACTTTTTGCACTGAATTTGACGCCTATATTTCTACCTCCGTATTTCTACTTTCTCCCTATATGTCCCCACAAGACCAATGGGATAGATTAAAACATATGCTTACAAAATTCATTAAGTCCTTTACTAGGCGCCGCACACAAACACTCACTACACTGGAGGCCAGACTTCAAAGTAAACGTGACAAGTTAATCCACAAGTTCAGACAACAACCCGCCCAAAACTTCCAATTGCCCATTATTGAAAGACAGTTGCAACAAGTCCAGCTGGAGAGAGTGGAAATTCTTGCCCTGCGTGCAGGCAAACATTGGCGAGAGAATGGAGAGATCTCCGCAGGATACCTCAAGCGAACAGTTGCAGAACGCCAAGCCCGAAAGAACATTACCAAACTACGCCATCCCATCACTGACCACTTACACACTGAGCCTGATGGCATGACTGAAGCTGCCGCTTCTTTCTACGAAGGCCTGTATACACCTGAACCAATAGATCAACTAGCCATAGACGATTTACTTCGCCACCTTCCCAACGATCTCTGCCTCTCTGATACCGTATGTTCCTCTCTGACTGCTGAACTTTGCATCGAAGACATACGAGAAGGCGTGTCTCGCTCTCCACGAACAAGTAGCCCAGGACCGGACGGCCTCCCTTATGAGATCCTCCAACTCATTTTTCATCACCATTCTTGCTCCCAGTTGCTGACACAAGTGTACAATGATGCTCTTAGTAGTGGCCAATTCCCTTCATCCTGGCAAACAACATGTGTTTCTCTGTTGCCCAAGAAAGGCGATCTCTCATCCCTGAAGAATTGGCGACCGATTGCTCTGATCAACGCCGATGCCAAGATTTTCACTCGGCTTCTCAACGCTCGAATGGTCAAAGCTGCTGGAGTGCTTGTATCTCCGTATCAAACAGGATTTGTCCGTGGTCGCTTCATTGCTGATAACGGTATACTTACGAAGCTGGTTATGGATCATGCCAATTCTACTGGTCACTCTGGAATCGGTCTTCTCTTGGATCAGGAAAAGGCTTACGATCGGGTTCACCCTGACTATCTTCAACAAGTTCTTGTTAAATTCGGTTTTCCTCCTTCAATTATAACCTGCACCACTAATCTTTTCTTCTCTTCCGACCTTAAGATTAATGTGAACGGTTTTCTCTCTCGTCCTCTTTGTCAAGCACGTGGACTCAGACAGGGTGACCCCATGTCCCCTGTTCTGTTTAACCTGGCCTTTGAACCACTTTTGCGCCGACTCATACACGACCCTCAGTTTCCTGGATTTGAGATCCAAAGTACGCCTGAACATCCCGCACCTCCACCCATAAAGCTACTCGCTTATGCCGACGATCTTCTGGTTTTCCTCCCGCAGATCCAGGACATGTCCCGATTGCAGCACCACCTCGCCACCTATGCCTCTGCTTCCAACGCACGCATCAACCTTCACAAGACCCAAGCTTTCTCTCTGTCAGGCAGACCTCATCCTCACTGGGCGGACACCCTTCACAGCTTGCAGATTGTCGATTGGCATGATAGTCGCTCTCCAGAACCTCTCCGCTACCTTGGCTTTCCGATCATCTCCTCCCTCACCCAACGCAACTCCTTCTGCTCACAAATCTTGTCTAAGATAGAGCGAGCTTCACATATCCACCTCTCCCGCGCCTTGTCCTTCCGTGGCCGTGCTACTGTCCTAAACTCTCTTATATTGTCAAAGCTCTGGCACGTTCTTCGTGTTGTATCTGTTCCCGGCACATTCTTTACAAAAGTTCGCTCTCTCATGGGTCGCTTTCTTCAGCATCGAAGCTTCCCACCGATTAGACTTGACACTCTATGTCTCCTCACAAAAATGGGCGGTTTAGGGGTTTTGAATCCAAAACTGCAACAAGGTGCCCTTCAGCTCCGTTGGCTTCGACCTCTATTCCAATCCACTTCGTCTCCTTCTGGTCTGGTGTTGCCTTGGCTGCTATATCTTCTTCGGCATTATCTACCTGATGTCCATCCCCATCTTCCTTTCATTTTTCCTGACCTCAGACACCCTCGATTCCGAACTTACACCAGTCCTTTCTTTAACCTTTTTGCTGCCTGCGATCTCTTGCCTCACGATTTTGACTCTACTGTGATAAATCTACCGACTTGTCTGGACATTCCTCTCGCCTCTGCAGTTGTGGTTCCACATGGTCTCCCTGCTTTTCCTGCTTCTTGGCGTCACCTCCGGATCCGGGATGCCTACGAGATCAACACCACTTTGGATATCCTTTCTCGCCGCTTACCTTCTTCCTTTCCTCGTTCACCACGCATCCTCCGCAAAGTCCTTCAGCGGGTGGATGATCACTCTCTTTTCCTTCACGCATTCGTCATTCGCGCTTGCCTGCCTCAAAGTATCTTGACCGAACAATTCCCTGACTTGATGGCTCGCACGGGCACTGAGGTTGACCCTTCCACACTCCTGTCGGCCCTCTCTCCTACCTTTCCTTGGAAACGCTTGTCTACACGCCAATTCCGTTCCTCCTGTGAAGTCGTCACTTCTTCTATCGAGGATGTACCGCACAACATACGAGCCATCAAATGGCGTCAATTCTGGTCTTTTATCCTTCCGTATGCCTCTCGCAACATTTGGTTCCGGCTGCTTCACCACAAGATCTCATGTCAATCCGTGCTGCATAACCGTATTCCCACCTCATTTCCCTCCCCTAATTGTTCGCTGTGTGGAACGGAAATTGACTCTCAAGACCATTTTCTCTACGCATGCCCACTCAAGCTTCCTCTCTGGCACACACTCTGGCTCGCGCATTTCGGCTTTTCCCCCCAATCCTCTGACATTCACAATGCGCTATACAAGTTTTCCTTCCCTCCCCCCCTTGATCCCACTTCACATCCTGCCTCAATCCTTGGCTCTGTTCTTTTAGCCTTGTGGAGACATCACTGGGCTTTCATATTCGATCAATCACCTTTCGTTGCCGCTAATGCCACTACCACTGCCAACTCCCTGCTTTCCCGTTTACAATCCGAAGAAAACCTTGATCAACGCCCTTTTTCTGTCTAAGTTCATCGCGTTTCTTCGTTTCCACTTTTTTTTTTACATTACATTTACAACTTAAAACACAAAATCCCCAAAAACATTTAAATAATAGAAAAACCAAAAACAAGTTGTGGCGCCTCTTAAGCCTTTTGGACAAGAGTCCCACCAATAAACCAGAGCTCCGCTCCATACAAACAAAAAACCATAGTGTATTATATATTAGAAAACATTGAATATTGATTTCAATGATGTTGGATTTTAACCAATACTTGGCCACCAAATATTCCGTCTGACTGAATAGAACTCTAGATAAAAGCATACTGAGGTCATAAAGATTCTTCCAAGTCCTGTTGGGTATTCTCTATATTATTAAAATTTAGCCTTGAAAATGGCATAAATTAGAAAAGACATTATCAATAGTATACCAAATCTTGACACTGATTACAGTATCTGCTAATACCTTTTACTACACTCCTACAATCTTTCTATACTTTATACTAATGAAATTGACAGGTATTTCCAAAAGAAGTGCATTTTACTTTAAAACTGTAAAACTACAGATCTTTGTGTTAATAAAAACGGGGTTCCAAAAATCATCGAGCATACTTTAGATAAAAAAATAAAAATACAGACTGATTCAAATAATTTATTGCAAATGACAAACTCTAGAGCAAGAAAACTTCTGCTGAAGACCTTTACAGCTTGGGATAAATATCAAATTGAATGGTAAATTGTAAAAAGCCTTGAAATATTGTATAACAACCGAAAGAATTATGTTAATCTTTGGGTTTAAGCAATAGTACACACTAAAAGATGAGCAACTTTTCTTTCAGAGTTTGTTTGATAAAATCGTATCCTTTGTGTTATCTATTTGAGGTGAAGGACATTAAGAAGGTTTTCTGGTAGAGTAAATAGCGGAAACTATTTGTTTTTTCTTTCTACTTTAAATTTACAGACTGGGTCGACATATTTTGCGCATTTTTTTTTATCTTCCTTTAAATTTGCAATGTCTATATGCTGTCTTATAAAGTAGGCAATTGATAATCGACCTTGTTAACTTCAGGGCAAGAATATGATGTATATCTCTTTTTGTAGCTAATTTGGTAACGAAGAGAAGGCCTGGATTTACTGAGTGGGTAACTTTGCAAATACAGAAAAACTCTATGCAGGTAAAATGTGTCGATCAAAATTGCCTATAATACTTCATTGAGACTCGCTTACTAGGCATTGAGATGTCTTCTTAATTCTAATACATTAAGAAAAACCATTAGCCCGCTCGACACATTTTGGTTGTCGATAACAAACATACTTGTTCTTGGGCGTATCTAAAATGAGAGTACACATGACCTTCCATAAATGGAACCAGCGGCAAAAGGATGGCCCTTACTTTTATGACCTGCAGTGAGAAGGCGCACTCAGCAATTGTTGTCTACCACCCTTTATTACCCCTTTTTGATACCACTTCTCTCTATCTACAATTCTATAGACATATCTCAATTGGTCCTTAGTTACTGATACGTTTGACTAGCACAAGAGCATAACTACGACTATTTTATTTAGGATTCTATTCTTACTGTCATACCAACATATAATGTAGATGATATCCGTAAAATATAATATGTCTTTAGCCGTATGCTGGTAATATCAAGTTATACTGTATTGTCATTGGATATCTTTTGATTATAAGCACTATGATCTGAGCCAAGCAGAAGAAAAAAGGAGACCGAGGCAGGGATACCTTCGACAGACTTTCTACAGCAACCAAATGGTAAAGGACGTCGCAAAGACTGTATAAATCTGCGCCAGTAACTTGTTTCCTTCTTTTTTTTTACAGCCGTATTAAAAAGTTCTTTCGTTCATTTACATTTTCCTTTCACTCTTTCACTTTTGTTTATATTTTGCTTTATATAAGCATATTCAACCATTTAATCAAACTCAAAAAAAAAACTATCATGAAGATTAATTTTATCAGCTGGAAGTCAAAAGCGCCAAGTTCCTTATCAGAACCACTAATGCTCAGTTCAATCCAAGAGGATAGCAATGCCTCCTTGCCTATTTCCGTTCAAATGCCCTTAACACTTGATTACCTTCCTGATGAATTGATCATTAATGTGCTCCTGCAGACTAGCATTGATTTGGAGACCCTTTATTCGGTGGCTGGAGTATCCCAGAGGCTGTATCTATTGGCTATGTGTGTTTTACGTTTGTACAAGCTACCGCATGTTCAATTACAATCGGTGATAGATCAGGAAGGCCATGGGAAATCTACAACATTCTTTAAGTTTAAATCACTAGATGAAGATAGCCAGATGGCAACCTTTGTAATGGCAAAAATAGCGCCGAAAAGATACTACAGAGACAAATCAAGAGAGCCACCTGTTTTGAGACGTGTATCAATGACGGACGGTAATGAAGATATTATAAAGAGCAGCGGATCCTTGAGAGGAAAAATGGTGCTCAGGCAGCAATCTTGGATGACGGTCAATACATTTATCTCTCAGAGCAGTGACGGATCGAATATGAGTGATAAAAACTCTCTATTTCAGCCTGATATCTGGCAGAATGATCCAATCGACATCATAAAGCCAAGCAGGACGCGACAGCTCAATGTGAGAAAAAGCATAGTGCGTGTCATTCAGTCTCGTCAGGCGTCTCCTGCCGAAAAACACCTGCATACCATACCTTCCTGGAGATTAGCATATTATGTGGGAGATTCTGACCAACACGAAGCTATTGAAGCATTATGTACATCAGTTCATAAACCTGATGCCTTTTACAGATGGGTAGGGTTGCAGCAATCGACCAACGCACCAAAACGACAACAAAAGAAGTCCGAAAAGCAAGATGAATGTTATGTATCACCAGCTGTTCTGACAGTACACCTATCCCTCATATGTCGATCCAAACGTGACAAGAAAGATACCAAATGGGTCCAAGCAGTGGATTGGATAAAAGAGAAATGCAATGGTCTAAAGAATGTTAATACAAAACTTGTTTAAATTGGCTTAATATGTAGCCAATAGTTTATATCCTTTTATGCTAAAATAACTTTTAAAACAAAATCTTACAAGTCTACCAGATACAGAAAGAAACAGCTGGACTGACAATTACATACACAAATAAAATGCCAACAATTTTTTTCCTGATTTATGTATTCTATTATTAACCTTTATTTTCACTCTCTGCTAATATTAATATTGCATATATGTAAAAATATATTCAAGGTATAGGTTAAAGAGGGGATAACTATGGTGGCAAATGAAGTTTGTAGGACACCGACCCTTGTCCTAGATATTTCCAAAATAGTCTGTGCAATATTAAAGTGATACAGTAGACTGTGTGAAGTTCAGTGAATTGTTTTAACAAAATTATACTTGTCCTTTGACTGGAAATTAGTAAGGTAGTAGGGTATATTATTCTTCTACTTCAAATAAATAAATGTTTTATTTATTGCTTACCAAGCCAAATGGTCGGGCCTTAGGGGTCTTTTGTGTGTGTGTGTGTGTGTGGCTTCAAAAAGTTTATTCACAATAATATATTGTTCTATGATATCGTTCCTTTGGGCTGCAGGGATTTGATAGACACCCCAAAGGAGGCATACAAAGGGAAACTTTTTTTCTTGTTTGGGTTGATTGCCGTTGTACGCACAAGGGCGGTCTTTAGGGCGCTGTTAAAAAAAACTTGTGTCTATTGCAAGTTGTGAGTGGAAGGATCATCATTCTTTGCCACGAGGAAAATTAGGGGAGCTAAATATCTTTGTGCTTAACAAAGTGCCCTGGTTTCTTCACTATCGTCTGCTTAGTTTTATCCTATGCGTAATCGCGAGAACCAACGACCAGAACAATGTCTCGATGTTGATCAATCTTACGAACGGTCAATCTATGCATCAGACCTGAGATCTCCGCCATTGTCTCCAACAACCATTACCAGTTCCCGCTCAACGCCATTACCAACTGGCAATGGACGCCTGAGGAAAAGACCACGCGAATATCTCGGACACCTTCCAGACCGAAGTACAAGCTACGGCCCTGGATTCAGTACACCAACATCACCAACATCACCAACATCACCTACATCGCCAAGCTATCATGCATTTCAACCTGCCGTCTCCTCGCCTCCATTGAAACCAATCAACCATAAAGAACATGTGTTCTCAGCTAACAAAAAACCAGTTTTGATTCCGCGATTTAACAGCATTGACGAACCTCGAATGCATCAGACCTTTCGATACAATGCCCAGCCAGGCAACAAACTCAAATCACACAACGTTGGCTATGCCGACTATGGTTCTTCCTATTCAGACTATCCTGTGTTTGTAATTGGAGGCCATGGTTGTACGCGGCTGGTGGGTGTCATGTTTGCAGAGTTGGCACAGCGCTATGGAATACGCATGATATGGCCCGAGCGACCGGGGTACAGTGTGAATAATAGGGATTCCTGCTATGGTCTATTTGCACTTTTAACCGGCGTCCCTTGTTTTTATTATTTATTATATTATATTATATTTAAAAATAATTTACAGATACGGACTCAGTGATGAATGCAATTTACAGCATATTAGTGCTCTAGCCTGGGCAGGTAATCATACACACTAATCATTTTTAAACTTAAATATTATTGGATTTGTTAATATTTATATAAAATGTATACACAGATGTGATAATTCAATTGGCAGATTACTTGGGTATAAAGCAATTTGGAATAATTGGCCAGTCTGTAGGAAGCGTATTTGCACTTGCAATTGCACACAAATATCCTTCACGCGTATTTGGCCCAGTATTTTTGATATCTCCCTGGGTGTCAACTCAGGCCGCAAACACATTTAAATGGGCCCGGCGCCTACCAGCAGCGATTGTCACACGTACGGCATCGCTTGCTATGGATGTTATGTGGATGTTCAATAAGGGTTTGAGTGTATCCAGAGACACAACTCCACGTAGCACAAATACGACAAGTGCAAACACAAGCTCCAACAATTCCTTTGATGAGGGCTTTTGCACTGGAACAGAGGATTCTCCTCGCACAAGCGAAACTGATAAACGAGGTTATGGGTCCAAGAAAGGCATAGAATCACCACCGCAAAAAACACATCAGCAAAAGTTAACGGCACTAGAAGAAGACGAGCTCCTTGCATCCTTGGATGAATGTCTAGAATTTACCACAGATTTCCCACCCCACCGACCGCTTAGACACGTTGTACGCCCAAAGCATGTGTCACTTTACCTTACTATGAACAAACAACGGACGGCTGAGCCATACAATCAAGGTCAATTAGCAGATGTGCTGGTCGCTCTGGAAAAATACAATCAATTTGGATTCAACTACTCAGATATCAAGACAAGTGTTTCTGCAGTCTGGGGAGACAAGGATGGGCTAATACCTCAGCGAGGTATCGATGTGCTCGCAAATAGTCTTCGTGATCTTCACTTAAAAATATTGGAGGGAGAGGGTCATGACCTAGTGTGGAAAGAAGGAGTGATGGAATGGGCTATACGAGGGATATCCGAGCGACAATGAGGGCAAGAATAGTAGGCGTATGAAGCCGATTGAGTTGGTACCAAAACAAATTATCCTTATCCTTATCCTCATATTATATTATCTTTAACTTAATTATTCTTTCTATAACTTGTATTTTAATATCTCCTACATCTATCTTTTATTTGTAATTATCTCACTGTATTACTTCTCTAACTTGTTCTAATTTTTAAAACAAATATTAATAACTTACTTACATATTTACATATATACATACTTACATATACACATACACAACTTTATCTACCATACGTTGATTAAATATACACAAATGTTATTTCTGACACAAAAACACAGCGCTTTGATTTTATGCAAAAACCGAAGCTTTAAATATTCACTCCGAAAGCTTTGTTTGCCATATTTTAGCCAGTGTTAGAAGTTCTTCTGGTAATAGTGATATATACCCACGTATATACTACTCTGGATATATATTAATAAAAATTCTCTTGTAAATGATTCATGTACATTAGCTTTATTATCTTCTCTACCATTCAATAACAATAAAGAAAACTTGTAAACATCATATCATTCACTTACATAAGTGTATTATCATGTGACCTTCTTCAAAAGTAAAAGAGCACTCTTCCACATAAAGTTGTTTCTTTGACTCATTATGGAACAAGAGCTTATCGAGTTATTACTAGCAGCTAAAAAGGCACTCTCTACTGGCCAGAATGTGTGCGCACAAGCTAATACCCGCTCCCAAGAGTCTGGAAAACATGTAGAAGTGATTGAGAAGACATGGCCAAAGATTTTATTTCTCCACAATCACATTGTCAGTCAATTCAGTACACTTGAACGCATTCGAGATTTCATTTTAATCAAGACAGATGAAGCACGAAACTGCATAAAGGTAGTGTGGATCACCAGACATACTGCTGGTTAAGCATCGGGAGTACAAACAAATAAACAAATAAACAAACAACAACAAAAGGATCATGAGACTACTCTGGCCAATGTCTCGATGGAGTTGACTACAATCTTTGAGATGCTCAAGGATTATTCTGTGGATGAGGCAATACTTAAAGAGAATCATAAAAGAGCTAATCAATTCCAAAGTGGAATGGAAGCAAGTGGAGTGTCACCTATATCTCAGAATACTACGCTTTTCAATTATATCGACGACCAAGCTGTATTGGAATTACAGCGACAAACAGACGATGAAATTGGTGAAATTGAAGTATGTTCTGGAGTCCCAAAAGAAAATCTTACTTGTTTGTACAATTATGCTCGAGATTTAAGTTTAACTGAAATATTCTTCTTTGGGATATTTAGAATGTGTGTTCTTCATTGATTGCCATGACAAATACACTTTCTGCTGCCATGGGCGAGTTAGAGATTTTGCAGGAATCTGCGCTGTCCATATCGCTGGACGAGGGAGCGTCTAATTTTGCCAATGAGAAGACTCAAATTCAAGAAGACGAAATCTCAAAGATGGCAGACATTTTGACAAGTCTTACAAACCATTATGACCAGCTTGGAGAAGCTACAAGGTATTTCTGGTTTCAGAAATCAACGCTAAAAAAGACATTAGCAGATTCTGAACAGATCGAAAATATAATCTAGGTTGTGCCAGTCGGAGCCAGAAGCATGCAAGCAACTGGATATTTCAGGTACGCGTGTTTGTTGAAACCAGTTGACCGACATGCCTTATACTAAACAATAACAGTGCTGCAGGATGACCACGATCATGTACCAGATATCCTTGAAGACTTACGAGAATCTCTAGAGATCGTAGAGTCTGTGAGGTAAATATTGAATAGGATATATCAAACATCGATAAGTTTATTTAATAATCTCCAAATAGTGAAGAGACCAGAGTACGAATGAAAGTGTACCTGTCAGTCCAAAAAGAACTCATAAGGGTTCTTACAGAACTTGAATTATTTGGATCCCCAAGAGGAGTAGTGGACACAGTTTATGAAAAGATGCTGAGTGCAGAGGTAAATAACAAAAGCCTATTTGCGACTAGAATAGTTGTTCCTGAGTGTAACCACCTTTGCTATTATATTTTAGACTGAGATGAATGAGAGCAAACATAATCTGGATGCTCTGTTAAAACAGTTAATGGATCTTGCTGAGCGGTGTGTACAATTAAATTAAAGCAAACGGCTTCTAATATACATATACAGGTATCGATTATATCTCGAGTCATACAACCACCTGGTATTGGAAGTTGAGCGTCGCAGAAGGGTTGTGGAACAACAGGAAAGACAACAAAAAGAACTTATTCGTGCCGCTGAAGAGAGTTACAACAGTAAGAGCTATTTGTCAAATAACAACAGCAATCCAAAACATCAGCTCATATTATGTAAACAGACGAGCTAGAAGAACGCCGGGCATGGTTTAACCAACATGGACAGTATTTACCAGACGCACTTTGTCCTTTTATATTCGTAAGTCCTTGCTCCAAGGTTTTCATTCCTTATTTTTTTGTATGTGTGTTAGGATATGCCTACGATATTAACGGTCAACTTGGAACCAAACACAATGAGGCTCCCTGAAGTATCCAAATCGAGCATTCAAAAGGTAAGCATTCTGTGTGGTGTTTCCAACGGACCAATCCTCATCCGCATTTGAAAGGCCATCTCCGATATCCACCGTAACAAGCCATCCTCATGAGAGGTTGTAGGTTGTGAATGTTTTTTTTCTTTGGTTTTTTTAATAATATACACAATAACTGAAACTGTACAATAAAGACACTTGAAACCATCTTTCTTTTTTACTATGAGTCTATATTGGCAAGGTCTCCAGGCTGTTCAGCACTAGGCACAGGTGTAGGTGTTGTCTGCGTCTCAGCATGTAACTCTTGACTATCTCCACCGGCCTTCCAGAAATTACCCGACATACGTGCCTATACGGAACAGTTGGAGTTTCTGTATACTCATAGTAAAATAGCAATCGTGTAGTCTTACCAATTCCTCTTCAAGCTTTCCTTCCTTTTTTAAGTGAATGCGTCTGTTGACAAGTACACCAACGTTCACCATGTAGTATACTTTAAAAAAAAGATCGTTTATATTTTTCCTAATTCACAATGGTCACTTTTAAGAACGAACCTGTGGTTCCTGCAAGGAAAAGAACCATCGACTTTTGGGCAATGTCAGCAAATCTAGAAGTAACTACCATAGTGGGGTTGGTTCTACTTTATTGAAAAGAAGTTCAATCTTGCCAGGTGCTGTTTATACCAGGAAATTTGTCTTCAGAGTTGGATCCCCGCGAGTTAAAGTTTGCGTCATTGTCTAAGCTTGAATATGCTTACACATTTTCCCTTTGATTTTTATTGTCTATCTTCCCAGATGAGATATATCGAACAAACATATTTATCAGACATGATATTTACACATGAGAAGAGTGATTTATTAGATAAACAACAATAGCCAGCTTCAGATTTTTAAAAAAAAATTGGCAGCGAAACAAATGAAATACGTATATGTGTTTTGAGTTTAATATTCTTTCTTTGAATGTCTTAGTTATATTAATCAGACACATTAAAAAACGGTTAAAGTAATCATTCATTTCAAACGTCTTCCAAGAATAATTCTGGGAACGATTGATCTGATTGCGGGAAGTAAGGGTTCTTCGATGTCCAATCACATTATGTAATACAAGTATTTTTTTGTTGCATGGAAATTCCAGTCCAGTGCTCAGCAAGACTTGGAAGTTTCCCCTATTATTTTATATACAGTTTGTGTGGACAGACTAAAAAGCTCAAAACAAGTTTAAAAATTAAAGCCGTATTATTGGATTTGTTTCAAAAAACGGATCACAATTTTTGAAACTTCAAAACGGTTCAAAAAACTTCAACCGACTCTGGCTGGATTGTCTTTTTCCAATGCCAAATAGCTTGGGAAGAAGATTATGCTTTTGATCGAAGAGATATGCTAAATGTGTAGGCCTAGAAAATCTCATAATAAAACATCTTTATCTGATGAAAGATATGGTGTTATGAACACTTAATTTTATCTAATATGTATTTGCACTTTTTAGTCTATCCACACCAACCATCTTCTTCAACCAAACAATTAGAGAAATATGGCATTCCATAGCATAATAACCAGCCAGAAATTATACAAACAGATGAATGTTTGAAGTAATTATATGTTGTTCATACAGTGGCTTTGAGTTGATAACTTTCATTGAAGTAATCAAGGATTCTATAGCGAGAACTATATTTTTGCGCATAGTTCTGTTGCAGTTTAGCTAAATCTAATAATGCCAATCATACATCCAAATTATTCAAATCGTCGTTTTAGATTTTCTTGAATGAATAAAAAACGGATCATAATTTATTACAGTCAGCCAAGTGCAGTAGACTACACCTCACGATTATATTTTTTTGTTCCATCACCCAATTCAAGGTCTACGACTTTTTCAACATCCAGTTCCATCATCATTTTTATGTGGATGTCACGCAGTAGTGTGAAAAATTGGCTAGGTATACTTTCGCAGCTGTATCACTGCTGCTTTATTGGTAAACGATTCATATCCTGGGCAGCCAAGCTTAACTAATGCGTCTGGGTACAATTGGCCAGAATGAGTTGGAAATTTACACTACATAGCAAACCCACCATGTGCCAAAATTTCCTCAATGATAAAATAATTAATACGGATAGAAGGACAATCCTATTAAAGAACAAATAAAAAGAGCTATTTAAGTACTTTGGGCCATTTCTACAGCTACGTCACTACTTTCAAGTTTACTGCGACAAGTGATGCAAGAAACACCGGTGGATAAAATCCACTGTGTCATTTTAGTCCCAGATTTTTGTATTTTCAAACGTGAAACATTGTATACATAAATATACTCACATCTATATTATATTTTGACCCAAAATCATGAATCTGTTCTTTGGAAAAGCGAAGGCAAAGACTACTGCCAAAGATGCCATCTATAAATTGAGGGAGACATTGGACATGCTTGAGAAAAGACAAACCTTTCTTGAGTCAAAAGCAGATAATGAACTCAAGATAGCCAAAGCTAACGCCACAAAGAATAGACGAGGTATTCGCAAGAAATAAAAAAGCAAAAAAAAAACCTTAAGTTCTTATTGTATCTGTTTATTTAGTCGCTCTTATGGCACTTAAGAAAAAGAAGGTGTTTGACGGCAACATTGAGAAGATCAACGGAGCACGAATGACAATCGAGACACAGATGATGGCCATCGAGAATGCCAATGTCAATCTTGAGACAATGGGCGCCATGCGCTCAGGTGCAGAGGCTATGAAGAATATTCACGGGTCAATGTATGTTTATTAGAATTATAGCATGATAAGCATTATATGCTGAGCCACGTATTCTTTCTTTTTTTGGCAGGGATATTAACAAGGTGGATGCCACAATGGACGATATTCGTGATCAGATGGATATCGCAGACGAAATCTCAGTAGCTATCTCTCGACCAGTTGGTATTGGCGAAGATCTTGATGAGGTATAATATAAAGGAAGGGTCATGTGAATACATATAAAGGCGGATCTTTTGACACCATAATGTGCATATAGGACGAGTTGCTGAACGAGCTGGAGGAGCTTGAACAAGAAGAGCTAGATGCAAAGATGCTAGAGACACCATCACCAGCCGTTTATACTCCAAATGTGCCTAGACATGAGCCAGGTAATGGAAAGATTGTGGGATATATAACGGATGAGTATGCTAATTGAATATTACTTTAGAACGTAACAAAAGAATTGAAGAAGAGGATGAAGAGGCCGAACTTAAAGCATTACAAGCCAGCATGGCAATGTAAGAGAGATTTAGGCAGCAATCATGCCAAAATTTCTCTATAATCCCATTATATTTCTGTCTCTCTGCCTTTATATGCTCTTGAATAGATATCTGTTAGAGATAGAAGGCAGCTTGTTGAAACAAGCCAATTTATATCAGCCATATTATTTCTCTATTATCTTTTTTTTTGCAGATATGTAGTCGATCAACTTTCCCTACTCTTGTATTGTCAACAATTCTTGTCATTTTTATATATACATTCATATATACATATACACACAAACATCCTTATCCTTTAAAACCAAAAAATTGAGTGTTTTATCTTTAGGACTCAATAGAGACAAAGTAACAAGCACAACCATAGTACAATGTGACTGGACATCACAGATATGAATATCTTCTGTAACACATTTTCTGTTGCCTCCCTCTTCTTTCGTCTCGGAGCTGTCATGGTTCATATTCTTAAACTCACAAAGGTCCATCAGCCCATTGAACTTGCCTATGATGGTGAAGGTCTCCGTATTGATGGAGATTTGAATCCCCGGAAGAAGCGTAGGTTACTTGTCTCTTTGACCATGTTATTCAAAAAGTCATTCCATAGTCAAAGCCGAGAGAACATGTTGTTGTGTTCCCATGCCTCCGCCCGCACAGGAAGACCCAACATTACTGCCCATTCCCAACCTGAACATCTTAAATGCCTTTTATAATGCCAAAACCAACATGGTTCAAATTCACGCTCTTATTCCCCGGGAACAAGATAAAGAAGATACTCCTCTTGACCTATACAAGTTTATGTACACAGTTCATGACAACAAGGAGGATGAAGCTATCGAATTTTGTGAGTCTATGATGGCAGAGGTTTACAAAGGTAAATATCAACAATAACATAGTTGGGATTACAACAAAGACTAAACCTTTTTATACATATATTCTTGGGGATGTTCATTATGTGTAGGTCTCAAGCGGGAAAAGTCTCTCAAAGTGCTTATTAATCCCTTTGGTGGACAAGGAAGAGCCAAGGAGATTTACAATAGCTATGTATTTCCCATCTTTGAAAGTGCAAAGTGCAAAGTTGATGTTCAGTGTAAGTTTATAGGTCGCAGGTTAAGTTAGTTTTACTTCATATTTTTTTTAGCTAATAATGTCCCTCTATAGATACTGAATTCCAGGGACATGCTATTAAGATCGCAAAGGATCTTGATATTGAAGCATTTGATGCTATTGTTTCCGTAAGTGGTGACGGCATTCCTCATGAAATCATCAACGGTTATATGCAACGTCCCGATGCTACCGAGGCTATGAATAAAGTGCCGTTGGGTGTTATTCCCGGAGGAACTGGAAATGCATTGAGTGTATGTCTTTTAGGCGAGAAACAAGGATTCGACCCTGCATATACTGCCCTCCAAATTATCAAAGGTAATATATATATTGTAGCTTTTGCGTATATGCATATATGCATACATTTATGTCTGTATGTTGATATTCTCCTATTCAAGGCACAAACATGGCATTGGATCTTTGTTCTGTATCATTCAGTGATCACCGCTATTTTTCCTTCCTCTCTCAGAACTATGGTATTACTGCTTATGCCGATCTTGGCACCGAAGACTTGCGGTAGGTTCAGGCATATCTTAACTATGCGTTCAATAGTCTTACTATTTAGGAATTACGATTAGTTGGATGGGAGATTCTCGTACAATTGTTGGGTTGATGAAAGGAATTTTTGGAAAACACACATATCCAGTTGAGATTGCTCTTCAAATCGAGGAGTCTAACAAAGCCAAAATCAAGCAAGACTATGAAAATGCATATTCTGCCCAAACCAATATCCTAGTTGACAACACTCCTGGTTTCAAGGACACAATCCCCTCTTTGTCTGAGCGTGTACCCGATGATTGGACAATAATAAAGGAGCCAGTATCTTTCTTTTTGACTAGTAAGATGCCATGGCTGGCAAGGGATATGCTCAGCCATCCATTTGCTCTTCCCAATGACGGATTGTTGGACGTTCTTATGGTTCGCGGTAAAAACAGTATTACAAAGCAGCTGGGTGTATTTACCAAAGTAGAAAACGGCAAGCACGTTTCCTCCAACTTGGTAAGCTATTATATTTTTGAATATCTTTTCTTTTTTACTCTATATATTCATGAAATCAATGATAGGTGGAGTACTACAAGGTCAAGGCATTTCGCCTGACACCACTTTTGGATGTTAATCAAAAAGCTTATGTTGCCATTGATGGCGAACATGCACCTGTTAAGCCATTCCAGGTCCAAGTTCATCCCGGTCTGGCCACTGTTCTTAGTATTCACACACGTTATGTGTATACAAGCTTTTGATGCAAAAACTTAAAAGAAATAAATAAAAATATTTACACATGCATATTACAGCTCTTTAACAACGCGTTTTCATAACCCAAAAAAAAGTAGATAATTAAAAAAAATGCCAGGCACGCGTATAAAAGTGACAGAGACAGTCCCAACGTCACAATGGTTGTTAACAATCATAATTCATAATCCAATTAATAGTATCACTTGTTTTTGGTTTTTATTATACTCATGGATCGAAAGAACACCAAGCAAGGTGATCTCGGGTAGGTGATCCGATATAAATCTTACAATTGACAACACCTCATTCGACTCATGCTCCCAAAGATCATTTTTTAAAAAAGTATATTTCACTAAACCCAAGGAAGAACAGATCCAAGATGTTGAAATGGCCGTGGCAGAACTCATTAACGACAAAAGAAGATCGAGAGAATCTTCTGAGGATGCCTCGAACGATTCGTCCCAGAACATAAAAATTGCCCGTCCTAAAAAGCAAAAAAAGATACACATTGAAGAAGAACAGGAAGAAGAGGAAAAAGATAAAGATCAAGGCAGCAATAAAAAAATAGAAACAATGAAAGAAGTAGATAAAAATAACAAAGACATTGCTGTACCTGCTGCAAGTGCTTCAGCTGATAAAAGCGATGTGAAAAAGAGTGAATCCGATGATGAATTCGAAAAGGAGATAGAGGTTGCCAAAGAAGAAGAAAAGGAAGAAGCCAAAGAAGAAAAAATCGCAAAGGAAGCAGCAAAGACATTGTATGTACTTTTATAAATTACATAAAAATAAGGAGAACCTAATTATGTGTGTCAGAGCTATTGTAGGTACAAGTATGCCAACCGAGCTTTCATGGGCTAAAGGAAAGCCGTAAGTACAGTACATTTTTATTATTCTAGACTCTATGATTTAGTCTTACTATCGATTTTGACATGATCAGTGTTACTACTACTTTGACCGGCTTTTCTTTTATTTACTTTCTGTATTCTAGAATTCCTTATGCCATGTTATGTAAAACATTTGAGCGATGTGAAGCCACCACAAAACGCTTGGCAATCACCGAGTACCTAGTTCAGCTATTTTTACAGGCCATTAAGTTGACTCCTAGCGGTTTACTCGAACTTCTTTACATGTGCATCAACAAGGTAATATTAAACTATTATGTGAAATTATATGCACTCAATTGCTTACAAACGTGAAACCTTGATTAGCTCTGTCCGGATTACGAAGGGCTAGAGATGGGTGTTGGCGAATCATTCTTGATCAAGGCTATTGTGAGTTCCACCGGTAGAAACATTAAAAACATCAAGGCAGAATACAGAAGTACTGGTGACCTTGGTACTGTAGCCATGGTAAGAACACATAGTTGATTACACACATACAGAAGTATCAAAAATAAGTAGATATTCATTAGATTGTGCCTTTTGTTGGATTTTATTAGAATAGCAAAGGATCGCAAGGAACTCTCTCTATGCCAAAGCCCTTGACAGTTCATCAAGTATTTCAGACACTCAAGGATCTTTCTCAAATCACAGGCAACCAGGTAAAGTACATTGATTCTTTAAGTAAATATTTTCTTCTTATTTTTTATACATTCTATACACTACTTTTACCTTAGTCACAAAAAAAGAAAATCGACAAGATAAACTCGTTACTGGTTCAGTGCAGAGGAAGTGAGGCAAAATATTTGATTCGGTAAGGTTCAACTCAGGGATATAATTAAAAAATGACAAAATGAACCGAATTATTATTTTATGTAGACAATTGGAAGGAAAACTTCGAATTGGTCTTGCAGAGCAAACTGTTCTATCTGCCCTTGCCCAATCGATCGTATTGAGTAAACCAGGTAAATTACGTTCGAAATTATTGCTGAAATTATTGATAATTACCACTATCTTTCTTGCGCTTACAATATTATTATTTTTCAAAGAAACCTCAAAGTTGTCCCAAGAAAAAATAGAACAAGCATTGGCTGATGCCGCAGCAATTGTCAAATCTGTGTACAAGTAAATACGCATGAGATACATTTTTTTAATATGAAATATTGAGAAGTGATTAATGTTTTTTCTTTTGCTTAGCCAACTACCTTGCTATGATATGATCGTTCCTGCTTTGCTCGAGTACTCTATTAAAGATTTCCCTGACCATTGCAATATGAGACCAGGTAAGTTGCTCTATTATATTTTATAAATTTTCTATCAACTAATACACTGAGATGATTGTTTAGGAATCCCCTTGAAGCCCATGCTGGCCCATCCTACAAAGAGTCTAACTGAGATTCTGGATAGATTTGAAGACAGAAAGTTTACTTGTGAGTTTAAGTACGATGGTGAGAGAGCACAGGTAAGGAGAGATGCGAGAACAATAATAATATATTTAATATTGTTAATTAACTTAATTAACCTAACTTATGATTCAATTGATCAGATTCACTTGTTACCAAATGGAAAATCTATGGTTTACAGTCGTAACTCTGAGAACATGTCTGATCGCTACCCTGACATCATGTCAAAGCTGGCTAATGTAAGTCATTATAATGAGGTTGTATAGACTTTTTATATGAAAAAATACATCATTCAGATAAAAAATTAACGCACAATTATAGTGGGTGATGCCTACCACTAGCTCGTTTATTCTTGATTGTGAGGCAGTGGCATGGGACAAAGAAAACAAGCAAATTCTTCCTTTCCAGGTCCTTAGTACTCGAAAGAGAAAGGATGTCAAGGAAGAAGACATCAAGGTGCAGGTGGTTGTTTTTGCATTTGATTGTCTTTACTTGAACGGCGAGGTAAGGCATATAAATAAAAGGCACCTTTTAATGTAATTGTATAATAATGATTAAAAAATATATTATATAGTCCCTTTTGCGCCTGCCATTGGAAGAACGTCGTGAAAAGTTGAGATCTGCTTTCAAAGAGACTGAAAATGAATTCTACTTTGCACGCCAAATGGACTCTAACAATATTGATGATATTCAAGTTTTCCTTGACGTCTCCATCGAAAATAACTGCGAAGGCTTAATGGTCAAATTATTTGATGGCGAAGAGGCATCCTATGAGCCTTCCAAGAGATCACGTAACTGGCTCAAAGTCAAGAAGGACTACCTGAGTGGTATCGGTGACTCTATGGATTTGGTTGTTATTGGTGCATTTTATGGACGTGGAAAACGAACATCAGTATACGGTGCATTTTTGTTGGCTTGTTATGATCCCGAAACAGAAGAATACCAGACAATCTGTAAGATTGGTACCGGTTTTTCTGAAGAAGATCTCCTAAACCATTACAATGCATTAAAGGGCCATGTAATTGAAGCTCCCAAGCGATTCTATTGCTTGGGAGAGAATCCAGTCAAACCAGATGTGTGGTTTGAGCCTGTTAAGGTTTGGGAGGTACTTTGTGCAGACTTGAGTATCAGTCCGCGCTACATGGCTGCCGTTGGAAAGGTATTTAATAGCACAATTTACATTTGCATTTATTGAATCGAATTAAACATATCATTTTTTTAGGTCGATGCTTCCAAGGGTATCTCCCTTCGTTTCCCTCGATTTATCAGAGTTCGTGATGACAAGGGTCCTGAAGACTCAACTTCGAGTGAGCAAGTTATGACGTTTTACTACAACCAGGCTAATAGCTCCAAAGGAAAGGGTGATGACATGGACTATTAATTAATGTGCCTGTTTTTTGAAAAATAAATATATAAATATATAAATATCTGTGTTTAAACAGCACACGTTTGCATTATTGTGGCGCTTTATTTTGTTATATCGACATTAATTACAAAAGTAAAAGTACATCTCTCTTTCTCTCTCTTTAATTGGCATCAGTATTTTTTCTTCTTGATAGCCGCAACCGCAGCAGCCTGGGCACTGGAACCTATTGTTTTCGAGTGCTGCTTCAGTAGCTTGTAACCAGCAAAGCCTGTCAAGATAACAACACCGGTAATCACAGAGGCTACAACATAGCTCTTTGGAGGCCACATATCCTTTGTCTTGTCCTTTTGAGAACCTGGGATGGCAATTGAACTAAAAAGAAGAATAAAAAGTTAGTATAGAAACGGTGTTACATCGTGAATACTTACGGATTCATGGCCACGCTTGTCAAAATGTGATAAAGCTCTGCCATCTGGTTATTCTTTACCGAAACACTCCGAGGAACAGCCAAACCAATATTGCGACAATAGACGTCGGGCTGGACTTCATATCGTTGTGTAATTAAATCAACTTCACTTTGTGTTGCCACAAAAACAATTGGAACATTTTCAACCTTATATTTTTCCTAAATAACAGTTAATTATGTTAGTTTAATAATATTCTTATTCTTGTTATATTCAAAGTGACATACCCGAAGAGCAGCTAAATAAGCAAATGAATTGACATCGCCGGTGTTGTATACAAAGCACAAAAGGTCGCAGGCATCAAGACGCTTTCTACTCGACAGAATATCGGCTTCTTGGTCAGCACCTATTTCTTGCATCTTTAGACATAGTGCGGATGAGACATTCGTCCTGTCAGCCCGTATATCCTACCCACACGTTACACCTACCACCAAGTATTTTTCTACACCTTTCATTTCTACAGAATTAACCACATGAAAAGGCTCTTTTGTTGGATGATACTTTTCAGAAAAAGGCTTGTTTACAAATGCTCTCATGAGAGAGGTCTATTATTAAGTAAAGTACGGGGAACTCAATATATATACAGAGACAAGTACAAGTATACCAAGCAGTCGTATTATCCCCATTACCTTTCCTGACCGGGGTGCCCCAAAGATATAACATAAGAATACGTTTCGTTGAATCTTCCCCTTTTTACGATCTGTCTTTTTTGGTTTTGTTACTTTGAGCGCAGTACGTGTATCACCCTCAAAACCAAGGTAAGCCATATATTTTAAGGTAGTTTTATGATCAATAAGAGTTGTCATACTAGAGTCGTACAAATGCACAATTTCATTTCATCTCATTAATCTCTTGCTCCGAAATCATGATTATAATTTTTTAAACTTGCCTCCACTGTGCTAGCCAACCCTGTAATGTAACCGATCCTGTCTCTGTTGTGATGGTTGTTTGTGGGAATGCTGTGTTCGCCCAGGGGTTTCCTGGTGATGTGCTGAACAGACCGATGAGCTCTTGATAATTCAAGGCACCATCTTTGTCCTAAGATTTACTCCGTTTAGTCAATTATTATTGACAGGGGTGAAGAAAAATTATACAAATATAATGATCAGTGACCCTACCTTGTCAAAGGATTGGAAAAGTTCGGCGAAGAATTGGTAACCATGGGGACTCAATTCGACCGAGCATTCTTGTGGTACGTCAAGACTAAGTACCGTCATGAACGTAAATATTAATAGCTGTAGAAAGTAGACAATATATAATTCCAAGAACTACAAACATTGGAAGACTTACGTAGGCAACAAGAAGTCTTCTCTTAGTGACAAGTCATCGCCATACCCAAACTTTCTTAATACTGTCCAGGTAGTCTCGAGACGTCCTCGTTGAATAAAAAGAGAATGAAGAAAAACAAACCCTTGATTTTAAAGAAAATATAAATAAATAAACACATTTTGTTAAGAAGGGGGAAGTAAAAAAATGGTTCTAGTGGAATATCTCTAACACACTCACCTGTTTCCGTCAAACCTTCTTTATTTACTCCTGCTGGCTCATGTTCTCGTACCACTTCTTTTACACCTTCTAATTCTTGCTGCTGCAGTGGTGCATTGAAACATTTTCTCTAATCACACCATAAGTTTCATGCTCTTATTTTACCACTCAACCCAAAGAAGTACTAGGGGGTTTCTTTCGTCTTTTTTTCTTTTTCTTTTTGGTGTTATTTGTTTGTTTCTTTTTCTTACCTGAAACTCGTTAAGTTCCTTATCGTTCAAGATATTGTCTTTGTCTGTATCGCATAGTTTAAATATACGCTTCAGAGCATCAATGCATTGGGGTTTGAGGATCTACTGAAATATTAGTGCCAGCATAAAGTCTAATGATTATTCATTAGACTCACATGTTCTCTTGAATCATAGAGAGGAGCTGTAGGGTGTAATACGGCCTTTTGAGCAAAGTAAAAGACTTCAGATACATTGAGGAGTTGCCTTGAAGAGCATTCTACACATGTCTCCACCTCCTAAACAAACAAATAAATAAACAAATCCCACTTCTTCATCTTTATACTGTGTTTTGTTTTGTTACATGCCTTAAATTCATTCATTATAGGAATAACCTCGTCTTCTAGACTTTGGTTTGTCACATCATCGCCTCTCAAATCTATCTTGTTGCCCACAAGCACAGACGGGACCTAGTACAATATAATACACACACACATACACATAGATTGGTCAGGCCATAAAATAAGCCATCAAAAAATCTGTCTGTTGCTCACATTCACTCCCAGCGAACGAATATAAGGCAGCCAATAAAGAGACAGGCGATTAAAGGTGTTTGGGTCATCAATAGCGTAGACGATGCAAATGACATGCGCTTTGCGGATCTCTGCTTCAAGTTGTTCACGATCTTCAGGGCGTGCTATAGAATAATAGTATTCCAAGTTTTTCGCGGTATGTGTAAATAAAGGATGAGGGAATAGGCTCACTTGCTCTTTATTGATTTATCTCATTTTACTTCTTTCCTTCTTGTTTATTCAATTACCTGAAGAATCCATGATGTGCATTGTTACGTTCTCGGGCGTAACCTCTGGAGGAATTGTTACCTCGGGGACGACATGTTGTACCTGCAAAATAATGAATAAAAACACGCAGTTAAAATTTACATTGTATGACTTACGTTGGGTATGAATGTTTCTTTTATCAACGAGGTGATGAGAGTACTCTTGCCAACACCCTCTGTGAATGCAATAATAAAAATGTCAGTTGTTCTGTCTGGGATGACAGTAAGCTGAACCTACCATCTCCCACTAGCAATATGCGCACGTCTCTTCGCATGGTAAATAGTATATGGAAGCGCGTGTGACAAGTTACTTTTTTGTTTTGTTTTGTTTAGGGTATTATGACGCCTGGAATAAGGATAGCAATGAAGGCGGAAGGGTCAAGAGTCCAAGGTAATTACTGCTAATCAGAGAATTCCGGGGAAGCGATATCGTCTTTTTGAATGAACAGTCTGGGATGTAAATGAGTTGGGCCCTGGAGGACAGAAGAACAGAGTGGGAAGAAGGGGTTGAGAATCATAAGGCTGAAGGGACAAGTGTTTGGACACCGGTCGGAACCTGAACTTATCTCTTGCGCTTGCCAAAATAAAAAGTCCACTTCATTTGACAATTCAATAGAAGTTTTTCATAAGAATAAAAGTGTGTAGGTCTTTAATATACATTTCTCGTGTTATTGTTTGATGTAAATATATTTTCTAGTATTCTGTGAAATACTTTCATGAAGTTGATAAATAGAATATACAGTATAATATTCGCTTGGCTGTATAAAAAAATGAAATTCTAATAATAATAATAATAATGAAAAGGTATTAAGTCTGCCTCGCCATACATTAATCCATTATTTTAAGTACACTTTTGATGACTTAGTACAGTTTTTTCTCCTTTATTTCTTTTAATATATATATAAGTATATCCACCAAGAATGTTATAGTAGACCAGTTTATTTACCATAATATTCCAGGTGAGTGGTTTGGTTTTATATTTAAACATTTAGGATGTGTTAATCATCGCCAGTAGTATATTTCTGTAATAATATGATCAAGAGCATTGCTAGATATTTATAATATGTATCTAATTTACTTCAGCAATAATTAATGGTGCTTCGCAATATATGTACACATATAGTTAACCGAGACGTTTATGTATGTATATGTATAGTCCAAATGCTTTATTCAATATATATGTATATATATAAATATATAATAATCAAAGCTCCATACCAGCGGCTTCATCTTCGGAAGCATAGCTTACAGAGCTCATATCATCATCATCCGAGCTACCATCTGAAACTGCATCAGCAGCCTCCTTTGTAGCATAGAGTTGAACGTGTTCTGATATTGAGAAGTATTAAGTTGTTAAGACGCTTTCATATGCTATAATATTATACTATATGCTGTGTTTCTCTTCTTTTCACTCCTTTACCTTTAACTTTTATCTCATACTTTGCAGGCTCGCGCATCAATAGTGCAGCGGCCTCTCCGTTAAGTGGATCAGTAGGGTTAGGGTAACGAAGAAGTTGTGGTAGAAACACTTCAAAGATATTGATCATGTCTGCATTAAAATTGTCAGAAAAAAGATAATAGTACGCGCAAGTAACTTATATCCTACCGAACATTGGACTCCATGTCTGATTAATTACATCCAAACAGACTGATCCACTCCTAGCCACTGGATAAGTCAAAGCATTATAATAGTACTACATTAACTCACACTTCATCAATGTTGGGATGGAAGATACGGTTGATGAATCCTATGCTCGGGGATTTGTAGGGATACTGATCAGGTAATTCAACATGAACCTTCCACACACCGCCAGTAAAAGGAGCTATTCTCTTGAATTAGCTTACGTACGTAAACACATATATCGCTTCTTACTGTCAGTTGGTCCATGAAAACGGACATAGAACTCTTGCATATTATCATTGACCAGAGTGACTTCATAGTCACTCATCAATCTGAATTCTGCATGAGAATTGCTTATTAATCTAGACGCATGCACTTACAGTTTCATGACATCCGTTTCAATTCTCCTTCGTGGGGTGGACATTATAAGTTAAGTGCAAAAAACAACTTCTTTAAAGCCCCTCCCTCTTTTAATCCGAACACCTGAATGCATTCCTCTTTCCCCCTCCTGTACGTCATAATAGTCATGTGACTAAATAAAACACCGACGTAAAGATTGGCTTGATCCGGGTTGATCTTTTTTGAAGTATATTATAAAGTTCTCTTGCCATTCGTTTTTTTTGTATGAGACAAGGTTTTATTATTAAATTGCCCAAAAACAGGTCGTACTTCCTAAAGAAGGAGAGGTAGATGCCGGGGAGAGATTGATGAACACACAAAGTGTGGGGACTATGTAGTAGGAAACGATAAAATTACAGAGAAGAGGGAAACAAAATTAACAGAAGAAAAAGAACGAAGAGAAGAAATATTACAGGAGAAAGTAGAAAGTAGATGGAGCACAAGAGTGAGAGACCTAGTCTAGGAGATGGGAAGACTGAAAGAAAAATTGAAGCGATTTGTTCACAGAAACAACTACATTGGCAGGAACAAAAGGCACATCGTCAAAAATTGTGCGCCAGTACGCTTTCCACACTGCGGCAAGAACACCATCCAAAACATGGTATGAGTCAATATGAGGAGGGGAGGGAGGGAGGGCGAGAGCATAAAAGGCACGAAGGATTGTGGACGGTTGGGCTCGCCAGTGTGGTATCAACCTATGCATAGTCATAGTCCAAACTTGCCAAACGAGAGGACACTCCACAAGGAAATGTTCAGGAGTCTGGTTAGAGTGACCACATAGACGGCACTCGGGGGAGGCGACAAAGCTGGGGATAATAGCATGAAGGATGGAAGCTGAGGAAAGAGAGTTATGTAGAAGTCGAAACCATATGTTGCGGGTGGAAGTGGACAAGGTCAAAGACCAGAAGAAATTCCATTGGCGAGGTGACAGGCGTGAGACCGATTGGCGGGGGTTTGGATCGGGAGGGGGGCATAGGAGTCGAAACGAACGTCGGGAAAGTTTGAGTTGTCTTATAAAGGAGGCAAATGATATTGAGAGGTGCATAGGGTCAACTGTGCCATATGAGCCATCATGGGAAGCGGAAGGGTGGGAGGGTGGAAGGCAAAGAGAGGCAAAGAAGGGGTGTATGACCTGTATGTGCGTGTCAACAATGCGAAAAATCGGTTTATGAGGATTGGACATGTTGTTCGAGAAGATAGAGGGAGACGAGAAAAACAGAGAAGTAAAGGATCGTAGTAGAAAGCATCAGAAACCAACAGTTGATGAAAGCGAGAATTAGAAAGAAAAGTGTTATGTGGTAAAGAATGATATATAGCACTAAGAGGAAGAGAAAACCATGTAGCAAAAGAAAGAGAAGGAGGTATGTCTAAGGAAGGTAGTTTATCATAAGCAGAAAAGAATAAAGACAGCGCAGAAGGGAAAGGAAAAATGCCTTTGCGACTGGTAGAAAAAAAGAAAAAGAATGTAGGATCAAGCAAATGGAAAGGGGAAGCGGAAGAATACATAGAAATATGAGCGCGTAGCCAACGAATAGGAATAGAGAGTGTGGCACGAGCAGGAAAAAGAAGAGGAAGAAGCCATCGAAATTGAAGAGCATACTGTTGGGCAGCCGGATCTATGAGACCCAGCCCTCCAAAGGACCGTGGAAGACATAGTGTAGCATATTTTACTCTTGGAAACATGCGGCGCATGACAAACTTACCAACAATAGACCGTAGAGTGTTCATGAAGGTCTTTGGAAACCAAACAAGACGAAGGACGTGCCAAAGACGAGAAAGAATGAGAGAGTTGACGATTGTGGCGCGTCCACGGACTGAAAGGTAACGTTGAGAGTGCAACTGTGTTGCCAAGCGTATATCATTGAGAAGTTTTGCGCCGAATGCATCGCGTTGTGTGATGGTGTGGATGAGTGGATAGCCTAGGTAAATTGCCGGCGAGGAAGAGGAGCGATCATACCACGAGGTGATACCGACAGATTGGAGAGGGATCTGCCATTCTGGTAGTGTGGATCCGGACAGAGAGAGGGCATGGGTTTTGTGCATATTGACCTTAGCATTAGATGCTAGGCCGTAAGTATGAAGATGTTCGTTGAGGCGGTGTAAATCTTCAGGATCCTTGAGAAAGGCGAGGAAATCATCAGCATAGGCTAATACTTTAAGAGAAGTGGAAGGAACGGATTGGGGAATTGTGTAGCCTTGAAAAAGAGAATCATCAAGTATACGAAGGAGCAAAGGTTCGAGGACAAAGTTGAAAAGAACAGGAGATAGCGGGTCACCTTGGCGTAAACCTCGGGATTGGAGGACAGGAGAAGAAATGTAACCATTGACATTAAAGCGTACGCGAGTCTGGAAGAAGAGGGAAGTGATAGAAGTGACAAATGAATGTGGAAAGCCATATTTGAGGAGGGCTGTTTGAAGATATTGAGGATGGACGCGGTCATAGGCTTTTTCCTGGTCGAGAAGGACGCCAATTGCGGTAGAAGAAGTCTTGTGGGCTTGTTCCATAACCAATTTCACCAAAAGGCCGTTATCCGCAATAAATCGAGAGGAAAGGAAACCAGTTTGATACGGGTTAAGGACAGTATTGGCGATTGGGGCCATGCGGATATTGAGGAGGCGGGTGAAAATTTTGGCGTCACAATTAATGAGGGCAATCGGGCGCCAGTTACGGAGGAGAGACAGATCACCTTTCTTTGGCAAAAGCCGCACACAAGTATCTGTCCAAGAAGGAGGAAATAAGGAATGGATGAGAGCATCATTGTAGACACGCGTAATTAAAGAGGCATATAGGGGGTGTTGGAATAGTACAGCTAGAATAACATAAGGAAACCCATCTGGGCCAGGGCTACTAGGTTGCGGGGCCCTGGAGACGCATTGTTGAATGCCGTCCAAAGTGAAGGTGGTGGTAAGAAGGTCTTGTTGTGCGGAAGTGATGTGGCGGGAAGGTGTAATGGAGGAAAGAAGCTGGTCCACGGCGTGATCGTCAATAGGATCGGGAGAAAACAAAGAAGAATAGAAAGCAGTGGTAACTGTCATCATAGTGTCAGGAGTAGTGCATAGTACGTTGGTATCAGGATGGTAGAGAGGGGGCATATACTGTTGCTGCGTACGTATGCCAATGGCTTTCTTGAGATAGCCGGCAGATGTCTCCCCATGTTCTCTCCAGCGAAGTCCAGCTCGAAGGGAGGCGGTGTCAACAAGTTCTTGCTGGATTGCTGCAATTTGTTGGTCATATTTAGGAAGAAGTAGAAGGCGAGCTGCTAGTATAGGTTTTGACCGCAAAAACCGACTCCGTTTGCTCTGGAGTGATTTGAGCAGTTTTTTCCGATACGTAGTATAGCGTCCACCAAATTTCTTTGCGGTCCTAATCATAGTAGCTTTGACAACTTCCCACTGGCGTTGTGGATCATCTTGAGGAAGGAGAGGAAAGAGGCGAGTGAGAGCGGAATCGAGGGCAGAAAGAAAGGCGGGATTTGAGGCAAGAGAAGGGTGAGCGCGCCATAATCCACGCCCTTTGTCGGATGTGCCTAGACAAATAGTGGCCTGAAGCAGAGCATGGTCGGTCCACAAACGAGAGATAAACTGGACATCGTGGTTGACAATTGAGGAGGACATAGAGTATGGTGCAAATATATAGTCTATAGTAGTGGTAGAAGAACTGCGGTTAAAAGTAGGGAGCGGTGTGGAGTCGAGAGAGGTGTGACAGTTGACGAAGTAAGATCCAAGATAATGTTGCCAAGGAAGAGGTGCCGTGCGTAGTGAGGTGGGGTTAAGGAAAGAGAAATTAAAGTCGCCCAGGATGAAGAGTCGATCCCGGATGGTGGGATTATTAAGAATAGCGAATGACTGTAAATCAGAATAAAAGGCAGGACGAGCAGCAGGAGAGGCGGGTGCATACCCAACAAGAACAAAGAAAGGATCAAAACTAGAAGACGTATGAGTTTCCTTGGCAAGGATAGCACGATCGTCTTCAGGAATGGGGATACGTTCAAGAGAGAGAAGAGGAGAAAGAGTGACTAAACCACATCGATAAGTCCAGAGGGAGCTGCTGGCGCGAAATTGATTGTGTATAACAGTAGATAGTGAGGCGGAGGCATATGTTTCTTGTAAAGCAATTATATCGGAAGAGGTCTGGCGCAAGAAGCGAATAAGGTCGGAGCGGCGGGAAGGATCAGATAATTTGGCCAGGCTATTACAATTTAGACTTGCAATGCTGACATTGAGGGTAAGGGCCGACATAATTATTGACGGACAGGAGTTTCAGCACTACCCTGTGGAGGGTTGGCAGGTGTGGCGGTAGCAGTCTTCGTGATAGCAGGGATATTTTTCCCAATTTTTCCAAGCGGTGCTTTGGTTTTACGGTGGAGTTGGAGGTCTTTAAGAGTTTGGGCGTGTTTGCTGAGGCCTGGGAGAATCAAGGTGTTGTGGGGAGTGACGGTTGAAGTGCCGGTGGTACCAGCAGGAGAAGAGGACAGCGCGACAATGGAAGCCCGGGTAGCCTCTAATTCTTGTTGTGTGGCCTGGGCCTTGGTCTCTGCTGAACGTGCTAGGGCAGCGTTCAAGGCCGCAATTTCGTCGTCTTTGGCGGAGAGGGCGGCAGCAAAGTTAGCGACAAGTGCATTAGCTTCCTGCTCGGTGGCCATCCGTTCTTCGAGTGCCTTAGCTGCTATCTCTCGGTCCACAGCTTCTTTGGTAGCGAGTTGCTTGGCCGCAGCTTTTTGTACGGCAGCATGAGAATTCTCAATGTCAAATTCGGCAGTTCGCGGATTGTCATGATCGTGTTGTGTGCTGGCCTCAGACATTTTGACCTCTGGTATGGCGTTGTTCGTCAGGTGGTATCCTTTTTGAGGATGCGAGTTCTTGGCTTGAGCCCGAGGGCACTGGTCTCTGACGTGCCCAGTTTGGTTACATATCCAGCACTGCCGTTTGTTGGCTGGGCGTTCAGGACAGTTTTGACGGTCATAACCGTCAGCGTGACAATATCGACACCAAATGGGCATGGAGCTTGTGGTAGCACGGAAACCGTCCGAGGTATCCATCCACTGAATATTATGTGGCATGTGAGGATATTCCTCCCCAGAGTCAGTAGGACGGGTGTCCAGAATGGCATACCCGGTACCTAAAAATGTTTGGAACTTTGGCTCGCGGCAAATTCCAACGTCTAGAATGCGGCCGTACGGCACAAGACTAGTTCGTAGACCATACAACAGGTCAGGCAGATCAAAAATGGGCAAGCGAGAAAGACTGGCACGTTAGATAACAGCGCCTGTTTCCAGGCCTGAGGTGGCAAGTACAGTGACGTTCTCATCAGGGAAGTGAAGACCGGTTTGACATGCTCTTTGGATGTCCATATCGTCTTGAGGCGAAAAGTTTATCTCGAGAAGGCGACGAGGGCCATCTTTGTCGAAGAGAATACAACGGCGAGATGGGTATTGGTCATGTACCAATGCAATGAGCCCTTCTTGGGCAATCGATTTACGGCTAGTGACATCGAAGATGACACTGCCAGGGGAACGGCCATTACGCCAGACATGCGAAGGCATGATGACGGTGTTGGTTTCATTGTTTTGAGAGGGGTTGTGGTTGTGAGTAAGCGATACTCGTTCGGAAGAAACGGTGCGTGACCAAAGTGTATCAGCTTTGATGGGTGATTTATGTTGGTGTGGTGTGCCTTGTTCAGGCGTGTCGGGTATGGTAGCGGAGGAAGCCATTGTAGTCCGGTAAAGTCAAAACGTCGTCTCCCATCCTGAAAATGTCGTCTCCCTAGGATCGCTGAATGTTCTTTATCTCTTCCTGCCACCATATGCTACTTAGGGATCAGGATTCGAGAAATTTAAACTTTGTGGATTGCTTTTGTACGATAATTCCAAAGAAATAACACAAAGGAATGCAACAGGTTCCTACTTTGGTCTTTAGTCTAGACAAGGGCAAACGTTTGAAGGAATGAGAGGTCAAATTTACATGTTCCATGCGCCATGAAAACGCATTCAGATGTCCTTTTGGTGCATTTGCCTTTTTTTATGTTTAGTCTGCTTCAAAAAGGTTGGACAGCTAAAAAAAAGAGACTTTTTTAAAATAATTTCTAACTTTCTTGATACGAATAATAGACCAGTGATGACTTTTTGAACGAAGACAGTTGGCAAAACTGGAAGGTATCGTGTGGATTCAACAGCCCTGAGAAGAGTTTAACTGGTGCTTCTCAATGAAGAACAGCAAAAAAGGCACTTGCAGATAAAAAATATACACCACACGGGTAACACATGGTGGCCATCATGCTGGGTCAATGGAAGCTGAGGGCTTAGAAATACCCTTTGATTTTATCAAGCGAGGAGAAGGATGGAAGGATCGACTTAGTCGTTTGGAGACCTATTACTTGGGTAAACTCCCATATCCTTTTGCAAGAGGTATGAGTGGCTTTTGGGGAAAGCCTTTTTTATTAGCAAGAAATGGTGCGTCACCACCAGTTGAATTGAAAAAGATAATATTTTCTTGGATCAAAGACTATTTCGGTGTTGGGGATGCAGAGTGGGTAGCTGTCTGTGAGAAGGATGAATGAAGTTGATGAGAACGAGGATGAGGATGAAAAAATCATAAATTTGGAGATAGACGAAGAAGCAGATTCCGTAAAATTCGTCGAGGAAGATGGAAGATTGCAGTCGAAAGAAAAAAAGAGAAAATGAAAGCAAAAAGCAACTCAAAGCAGTATCAATACAGCAAAGCGCGGATTTTCACGACTCTTGATACGATGCAGAAGAATTATCTTACAAGATGCAGCCTTTTACTTGTACTTGAACAAAGAAAACAAGCACATCAACACAAGAAACCTTCCGTTCTCAAGTAACAGCTTCAAAATGTTTCAGGAGGATAATGTAGCTGCCATTACCAACCCTTCCGTTGGTAGACTAGAAGAGTATGAAAGCCTTGTTCCTAACATTGTCGATACGAACAAAGAGGTAGCCAGCAGAGTGACAGAAGTGAATCATCGAATCATACGATTGCAGCAACAACAAGACAGCCGATTTGAGAAAAACGAAAACTCTTTCAACAACTTCATTGAACAAAGTAACCAGCAGAATTTGCTTCTGATGAACACGACACAGCAACTGGCTAAGGACTTAAAAATTCTCATGATCTAGCAACAGTGTTTAAATTCACAAATACAATTACTCATGGCTACCAACAATGCTTCACAAAACACAAATACCGATACCAGCTTGTCTCAACCGCCTACCTTTTCTGTTCTTCTTACTGTTCATTCAATGGCAACCTTTCCTTTCCCTTACTCTGCTCTTTTTACTCTCCTATCTACTCAGCAACCAATTGCTATAAGTGCTAATCTACCTTCACTCAATACGAATAGAAATAGCACTGTTTTGTCAAAATCCAAAACCAAAAAAAGGCTAAATGAACTAGTTACGAGCCTAGCAATTAAAAATAGTTTTTTTAAAAGCTGGGATATATAAACCACCATATATCTGTTACTTATTATTCTTATCTGTTACTAATATTTATCAGCTACAATAAATTTTAATAAAAACTTAAATATAGATATTTACACAATTATGCATTTCGCATGAGTCATTTTAAAAGATGTTGGAGTAAGAAAGACAATAGAAAATAAATAGAGTTGATGAATAAAATATCATACAGTCTATTTAGTAGTATAAGGTAGACATATTTTATCCCTGGCGTCTGATATGATACTCAAGATTCGCATTTCAAGACGACTCTCATGGGTAAAAAACCAATTTTTCTCAGTACGAGATTCTAGTATTAGCATACAGGATTTTAACTGCAAAATAGTGACTTTTCCTTTTAATATAGTGACATTCCCAAATTAACTTAGGCAAACTCCCAAGTTGATTTAGGCAAATTCCCAAGTTAATTTAGTGAAAAGCCCAAATTGATTTAGGCAACCTCCCAAGTTGTTTTTTTTTTGGCTGTTACATGTAAAATCAATATTGTATAGCTAATATCATTTTGATTTAGCTATCAAACATTTTAAAGCTGAAATAAAAATAAATGATATGAAAGACGATATTAATTATTATACAAAATACAGAACAAGAAGCCTTTTTTTTTTAAAAAAAAATGAACAAAATAAAATGAAGCAAAACTAAATGAAGCAAAACTAAATGAAGCAAAATCTATATAAACATCCAACTAAAGATTCATCTATACTTTATATCTTTTCATTATTCTTGTGGTAAAATAACTCTTAAAACACGATACATCAGATTTACTTGTTATTTATTAATTTTGTAAAAGAATAAAAAACCAACTTCTGCTAAAGTGTTTGATCACTCTTTAAATACTAAATCAATTTATGTTACACCTATCAGTGGCGTGTAGCACATGTCATATACGTACGCCTTGTCAAATGACTGGCATTTTTTCTTATCAAACTTATATACAATGGTGTTTCAACACAATTCCTATTCTTCTTTCTCTTACCTTTTATTATGAATCCTACATCCCAAAGTATCTCAGCCCAAAGCTCAAGTGGCGAACAGAAGTCTAGAAGAAGAACAAAGCAGAAGAATGAAAGAATTCCCATGACTTTACGCAAGAGAATCTTCAACTTGACCGTAAAAACAGATCATAAGCCAGTTTCAGAAGTTGCTTCTATGTTTGGCCTTTCTAGATCTACTGTAGATAACATAAAGGACAGTTTCAGGGATAATGGAGAGGTCGTGGTCAAGCAAAGAGGTGGCAGAAAGAAGGAATGTACAAAAATCACGGAAGAACATTCAGAATATCGCATTGAGATCCTAGACGAAGATTGCACATTGACTCTTGAGATGATGAGAGAAAAGCTTTACGAACGCTTTGACGACTTACAAGAAAAAGGCATAACGTTCAGCGGACTATACCGTCATATAATAAACAATATTGGGTTCACCTTAAAGCGAACCAAGGCTGTGGAGGAGAGGAGAAACGACCCGGATGTTATTGAAGCAAGGAGAAAATTTGTGGAGTCTCTTCCGGAACTTGGGGTCGCATATGTAGCCAATTGCATTTTTATTGACGAAGCTGGATTTAATGTTAATCTCATACGCCAACAAGGGTGGTCGAAGAAGGGGAAGAACGCCATTGTACGTACTAAGACCAAGAGGGCACTCAACATCAGCATCTTGGCAGCAATATCAAACAATGGTGTCGAGAGCATGTCAGCCAAGCTTGTTCCAAAAGGCACCAACGCTGAACTTTTCATCGAGTTCTTAAAGCCAATCATAAAAACACTGGACGATACCAATGCTGTTCCCCAGTGGTTCATCCTGGACAATGCTCCCATCCACAGATCCCATTTGGTCAGGAACTTTATGGCAACAACACGACACCACATCAAGTTCTTGCCACCTTACTCGCCATTCTTGAATCCAGTAGAAGAGAGCTTCTCGAAGCTAAAGGGTTTAGCCAAGAGAAAGCCAGGGTTAGATACTGATGACTTTCTGGTATACTTGTCAGAATGTAGCTCACAAATAACAAGAGAAGACTGCCAAGGCTGGGTCCAACACAGCATTAGTTTTTTTAACAGTTGCCAATATTGTAAAGAAATTTATTAAAATAAAAACATCTTGCATTGATATTACTTTTTGCATTCTTTATAATTTACATTGATTTTACATGTAACAGCCAAAAAAAACAACTTGGGAGGTTGCCTAAATCAATTTGGGCTTTTCACTAAATTAACTTGGGAATTTGCCTAAATCAACTTGGGAGTTTGCCTAAGTTAATTTGGGAATGTCACTATATTAAAAGGAAAAGTCACTATTTTGCAGTTAAAATCCTGTATATTTTAATAGTACTACACATGACCTGCAGACAGATTAAATGTATTTTGACTAGCTTCCTCTTGCATTGACAGTAAGCTTAGATATAAAGCAAGTGTGGAACGCCAAGCCTTTTCATTTGAAATATTCGTTTATAGTTAGTAGGAGGTAAGTCCTCTAGTTATATTCCATAATTGTATCCGACAAGGAGTATTGTACACCAGACATAACAACGAAGGGATATGTGTAATATATACAAAAAAATCTGAATTCTGGCGTAATTCATATAGTTTCACGGTTTCCTAAACTACGCTTCGAATATTCAGAGTTTAACTGACTGAACCAGTAATTGGCTGCTTGTAAATACTGTGCAGCCTATGGGGATAGTCCTGAAAAAGGAAAATGGTTGATCATTTCTCTCAATTTCTTTACTCTCTTTTTCTTTCTCTACCTGTCTGTTGGGTACACATACATCTGCATGCCTTTTTTAAAAATTAAAACTTGAAACTCAGACCATAAGGGTTTAAGCTCTTTGAAGATGTGTTTCATAATCCACCTAAAGAAATTCTGATTCTGTACTCAAACTACCCGAGCTGGAAAGAAAGAGAAAACCTTTACAGAAAAAACAATATATGGTTAAAATCAACCTACGTAGACAGAGCACTGGAATGGCTTATAATTTGAGACTTGTGCTCATTTAAATCTAATATCTCAATTATAGTGAGCTTCTCACTTAGTGATCATTTATCAAAATAAAGATAAAAATGCAAATTTATAAATAGTATTCTTTGGCTCTGACTAGCTATTGAAAAGATATATATCAATCTAAAATATGCTTTTACGATTATATTAAAATTTCCCAACATCAAAACCCAATAAGTGTATTTTACATAAATAATGAATGTCTCGTTTATATTTCGGAGGAATGAGTCAAGGAAAGTATGCCCTAACCTAATATATGTGTATCTCACACAAAATTTAGCTACCAAGCTAAAATATGTATAAAATTAGCTTCTTAATCATTTACTCAAATTAACCTATATTCTGTGTAGCTTTTACTGTATAATCTTACAAATCAATATTCTTGATATCGTTCAGTTTAATCACTCAGTGAGTAATGAAAAAGAAGCTTTGAAATCCTAGTTTTTATTTCCTAGTCTATACCTGTCCGAAGTTTTCCGACAGTATTTGTAACCACATCATTTCAGCAAAGCGCTTAAGCACCTTTTTTATATTAAATCTTTCATAGTAAAGTCCGAAACCAAGCCTATGTTATGACAATCTACACTTCTCTTTCGTTTTGGCTTTTGTTTTTCAGCTCAGACTAGATTTAATTATCAGCTTCTTTATCTTTGTAACTACAATATTGGATCACCCCTACCATCAAAGTAGTTGAAATATACAAATATACAGAGATACACTGAAAAATAACATAATTATTCGTTCAAGACCTAGTTTCAGGGTGAATAAGCCAGATCATTAATCCAAATAGCTTTATTAAAAAGTGGTTTACAAATAGCGTCAATTGTATCCCTGTGTTGTACCATTGCAACTAAAAATAATCAGTAGCTGGTTAGTGAATATATCATTAATAGCCCAACAGTTGTACTTGATGTTGCATGCTGTGCACGGTTAAGAACCAATTGCTTGGTGTTACACAGATGATTTGTGGAGATCTTCTAGAAATCAAGGTCCATTTCGTAGATGGATAAAAGAAATTTGCTTGAATTGAATAGATAGACACTCGCATAAAAAATGAATAATTATAAGACCTGCTTACAACTTCCCGAGATTATCTCTTTAGTCCTGAATATATACTTTAGAACTAACCATAAATTAACCAACGCTCAACCGTACACAGACATCAATCCTTGGTTTAATCCCAACATTAAACCCAGTATTATCGATTTCTATTTTATTTTATTCTATTTTATTCTAGTAGCTACCAGTGGCTATCTGGAATACTATGAATGCAGTAAGAGTATTAAGCTCGCACCACAGTACAGTTCATTTAATATTTGATTTGAGTTACGGCTGCGCAAATTAATCTGTAAGAAAATAACTGTTCGTTATTGAAATTCTCAGGGTAAACCAGGTAGCTTAGTAACAAAGATAAGTTTGGTATTTTAGTGTTGTGTTTGCGCTGTAACCTACTTGTACCTTGTGTAGGAATACAAAGATAAGAATAAAATGAAAGCGACAGGTTAGACAATACAAAATAAAAGCACTTGTTTTTACTAAAATTTCAATTATTGATTATCTGATTTGAAGATCCATGTTTTCCTTTGGTCCTAAAGACTTCATTACGGATATCTTCCCGCCTTTGAAATTGTATGATATTTGACCAATCGATGGTTCTCCGCTGTGCAACCAATAGATTAAAGCTAAAGGCGTCATATTTGGATAGGCCTGGGATACTTCTAATGAATCCAATCACAGGGACTCTTATGCATACAGAAAGCTTTCTTTATAAGACACTTATATATTCCATAATTTTGCTATTTCGCGGGTATATTATGCAGCACTGTGCTTGTATTCAGTATTATTACTACCTCGATTTTTTATAGAATCAGACTTAGCCACTTGGTGTGTACTCTTTCCAAGAGATTGTCAAACGCTGGTTGATCCCCCGCTATAAATGCAACAATGAACCACAGGGTCAACATGCGGTTGAACCTACATTGATTAAAATAAATGTTGTGAGCTACAAATCATACGATCACAGTAAAAGCCAAAGTCTGACAAAGCGGGCGTCTTGTCTTGTAAATCTATGTGTGTGTGTGTGTGTGACTATGGATGGACTTGTAAAATTTACTTACATGTGCACGAAAGGCTGGAGCTAACTAAACAGTTGAGTTATTTTACAAATAAGTCCTGTGTAATCACAAAGTCATCTATCGATTTGACAGGAAGAATTAAGCACATAATAGACTTTTGTATTTTATATTGTTTACCCCTCTTTCTCATTTTCAAATATTTCTTTATTTTTTATTGCTTTTTATTTAATTAGCCTAATTCCCCTTTCTTTTACTCCTTTTCTTTCATGGATCGTACATCCTTAGCATTCCAAGCATACGCTCCATCAACCCAACCATGGGGTCAGCCTGATGCTACTGAGATAGTCACCAAATTAATCTCTCTCATCTGCATTTCTATTTTGTCTGTTCTTTTTGGAATAAAAATATTCAAAATCGAATTTAGATATTTAACTTATTCGAAGTGGCTGGTCCTTGGCCTTTACCTCTGCTCTTGGACATTTACAATTACAGCTACACTTTTAGCGTCCACTAATGATGGCAAGTAATTTAACCACAGACTTCTTAATATATCAAAAATATCTGAATAGTTTTCGTGCGATCTATCTTTTTTAGGCAACAGTACTTCTTGTACTCTTTCTCAACTGGCCTGTGACTTCTTTTACTCGGGTTCAAAGTTTATCATTTATGTCTGGCTCATTGAAAAAGTGTGGATTGTGTCAGGAAATAGTATAGAAAGATGGAGGTCTCCAACCTACATATTTCATATGTGTTTACTACTTCCGTATGTCGCAATTTTTACTCTCATGGTAATTTCTTGTCTTATTATTTATTTATTTTTATTTATTTATATTTTTTATTATTATTTTTCTTAAAAAAAAAGTCACTTTACAGTCAGTTAATAATCATAAAAATACACACGAATTACACAGGTGTATTTCAAGATCGCTTCTTTGGATGAAACTGGTGCATGCTTAATTGGCCTACAAATAATTGCTAGTGTTCCTCTCCTGGTACGCAATTATATACATACTTTGGTTAATTTTTGTATTGATTTTTAATTTTTAATTTTTTAGATCTACGACTTTGTACGTATCAGAAACAACTTGAAGATTTGAATTTATCACCATGAAAATTAATAACGAATGAAATATTTAGATTCTTTCTACTTTCATGGGATTCCTTTTTATTAAACCTCTCTTCATCGCCGGAAAAAACGCACACGATGACTGGCGAAACTCGCGATTACACGGTGTTGCCGTACGGTCTTTTGTTGCTACACTTGTTGGTTTACTGGTTTCGTTTGCAAATATTCTTGCACTTGTATTATTTCCTTACGGAGTACGCGATGTAATCTGTTTTACCAGCTGCACAATTGATGTTACAATTAATGTCATAACAATTCACTGGGTATAACAAAAATTTCTTTTCTTTAAACACAAGTTCGTGCCCTGATATTTTGTACACAAAAAATAATATCAATACTAAAATTAAAACTAGAGATAGAGCTAAGAAAAGACGAAACTAACATCTTTTGCTTTATTCAATAGGTTACCGCTTACTCTGGAAAACCACCTACGCCTAAGAAACCCGACGAAGCGCCTGTTTGTAATGGGCCTGGAGATACTCACGGAACTACTTTAACTAGTGAACTCATTCGGACTCAAAACAGCACTACATTACACGGCTTATCTGAACTAGGAGTGACTAGTCATGGAGATGAAGAGTACGCGCTTTCGCACATTCCTGTAGGAATTGTCGCTGATTCTAATGAACAACAGCTCAGGGCCTCCTATATTCCAAAAAAGTCGACTCTCCCTCGTAATCAGATGGATAATGCCAGCTTTGATAGCTATAATTATTCTACACATGAAACCATCAATAGTTTTACCAGTCTCAAAGATCATTCTACTGTTGTATTGACGCGATAGTGTAACATCTACAACACGGCGCGTTTACGTTACTATATCTTGTACGCTGATAGACAAAACTCCACCAAACACAAGTCGAGCAAACCACATTTGATATTGAAATTACTTGACTATTATCTAGATTTATTTATACCCTATTGTGATACTTGTAATACTTTACAAGCGATCTATTATACTCCTCTGCATTCTCAATGTTCTTGTCAGATAATATTATTTTATGTATATGAAAAATTATGGTTTAAGCTTTCGATAAAATTAATTCGAATAAACAAGACAATATACGTAGGCCAATTTACCAAAATACTAGTATTGTTATTATTATTTATTAAAACTATAAATGTGTAGTAACAGTTTGCTAGTACAAAACTTAAGATGACTTTTGAAAAAACGTAGATATTTTATGTTTCTTTTCGGCCTTACTTATTTCAGCCTTTGACTTTCGTTTGCCTTTACCCTTTGGTTTTGCTATTGATACTGATGACGTGTTTACCTGAGTTGGGACCCTATCAGATACCTGGATCTCAAGTGCAAAGTGATAGTCTGTGTGTTCTTCTACTTGGGTATGCGGAATTCTTTCATGACACTTGTCACACGTCCATAAAGAATCCGAGGTTGTTTCCAAATTGAAACTCAAGGCGTCTTCCGGATCCCTTGGGCTGGTCTTGCTCGGGGTGTTTTGTGTTTCGGTGTGAAACGCGGCAAAAAAGCCATGTTTACGATCGGAAGGTTGACCACGCACAATTTGTGCTTCTTGAGATTCTTGTTTGTTTTCTAATATATTTGTTTGTGGCGGTTGTTTTTGCGAACGCTGGACCAGAAACTTGGAAATGTCGTGAGAAGATGAGGACTCATCCTGAGCACATCCATTTGCTTGTAGTGAGATTCCTACACAAGGATATGGGTCTTCAATTGTCCCAAAAAGCTCGATCACTCTCTTTAGGAATCTGTCTAACACATATGCAATGTAAATGACAGGGTTCATTTGTATCTTAGATAAATGTACTAGTTAAGTTTGGTCTTTACCCGAATCTTTAAAATCACTCTTGTATAACATTGGACATGACTTTGACCTTGATTGTACAGCGCCTCGTGCAGTTCTGTAGTGTAACTATTTACCCATTGTAAATTTCAAGGTTTATAATTATCATTTGATACATGCAATCCATTGATTGGTACTCACAGACAGAGTTTTAGGCCATGACCCATAGTCTTCCAGGTTAGTGGTTACTCTTGTATGCAGCTCTGCGCACAATGTGCTCAACCATCTTTCCATTTCTTTTGCCGTCGTGACAGGTTGTCGCATGGACTTTGCGGCCATTAATGATTTTGGGGCTTTTGTAGCATTAACTATTGTAAGCATTAATTAGTTAAAGTCCATATTTCCATAAATAAATATTGCCTTCTTCGTTATCGATTCCGCGTGAAATATTGTATAGCCATATACCAGTAGATTGTCCGTACTTTGCTTGAAGAAACTCAATATTATACTGCCTGAATATTGCAATAATTAATTGATAAGTTATATGATTTAATTTCACTAATTGATTTAATTTCACCCACCACAAGTCACTTGCTTTATCAATCTTGAGATCACTCTCTACTTCACTGCCGAGTTTTCCACCTAAATTCCTGATCTTTGTAAATGGAATATCTTTCATAAAATTGGATAATGCGCCGTTTCTCAGAATTGTCTAGAGATAATTAGATATGGTACTTTATCGTTTTCCTTTGAGCAACTTATATACCTGTTTATTAGGCTTGTTCTTGCTTGAACACAATTTTGCAACGACTTTATAGTGAGCAATACCTAAAAAAAGAAACCCGGTATTTTTCTTGTTAATAAAATAGTTTGGAGCAGGCTTGTGTGCAATATATTCTACGAAGTCCACCTGCAGAGCAAGTAAGTCCTAGTTCATCGAAAATAGCTTGTCGGATTTCGGCAGCAACCTCTGCTCCTACAGCAAGTTGAAGGTCACACCATGTCGTGAGGGACCAGTCAAGGTCCCCTTTTTTTTCTGTGCTCGCATCCCCAGAATTCTCTTCTTCGGATCTGATGGTAATGCCATAATTGCCCCAGTCGACTGGTATCTCACATACAAGATCATCCAATTTTTCATATAATTCTGGAACCTGATCGATGTATTTAGATTTGAGTCTTTCATTGACAGTCTGAGTAATATCCATAAAGGCTTCGTCTAGACCGATCTTTTGAAGAGACGAGCAATACTTTGAAAAAATCTTAAAGATTTGTTTTGATGCATTTCGATAAGGATCTAATGACACCTTGTGGGTCGCACGATCAGGGTTTGGATAATAGTGAGGCTCCTTATCATTCTCTGCATAGGTTGCAACATGAAGAAGCATAATTTCTTACAATAGTAATAATAATTTATATACTTGAAGTTAATTTATCATTACAACCACACTTTATCTTCGTTCATTTACCAGGACATAGTTTTCGGGCTTCTTCTACTGTATTGTGTCTTTGTACGCCTGCCCTTCGCGCAGCATAATTGACTGTGTATATATGCTTTAAAAAAAGAAGTACGTTTGAATGATTTGATAAAGTCGTACCTGCAATAAGACCGCCCCATTGTTGAACTGCAGCTGGTGTTCCAGGAGTCAAATTTACTCTTCGTTCCTCTTGAGGTTTTTAGACAAAATAAATCAGTCTATCGTTGTTATATCTTCTTCTTGGTTACTCACCAACCTGACAATAAAAACAGTCTTTATGAAAATAAAAGATATAAAAGTAGAGATTGAAGTTTGATGAGTGTGGATCGTAATCAATACTTTACGATTATTACCAAGGTCAATGTGAATGATGCATTTTGAATTGATTAGACATGAAGGTAATTGGAATGTCATTGTAATTGTCAGATCAAAATGCTATTGTGTTTGTAGATTCACTAGAAAAGATAAATAAGCGTGTGACTTGCTTAGAAGGGTAATATTTTTTAATACAACGATCGTTTATCATATTGATTTATTTTCTTATGAAAGGTTTTGAGACGTGTAGATTTAGTGACTTGAGTCATTACAAATGGAACTAATAGTGTACAGATATAGATAGATGGCTTTTTATTATTATATATATTCCTTGGAGGTTTTTAAAGAAGTATTCATTTACGATATGAAAGGCGAGAAAAACAGATAAATGAATACTGGAAAAAAATAACACAGTAATCCTTCAAGGTCTTGCTAACGGAATGGACTTGACATAGATTTAGCACTTGCAAGAAGTTCCACAGTTGCAACCTAAGTGAGTGATATTTTAATTATAGCCACAACTTCAAGTCTAGGCGTTTAATAAGATAGTTCTTACCTTCTTTGGTGCCTTTGTAATTACAAATCAATGTTTTGTAAGTTTTTAGTTTTATTTTTATGTCATTAAGTAGCATGGTTGGTTTCGAGCTTACCTTTGCAGGCACATCCTTCCTTGTGAGCCTTGGATTTCTCACAGTGAGTACACTTGCAGGAGCTCTCGCACTTGCATCCCTTGTCGGTGGTACAGCTATTAAATGGGAGAAAGAGAGATAGAGAGGTTTAGGACGGATATTAAAAATAACGATTATAATATATGTGTCGAACTTACGCGCAAGTATCGGTTTTTTCGCAAGGGCAGCCCATGATGTTTTTATGTAGTTATTGAGATGAAGATGTATGTATGTTGTAGATGGATGGTTGGTCTCTTTATATTCTTTTGAAATGATTTAAAGCCAGAATTCTATTCATTTCTTTTGGGTATAATAGAAAAAGGAATTGCATTGCATAATTTGTGATATCATTATACCGTCTAAAAACTATCCGAGTACTTCTTTAGGGTAAAAATGAGAACCATCAAAGTAAAGAGAGCTTGGCACATCATGCTCAAGCTTAGCCAATATTGTTTCCGAATTACCCACCTCAGACAAGTACAGGCGCGCATATATATAGTATTATAAAAAATTAATAAATACAATAAAACCGAGGGCGGTCCAGAGTACTAATTTTTTTCATCCGTAAAAGAGCAAGTTTGAGAACCGCACAGGTCAGATACTCACAACCTGGCGCATTGTGCTCACCTTCTAACCCTCGTTTTTTGTTCCACATCTGGACTCCATGCATTGGAATTTTAGTTTATGCGTTGCTTATGAGCAAATTAAGGCATAGTGAAAACATTGTAGACCAAGAAGTTCAAACCATTCGCATTTGTAGAAGATTCATTGAGTGTCTAATTAGCTTTAACAAGTTCCATGTCAAATCCACTCCAAAAGTTGCTTTATTGGATGTCAAAAAATTGCGTCACATTTATAACACTATGTATTATCACGCAATCCTATAAAGAATATCAGGGGTGGTCAAAACTAGGAACTAAATAAAGGGTGGGGGTGTGTATGGAGGTAATATATCACTGCTTCTACTGTCATAATCCACTTGTTAAATTTAAACTAGAAACCAAATTCCACGCCTTTTTTTTAAAAAAATAATAATAATGATAATAATAATAATTTGAAATAGTGTGTTTCTTAATGAGTAGAGTGTTATACACTATATATATATGACGCTAATTAAGAAGGCAATTACACTTGTAGCTGTTCTAAACATTTGGCGTTTATTCCATTGGTTAAGGAGATCCAAAACTTCTTTTTTGTGAGGAGAGTCGGCTTTATAGTGCTCTGTGGAGAGGGTCGAATCGAGAGCAAATAACTTGTTGTTTACTGGTCTCATCACAAGAAGTGTGTAAGGGAAGCTGACAAACGATAGTAGACCAAGGTAAAGTGAGCGAGAATCGCGAGTTCGATAATACATGTATAAATGGGCTCCAGTTGATATAAGGATTGACGAAATCCCTATTTCAGATCCTCCTTTGTAAACTGCACGGAAGACACACGTGGGATTCACTGCATTTTTAATAGATGGCACACTACTCAAGTGTATACAAATACTAAGCCCTGCAAAGATACCGTTGGCAAACAGAGCCGTTGACCGAGCGTATTGAAGATCGGACATGTTTGCAAGATAAAATAAAACAAGTAGTGTGTGTGTGCTCACTAGACTTAATACCCTGTAGAATAAATAGAGAGACTCCTTTTATCCAAAACTAAACCACCGTTTAATACGGCTAATTAAATTCCTCTGCCTCTCCATTCCTTTACTCATTTACATAGAGATAACGAAATATAAATCCAGGAAATTAAATGTAAAGTCAGTCCAGATATATGAATATTTATGTATATTTATGTATATTAATGTATATCTGTATATTACGTATTACAAGCAATTATTCTGGATACAGTATTGAAAAAAGACATATTTATAGACAGGCTATAATTCCCTTTACATTAATAGTCTAGTATTTTGAAAGGAGTTTGGCATAGTGGTATCTTCCACATCCTTTTTGCTGGACGCTTGTTTGAGCTGATACACTTCCTTCTCCAACAGTTCAATCTAATAAAATAAGACATAAATAATTTGGATACAAGCGTTGCACTATAAATTATTTTCTCACCTTGTCGAATTGCTCTTTAAGGTTGTTGATCATATAAGGCATAGAAAAATCGTTCAAGCCATGACGCCAAGACAGCTCCAATACAATATCAGGACGAAGAATATCATAACATGAATAGAGCATAGCAGCAAAGCATTCACGCTTTCCAATATCAATAAAGTATTGGATAAGATCCAGTGCTACCTCTCTATCTTTTGATTCTGCAGCAGTAGTCATAGCATCCTTGAACAGACGGTCTTGCTTGGACAAGTTAATCGATTGTCTCCAACGTCTGTTCTTCTTGTAAATATGGGCAGAAATTCGGCGGAATTCCAATAGTTCATGCTTCTCCAAACTCTGGGCAATATCCAAAGCATCGAAATTATCATAATTATCAAGAGAGTATCGCAGTGATTCATAATCTTCTTCTTCAATAAACAAGTCATTCAATGCCTTGTTGACAATCTTGTCATTTACCTGTATATTTTAAAAATTAAGAATCATGTTCTTCAAGCAAAAGATAACAACACACTTACTTCCTGGACAGACACAAGGTAAGGTTTTATCAAAGGTATATTGTCAGACTTTTCAAATATCTGCACGACACGACTGTGTCTGATACGGGGTACCATAACAGCGAGGAGATCATTCAACAGAAGAGGGTGCTCGTCTAGATAAAATCGAAGAGCTTTGTAGTATGTCTCAACGTTTGGCACCTTTACAACAATATCTTTGAAAGCAGAGTGTTCCCAAGACTGAGAAGCGTGCTCCATCATAGCATTGGCGGAATTATCAAACTCATCGTAATTTACATACAAGAATATCAACTCACGCCATAGATGAGCATCAATACAAGCTCGGATAACCTTGGGAATATTGATTCGAGAAACAAAGAGTTTCAAATGCTCCATCATCTTTTCAGGAGCATATTTCGAATACAAAATAGCCAAATCTGTGAACATACCCATATGGGCTCTCTCAAGACCCAGACCTGTTTCAAGCAACTGGATTAACTCTTCGAAAAATCCATTATTTTCATATATTTTGACCAGAGCATCCAGTTCTTCTGCGTTGACAATGATATGTAAGCCACAAATTTGGGCAAGGCGGAACTCATGGTGTAAGATGCACTCGACACTGAGTTCTTTCCACACTTTTGTGCTGTTGGCTTTGCGAGCGCAGTCAACCGCACCCTGATAGTCTTTGAGCTGCACAAGTGTTTGGGCAAGACAGGCGTGATTGGATATACTGCTATATAAAACCTTGGCAGCCTCAAACATGTGTTCTTGATAACATTTGTCTCCCACTTGTTGAATCTGAGCTATGTTTGGCGAGGCAACGAAATCTTTGAGATCATCCAGTCTATCTGTCTTCGCATAGGCAAATACAAGCTCAGTTTCGATAAAAGGTTCACGCGAGTTCTCGCGTGCTACCTGAAGATAGCGAACAAGATCTTCGTACTTGTTGTCAAGAGATGCGCTTTGTGTTACTTGGATATAGTTTGATGTATCATTGGCACGGATATAAGAATCTACACAGGTTTAATAATGTTGAGTTTAAGAAGATTTTGATTGTATTTTGAGTAGTTCCAATTAATGCAAGAGCAGAAAAAGAAAACTTACCAATTGCATTCTTAATTTGCATGCTATCTAGTTGTGCTTTTGCAAGTTTGCTCCAAACCTCGGGGTCATTGCAAGCTTCCGCGAATTCATAAGCACGGTCAAGATCTTTAATATTCTCAATAAGGACAGAAATTGCATTGCCGTTGACTTTATACTTTTTGTATATAGCGAATGCCTCTTCGTACATTTCCTCGCCAATACACACTTCAGCAACCTCAGACGCATCAAAGTTATCCAAACGAGAGATATAGTCCATAACTCTTGAAGGGTCAGCCTTAAATTCATGTCATTTGTGAGATTTCTATATACTTTTTTTTTCTGTTTGACACAGCCTAATTATAGTATGGCAGTATAATACTTTACCTTAACTGCAGTAAATATGAGTAGGTTCTGCAGTGTTTTATTGTCATTAAAGGGACTTGTCTCGAGCATAATCTTTTCCAAAAGTTCAATCAACTCATTAGGAAGATTAGCTGTCATGAAGGCTTTGACAGTATCAGAAACATCATCAGGCTCTGTACATTCTGGAAGTGCGGTTGAAACAATCTATAATAACAAATGAGTCAACCTTATCCTATGTTTATACTACACTCTTTCATATATTACCTGGTTAATAAGCTCTTTACGATTATCGTTACTTTCTTGAAGAGCATATGCCCAAAGGGACTCGTCTCGTCTGTTTACAAGATACCGCGCTTGATGCTTAAACATTGCGTTATCCGAAGTTACTTTTAAAAGTTCATAATCACATTGACCCTTTTCATAACATATGTAGGCAAGATACGGATCTCTCTTTTCGCAGTACTTTCCGATAACGTGTGGATCGTAATACTTGAAGAATAGTCTGGTTAGATAATAATATTTGCTCATATATTCCTCATTCTTACCTCGTTCTCTTTCAAGAATGGCTCAGGGTTGTTATTTGTATCGATGTAAATCTTGGCTAAAGCATTATACACTTGAGGGTCAGTGCTTCCCTCTGTGGCTTTCATATTCAACCAAGGAAGCAGCAACTTGAGTCGATTCCTTTGTTCGACTTCCTCACACAACTTTCCAACCGGAACATCACCTTTAACAGAAAGTAAAAGGTTTTTTATGGTATCTTCATCACACCCGACATCCAATAGTGCGCCAATTACTTCAGGAGTACGAGAAGGGTTGACCTTTTGGACATACACCTCAATGAAATTTTGGAGGTTATTGTGGTAAAGATATAACACAAGATCATGGACAAATCCATGCCGATCACAGACAATAATGAGAGGAATTTGATCACTGAGTCTGGCTTCCTATATTATATGAGCACATTTTTTGTAAGATATACATGTATATATAGAGTGAATATTTTGTCGAGTTTTTACAAACCTTTAAAAAGTTCTTGACCTTTTCTGGATCATAGTAATTGCTCTCTCGACATATACGCTCGGCCTCACGAACGTTGCCGGTGATGCATGCAGCTTGGATGTACTTGAAATGTACTAGAGGGTCTTGACTGACATTCACAATGGATCCCAAGTAATAATACAATCCTTTTAAAAAGAAATATCAGTCATCAGCTTTGTTCTTAAACATTTCTTCCTTTAAATATTTCCATCAAGCTTACCTTCATTGCTTTTAAAAGTTTCGAAAAGATCAATTATTTTATGAGGCTCCAATTGATCAGAATATTTAATGGCAACCTGAACCACTATCTGAAGATTCTGTCGCAAATTGTTTGACATCATCTCTTTGAGACATTCCAACGTATTCTCAACTGAGAGAGTACCAAAATAAGACACAAGCCATTCTGAATTGATCAAATGAGTGTACGGGATAATTCTCTTAATATCGTGAACATCTGTAAAGTGTTCTAATGCCTATCTCAAGTCCTTTGAGTGCCAGGGTCTGGATTTGCGTCTATAAATACTATTATACCTTTTGATATAAGCCGGCCTTTTCACATAAATTTCCAACTACTACACGATCATAGTGATGGAGCAAGTTTGAAGACAGGATGGCATCTGCAACTTGTGGTGCGTGGATTAGATTCATTTCAAGAACACGTGTCTCTAAAGCAGCATATTCTGGCTTATCGTCTTTAAGATACTCCAAAAGGAAAGCTGTCGCTTGCTGGATCATATTTTGGGACATGAATACATCCACTACTTTTTCGGGCTCTACCAAAGGACCGTTGTCGGTATTCACTAAAGCTGTAGCAAAATCTGAAGCCTTGTCGGGATCCACACGAGCAATATTGTAAAGCAAAGATCCATAGTCGGGTGTGTAATTTACACTTTTTGAATAAGAAAGTATCTTATCATATTGACGGTTCTCAGCAAAGCAAATGACCACCTGGTATTTTCAGGTCAAAATTAATACAAAGCAACGTTTGTGTATTGCACAACCCGAATGAAGGCAGAAAGTTGACTTGCCTTACTAGGGACTTCTGCACGCAAATATACTGATAAAGCCAAGACAGAATCATACTGTTTGACAAAATCACCTAATTCCTCACTGCATTCTAGTTTATCATCCTTTAACCATTTTTCGAGCAAGTGTTTTTTGTTTTGAAGTAATATCGGCTTAACAAGCTCCAAAGACTCGTATTTGTTTAGGCGTTCTTTTTCTAGGAGGATTCCAAAGTATTGTAATATTGGAGAAAGTTGATTTGGTGTGGCAGGAATTTGTCGAAAGCGATCAATTGTTTGCTTTGTGCGCAGTATTCCCTAAAAGAAGTAAAGCGTTATTAAAATGAATACATAAATGAAAGATATGAGTATTTACTCTGGGAGAGGCTGCAGCCACTTTGGCAGCTTCTCCATATGCGCCTGCATTGAAGAGTTGCTCGAATCGCTTTTCATATAAATTATCAGCTCCAGGCAATCCTCCGCGGGATGCCAGTTTGATGGCTAATTCAGTGTTGTTGAGGTTGTTTATTATGTAAGGAACAGCGGTGTTTTCGTCCAAAGTGACCGAAAGAACCTGGCCCTTTTTGTTGACTCCAATTATACCATACGTAGCCTTATGCTCCGCCGTAACAAAGATAGTTTCTGAGCTGATACGGTTCATGTAAATGCAAGTACCTGTCTCAAGGTCATATAGGTGGATATAACCCATCTTTGTGACAAGATAAATAATTCCATATTTATGACTTATTTGCATTGCTACTGGAAAGTCAGATGCAGCCTCTGGAGGAAAGAAAATATCGACAGCCTTTTTTTGAAAGATATAATTTCCTTCTTTATGGTCAACCTCTATTATTTGAAGCTGATAAAAGAAAGTTAGATGTGATGCTTTGTACTACAATCATAATATAGTGCATATATTAAACTCTCATACTTTGGCAGAGCCACTAGCTGAACGAACAGCAAATGTGAACAACTTTGTTGGCTCAATACCATCATCCAACTTAAGTTCAGCAAAGGCAGCTGCGTGACCTTCAATTGGCTGGCTTACACCTCTTTCCTTCGAATAGAGTTGCATTGCTCCTATCACTCTTCCTTGCTGAGCTGAGATACCAATTAAGACAAGCCACTTTTCATCGGAAGATGTATGATAATTGATGATTTGACAACCTGATAAACTTGTGTGACGATCAAACATCTTAACGGGAGCAGAAGTTCCTTCAATAGGCCAATGGTAAACAGCATTCTCAGTTACTAAAGCGAGTGTCTTAATATCAATCCATTTCCAGAATACTATGTCTTCGGGCATGATATATGACTTGAGTTTTGATTTCATTTCCAAATTGAAAACTTGAAGCTGTCTTTGGGCTATATACATATACGTACAGGGTTTAGGTAAGTTTGGCGCACTGGCCACTTTTTTGTACAAATTTAGTTATAATTCCGACAATTACCCTTGAGTGCCATGACTTTAACAGTTGGGTGCATAATGACAGAATCGGCTGTAATAGGTCGTCGCATTACTTCATTTTCGTTGTATAAATCAACAATGACAACTTGGTTTGTGGAATTCACTTGTTCACGTATACAAATAAAGCGATCGGACTCCATGGTTAGAGTATTGAACCCGATGTTAGCCAAATTGACACCAAGCGATTGCAGCTAACAATCATAATTACAGCACCATGTGAATTTGCAAATTTCATGTGACGTTGAGTTTAGTCGATGGTAATGTTGCAATACCTGCGCATGTTCCTGAAATTTTATAGGTAAGACCTCACTCATAGCTGACTATGTATAGCAAACGACGTGTTAGAATTAAGGAAGATTAAAAGACTTTTTGAATTGTGGACACACATATATGTGACCAACTTTGATCTGTAGTGATAATCTCCATTAAGGATCATTCTTTATATATATATATCAGCTTTCTCTATATCTATACAAATGTAGATACCTTGTTTACTGCTGTTTATAGAGTGCGTGGAAGTAATAAAACGATTATGATGTTTTGAGCTTGTTCTCTTAATCCACATACATCTTTGTACGTCAGCTAACTACTACGTCATTATATCTCAGCGGTCAGGATTGCATATTTACTATTCTCCATTCCAAAGGATTAACATTTCTTTAAAAAACAAGGTTGACCTTTATAATTATCTAAGAAACAAGGACAGAAAGAGAAACAGATACTAAATATTGTGCTACTTTTCATGTTCTCAGTATATCTACTTATTACACTATTGCAGTATTTTGGCTTTACCCGTGAAGTTAAACATTCTTTAATTACCAAACTATATCTTAAAGAAATATATGCCTAAACGTACTTAACAACATACAATATCTTCAGTGACATGATATATTCAATAGAACATAATAAAGACCAAAGTTAGAAAAGTTAAATACATATTAATATATTCAAAGTGTATACATCTTATAGCTGTAAATGCAACTTTATTAGTTGAGAATCGGTATTATATAATAAGTCGCTATCAGAATATAATTGTTACTAAATGAATGTATTTTATTTTTATTGAAATTATTTTAGCATCTTTGGCTTGCATGCCTTAAAAAATATACACTTAAATTTTAATAAACGGGGAAGTTGACGAAACAACGACAGAAGATGTGGTTATAGGCTCTCCGAGCCACGCTTTATTTTTTAGAATATTTATAAATGATTATTTATAGTGTATACCCCTTTTCCTCATATCTTTCAAAGTCAAGCATAATATAATTTTTTTGTCTGTTTTCTTGGGAGGGGTATGTAATATTTAACTAGAAGGGAACAAGTAACGAATAATCCAAGGGCGGGTGTCCACCACATCTGACGTCGGAGTGGAGTCAACAACAATTGTGTTAGGCACGACACACAATAATATATTAGAGCATCTTCAGCAGTAGCTTTTATCCCGACTTTTATACCGCATTTGGACTTTTAGATAAAAGTTATTTTCCCAGTAGTTCCTTTTATTTTATTTTATAAAAAAGAGTCCTAAATTTTATCTAGCTGCTATATTTGACAGGGATTTAAAAGTTCTAGCTGAAACCACTCTCAAAATTTATTTAAAAGTTAGAAAAATTAAATTGCTGGGTAGAGTGGCTTTTTTTTATGTAAAAGTGACAATTTTTGATCCCAGATAAAATAAAAGTTAGCCAACTGCTGAAGATGCTCTTAGTATTTGGATTTCAAACCATAGTCTCCCACCATCAAGTTTAAAGATGTCTCCTAAAGCTTTTTTTTTTGGATTAATGAGTGTTTATTTTATACATGTTAATGGGTCTTTTTTATTAGGATGTGTTTATACTTTATCCATGCTAGCGGAAAGGAAATAGGTAAATAGAGATATGCAGTGTGCTATTTAAACTAGCTTATTTGTACTCGCTGGAGATCAGCTTGGCAATGGTCTGGAGCTGAATGTTGCTGGTACCTTCATAGATAGCACCGATCTTGGAATCTCTGAAGAACTTCTCGACACCCAACTCACGAGTGAATCCAACACCACCGCACCATTCAATAGCCTTGCTTGCAGCAGTCTCGGCAATCTGAGAAGAGTAGAGCTTGGCCATGGCAGCCTCCTTGATGAAAGGCTTACCCTCTTCCTTCAGTCTAGCGGCATTGTAAGTCAAGAGTCTAGCGGCCTCAATCTCAACGGCAACTATAAGAAAATAAAGCGATTAATTGATGGTCGTCCTATCGTGTTACACGGATGATACGTACTCTGAGCATACTGGTGCTGCATGGACTGGAAGTCACCGATGTATGTGTTGAATTGCTTTCTCTGGAAGAGATAAGGGAGAGCAATATCATAGGCACCCTGGGCGAGACCAATCATCTGGGCAGCAATACCAATACGACCTTCATTAAGGATTTCAATGGCGTATTTGTAACCCTTGCCAACTTCACCAAGAACGTTTTCCTTGGGGATACGGATGTCATCAAAGTTCAAGACGCAGGTAGAGGAAGCACGGATACCCAACTAAAATAACATACATTACTTTTAAGTCATCTTAATCTCTTCCTTGGTGCTACACAATAAATTTACCTTGCTCTCCTTCTTGGCGATCTTGACACCCCACTCCTTCTCGACGATGAAACAAGTGATACCCTTGTAACCCTTGGAAGGATCACTGACATAGTTGCATGAGTTTTTTCTCGGCCCCAAAAAAGAATCATTATTGACTTACACGTTAGCAAAGATCAAGAAGATGTTAGCTTCACCAGAGTTGGTGATCCACATCTTGCTACCATTGAGGATATAATGGTCACCCTTGTCTTCAGCACGGGTTTGGAGGGCAAAAGCATCAGTACCGGATCCAGCCTCGGACAAACCAAAACAACCGATGGTGTCGGTGGAGAGACGGGTCAAGTAGTTTTCCTTCTGTGACTGGGTACCATACTTACGGACGAGAGTACCAACAAGGGTGTTCTAATAGATTGGGGATAAGAGAATGCCTTCCATGTATATATAGAAGATATTTTTACCTGGACATCGCAGAATACACTAACGGAAGGATCGATCTTGGCGAGTTCTTTCGAAAAATTAAGCGTAAATTAGACTCTACTTTTGTGCATTTGCGTAGCTATTGCATGTTGCATACCTTCAATTGCAATGATAGCAGAAGTGAAAGAGCACTCAGATCCACCAAACTCAGACTCAGTCTCGATACCCATAAGCTGTATAAATATATGTAAAGAAAAAAAGACAAGAATTAATGTGGAAGGACAAAAACAGCTTATGTATACTTACGCCCTGCTCAAAAAGTCCCTTAATGATTTCAGGGTCCATCTTTTCGGTCTCATCCATAATAGCGACCTTGGGCTTAACGACATCCTGAGCAAATCGAGCAACTAAGAAAAAATGCTTATTAGAACCTTTACTAGAAGTAAAAATCGTTTGCAGGTCTTACCGGACTCCTTCAACATGAGTTCCTCCTCAGTGAAGCACTGGAGAGAGGTGGGGATACCAGAGCTATTGCGGGAAATAGCGCTTTGGGTGAAAGATCTTTTATACATAGAATTATAACGCACGGTTAGTGAAATGTTTAATAAATGTACTTTTTTTTATTAAACTGTTTTCTTTTTCTTTAGAAACCCCTTCTTATGAATACCTCTTGGGAAGAGCTCGGGCAGCAAGGCCGATCGTACGGGTAGCAGATCTCATCATTATGTGGGGAATGAGTAGAAGGAAGAAAGAGGCGTTTGACAAATGGTGGTACACTCAAGTTGGATTTATATTGACAAATTTCATGTGCTTCTATTTTTCAATGCCAGACTTCCTACCCCTCCCCCTTTTTTTTCAGTCCCTCTTTTCTTTTGACTTGTCCATCGTTTTTGTATGCTTGTTGTAATATTTTATTTTTGTGTTTGCGTATTTTATATATATTTAACTAACTGATATACAGTAGAGTAGTACTTACTATAATTACAACATTAAATTAAAGAATATCTTTTCCGCCTTTTAACTCATCGTTTGTTTATATTTGACAAAAAGGTCAACAACATTGCAACTCTTTCAATCACACATTGTTCTTCACCAAGGACCTATTTAAAACCGAGAACATTACACAGATTCTAATACTCCGTCCTGCGATAAGCATGGGGAAAGCGCGTTGATTAAGATTTACATCGAGCGCAGATGTTCCTCTCAGTAAGAGTTGTACCGAGGATGAATGTTTATGCTGTTTCATATACAAATATGCCTGTCACAAACAACCAATAATGGTTCTTTTGGCCGAGGCCAAAGGCCGATGGCCTATACCCATTATCTGAGTAGGAGGAGATTCTTGCTCGGCCCACCCACCCTTCTCCATTAATTGTATACTTATAAGCTCAAGCAAATGATGAATAGCATAGAATTAAATTCTTTAGTTTTTATTTTCTGAATATTCGTCCTAATAAAGAAATTATGGTAACACAGCAAGAGTCTCCGACTCACGACCGATAATGTATTGATCATTATACTATAAGAACAAAATCCGTAGCATATTTAAAGAGAAAACAAGATAATCTCTTGTATATTGAATAAAATTAATCGATATAGAGTGATCCGGTAGCACAGTATAAACTTGAGTAAGAACAATATAGTTAACTCATACACTATCTGAATAGCAAAAAAGAAAAGTAAATAAATGAAAGCATGTCAGCAGTATTAAAGGCGCCAAATTCAGCTCCAATAATTCATAGTTAATTTAAAGGGGCTGACTAATAAATTTAAAGTGGGTAATTACTTGTAGTCCACTGTAAGAAAAAAATTGGCAGGTTTTCTTAAAAAAACCTGGCAAACCTGGCAACTTTTTAAATCTCCTACAAGCTTTATCATGTTTAGGTTGTTTGCAGCTTAATTAGGCATATGAATACTTGGTGTGGACAGACTACAGTAAAAAACACTATACAAGGCGCGCAATTTGAAAATTTAAGGCGCACAATTCGAACATTTAAGGCGCACAATTCGAAAATTTAAGGCGCACAATTCGAGAATTTAAGTCGCACATTTGAGTGTATGTTATATTATGTAAAAAATGAGAAATCACAAAGGTTCTTTATTTTCACATTTTGTGAACTGGTTTACAGAATGCTGGACGATGTTATGGTAGTCCTCATTGCTAAGACTACGCCATCCATCCTCGATTCTGGTGAGAATAGTCTCATTGTCGTTCAAACTCTTTCTTCGCACTCTGTCCTTCACCACTTTCCAAAACATCTCAATAGGATTGAGTTCTGGAGAGTATACCGGAAGGTAGACCGAATTGTATCCCCTGGAGGAGATATATCGACTGATATCTGCACTCTGGTGAATGGGTGCATTATCCATCACCAGGAAGTTCCCCTTCATATTGGCATACTTGTCCATCTCACCAAGAACAGCTTTCACAAACATAAAGAAATGCCCGGCCACTGTACCCTTTGAGCCGGACTCACCAGAAGAGGACTGCTTGCAGAACTTAGGATTCCTCAAGCTGACGTATATAAGTCCTTTGGCCGATATAGCCCCAAGAATGGTAAGAGGGTGGGACCTGGTGGTTGGGGTGGTGGTGACTCCCTTCTTTCCCTTCTCGGACCATCCTCTTCTGTGCCGCATGTTGATATCGAAGGCAGACTCGTCCAAGAAAACACAGATGGTCATGTATTTGGCACTTGTTTTCTTCATCTGAAGAATCCAGTTATACCTTGCCTCGATATTCTCCTCACTGTTCTTCGCTACAGGCTGCTTATAGACCTTTTTGAATGTGAGGTTGCATTCGTTGGCCATAAACCTCCCGACAGTCTCTTTCGACACGTTGATCTTGCCAAACACCGAGACGAGATGGTCCATCACGTCTTTAACGTAGACAGATGCATCTTCGGCAACGAATTCTTTAATGCACTTCTTGTGCTCGTTGGTCAGTCCTTTTTTCCTGCCCTTCTTGCCACGGTTGAACAAGTTGTCCGGGTCTTCATCGTACTTCTTCATCCAACGTTGTGCCACTCTGGCGCTTATGTTCAATTGCTTTGCTGCAGCCTTAGCACTAAGCAATTTCTCATCCTTCAGCTTAAAAAACTTGATGATGTCCTCATCAGTGTAAGTATTACGCTGACGAGTAGTCTTGCTTCTTTTTGGTGGGGGATGCTTGGACTTCCCGCTTGGTTCTCTGTCTGGGCACTCTAAATTGGATTTATATATTTAAATACGTTTTTAATTACCACTTTTTTTTTTAAAAAAAAATACCTCCGAGACTTCTGAAATCCTATCTCTATTTCTTGATTCAAGGAATTGGGAATGGGTTGCTATTGTCTCAAGACCATGATAATCCTCGTCAATTATATGACTCAAAGCTTGAGAACCGTCTTCATTAACGCTCTTTCCTTGACCATCTTCGTACACGAATTTAAAGGAGGACATTTTGTTATAGTAGAAGCTGAGATAATTGAGAAAGGAAGTGTGTATTGTTTTCTTTATTACAAGTAAAGCTTTATACACGCAATTCTTTTTGTGAAATTCATTCACAAAAGTTAAGAGTCAGTCACAATGTATTACAGTAAGCCACGTTATATACACTGGAACTAAGGCTTTTGGTTTTATAGCTTCTTGTTGCCACTAAAATTTTGAAGAAATCTTTTTATTTCTTAGGTGTCATATATAAATGGGACTTGATGCACTTCTTGCATGATTTTCTGCAAGGAAAAATAATAATACGTGCTTGGTACGTCACTTTTTGTTTTTCTAAAAAAGAAATTAAAATCTTAAAAGTGCGCCTTATTTTTTCAAATTGTGCGCCTTATTTCCTCAAATTGTGCGCCTTATTATCTCGAATTATGCGCCTTAAATCCTCAAATTGTGCGCCTTAAATTTTCGAATTGCGCGCCTTACAAATGTTTTTTACTGTATGTTTAACAATTTTGCTAAATTTTTATTTTTTTATTTCAAACATGCACTCACAAAACACAAAAACATACTGATAATAAAAGGCCAAAATCATAGTATTGATTATTTATATATTAATTGGGGGTTTCTTTTTCAAGCGTGCATAAGACATTAGCCCTATACTCTTACTTAAAAGAGTATTATTATTTTTATGCAGCTAATATGTTAAGTAATTTCTTTCGAAGAATTTTTCCAGATGTAGTTTTTGGAATCTCTTTGAGAAAGAAAACACTGTGTAGGCGCTTATATGCAACCACCCTATCTGCCACAAATTTCATAATCATGATTTCAGTATCTATACTGGCTTCAACGTCTGGTGCTAGAACAACGTAGGCTCTTGGCAACTCAGTTACTTTCTTTTCGTCATAAACTCCAATGACAGCACAGTCTGCAACCAGGGGAGATTCAAGCTATAAAAAGCATGGGTATGTGTTTGTTAGTAAAACAGGAATCTATATTTAACACACTTTAAAAAATCCTATATATAAATGACTTTACCAAATGGGCCTCTAACTCAGCAGGAGGGACCTATATAAATACTGAAATTAAGAAATGAAGCTGGAAAAGCTATAAGTACAGTACTGTTATACCTGAAATCCATTGTATTTAATCAACTCTTTTATACGATCGACTATATATACGTTATCATCATTGTCTATTACAGCAATATCCCCCGTATGGAAGTAGCCATCAGAGTCAATACACTCAGCAGTTGCTGCTAGATTGTTCAAGTATCCCTGTATATATTGATAGAATATGAGAATTAATACATTTAGAGTGTTAAGAGAGAATCATTCACCTTCATAACATTTGGTCCCTTAAGCCATATTTCACCACTTTCATTGTATCCAACTTCTATTGCACAAACATAACTTTTAGATAAACTGCCTTTTTACTTTACTTTATATTACCTTTGCCTTCTTCATTGACAATTTTGGCTGTCATATTCGATACAAGTTTACCTACACTGCCTATTTTTTCAAGAACAAAAAGAGTAGAATTAAGTAATTTTTGAAAAAATATGTCGATATATGCATTCAATTTATATTAAATTACATGCCTTTATCATTTGCTACCATGCCAACATAGGTTATCAGTCCTACTTCCGAGAGGCCATAGAGCTGTCTGAGTACAGGTTTTTTCAATCGATCTTTAACTTTTTGATCAAGTTCTTTGCTCACTGGTGCAGCTCCATAATGAACAATTTCTAGTGATGACATATTATAATTGTCTAAGGCAGTATGGTTTGAAAGCCGCAAGATAATTGGTGGAGCAAGATATAGTCTGGTTATTTTTTCTTTCTGAATTGTCTCGCAAAACAAAGAAAAATCAAACTTTTGTAAAACATATAAAGGAATTCCATGATAGAAAGTTTCGTTTAAAACAGCGTATAGACCTAAGATGTGGTAAAATGGAAGTATTCCAAGTGAGCGGTGATTTTCTGGATAAAGACAGTATTTATAGGTTTCAAAGTGTTGCTCAAAGCTGGTAGTAAGGTTCGTATGTCTAGCAAAGATATACATTATCCGTTAATTAAAAACATGGGCAAAATTTGCATATTTTCTTACGTTAGCATAACCGCTTTACTTTTCCCTATAAAAACATAAACATAAGATAAAAGGTATATTTCAGGTTTAAAGTCTTACCAGTGGTTCCGGAAGACAAGCATAAAAGTGCTACAGAATCCTTGGCTTCTTCTTCAGTATATTCAATCAGTGTAGCCATACGGTCTGTCAAAAGATATTTTGTGTAAGGTTGTACACCTTCAATAGATGCCTCCCCAAATACAAATATATCTTGAGGAAGAATTCCCGCCTTTTCTCCAGCCTCAAGAGCGACTTTAATATTGCTTTGGAAAGCGATGAGAACTTTTGGTTTGGTCATTTTGAGATAACATTCAAGTTCAGTCTTATTGTAGTTAGGGTTAAGAAGAGATATTGTGCCACCTAATACTTATGTTAGTGTTTTCTAATTTTGTAATATAATATGTTCAAGTATACCTGCTACAATTGTTCCTAGCATAGGAATAATATAGTCATACTAAAACAGCCTTGTTAACACAAGAATACTTTAGAGAACATAATAGCATACTTGATTTGGGGCATATATTGCCAAAATATCATCCTTTTTGAATCCACATTTGTCTTGTAAACCAGCCGCAAACCGTAAAATATTCTCTTTTGTTTGCCGAAATGTCAAGGTCTTTTTTGTTTCAACATCAATAAACAAGACCTTATTTTCGGGAGTAGTAAATTTTCTGCTATTAAAGAGATACTGGATTAGACCGGTTTTAGGAACTTGGATAGGTGGTAAAGGTGATTTAAATATCATGCTATATTATCAAATTATTTGAAAAGATGAATTTATTAAAAACAATAACGAAGTTGCTTCTTATATAGTATATTTTTAAATTCTTATAAACCAATTGAGATATTGAACAAAAGCTGCTGTGTACAGAAATCACACTCTTTGCGCATATTTATTGAGTATAATAATGTTAGTACATGCTTGAAGGCTAAAAAAAAAAGCTTATGCTCTATATATAGGATAACAGTGCATTTTTAGATATTATTTATTATAAGAGCTATATATTCGGATAACATAGTATAAACTATGATTAAAACTAGGCAATCTTTTTCTCGTAAGGTTATTGGTGCTCACTAAATTTATTGATTGAGAAAAATGTTATATTCTTTGACATTTGTACAAGAACTTAAAAAAAAACTGTTTTGGTACAATTGGGTATATTTTTTTTATAAGGGTGTTTTTCAAAAGTACACAATTTTAGTAAAAATCGAGTTAGTAGAAAACTAGTGAAAATAATAATAATAGATACGCATATGCTTAATAATTTAATTTATCAGCTTTTTGCTGTCAACTATAGAGGAAAAAATTTGGATTTATTTCAATCTCTTCTTTGATTTTTTATGATGTTATTTGAGACCCGCTGATTGTAGGAAGAAGGTTGGGAACTTAAAGCCTGGCCATATTTATAATCACACAGCTTCCTCAGCTTCCATCCTTTATACTATTATTCTCAGCTTCGTCGCCTCTCCCGAGTGTTGTCTATGTGATCACTCTAACCAGACTCCTGAACATTTCCTTGTTGAGTGTCCTCTCGTTTGGCAAGTTTGGACTATGATCATGAACAGGTGGATACCACAGTGGCCAGCCCGACCGTCCACAATCCTTCGTGTCTTTTATGCTCTCGACCTTCCTCCCTCCCCTCCTCATATTAACTCATATCATGTTTTGGATGGTGTTCTTGCCGCAGTGTGGAAAGCGTACTGGCGCACAATTTTTGACAACGTGCCTTTTGTTCCTATCAATGTAGTTGTTTCTGTGAACAAATCGCTTCAATTTTTCTTTCAGTCTTCCCATCTCCTAGACTAGTTCTTTCACTTTTGTGCTCCATCTACTATCTACTTTCTCCAGTATTATTCCCTCTCTTTTATTCTTCTTCTTCTGCTCATTTTGCTTTCTCCCTCTCTGTAATTTTGTCGTTTCCTTCTCCCTTTTTACGCATTATTCTACTAAATAGTCCCTACACTTTGTGTGCTCAACAATCTCTTCCCAGGCATCTATCTCTCCTTCTTTAGGAAATACGACCTGTTTTTGAACAATTTAATAATAAAACTTTGTCTCATACAAAAAAAATATCCTGACGGCGTGTCCATTTCAAGACAGGACGTACCATCTTGGTGAAGACCATGGGTGAGAGAGCAAGTCCAAAGGGTAGTACGTGGAATTGCTATGTGTACCCCTTTCAACAGAACTGGAGGTATTTTATGAGATAATTTGGCTATCAGGACATGTAGAAACGCATCCTGCAGGTTGATACTTGTTAAGTAATCGTTGTGGGAAACCATTTGGTATACTTATTTTATAGACTCCGTCTTGAAATGGTGTCGAAGTAAAAACTTGTTCAATGGTTGGTGGGGTATTCGGGATTGTTTATGGGTCAGTATCTCAATAATGGAAATAGTAGATACTGTATGAGTGCGTAATGTACGTGTACCTGGTATGTAACAGTTCCGAAAATTGTCAGCTTGCCAGGTTCATTAGCAAGATAGAACCCGTATTTTACTCTAAAAGTGATTTACAAAAATATTACAAAACAAACAAATTTTCACTTTATGCAGAAAAATTCAATGAAACTAACCATATTACTCTCATATTTCTATCTATTTTTTGAACGAGTTATGAATTTTTTAAAAATAAATAAAAATGAAAATGAAAAGTTACGGAAAATGTTCTTCCACTTTTGCATGATTTTTCTTAGTGAATAAAGACAAGTGATTATACTGGATGGGGACAGGGTGTTACACACAGAAACGATGAATGTCTACTGGACAAGTTAAAAGTGGTCACGCCTAATTATCTGCCGGACTACTCACTATAAGCTTGTATAACAACATGTCCCCATCATCCAAAAAAACCCTGTCCCCTAAGATTTACGATTAATGTTACTACACAAGGTCTATATGTAAATACTTATTACTTTTGTATGGTAAAAAATGAAGAATAAGGAAGAACATTTTCTTAAATGTAAACAAAATTTTAACTTTTATTAATATTCTGAACATATGCAATGCAGCAAAAAGTACATCTTGAATAACAAGAATATTCAATAAATTATACAACCAGAAATAGACAAAAAAGATAGTACATTTTCTCATTTTTGAATGCGAAACTCTGTATAGTGATAGTGATAAGAAATGAATCCAATATATATCACTATATCGAACGCTGAGTTTATTATATAGTTAAAAAAAAAACCTAATATAAATTTTATTTAGTATTTTAAACCAAGCCAACTTTCTTGAATAAAATACTATTAATCCTATTAGAAAATAGTAGTTCCTCACAGTGGTATTAGAAATATCACAAAAAATTGAGAGTAATAGAATTATACTTGATATAGGGATATTCACTTAATAAACTTTGAGACTATGTCTCCCTATAAACTAAAAAAAAAAAAATACTTGATATAGTGATAGTAATAAAATCTTTATCCACCATCCGTATCACTATATCGAGCTTTAACTATAATTGAACAGAAAGAGAAAAACCATAATATTTTACATAAAAAGAGATGGTATAAGATAGAAAATAATAGTAAAAAAAATATTCCTTTCTTCTAATATTTCAAAATGCTTGCTTCTCTAGAAAATACTCCTAAAAATACTAAATTTTATCGATTTAATTCTATAAACAAAAAAAATTGGATTGATACCAACATTAACACCATCTCCACTAAAATCAATGGCTCAAACTATACAAATAACAGTAAAGGTTTGCAAAAACTATCATACATAATATCAATTAATACGTATATTAATAAATTTGCATTTGAAAAAATAGAAAGAGTAGTTTTGGCAGGGCCTATTAAGTATTGGGTTGAAGAAATGAACCTTAAAGGAAATGAAAGGCCCCAGATAACATTCGATAAGTTTGAAACTAAACATGATGTTGTTGTAAAGACGGCAAGTTATAACAGTAATACGTAAAGATGCTCTATTCAAATACATATTTTGCATAAAAACAGATGATGGATAGTTACACTGAGAAGATTCTGCCCTTCAAGTATTCACCTTCGTTTTTAGAAAAAACTATAGCTCATAATGGTGAAATTAGCATAGGATATCTTCTTCAAAGTAAGTTTTAATGAAAAAGAAGAAAAACAAATTGCTAAAATGTAAACGTAGTTTCCGATGAAATTGCTTATGTTACCGGGACTAAGCATTTAGACGTTCCATCTTGTTTACATCGTGTATCTTCTCATATTCTGACAGCTTCTGTTGAGAACTTTCACCTTATACTCCCGGATACTGTGCAAGATATAAGAATAAGTGGCCATGCTGTAAATATAGGCACATCAAGCATAGAAGGTAAACAATAAAGCAATGTACAAGTACTACTTTTGTTTTGCTTTTTACAAAATTAACAATTAATTGGAAATTGTAGTTCTTGTAAATGCTGAGATAATCTCTTGTGCTGACAATACTTTGGGAATAAGAGCAAAACTCAAAGATTTGACGGGGAATTGCATCACAGCTCCTACATCAAATACTGTCTTTATTGCAAAGTTTAATATGGTGGCCGTTAATATTGAAACAGGAAAGCCTGCAAAAACAAACTCACTTATTAGTACAAATTCTAAAGAGAGAACAGCCCAAGAGCTTGCAAATTGTAGGAAATTCAAAAATTATATACTGTGTGTTTGTACTCAAATATTGATAATTTTAGTTCTGAAGAATACAAGTTACATTTCCAATAAAGATACAACAGTCAGTACAAATGGTAGACCTGAGACATCTAAAAGTGCCAGTAACCTTGAAGCGGATGCATTTGATAAGAGAAGTAAGCCTATGTACAAAGAACAGTTCAATGATCAATATATACCTTCACTATATACAAAAGAAAATTCCATGGGCGGATACAAGTTAGTTAAGGATACAACTCTTCAAAGTGCTTTCATAGTAACACCACAGGTATTTTTTTTCTGATATATATATATATATATTGTCAGCCCACTAAACTAAGAGAAATACGGCTAATACTTGATAACTGTTTGTATTTGCAGGATCGCAGTGTTCTTGGATACTTATTTGGTGGAAAAGTAACAATTTTTGTTATTAGTGGTTGTTTATGTATAATATACTAATATACAAGCCATTACAGACTCTAAGATATGTGTATGAAATTGCGTACATCACAGCCCGTATGTTTGTTGGATCTAATGTGAGAATGTTCTCTTTGGATGAAGCCAAGTTTCATTCTAAAGTAAATGTGGGCTCTACAATTAAGCTCACTGCCCGGGTTATTTATTCATCGGAAGATGATAACATGTTCCAAGTCAAAGTGATTTCCAACCTTTCTGATTGTAACGGAACTTTTGGTAGTGCAGAGGCTATGACAGCCAATTTTACATTTTTAAGCTTGGATAAGAAAATTAGAAATGTGGTACCTAGGACGCTGAAGGAAAATGAACTTTACATTGAAGGTGAGTAGGGGTATTTTTTGGTCTTAATAAATTCAAATGCTTAGAGAATGATTAGTAAGCTAAAATCAAATTTAGGAAGAAATAGATTGGATATTGCACAGCATGTCAGGAAAAATATTTATAAACTTAATAATTGTGTTGCTATGCTCTAACGCTAATTATTCGGGCCACACTTTTCCTCTCGGGCACGACGTTTCTCGTATCTCCTTATTTTATCCTACGGAGAGTTTGAATTAGTATTTAATTTAGTCCTGTGGCTTTCTAACTTTAATGACAGACAGTGGCTTTTGCATCCCACACATGGCATTTTTTTTTAACAAATAATCACTTCCCTCTTTCTTAAAAACAAACTTCAATTATGTCTAACAACAATATAAACAACACTATTTATGATATTTCCACCATTCAACAAGTCTTGATCAACTTGTCTTTGGAAGGAATCAAGATGCTTCCTTTGAATTCAACAATATTAGTAAAAGCTAGTGAATAGGAAAAGTGTCTGGAGCAAATCAATGTCCTATGCTCAACAAAATGGAATAAAAAGCATAAATATTCTGGAAAAGGTTTAGTTTTTGGAGAGACTAAAAAATGCCACCGTGCTGGCCAATATATAACAAACCGCCAATTACGTCTTGCCCAGAAAGATACGAAGGCATGCTCTTGTACAGCTGCCTTAAAAATCATACAGCATCTCGACAACCCCAATGTTGTTACATTTTGCCAAACAAAGGCACATGTAAACCATGTTCCTGGAGACTGGGACGAAGTCAGAACTTTTTCTTTGCCTTCTGAAGCCATAAAGATTATTGAAGATCAGTTGAAAGTGGCAGCAGCTGTAGAAGTACAAGAATTTCAGTTCTTAAACAGATTGATAGTTGGGGAGTTGGCATTAGAAAGCCTAATTATGAAGAAATTTACAACAGAATGAGAAAGGTTTGTCAATGAATATAACAGAGCTTTCGTATTAAATTAATATTTATATATCAAATAAATACTCGTATATAAAATAGATGACTACTTTGTTATATATGTTTGCTTCTGATGAAAATGCATCTATTTCCATCTGGTTAAATGTAAAGCTAGCAGAACAAAACTATTGCATTTTTGAAATCAATCTTTCTGTTTATAATGACGGTAAAAAACAATTTGCCTTTGGATTTCAATCACCAATGCAAGTTTCAATCATGAGAATCTCGCAATCTTTTTGTCTCGATGCCACCCATTCAATTTCGTCCAGAAGCGACGAAGTATTATATACTTTGGTCACTCGCCATCCTCAAACAGGAAAGGGATTCCCTGTTGCATACATGGTGACAAACAACCAGACAGCCATACCCATCAAACTTTGGCTTGACCACCTTCGCATCAAGAGCAGCTTCGTACCAATGAATATTACCATTGACCGTAGCATTATGGAGGTTAATGCAATCAAAGAAGCATTACCTGTTTCAGCGTAAAGTGCTTTTAAAATATATTAAGAAAAGTTTAAAGCAATTAGAAGTTAAAAGTATGAAGATCCCATAAAGCCTTATGGTTTTCTAATTTTACATATAAAAATTGCCCATTATAAAAAAGGTGGACCCTATATGTTAATTCTTTCACATATTCTCTTTTCGACATTCTTACTCTTTATACATTTCCCTTTGTCTTTTCCAATCTTTTCTCACATTTATTTTATATACACATCACCCATCCTTTTAATTTTAATTTCCCTCTATTTACCTCTCCAGAGCACACTTGTACCTCTTGCGTTATTTTACCCACCTATATTCTCATTTCCCTTTTTCTCACACCATTTACCTTTCACTATTACTGTTATTAATTTCTCATTTTGATCACATTTTTATTACCATTCTTTCTCTTGATATTGGCATAAACCTGCTTTTATATATATTTTTTCTCACACTGTAGGTTATATCTTCAAACTTACAAACATTTCATTTTGTTTTTATTTTACAAAAGATATATAAGAGACCTATTTTTCAATCAATTCATACCATGACAGTCGTTCAAGATGGAATCCATCAAACGTGTTTTCCAACTTATCCATCGCAGAGATTACTTAACCAGTATAGATCTCCAAGGCGTCTTCTTACACGTCCTCGTTGCCAAAGTTTCACGGAAATACCTCCAGTTATCATGGAAGGGCCATACTTATCAGTTTCGCGTGTTGCCCTTCGGTCTCTCTCTGCCCCCGTTGGTATTCGCCAAGATGGTTCGACCGGCCCTTCGGTGGGCACGACGTCAAGGCATCCGTCTATCTGCTTATCTAGATGACCTCATTGTGATTGTCAAGCCTCCCGAACTCTCAATCTTGCACACCCAACGGGTAGTGAACAAGCTTCAAGATCTCGGATTTCTGATCAAAGTCACCAAATCTAATTTCACTCCAGCCACTTCTATCGAACACTTAGGGTTCGAGATCAACACTGTTTCCATGACTCTCGTTATTCCTCCATCCAAATTGCGCGATATTCGTCGGGAAGCCAGCCGCATTTTACACCGTTCGACCACCACGTTAAGACAGCTTTCGTCCTTTATTGGCAAGGCCCAAACAACGACATTAGCGGTTCTACTGGCACGCCTACAGACCGGACATCTTATCACTGCTCGTAATCTAGCTTTGCGCCGTGGTGTGCAATGGACCGACTCCGTAGATATCCCTCATCTGGCACACTAATAACTCGTCTGGTGGGTCGAACAATTGAGTACATGGAATGGCCACTCATTTTTACCCGAGATTCCTCAGGTCGAAGTGTTTACCGACGCTTCGGAAACGGGATGGGGAATCGTGTTTGACCGCACAGTTCTCTCCAGCAATTGGACACCGTCCCAACGCCTACACCACATCAACTACCTCGAACTTTTCACTATCTCCATAGCCTTCCACCTACCACAGCTACAAAGGAAGGCCATACGAGTTTACTGCAACAACGTGACCACAATTGTGTACGTCAACCACTTTGGAGGGACACGCTTCGACAGTCTTATGCTACTTGCCACCGACATTTGGAAACATTATCTCGCCACTGATACACGAGTCCGCCTGACATATATCCCTTTGCCTCTGAACCCTGCCGGTCCACAGTTCCGCAGCATGATACACCAACTAGAGTGGAGTATTTGCCCTACTTTCTTCCGGCACCTAGACTCGTTGTGGGGACCCTATCACATCGATTGCTTTGCATCAAAGCTCAACAAACAACTTCCCTCTTACATTGCATGGCAATTGGATCCCGAGGCCGCTGCAAGGGATGTCTTATCTGTCAACTGGAGTCCATAAAAACATATATACTTGTGTTCTCCTTGGAACCTTTTGCTTCGCGTTGTTCAAAAGATACAGTTGGGAAAGGTGTCCGCCACCTTAATCATTCCCAACTGGCCAAGTGCATTATGGTACCCACTCCTTCTCCACTCCACCTTTCGCCCCCCACTTTCTATCCCACACCAGTATGTGCTACCGGCCCCAGGAAGTTCCAGCGACGTTCTTCAACGAAACCCCCACTGGCACATAATAGCATGGGATATAGGCCGGCATAACTCTAGCAGATAGAGATTTCCAACTGCTCCTTCCTCAGTCCTCTTCCCCCGCTCGGATCTCAACCTTCATTCTCACACATTTTCTTTCCCGTTCCGCCATTTAGAATTTTTATACTGGTCGTTCTGACGTTTAACGTTATTATTTTGTCATATCTTCTCTACGAGCAGTTATCTGGAATCACAGTCAGAGTCTCTGGCGAACGAAGAATAATAGATATTTTGTTCGAGGCTATAGGCCGACGACCTATCATTATTATTTGAGGAGACAGAGACTCTGGTTGTCCCTTCCCCCCTTTCCCAGTTTTCCTTTAAAACACTTATATATACCAATCGCTTACCGATGATAAAGAGTATAGAATACAATAATAAATCAATTTATTTAAAATTTTCGTACAAATAAAGAAATTATGATAACACAGCCAGAGTCCCTGGCGAACGAAGAATAATTCTGTACATAATGGTATAAAAAAACAATAGTTCGTTTGTTTCCCAATAATTCCGCGAGTTTCTGTTCTTTCAATACACTTGTCTACTCTTGTCCACTAGTGGTTTTTTCCAACCGGGCTTGTAATTCTTCATAGAAAGCCTGTTTTTCGGAAAGTTCTTGTTGCAAAGCCGTATATGCTGTGCGAGAATGGTCTAGTTCTTCAAGCAGAGAATCTATTCTTTCTTCGTTTGAATAGTTTACACCCTTGATGACTGCATCAATAACCTTGACGATACGCCATAACCGGAAGATAATCAAGAGTCTGAGAAATAATAAACCAGTTAAAAAATGATATTTTTGTTAGACTAGAAGGTACATATAATATATATCTCAATATTATTTTACCCTGCTACTTCACGCTCTTTTCCACGCAAGATAACCTCAAGCAAAAAAGTTGATCCCACAACTACAATAGTATGATATTATTCCAAGTTATTTTTTTTTATTATTAAATCACTTAATATATCTACTTGCCTGCAATGTCAAATACATGAAGCTTCCAATGTGTCCATCCCGGAAGGTAGTAATGGGGGCCAAAAGCAATTAAGTGCAACAGACATTCCACCACAAACATACAAGTAATTGTGGCAGTTATATACTCTGCTAATTCAAATGCTAAAATCCAATTGTGATTTGCACTCTCGAACAATCTGAGTTCAATATCGACCTTGCATTCATGGAAGAATGTATACAAAATTTGGATAAGGACACAGACTGTATCAATCAAAGTCAAACCGAGAATAGTCCAGTGGAGGGTCTCGGATTCTAATATATGCCCAAGACGGACACGCCATGAAATTCTCTCGATAGTAGCTGGTTCGTCTGTGACAAGTGGACCATTTGTAGTAGGCAACGTCCCATAAGATGTCATTTTTCTAATCTTTTTGTTTCAAAAAATGAATACAATTCAATGAAATTTTAACCCGTATAGGTGATAGAAAGAAGAAGTGCAGAGGTGTAATGACACATCAAGTTACAAAAAAGAAATCAGAGTATTTTATTTTTCGTGTGCCATAGGTGGTGTTACCCAGAAATACACAGCATACCCTTTTTATCCCAACTCCAAAATAAGCCATAAAGCCTATCTCTCTTGATAGCTTCCTAGAATTTTCTGTTAAAGCCACTTGTGTATTGTATTGTATTATAATATAAAACATAAAAGAAAAAAGAAAAGAAACCAAAGATGCAAGCTATGTTTTGGTGGTAATGCATAAAAGAGAAGATGAAGTTGAATGATTAAAGCTTTTGTTTCTCTGCATTTCTCTTTCAAAAGGGAAAAAAAACTTAAGGAATTAATTGACGTGGGACAAAGTAGTGTTCTTTTAAAGAATGTTCCAGGGGACATTTCCAGTTGCAGTTGCCAAGAGGACATTAGGATCAGCCATGTTGCGTGCACTAAAATGACAAAGTGTCAGAAATATTTGGTTTATAGCTTTTCCCTATACTTACTTTCTCTCATCTTCACCCTGATCCTCAAAAAATGTACGTCTGATCATTGCCTTGTATTCGTTAAACTGTTCCTCAACAGCCTTAGCCTTATCCTGAGAGTGCTTTACCAGCTGAAGCAGACTATGTTCAAGCTCTGTGGTAGGCACAATAAATGACAGATCGACTAATTCAATTTGTCAGTATACACTTTGTAATCCACCTTTTTATATGAGTGTGTGTATATTACCTGATTCAGGGTTGAATTTACGTACTGGGTTACCCTTTGCCTTCTCTTCTTCCTCTTCAATAATCTCAAGTTCTTCAAATGCTATTTTTATATCAAGTTAGGTATATAATTCACAAACTCTAATATTATACATTACCATGAAGAAGAGCATCATCTTCAAGAACAGGCTGCAAAAGAGTATCGTCTTCCCAGAATGTCTCTTTTCCAGTCAGCTTGTACTCTTTTGTGTTTGCAAGTTCAGGGTTCTCCTTGACTTGCTTTCTGATGTAGTTGAGCATACGAATGCACTTGTAAAAATCAAGGTCTGTCATCCAGAAATACCACGGTCAGCCCATTTCTCTCTCTCTCTTTCTTTTTATTTTTAACCGTATACGTATGGCTTCTGTTTACCGAGTGCTCGCTTCACTGCCAAAAAGTCAAAACCGTGCTCCTTGCAATGACCAAAAGCTTCCTCGGGAATTTCGAAAACCTTGGTACAGAACAAACATTTGGCCTCTTCATTGAATTCATCATCGTTCTCCCAGTCCTCCCAAGTCTCCTCTTCATTTTTATATAATTATTAAAACTATATTATTAGTCTTACCGAACCCATAATAGTAATTGCTAGCTTTTTATAAATCCTTACCTTTAGGGTCAATCTCAGAAGCCGAGTACTCCGAAGCAGCATACAAAGAGCTGTTGCCATGGCCAGCCAGCCGGCTTACGGGATTGCTCTGTGAATGGGCCATTTCGATGAGAATTTTATGTATAGAACAAGTGTTAAAAAATTATGAAGTCCCTTATTTTATCCTACGGCAAAATTATAGGGTCCCTTTTCGAGCTTTTTTTTTTGCAGGACAACTTCAAGGTAAAATAGTCACCTGGAAGCCACTTGTCCTTCTTTTGGGTAAAGAGGGGATAAAGTTGCCAAAAAAGAAAGTACAACCTGATTAAGTGTACGCGCTCTATCTAAGTCTCTCAGTTTTAATCGTCATGAGTTCTAGAGATGCTATCGCAAAGTCATTTGAACTTAACGATGGAGAGCATTCTTCAGTTATAGATGAATGTAAGGTGTCCTCTAATTGGATGCCATGCATGGCTGATCTGTCTTCTTTTTTTTTTCATTTATAGTACACTCTTTGTGTAGAATATATAATTTGAATGCAGAGGATCTTAAGTTTAAATGGGAGGCTTTCTCTATCAACATGGGAAGCATTGTGGCTCCAACTGTTGGACTTGTTCGCCAATTAAAGTCGAGTCTCCAATTCGAATTTCAACAGAAACTTCAGACAAAATCAAGATCAGAACCGTCTAATCAGGCACCAAAGTACGGAGGGATTGCATTTAGCATTCCCATGGAAGAAGATACTGGAGCTGATATTCTTGGTGCCTTGTGAGTGAGAAAATCCTATGCTCGAATACAAGGACTTTTTTTTTCTAAACTGTTATAACAAAACAAAAAACAAAAAAGTATGTCAAATTGGTCAGGGTCTTCAGCAAAGTCAAACTTAAAGAAGCAACAAGAAGCATTGGCTCCCTCATCTATTCTATTGAAACAGCAGTAAGATATCATAATTTAATCTTCCGGAACACTCTATTGAAGACCCGTTCAAGATCAAAGGCATCTGCGGAACTCGACAATCGCATAGGGGCAAATATTGTAGACAGCCAGTTCAATGGACACTTGGATCTTCCAAAGCAGCGGCCAAATACTAGTGCTAATACCACAGTTCGTATTCTACAGCCACCTATCCCGAAATATCGATACATGTTTGAAAAGATCAGTGAAAAGTCAGAAGGTAATGATAAATATGATATCAGTGGCTTTTCTTTATGAGTATTAACTGTGCCTTGCTTTAGGGCTTGATGAACAAATTGAGTTTATTGGAGATGTGATTGGAAAGCATTATAATGTAGAAACGTATGCTAATCCATTAAAAGCAAGCCAGGTAATCATTATTTGTGTGTGTGTGTGTGTGTGTGTTTTTTTTTTGGGACTCACATTAGTGTTATTTTTTTATAGAGCCAAGTTACTGCTGTAGGCCGTGTCTGTTGTGATTCTTCAGGTGTAAAGCTCAACAAGACATCAGTTGTATTGGAGACAACTCGTGAACTTGGTATGGGAAAGCGAGTGAAGTTAGATTTGAAAAATGTTGAAGAGTATTCCTTGTTCCCTGGACAGGTAATAATTTTAGCCTTTGAATAATGAAATGGTTTTATTGATCTGATACTTTTTTAGATTGTTGCTGTCCGAGGAACCAACAATACCGGAAAGGCATTTACAGTCGATAGTATCATTACAGTAAGATATTATTATATAGTTGGATAGACTAGATCTAATGCCACCTTTTTAGCCACCTTTGCCTCCTGTTCTTCCTAGAAAAGAAAAAGAAATTTACAAATACTCTATGGAGAGTGGTGCTGATAACCAACCAGTCGATATTGTGGTTACTAGCGGACCATATACACTTGATGATGATTTATCCTACAAGACATTGGGAGCATTTATCCAAACATGCATTGCTCAAAAACCTGATGTGGTTATTTTGGTACGTATTATTAATAATAAATCTTCTGCTGCTAATACTTTCTTTAGATGGGTCCATTTGTACCTGAAAGTCATCCTATTATAGCCAGTGGCGCTCTAGATGTCACTCCCCAAGATGTCTTCCGTGAGCAAGTGGCTAAACGCATTAATAACCTTTCAACTGCCAGTCCATCTACTCAAATCCTATTGATGCCTCACGCTGATGATCTAATCCACGAATATCCACTTTTTCCCCAGCCCCAATTGAACAAAGACGGACTAGGTTTAGGAAATGTCCAGACTTTGAGCAATCCTTCTTTAATTGAAATCAATGGCAGTCGATTTGCGATAGGTAACATTGACATTCTCTTTAGTATGAGCAAAGAGGAAATATTTGGGTAAGTAAACAAGTTGTGTTACCAGTATTGGCTTTATTCTGATGTCAGGCTGCTTTAGAACCATTCCCCACCAGGATCGTCTCGGTCGATTAACTCGACACGTTCTGGAGCAACGAAGGTAACACAGATTCTCCTGAATAACAGAAACAGCGTTTCTGACTATAAATACTATTATTTCTTTTAGCTTTTATCCACTTTTCCCATCTGCAATCCATGACAGTATTGATTCAAGCCGTTTCCCCGACCTCCTAATCTCCGAGTCTCCAGACTTCTTGATTCTGCCATCACAATTGAAACAATTCACAAAAAAAATTGATGATGTGATTGCTATAAACCCTGGATATTTATCAAAGCGACGTACACCGGGTACCTATGCACGTATACTGATCCACCCTGCTACAGAATTGAACAATAATATCGATGGTCAAACAAAGACGTGGGAACGTACACGTATAGATCTGGTTCGATTATAAGAAACTGTACAAATAACAGAAGCCTGAATGGCGGTATATCCGTGACTCAAAATTAAAATCAAATCAAATCAAATCAAATATAGCCTTTATTTTTAATTTTACATATATATATATATATTATAATTTACTGTTTTGGCTTTATTATGGTTATGTACAATTCTGTTTTATTTCTAACTTGGTTTTGCAGGAATGAATGATATGCTATTGCTAAGAATTGTAGAGACAATAAGATGCTCTCTGCAAAAGATAGATGGATTAATATATGATAATATGAAGAATGTCAAACTTGTGCGATCTCAAATGACATCGGCACAAGTCCGCACATGTAGATTAAGTATGCAAGTATGGGTGTAAGATAAATAAATGGGCGAACGTTGCGAATATAACAGAGAGATTAGCGACGGCATGTTGTAGATTCGATAGCTGATGAGGCAGCAGCATCAGCCACCTCAATCATAACAGTATCTTGGGAAGTTTTAACGTCCTCGGCGGATGCACCCGTAATAATTCCATCTTCTTGTATAGCCGACGCATTTTCTTGCGACATGGTCTTTTCGAATACTTTGGTCTCGCCAACTTTACGAGATCTTATAAAGTTTGAGGCAATAAAGCCAACACCGCACATCGGGGTTGTGACATACCAAATCAAACGAAGAGCCTTCACATACACTCCGAGTGTGGCAGCAAGGTGCTCAGCAGGAAGACCATGTCGAACGTATTCGGAAGAAGCAATTATTAAGCCTACGTACTCTTGAGGGATTTTTCCAGGGAGATCTTGTGTGAGGGAAGAGTTGAGGACAGCAGATGATATAGCGACTCCCAATGCTCCACCGAGGATTCTGGAGAAATTGCCAAGGCCAGTAACAACAGCTATAAATTATGTTTGTTAGCCTACAGGTTTAAAGTAAAAAAAAAGAAAAAAAGAAACATTGCGCCTATATTACCGATATCACGAGCTTCGACAGATGCCTGAAGACCAATGATTGTAGAAGAGAAAAGTAATCCAAGACCTGAACACAAGTTAGTTTGTGAGATATTATGTTATACAGCTTTTTTTTTGGATTCGTACCTCCACCACCAATAACAGTGAAACCATAGATTTCTAATTATGTAAAGTTGTGTAAGAGACTTTTGTTTTTCACTTGAAGTTCATGTCAAGCTTACTTGAGAATCCAGTGTTTTCATCGAACAGACTCAAGAGACCAACAGACAAGGTCAAGAGTGCCATTCCAACAATAATCCTGAATATTAATTATAAATGGATAGTTAGTATTTCTTTTTATAAAAGAAAAGTATAATCTAAAATACTCACAAAGGTTTGTAGATGTTTGTTTTTGAAATGAAAGCACCAGCCATGGTTGCACCAACGCAAACTACCATCTGCATTGGAATAAGGCGAATACCAGACCACATTGCGGAATCAGCACGTACAACTTGGAAGTAGATGGGGAGATAATAGACCATACTGTAGAATGTGATGCCAAAAAACCAGTTGGTAATCAGAATACTAAGAACAGTTCTGTTCTTGAAGAGACGAGGAGGCATCAAAGGTTCTTTAGAGAATTTACTCTCAACTACTGCCAATAATCCAACCAAAATGGCAGTTAAGACAAGAGGTACGATGACAGCAGCTGATTTCCATGGAAAGGTCTGCCCACCAAAGTTCATTGCGAGCAAGAACAGGGTTGCAAAGGCCAATACAATAACTGTGCCAACATAGTCTATGCGCTTAAGCTTGTCAGACATGCTGCCTTTTGGTATGTCTGATTTCAGATAATACATCAATACAGCAAGAGCCAAAGCACCAATTGGTAAGCTAATTTTAAGCAAATTTTAATATTAGAAATTTTTCTTTCTCTCTCTCTAGGTATGAAGGACTTACTTGATGTAAAAGTTCCACCTCCATGTAACATAGTCAGTGAAACTTCCCTGTAAAATGTAAACAAATATGTGTTTTAGAAACTGAGGGGGTTGGTACAAATTTCCTATGACACTCTGTCACATAATTGGCCAACTTACACCAATGAGAGGTCCAAATACACTGGAAAGGGCGAATACTGCGTTAATGAGGCTAGATGTCGTGAGAAAATCGTACAAAGATGATGTTAGATTATAGTTTGTCAACGGTCAGAAATGGGTTAAATTAATCCAAAGAAATATTTTACAATAAAAAGATAGTATTTACCCTTGGTAACTTCCACGTTGCTCAAGAGGTACCAAATCAGTAATAATCACAAAGACCTAAACGGACAAACAAAAAAAGTTTTCATTATTATTTTGATTCTTTTCTGCTTATAAGTTTTCACGTATTTATGTCTTGCCATTGAGAAGATTCCGGCACCACCAATACCCGCAATTGCTCGTGAAACAATTAACATAATCATACTCTAAAAAACATCAAATCAATATATCAACAAATTGATATTCCATGAAAGGAAATTAGCCGATAGACTAAAGAAATATATTCCTTGTAAGCCAACCTGGGCAGCACCACAAAGAACTGATCCAATTAAGAAAACAACGATTCCAAATATCATGATCCATTTGCGACCAAAGATGTCGGAGAATTTGGAAAAGAGAGGCTCTGAAATACACAAAGATTGATCAGAACATGCCAAATGAAGAGGGTGTACTACATACGGAAGGCATCAAAGGTAAGGATATAGGCAGTTGCAACCCAAGAAACAATTGCCATTTGGTTAAAGTCAGATCCAATTCGAGGTAATGCTGTAGATACAATAGTTCTAAAAGTAAAATTGAAGTCAATTGTCAAATTCTGGGTTTGTTATAGAGAATAGATCAATTCACTAAATATATACTTGCCCATCCAAGGCTGCCAAGAACAAAGCAAGCTGTAGACCGAGGAAAATCAAGATTCGTTGGATTTTAATTTGTTTTGCGAGTTTTCTATCTAAGGTCTCTACAATTGATATTTCGTCCACTTTTTCAACAGGATCAAGTTTATCAACGTTGTTAGATGCTGGGCTGACATCGGTTTCTGTGGCAGTATCTGACAAAGCCACTGATAGAGGTCGGTCCGTGTGGGTAGGAACTTGAGGTTCTGTCGACATCTCAAGAACAGTGTACAATAAGGTACGAGGAAAGAATGGGATCAACAATGTAAACCTTTACTTGAAAACAAAAAAAAAACTTTCATTTATACCAGATCTTGAAGTTTTTTTTTCTTTCTCCTCTTCAGACTCCAAAAGTATATCTTTTTTATCATTGGTCTAATTTTTTTCGGATTTTCGCTCATCACCGACCACTCGGTGAATGTATATTTTTTAACCAAAAAAAAAAGCTATATAAATTCTCTAGTACAATGTTTTCCCGGTCATAAATTTATGTATATTCGTATATATACTACTTTGTCACATAAAGCATTTCTCCGTTCAAGTCACATTAGGGCTATTAAGGTATTTTGGTACCGTTTGTAAAATATATTTGTAAATGTATTAAACAGCTCTCAATGCTTTTAATGTTATAAAGCTTATGTATATTTTTTAGAGGAATAGAAAACTGTGGATCAGCAGTGATTTTAACAACCATTTATAGCGCTAAAAAAATAGCTGATTTTGTGTCACAAAGTGGGGTTCTAACTGTGTTTTTTGTTTTTTTGACTCAATGGTAAAACTCAAAGATATCACTGTAGGAAATGGCAAAATTTAAAATCCCGGCCTGGTCAAAAGGGGTACCTACTTATTTCCTTGCGCGCCGAGTTTAAATTACTTGGGGGGTCTACTTTTTTATGTCGCAAGGGGCTTTAAATTATAAGGATGTGTAGAAGCAGTGATAGCTTTTACTTTTGTTGTTTCTTTTGGAATCTTAATGTTTTTTTTTACATTTTTTTCTCTTTATCAAAACATATTATTATAGAACATAATTGTAATTTTTTATTATCTTTGTGTATTAAGATTTCTAAAGCGGGAAAAATTTACATTTCTAAGAGTGTCTATACGATTCATTGCTTCCCCAAGTAAACCACTAATCACTTGTAATTCGGCTTCATCAATTCCTGGAACATCCATCAACTGCTCTAAGTCTTCTCTTTGATGATGAAGTGTTGTATTCTGGGCCATGATTCTTTGCAACCAAACAGAATTGTTTCTACCACTTACAACAACTGTGTTTGTTTCATTTTCAACTTCCTCATTAACAACTGCCACTTCATGCTCGGATGCAAGCGATCTTTGCAGTTGGAGGTGGTTGTTTTCCCTTTGAACTGTATACGCAAAGTCTAGACCAATAAATCTCTTTAGGAGATGTGCGTGTTTACAGGGAATTTGACGTGAAGCAAAATTGGGACAAGTGCAATTTTGTATCAAATTGTTTGATACATTAACCTGATACCATTGTGCTTCACCTGTAAATGACTTTACTGTCCACTTGCCGTTAGAGTCTTCCATGCTATTGCCAATCTCATTAAGAGGATTAATGATCATGAAAGGGAGCATGTCATCTTGTATGGTATTGGCAGAAAAAGAGTGTCGAGCAAGTTCATTTTCAATCGGACCCATTCGTCCATTTTGTATGTGGATTCGTTCCACTTCTTCGTCGTAAAAGAACTCCACATCGTTTGTCAAAATAAAGACAAGACGGTCCAATCGTCTTATGCGAGTACGGCCAAAGTATATTGTTTTCAATTGGTTGTGCCACGATTCGATGTAATTGTTTGTCAAATATCTTTGGTGGTCATTTGCAACATATGGCCTTCCCCATCTTCTCAACAATTCTTCTGTTCCAATCCATTTACGTTCGAAATAAGCCAGGAATTGTTGCTGACTTTGTACACGAAGCCTAAACTCCTGGATTTTTCTCAAAAATTCATCCTCATCTGATTCAATAAGTATATTTTTGAGATCGGCCTTGAGCTCATACTTGTATTTGCCAAGTTGTTCTGATGTGTATGAAGCATCAAGCTTTACTTTGCTGTCTAAATTATGCTGCCAGGCACGCAAAACATGAAACTCGCAGAAATGGATGATGGTCTGTGGCAATGCTGCTGTAATTGCATTAACTTCAGCAATACTACAATCGATGGTAATATATAAGGGAGTGAAACAGCTTTTCTCGCGAAGATGTACAAGCCATTGATTAATGGGGCCAACACTATGATCGTTTGTAATCATGTATGCAACAGGAGACCCTTTTCCAGTATCAGGATGACGAATAACAAGCGAGTATAATATTTCAATGTTGCGTGCAGAGATGTTGTGTGTTGCATCAAGACAAAACGACTGGGAAATTCTCATAAGCATCATTTGAGATGGTGATTGAAATCCAAACGCAAAATGCTGTGCATTGTTGCTGTATGCAGAAAGATCGCCAGTAAAGATACAGTAGTTCTGTGATGGTAACTTCTCACGCATCCAAATATCCAGAGACTTATTTTCATCAGGGTGAAACTTATACAGTAAATTCTTCATCTATATTTTTTATTTAACACTTTTTAAATAACTTCTCTCTTATAGTATTATTCACACACCTTTCTCATTCTGTTATAGATGTCTTCATAATTGGGCTTTCTAATGCCTACGCCCCACTCTTCAATTTGTTTCAAAACTGAAATTCTAGTATTTCTACAAGTGCTGCCCCCTTTTAACTGATCTTCAATAATTTTGATGGCCTCAGAAGGTAAAGGCAATGTTCTAATTTCAGAAGCGTCGCCAGGAACATGGTTGGTATGATCGTTGGTCATACAAATTAAAACTACTTCAGGGTTGTTGACGTATTGCTTGATGAAAATAGTGGCTTCGCAATAACAAAGCTTAGTGTCTTTCTGAGCAAGACGAACATTTCTGTCTGATATATAAAATCCTGCTCGGTGACATTTTTTTGTCTCTCCATACATCAATTCTCTTGCACGAAGTTTTCTACATTTATTCCACTTTTTGAACAAAGTGATTGAATGCGGTCAAGGCATTGCTCCCATTCACTTGCTTTTACTTTTACTACAACATCCAAAGGAAGCATTTTTATTCCTTCTGTAGGTGAGTTGACTAAAGCATTCTGCACATTTGAAAGGTTGAATATAGTGTTGGACATTGGTGAGCTCGTATTATGATAGTATATGTAATTAAAATAAAGAGGAGAGAAGAAAAAAAAAACATAGCAAAAAAAATGTTTTAACAAAAGCCACCTTGCAAAATCTCTATATGGAAAAGCCACATCCTTATAATTTAAAGCCCCTTGCGACATAAAAAAGTAGACCGCCAAGTAATTTAAACTCGGCGCGCAAGGAAATAAGTAGGTACAGGAAATAAGTAGGTACTATCCAACCACAAAAGAATGTTTGGACCTCCGCGAATAAATTTCTCATGCCAAAAAACATGACCTATATTCAACATGCAACTACTTGTCAATAAGTATAGTTAAGAGCTTCAAACTTCGAATACAAAAATATATACACGTTTATTATTGAATTGTCAAAAAAATTAGAGGTTTAATAGTGAGTATGACCACCTTTGGCGTCAATTACTACCTGGCATCGGGAGGACATACTTCCCACCAACTGTGAAGCAAGTTTGAGGTCTATGTTCTCCCACTCTCGCTGAATTGCAATCTTCAACTCATTCACGTTTTGTATACTGGCTCGTACTTTACTCAATTTGACCTCAAGAGCCCACCAAACATGCTCTATTGGGCTTAGATCTGGACTTTGAGCAGGCCAGTACTCAAAGCCCTTAATTTCGTGGGTCTCTTTCCACCACTTCGCATAGGCCCCAGTATGGCAGCTAGCACCATCTTCTTGGAGCTTGAAATATTTCTGATGTTGCTCTGATAGATTTTTAACCCAGGGTACAAATTTCTGAGACAGAGTGTCGACATATACTTCTTGGTTTACATTGCCTTCAAGTAACGCCAAGGGTCCAAAACCACCAGTCCAGAAATAGCTCCAGATCATGACGCTACCTTTACCCCACTTCGTTCCTTGGATAATATGATCTTCTGAATACCTTTCGTTAACTTTCTAATCACTCTGGCACCTCCATCGTTACCCTAAACTGTAAATCTAGACTCATCATACCAAACTATGCTACTCCATTGGTCATCTGTCCAATTGACATGATCCTTCGCCCATTGCAGTCGTGTCTTGTGTCTTTCTGTCAAAGCTGGCTTATGAGCTGCAATATAAGAACCAAAGCCAAGATTCCTGAGGGAGCTGATTACTGTAGCTCTGCAGACAAAGATCTCCGTCTCTCTCGATGCCAATCTCAGCTGATCATAGTTGGCGAATGGGTCCTTACGAACAATCTACTCAAGGTGCCTTTATGTCCTCTCGTTAACTATTTTAAGTCGTCCAGAGCTCTTTCCAGGCAAGGGTGAGGCTGTCTTCTGGAATCTCTTAATGATCTTCTTCACAATTGACAGCTTCATCTGGATTATGGCTGAGATCTTGGTTGGACCAATTTCAGCCAAATGCAAGTACATGATGCCACCATATTTCAAGTAATCAGCTTTATAATAAGAACCATGCTTGGTTTTTGATGAAGATGAGGTTTTCATTGTGGGTTCGATTAGTAGAATAAAGAGAAAATAAGATTTTAATTTTAAAAAATATCACTTTTTCTTGCGATTTTTGGGAGGTCCAAACATTCTTTTGTCGGAGTGTATATATTTTAATTTAAAATGTAATTTTTTATGGTAAATAAAGGGTAATGCAGTGAGTATAATGGCCTTCTAGGACAAGTATTACAGCTTCGCCTTGATAAAAGTCTTCTTTTCTTCGTTTGCCAAATCCCTCAAGACACGTCTAAGAATTTTACCCGATGCACTCTTGGGGATTTCTGCAATAAATACGATGCTGCGTAATTGTTTGTATGCGACAACCTTGTCTGCCACATGTTTCATAATAATGTTTTCAGTCTCGACACTTGGAGCAGTACCCTCCTTCAAGACGACATAAGCTCTTGGAATCTCTGTTGCCTGTTCGTCATCATAAACGCCAATAACTGCACAATCCATAACAATAGGAGATGTAAGCTAGTAAAGATAGAGTGTCAGAAAGATACATAATAAATCTGGCAGTCTAAACAAGATATTTACCAAGTATGCTTCAAGTTCTGCTGGTGGAACCTAAATTGGTTTAAAATAAGATTAGATATTTAATAATATAAAAAAAAATATGCATGTATTTACCTGGAAACCTTTGTACTTGATCAACTCTTTGATACGATCCACAATATAGACATTTCCTTCGGAGTCCATTTCAACTACATCTCCAGTGTGAAAATATCCTTCGGAATCAATACAATCAGCCGTAGCTTCTGGGTTGTTGAGGTAACCCTGTAAATCGTATTGTAAGCATACCTGTTTTTTATTATATGACCACCTTAATATATATCTACCTTCATGACATTTGGTCCCTTGAGCCATAATTCACCACGTTCGGTAGGGCCAACCTCTAATAATTTATAATCCAATGTTAACATATAACTTATTTCAACTCTATGCTTATGTCTGTCTCTAATTACCTTTGCCATCCTCATCCACAATCTTGGCCACCATGTTTGACACAATTTTTCCTGTACTGCCTTTGTAAAAAGAATATGATCCCACACAAATTTGTGTTCCAGAAAAAAATAGTAAGCACGTGTAACTTAACTCTCAAAGATATCTTACCAGCAATTGCCTTTGAAGTACGTTCTAAAATAGAAACAGGAGATGTTTCTGTCAAACCATAGCCCTGCTTAACCACAGTTGTCTTTAAACGAGCTGTAGCTGCCTGACTGAGTTCTGCACTCAAAGGGGCGGCGCCACTGATGATGAGTCTCAAAGTGGATAAATCATATTGATCAATAATTTGATGTTTGGCAAGCAATAAAATAATTGGAGGTACAAGGCATGCCATTGTGATATTTTCATTTTGAACTGTTTCGCAAAAGGCAATCAAGTCAAAGCGTGGCATTACAAAGAGAGGAATACCCAAGCTGAAGCATGAGAAAAGAACTACGGTCAGACCAAAGATATGGAAGAACGGAAGGATTCCGAGGGCGCGGTCAATACTGGGATTGATTTCCTCTCGTTCAGAGGCATAGTACTGCTCCATGTTGGATGTAATGTTTGTATGGCTAATGAAGGCGTGCATTAGATAAACAGTAGCCAACGTAACCAATATATCTTTAACTTACGTAGTCATAACACCCTTGCTTTTACCTAACCAAAAACACCACGAGTTAGATAATAAATCCCAATAATTTATAAAGAAAGAAATAAAATCATACCAGAGGTTCCTGACGAGAAACACAGAATTGCTACACTTTCAGCTGCCTCTTTCTCGGTGTAATCAACTGGAATAGCCAAGCGATCGCCCAATAGAGCACTGTAAGGTAAAACTCCATTGATAGTATCGTCGCCAAATACAAATATACGGTTTGCTGGGAGACCTACAACCTTTGCAGCCTCAAGTGCAGTCTTGATATTTTCCGAGTGAGCAACAAGAATCTTTGCCTTTGTCATTTCAAGCTGGTACACAAGTTCGCCGGTGTTGTAGTTTGGGTTTGCAGGGGATGCGGCACCACCTATATGGCTGGTTAAATACAATTGTGTAATGGTATCGCTGTAAAAGTTTACCTGCAGCAATTGCTCCTAACAAAGGAATAGCATAATCATACTAATAGTTTTTGGGCTAGTTGTTAAATACATTTTCATTTTATTTTATTCACTTCATTTACATACCTGATTTGGAGCGTAAATAAGGATGACATCGTCTTTTTTGAAATCGCAATCGTCTTGCAGGCCAGCCGCGAACCGCAAAACGTCTCTCTTAATTTGGTGCAATGTCAAGGTCTTTTTGGTTGCAACATCGATAGAAAGGATTTTGTTTTGAGGGGTATTGAATTTTCTGCCTTCGAACAGATACTGGACAAGGCCGGTCTTGGGAACCTTGATGGGTGGAAGTCTAGAATTAATAGGCATTTTTTTTTGGTCTGTTCTTAATGTGGGGAAAGAGCAGGAACAAGAAACTGGCGCAAATTAATTCAGGTCCATATTTTTTTTATAGGTTTCTGGATTTCCCAGACAATTTTTAACATTGTACACATTACGGCCAATCAACATTTTTGCTGATATAGCAATGTTAATTCGGAAAAACCATTAAAACTCCCGTGATGTTCTTATTTAGGAATCTGGGTTGGACTAGCTGAGCAGTCCTAAGAGCTATACAGATTCAAGCTTTGGCTGGAAATGCATCAACAATGATGACTAAATTATACAAATGCCGATGGATGGCTTGTGATGATCAATTTGCAGAGCCCGAGGGACTTTACTCGCATTTAACAAATGATCATGTTGGGCGAAAATCGACTGGGAATCTATGTTTGACATGCTGCTGGGAGAATTGTGATGTTTCTGTAATTAAACGAGATCACATCACTAGCCATATTCGAGTTCACATTCCACTGAAGCCTCACCGCTGCACTGTGAGTGGATAACTGTTAAGCGATAAACTATTTTTCTTCCTTTTTTGATGTCAGTCATGCCGTTTAGTTTTGCGAAAGGACATTTAAGCGGCCGCAGGACCTAAAGAAGCATGAACGGACTCATACAGACGAACACCAGTCATCCCCTGAATACCAAAAACATTTATCCGAAAGTCTTTCCCCACGGGCAGTGCCAACTATTCAATACTCTGACTTACCTGTTGAAATTTCCTCGATATCCACCTCGGTCGTACCAGAGCGCAGACATTTTATACCCTCATGTAGTACACATTCGAAAGGTAAGAATAAAAAGTGCTGATTTATTTAATAAGAAGTCCCTTAGAAGGCACATAAGGCTAAATCTGATTTTTAATGGTCACTTAGACACTTCTTCTAGAAAACGAGATGCCCAAACAAGCCTTGGCATTCACCCATACAGAGAACGTACTTTGTCTTATTCGCATCCACAGCCACGGAGTCCAAAGATCGGTGCCAATCTCAGTGACAGTGACAAAACCAGATCTAGCCCAAATAAAAGAACAACTGACCATAGCGATATATCTACACCCGAGAAGATGATACATAAATTACTATTCCCTACCCCCCAAACGGGATACAATCAAGGTAGGAACAAGATACAATCTGACAAAAACAATTGATATTTTGAACATGTGGGTATGTTGGGCAGAGGTTGCAGATCATCTGGACATTATACAGTCAATGTTAGACGATGGGACCTTCTCACCTCGAAACATGACAGTTAATATCACAAGCGAAGAGCAACTTTCGGATGTGAATGTTTGGCTTCAGCAGCTGTCAGATGAAATACAAACCAACCCCCACAAACGAAAACCCCCCGCATTCGAAACTTCCCATCGACAATCTCATCAAATCCGTTCATCTCTCTCTATACCAAACAATACGTCAAAGCATGTACATGTACGCACCGCAAAAGGAGATGGATTTATTTACTCTAATTCCCAGCCACCAGATACTGTGCCAATGGATCTCGACATAGGATTATCCTCTCCTGTCTATGATGGTTCAAACACATATGTCACACCAGCACAAGGAGTAAGAAACCCTGCAAACGATACCCACATGATGGAATCCACCAATGCTGGATCTGGAAAGCACTCGAATGTTGCGTCAGACCTTTCAATGAATCCATTTATGCCTGCTGTACACAATTTCATAAACCCTTCAAATGGTAGAAACGGAGGCAGAAACCTACCCGAACCTAGACTCCATCCACCCCTTGCTTCTATGCAAGCTGAGCCAAAACAAAAGATGGATCCATCAAGTAATGACAAGATGAACATTGCATATCTTATTAACGTGTTCGCAACTTTTGGAGAACCAATAGTCAAACAAGAAGATCGGCAACCTTCTGGCCTAAGAAAAGAGCAAAAACCTTGTCGATTGAATAGGGCACTTTCTCCTGTAAATACAGACGCCCTAGAGTTACTGACAAACGATCTATCTGACCTCACTGTCAACAAAGCCAATGTTGATCAAAAAGTATCAACAATAGGAGAAAATACTTTAAATAGTTGCCAAGGGAATGACAAGAAGCAACATCTTGTACTAGAAAAGCACTTGAGGTTAATACAAGACATCAGAAGTTGGATAAATCAAGGCTATATTCATAAACAGCATACCTCTCCACTCATACCTCTACGGCCACTCAAATCTGTTTAATATATGTATATACATATATCTTTTAATAAACAGTAGTCTGATTTACCTGATTTTCCGGTTAATTTATCCGTGTTTTCTTTTGGAGCTTCTCAACAAGAAAACAAATTCTTAAAAAAAAAGACAATATGTGTCGCTCAGAAAGTTCCTTTGTGCAGAACTTAGATGACTAGTATGGCCAAGGTCTATACTCTAATCTTATAGGGATTGCATATTATTGGATGTAAATTACAATTTATCACATCTCAATTATGAAGGGATAACATCTTTAAGGATGATTTGTTTAATGGTTCAAAATACGATGTATTCCCATGTGAAGAATAAACCAACCCCTATCTATAAGAAGGATTCATTAATTTACTTCTTTTCATTCAATTGCTTCTTTCAAGTAAACCATTCTTTTTTGTTGTTTTTTTTGTTGTTGCTTGCTATAGAAAATGTTTCCAGGTTTGTTTGATTATATATAATTCCTCAGTACTATCCCCATAAAATAAATATATAAATATATATTATTAATCGCATCTGTTAATATAGAATATATATCTGCTGCTACAGCTGGAGTGGTCTTTGGTGGGATGTATTTGGATTCAATTACTTCATTTACACGCGATTGGCATCAAATTAAAATAATTTTGACTTCTTTGATCAAGTACGCCTGTCATAAGAGAAGGGGCGGGAGAGAGCGATAAATGAAGTTTTAAAGAAGAAGAAGAAAAGGAGTTACTCAATATACGTTGTTACTACTCCTTAGACATCATATTTGGGCATCACAGGATAAGATCAATATCTATAATCGCTTTCGAGACATTGCAAAAGACTATCCAGAGAGATACTTTGTCATATTTGAAGGGAAGCCGTACACTTTCAGAGACATCGAGAGAGGTAGCTTACTATCAAAAAACAAATAGTATTTGATGTCTTACTAATTTTATGATGTTCTTACCTTGTTTGAATTTTATAGGTTCAAACCAGCTTGTGAGTATAACTTGAATTCAGGGGGCTCGTTGCAAGGGATTCATTATCTTTATCATTTTTTTAATAATATGCACAGGCACGCTGGCTTCTGACGCAAGATGTGAAAATCAAAGGTAGGGAAAGTGTAGCTGCGCTTACTGTTCGAAATTAACTAAAAGTCGTTGAGCTTAGATACTGTCTGCATGATGCACCAGAACCATCCAACATTCTACATTATCCTCTTTGCTATTCTTAAAATTGGTGCTATCCCAGCAATGATTAATACTAGTTTAACCAATACAAGCCTGACTCATGTCATCAAGATAGCACAAACCAAGGTCTTTGTCTTTGATCCGTGCTATATCGAGAGCGTCAATGCTGTTGAGGGTGAACTCAGAAACCTTGGGATCTCTTTATTTGCCTATGGTGAAGCAACCGAAAATTCAAATATCGACCCCCTTCCATTTGCCCCTGCTGTCACCCCGCAATTTCTCACAGAGTTTACAGACAGAAATCTGAGCGACCACTTCACAAAGGGTATAATTAGCTCTGATCCTGCTTTACTCGTTTACACAAGTGGTACAACTGGTCTTCCAAAGGCGGCTATTATGGAGCACGCAAGGATGAATTTTGCTATGGATTTCTATGGCACAGTAGCTGAAATTACTATCGGATCTCGGCTGTACTGTGTTTTGCCTCTTTATCATGGATCAGGAATCCTTTTTTCAACATTTGCAACCATGGTACGCGGAGGCACTGTTGTACTTGGGCGTAAATTTTCAGCAAAACGGTTCTGGGACGATTGTGTAGAGAATGAAGTGACAGCATTTAGTTATATCGGCGAATTCTGCAGATACTTATTGAGTCAGCCTGTTCACCCGATGGAAAATAAGCATAAAATAAAAGCAATAGTAGGAAATGGAATGCGACCTGAGATTTGGGATCGGTTCAGGGAAAGGTAAGGCTGAAACCAGATATTTTAAATATTTGTATTTTCTGGAATACGTTTATCTCATTAGGATGATTTAGGTTTGGAATTACGACCATTTTAGAGCTTTATTCAGCAAGTGAAGGTATCTTTTCGATTTTTGGTTTTCTAAGCACAGTTATATTTGTATTTACATACACACGCACGTATAAACTTAAATTTATATAGCTCCTACTTCACTGATGAATGTGAATAAAAATGATTTTGGTGCTGGAGCAGTTGGTCATCGTGGGTCTCTCTTCCGTACTCTCCGTGGAGACATTAAGATTATAGAAGTTGATCCATCTACGGAAGAACCCGTCAGAACTAAAGATGGACTTTGTAAAATTGTAAGTATACTAGTGTGCATCCTGCTGGTTTGTTTGCCTTTTTGTTTGTGAGCTTATTATCTTCATAAAAAATTAGTGCAAGCCAGGCCAATACGGAGAGCTTGTCGTATTTGTTAACAAGAATGCAATTATGCAATTCCGTGGGTACTACAAAAACGAAGAAGCAACCACAAAGAAGGTTATGCACGATGTTTTGAAAAAGGGTGATAGGTTTGTCTTTTCTCGATATAATACTTTACGTTTCTAACACCTTTATATATATAGCTACTTTCGAAGTGGCGATCTTTTAAAGATGGATCGTTACGGTTTCTTCTACTTTGCCGATAGATTAGGAGACACTTTTAGATGGAAAGGCGAGAATGTCGCGACGACTGAAGTAACTCATGTCATAAGCCAATTTGCTGACATAGAAGAATCCAATGTTTATGGTGTAGAAGTACCTTCTCATGATGGCAGGGCTGGTATGGTTGCTATTGTTACCAAAGAGGGCCATTCGATAGACTTTACCCAGCTTCACAACTACTTGACCAAAAATCTGCCAAAATATGCCATCCCAATATTTATACGCATACTGCCGACCATGCAAATGACAGAAACTTTCAAGCAACTAAAGACAGTCTACCGATCACAAGGAATTGATCCATCTTTGATACCAAAAAATGAACCCGTCTACTGGCTTAAGAATGGTACCTACGTTCCATTTACAGACAAGGATTGGCATATATTAAACAATGGAAATGCCAAACTCTGAATTTGGTTGCCTTCTGGGCATGTATTATTTTGTCACCATTGATATTATCCTATAGGCTCACCTGACTTTTCTTTCTCTCTTTCGGTCCAATAAGTTAATATATACAATGAATTGATAAAATAAAGTAATCATATATACATATATTCATGAAACCCCATTTTCTTCGAATAATTTGCTCCAGTGAAAGCCACTTTAAATCAACGCGAAACAAGTACCTCTTTGAATGTAGAAAAATTTGTAAAAAAAATGATAGTGTTTTATTTTGGCGGATATTCGCGGCATTTGCTTCATAAAGCTTATAAGGATGAGACAACAGCATGTACAAGCCTTCAATATATTTCCACTCCTCTCTGCTAAAACTAGCGTCTTGATTAATGTCGCACGGGGGGTCCACCACGTCCTCTGAAACCACGTCCTCTACCTCTTGCTTTGTTTTTTTTTAAAACAAAAAAAAATACGTACATACACACAATTAGTATAAACATAAAAAAAGTGAAAAAAACTCTTCTAAGCTTCGTCTTAATCTATCTCTCGTAATTCATTACCTTGAGCACGTGCCACGGTAGCTCTACCTCGACCGAGACCAATACCTCTACCCTTTAGTGCACCAGGACCTACTCGCTTGAACATTGGCGCATTCTTCAACATGTCGGGAACAATAAAGAATCGAACATGCGATCCACGGATATAAACTTGATCCAACTGTGAAACACGACCATCGCGTCCGGTAACGGTAATATCCTTCAACTGGATGTTCATGTTGTCTTCGGCTAATCCACGAACAATCAAATGACGATGTTAATAAAAAAAAATTAAAAAAAAAAGAATATATAAAAAAAAGACAATCCATTTTTGATGTGACATTGTGATGTACCTTCAAGAAGCTGACCACGGTACAGCTGACCAGTCTTAAGTTCTAAAGAAATAATGTGACCTTGTGCCTCATGAAGAAGCTTGATGGGAACGCCGATTGACATGATGTGTAAAATGAGACCTTTCAAGAGAGGATGCCCTTTACTTATTTTGGGGGAGCGAGACAGTCATTCTATTCGGGCAGAGAAAAAGACGTGACATTGAAAAATACGTGACGTGGCATTGATACGACTCTGGTCTAACGAATTTTTTCTTCCTTTCTCTTCTGGATAAGTTCATGTAAGTTTTTATGCGAGAAAGACTAACTCTATGAAATGACCATAGATATAGATAGATAGATAAATAAATCTTATGTAAAGAGAAACAGATTAATAATAAAAAAATGTAGTGTATAGAGATAAATTATTACATATAATTTGTGCGAATTGGTTTTTACTAGCTGATCTAGATTTTAACTGATAAACAGCTTAATTAAAACATACTTTGGAAATATAAACTGTGCAAATTTACTACTCAATATTTGCCATTATTCACAAACCATGCATACAGTGTTCACAGTATTAGTTTGTGCTATAAATATTCTTAATATACGACAAAAGGTGCTCTTCAGCGTACTCAGTAAAAAGTCACAATTCCAAGAAAAAATTATTACCTAAATATAGTAAATTTATTGGAAAAAGTCTTGAATGACTTTCCGAAAAACATGAATTCTACCGTGTAATTTCCCAAGATTTTACACCAATTAAATCATATGTCACTTATCAATTTTTGGAAGTGAAATCTATCACACCAAAAGAAATCAGGGTCCAAATTTGGACAGGTTTTAAGCACTGTCTTGTCGGCGTTTGCTGGGAGCAATATAATTGTCTTATACAGAATACAGTGATTTTGCTACAGAGCGTGTTTTGAATTTCAATTTTTAAAACAAATTTGGAAATAATGGGTTTTGAAATGCAGCAATTTTATTCAGAAAAAATATTTGGGGGGAGGGGGGGGGGGAATTCCACTTTTACTAGGGTGGGAATCAGACTTGGCCAGGCAAGTCACTGTTGAACGGCTACTTAGCTTTCACTTGGCCATCACTTGATACCTACCTAGAGTTTACCTGACTACTTTTAAAGCTATCTAAACTCCATTGAGGCTTACTGATATAATAAATGGACAAGGACACTGGCAAGCTAGTTATATAGACACATATAAAAATTTCCATAGCTAACATAGAAAAATAGCGAGAGTTAGAAGCTGTATTTACACTTATAAGTACTTAATAAAATACCTTTGCTATGAATAAAGATCGATGCTATTTGGTATGGCTTTACTTATCTAAAGCGTAAACTATGTGTTAGTATAAAGTGTTTTAAATTGTGGTAGTATGTTGCTTCTTGTAAAGTTTACCTCGCAATGAAAAGCACTTGATTAAAAGGTTTTTGATTAGTTAACAAGTAGAAAAAGTAATGTATAGTTTAATTTACTTACCTAAACCGATCACAAGCATGATTTAAGCATTATATATAACAGCAAAGTGTTAATCATTGGTCATTACAACTTCTGTTTGATGAGAAAATAAAGAAGGGAAAAAATTAGCCAATAAAAAAGAAAAGAAAAAAATAGAAAAAATACTACACCACGGGAGATTTTTCTAGTGTTACAAATGACTGTTTTGTACGACGGTGGCTCGATTTCCTTTTTTGAATTTACTATTTTTGAAGCTTCACGATTTTAAAAATAGACCAAATTTGAAAAATAGAATGCTGACAAAAAAAAATCTTCGGTTTGAAAAAAATATTTTTATTTTTATTTTGTGGGTTGAAAATACGGGGGTCATAAAATACTAGGCTACCAGTACCAGCCTAGTACTGGCTGCTATTGCAGGGTAGACAGGAGCTGCTGGTACTGGTAGCTATTATTATAAATAAAAAGCTAGCTAGCTACTTCAATACAATTTACAAAATAAAAAAGCTATGGATAGGACCTTTCTATTTCATTGAGCCTGAAGTGTTTCAAACCTATATAGACGACAAGAATGATTAGTGGCTGCAATCTTTAAGAGTTGTTTCCAATAACTTACCTTTGATAATGATGATAATGAATAAACCTAGAGTAAGACATAAATTTGTTTTTGTTAATATTCATATTGTATAGACTACTCTTAATGTCAACACACGTACCTTTATAAGCTTAAAAAATTGTTGGATCTTATACTATTTCGAGATTAAATGTGATTAGTAAATGCCAATTAAAATAAATGATCTTTTATATTGTTTTTTAGATCTTGCTCACTTTGTGAGAAGACCTTTAAAGATCACTGGAATCTTAAAAGACATTTGCAAAGATGCCATAACGGAAACGGTTGCAGATGATATGAGCATAGTCCAGGAGACCGAATATCAAGATATACAGACAAGCAACAGCCCAAAAAATCCGCTTACACCAAGTGAAAGTGTGGAAGAGGAATCAGACGTTGATAATGAATACTACAACAGTATCTTAAATTATGACGAGTGTGAAGAAAGTGATGATGGAAGTAGAGTTGACAATAGTGATTTTGATGTTGAGGAAAACACAGAGCCAAACGCAGGCATTCCTCTGTTTAATCACATCTTGAACAACATGTCTGCTTTCGCCGATAACAACGAATCTTCAATCGATGAAGAGGATGAATTCCAGAGTGAAGTGTTTAACTCTACCGCCTGGAACAGATTTACACCAAATACTCATCCATATAAAGATATCCAGACGATGATTTTGCTCGCACTTGTCGATGGTGATAACGACATGATTTCTCGTAGAATGTTAAAGAAGATATTATTTACCATCAATCTTCTTCTAAAGATCCACGAAGAAGCTATTAGAAAAGATATTTCTTTCAAGTTGCCCCGGCTAGATGCACTCTGGAATTACCAGACACGAAAAGGATCGAACATCCCAATTTTCAAATCGAAAAGTTTAGATGTTACTCTCTCTGACAGCACAAAAGTCACCGCATTCCTTAACTTGCCTTCTGAGCACATCAAACTCCTTGCTGCCGATCCTATAAAGTCAAAATCAATCTTTTCTTTACCTGATCGCACGCCAAACCAATCTGTCTGTCTTCAACAAGGAGAAAAATGGAGAACAAATACATACTTCCAACAGCCCATGTTTACCTACAACAACGTTGATTTCTGGTCTGGTGACATTATTCTGTTAAAAGATTGCTCGCCTAACATTCGCTTTCTGGTGGAATCTTTCCATACAATGGATATATCTAATGTTTTCTCTCGTGGATATATTGTTCGAACTCCAAAAGATGGTTGTAGCATTGGCATCGAAATCAATCATGCCGACATAAATATTGAATCATTTCTCTCTGTCGACACAACCCCATTAAACACCTCCTTATGTTGCAGCATCTCTCCTGACACAATTATCTCGCTCATTCCAACTCATCATAAATTACTTGAAGAAGAACATTTTCTGAAGAGGCTTATATGCGACGGAACTGACCAAGAAAACAACCGAAGAAAATATTACAAGGTAAAGATTGCACCTGTAATTCTTTTCTCGGATGATACTTCTGGAAACACCTCTAAGCAATTTAATACATATGAGAGCTGGTCGATGAAATGTGCGGCCCTCTCTTTTGAAGAAAGGTGCTCCATATAGAATATCTTATTTATATCAGCAATTCCAAAGAAGAAAGGTGCAAACGCTGCCTCGTTGTTACCTGAAATTGTTGATGATTTGAAGAAGCTAGAAAACGGCGTGGTAATGTTCTCTGCAAAAGATAATGCATATATTCTTGTGGTACCTCCTTTACTTTGGATTGAGGCAGATACATTTTGTCACTCAGAGCTTTGCGGTTTAGGTGCGCCCAACTCAACTTACCCTTGTAGAAAGTGCTACATTAAATTGCAAAGTCGAATCCCCAAGTTGAACGAAGTTGAATAATATACTAACAGACATTCAACAAGAACCAAGGACCATTATATCCAGGCCGCTTCTACACCAGACAGAGATACAGTGATCCCTGATATTCCTTACTTTGATGACAAAAACACAGCAGAAGAGTTAAGTTTTAAAAACAAGTCAACAGACAAACTGCTAGAACTTAAAGCATATGACCAGTCAAAAGACACTTCTGCTGAAATATTGCATTACATTCTCCTTGGCATTGCAAAGTATCTTATAACTGATCTGGTTAAAGTTGTCTTGAACAAAAACAAAAAAGAACTAGAAGAACTGTTTTATTATATTAAAGACTACAAAAATTCCAGAGGCATATCAAGAGCGTTTACAAGGTCTCTCACCCATGCCTGTTCGTTTCTTGGTAGAGATTTCAAGGTACTAATCCAAATACTTCCGGTAATCCTGGCCATAAAGTTTGCAGATACAGAAGTATTACAGGAAATCACTCCCCTCTTTGTTCGTCTCGGCCGTCTATGTTCTCTAGTATTTGTTCGATTTATTGACAGTCAATATGAGACATATATCAGTGAAGTAGACTCTGCCGTTAGAAGTCTAATTGAAGCCCTACACAAATACGACACTAACTGTAAACATAAAAAACATGCATTCTATACGTCCAAGCCAAAAGTCCATCTGTTGACCCATCTACTTGAAGATTTACGAAGATTCGGGCCTGCTCTTAACTACGAGACCGAAAAGGGAGAGCAGTTCAACAAGCACATTCGTGAACACTTGTTTCATACAAACCGTATGAACACATCGAAAGATATATGTCTCAAATTTGGTAAACAATATATGACAAGACATATTATTGATGATGGTTCATAGATAGGCAAGAATGGTTTAAGGGAAACCCATGGAAAAGCTATTGCAGAATACATGCAACAAAACTCTGATGGGAAATTCCATGAAACTTTGCTCGGTGGGTCCAGAGAATTTGCAGACAACAACGGTACAGGTTTGACCCCTGGAAGGATATTAAAAGACAATACATTTGCTCTATTTAGACAAAGCAATGGACATATCATCATTGGAATGGTGCTTTTTTCTAAAGTATATCATTTGTATATCGAATATCTATCCGCACATGCTGTTAACAACAATTATCGTCTAGCACTCAAATATGCTGATGATATATACATGCCACTAGATGAATTGAAAGTTGTTTGTCTATTAGACATGCATCTGAAAGTTGGCTGTAAATATGTTGTTAACCTCAACAAATTTGGTTCATACTGGTCCTTCCTTTATTCCTTTTATTAATTTTTTATATCTTTTTTTTTATCTCAATAAAACATTCCAATTTCTTTAAGTCATTTTTTAGTTCTCTTCTGTTACACTAGAAATACATTTGTAGATGTCTGTACTGCAAGCATTCCCTTATAAAGAACACAAGTTTTGATTTATAAGTATAAAAGGAAATTACACGAGCGATATATTTAGTAAGCCAATAAGATAACAGATGCGTTTTCAATTTCCTAATTTGATATCAAATTTCATCCGTGGTGATTTGTCTGAAAAAAAAAACAGTTTTCAGCTTAAATTAACTTTTATAGATAAAAAAACCCTCTTTTTAGGCTCAGAGACCCAAAATTACCATTTTTATACGAGAATTTCTTTTGGTGTGATGTTTCTGTTTCAAAATTACCATAAAAGCTTATACTCTTACTTTATTTGTAACTTTTTTTTCTTTTTTCTTTTTCACTCGAAAGAATCTTCCTGAGTACGCTGAAAAGCATTTTAAATAATATTATCAAATGCTTTTTTTGTGAACAAGTGGGCCTTGAATGACATCTTCTGTTAACTTGATTGGGGGTAGGTATGATAATTAAGATATTGGCTTTTATATGCGTAGTAGTACCGAATCACTGATTCTTTTAATCAATATATTTTCAGATTCTTATATACATATAAGCAATTTAAACCAAACAAGTAATCATATATATATATACATTCTGAAAGCAAACCGTGTAATTAGTATACATAAATATAATGTCTTGTCTATCGATTTATGTAACCTTTTCGTTATTAGAAGGAAAATAAAAGAAAGTGTTTGCTCGAAAGCAATACAAAAAATAAATAAATCATGTTTAATTAAAATAATATAAATGATTCTAGAAGCTAGTACATATATATATATAATTAATGCCTAAGCAGTCTTTCCTATTGTTGGACACAAATTTTGTTTCTCCAATGCATCAAACACTGATTTGATATATAAATCGAAGCTTTCTCCCGAACTGTTGGTATTTGGATATGGTATTTCAGGGACAGGACACCCCAAAAATTCGCACAGACGACTCCAACCTTCACCCAACTCAAGTACAAGTAAATTTTCGGGAGGAACAAGTGCCTTGACTCTTTTGATATGCTCGTCGAATATCCAGCAAAGTTCTTCTTTGTTTTTAATTTTAGAAAGGTCTCCTTTGATATAGCCATCAAACATAGTAGACCTCTGGAACGTTATTACATTAGTAATATGTTCAGGGTGCTGCTTGGTATCGTCCTCGAAAAATTTGAAGATCGTGTTACACATAGATTTGTACCAACTCTCTGCTGATCGAACCGTCAGGATGACCTTTGCATCGGGATATTTCTTCAGCAATTGTTCGTAGACTGTCACAGTTGGCCAGTCTATGGCAGCATCGTATTTACCATACACACTTTCCCACTCGTCAGGGTGGCTTCCTGGGTTATCATATGCTCTTTGCCAGACAAATGGATCTTGTACAGAGTCTCCCATTAGTTGAGACATATGGTGGGTACGGTAACTGTAATATACTCCATATTAATTTTTGTTCACTTTCTATTTTGACTTACCCTAGTGTTTCCAAAGCTAGACGTAAGCTGTTGGTACCTGTTCGTCCGTAACCTGCTCCGATAATCTTAAGAGGCATTTTTTAGAAGAAAGAAAAAGAAAGTTACTATTTCTAATAATCAATTGTTTGTTTTATAGAGATATAGACAATTAGTCAGTATTTGTAATATGTATAAATGACCTTGTGTTAAAATACCTCTTGCATGATACTAACAAGATCTAAAAAACCTCGAGTGCTTCTTTCTCAACCTTTATAGTCTTTACCAAAAAAAAGCATTTTAGAAAATATATAGAGCCTAACACACATGTAAATCAAGACTTTTGGCTGTACACAACTGGAAGACAATTTATCAGACACATCAACTGAAAATTTTATCTAGTAAAATATGAGTGTGTACAGTCATGCAATAAACTGCACCAATGTTAAAATTACCAAATAAATACAGTTTAAGATTACAAAATTGTGAAGCACATGAAAAAAAAATACATATGGAATTCACATTATTATACCATATTGTTATTATTATTATGAGAGATGCATATTTAGATTATATAATATCTCACTATGGAAAAAAGTAGTGATTCCGATGGCCGTTTTGAAAAATAATAATATACTGGGTACTTTTCAAAACCACCATCCGAATTACTGCTAATTTCTCTTAGTGTTTTCCTATGTCTAAAATTCATTGACCCAGTGAATTGAAAGTATTGGTATTATTATTACCCTTTATGATCTTAAGCCACTCCTCAGTATAATATATATCTAGTACATAAGATGTTAGTTAGCCTTAGTAACTAACTAATTATTTACTCGATTTGAATATATCATTTTCTAAAAAGAAAAAGTATCACACTTCTTCAGTGTACTCATGTAATGGTCCTTTAAAATATATCGTTTTTAGGATTAAAATTGATATTTCTGGTATGAATGAAAATCAATAATATTTAAAGCTTCTCAAATTTACAGTTTTATTAGTTAAGAAAATTGTAGAGCTCAAAGATAGATGTATATAAGATATTTATTATTTTTATGTTCGTATTTCTTTAACAAATTGACATATTTTAAGCAGCTTTTACTTTTTGTAAATCTAGTTTTTGCTTTTCTAATTCATTGAGAACGATCTCGGCATTCTTTTCAAATCCTTCACCGGAACTATTTGTATTTGGATAGGGTGTTCCAGGCACAGAAACTCCCAGGAATTCACACAGACGATCCCATCCTTCGCCTAATTCAAGTACAAGCAGTTTTTCGGGAGGAACCAACCGTTTCACCTCTTCGTTGTGTTCTTCAAACATTCTGCAGAGTTCTTCTTTGTTATGAGACTTGCTGAGATCATCTTTTAAATAGCCATCAAGCATTATTTTTTGCTGACTTTTCAGAAAGAGTCGCGGGTGCTCAGGGAGTTCCTCGACATAATTGGAGTGCATTTTCATAAATATAGTATTGTTCATCGACTTGTACCAGCTCTCTGCGGATCGTGTAGTTAAAATAATCTTTGCATCGGGGTACTTCTTCATCAATTCTTTGTAATGCGTGACAGTTGGCCAGTCTATAGCTGCATCATAGTTTCCATATACACTTTCCCATTCGTCTGGGTGGTTTTCAGGATCATTAAATGCTCTCTCCCAGACAAGAGGATCTTGAGTAATATCAGATAATGCCTTGATCATATGATGTGTACGATAACTGTAATATATAGTCTATTAAGTCTTATGTTCTTCTTTATGCTTCGTGCTTTATGTTTTCTACCTTTTCGTTTGACTTACCCAAGTATTTCTAAAGCTAAACGCAGGCTGTTGGTGCCTGTTCGTCCAAAACCAGCTCCAATGATCTTAAGGGGCATGTTTTCTGAGGTTAAAGAATGAAAAGCAAGAAGAAGAGAATGGGTTTCTTATATATTTCTTTCTCAAACAGAATCTTTGCGTATTAGTATTTTTATACTAAAGAGCAAAACGAAAACAAAGAAAAAAACGGATAAATTATGTGTATTAATCCGAGTAATTAAAAGAAAGGTAGAATTGGTCACAGCCTGGTCCTCTTACGCAATAGCATGCCATCAAGGATACAGCGGTATAAATCTTCCGGAATCCGTAAACATATTTATTGATCCAAGAATAAAATTGATGTACTAGAACTCTCCTCCTACAGAAAATCCTATAGTATGGGCAATCAGGAGAAATGTGTGTAACAACAAGCCTCTCGAAAAGCCCGAGCAGTTGCACACATTTTTGTTTTATTGTCTACTGAACAAAACCACCCTTTAAATTTAGCGTATATATACATATATCTTGGAAATACAGCTCCTTTAAAGATGAATTTATTATTGGGTTTAATATTCTCCATATATTCCGTACGGGAGTTCAGATACCCTGACCTTTAACTGCATATTATACTCGCAGCCATAAAATATTTAATTATAGAATGCATGATATTCTTCGATGTTATTGATTGGAAGAATCGCTGCATGCAGCGCGCAGTATTGTGTTGTAATAATGATAGAGAGAAATAAAGAGAAGGGGTTATCATGATATGTAATATAATCAAAATAGTTCTCTCGTTCGTCTACCCTAAAATAATCCAGTTTTTCGGATTATTACATTACTAACTATTTTGCAGGCTACAGCTACAGGTACATCTACATGAGGTATACATTTATTTATTTAAAGTAGAAATGTCATTGAACATTTAAAATACACAGAAAAAGCGAAATTTATGACAATCAATTGAGCTTCCTAGACTTGTTAACAGCGAAAGTAAACTGCACCTCCTGAAGAAAAAATGAGTACCGTTGATGTGCCGGTGTGACATGAAAGTATATCAGTATGGTATTTAATACAGTTTTTGAATATGCGTGATGTTGATTATTAGTCCTAGTATTCGATGCCTTTAATTTTTTATATTGGATTTCTAGACTCCTTAACTATAGTAAACGAATAGGGCAAATCTAGTAGAATAATTTTGCAAGCTCTTTTCAGATTATTTAATATTGTTTTAAGGCTGAATTTTGATTAAGTACTATTTTTCTCCCATTTTTTTTATATATGTTTCAACTTCAATTATTATTTTGTTATTGTAGTTTAAGAATAAGGACATTTTTTTTTTTTCAATATTCCATCTTTGCCCACCGTATTTTTTTTGACAATTAATGCAAAGCATCTTCCCCTTCCCTCAGACCCTCGCCCCCACGTAGTGTAAAAAGTAATAATAAATTGTTTTACGAAATTACTCAAAGAATGTAATGGTTTACCAAGTAACATCTTGAGGATACCTAGCTAAACGGGTAGGAAGATTTGTATTCTTCTTCTTGTCAGTGGTACTGTGCTAAACTTTGAAAGTCTTTGGTTTACACAGAAAACTTTCAATACACTATATTGGTCTCACAAAACCTTCACCTCGAATAGCATGGGCGAACATCTCAAGAATTGTGTCATCATGTACTCAATTGATTAAATATGTGCCTGAGGATCAAGATATTAGAAATACAATTCTACTCCACGAACAATGTGCAAAGTTTAACAAAGGCATACTCTCCAAAAAGTTTAAATTAGTACATCTAAATTTATTTATAATAATACTGATAATAAAATAATGAAGTCTAGCTGTAATCTTACCTTAGATATCTATAGGATTTTATATTTGGTACTCGAGAGCCGCGATATGGGCAAGGTTGGGGACTTGCTTGAACCTTTCAAGTCATGGCTGGAAATACTAAGGACAGTGCTTGGATGTACCAAATTCATCGATAAGAAAAAGCATGTTGTTAAAGGGATAAAATGCAACATTCGGTGTATAGAAGAATTACATAAAACTCTTATTTTTCCCATATCGATGTAGTTTTATTTATTATTCATAGGTTTAGGTATGTATTTTTTCAATTAACTGTCAAGATGGGATGCTAACACCCGGCTTGTGACAGCATTTTCTTTACAACATACTTATTCATTCCGTTTTGTTTGGACAGCCACTTGGATCATTGACTGTTTTCTAGGTAAAAGAACCTTGTGAAATGTCTACGTCTATGCTAATAACATGGTTTGTGTACTGGCTACTCAAAGTATATTCAAGAGAAAAGTATTTTTATTTTGTATACTGATCTTCTTACTTACTTTTTTTTCTTATGTATAAAGTCAAAGAAGAAACATACTAAGATAGATGTTTCTCTTTTAGAACAAAAGTAGCCCGGTATTTGTTATTTACTGTGGAGGGAGAGTAAAAACTACTGAAGACTTCCCCTCAAAAAAATTATCTGAATATTCTGTCTAATGTTATCCAAAGAAATCTGCAGTTTGTGTGTTTGAATGTGCAAAAAAAGAAAGAAAACATAGCAGAGGAAAAAAAATTATACAAAAAAAAATATTGAAACAAAGTCTATTATTATTGCTGGGCGCACTGTGTACCAGTGGTTTCCTCTTCATCACTGTCGTTGTCTTCTTCGTATGCGTTCTTGGAATTACCAGTTGAGCCAAAAGAATCGATGTCGGCCATCAAAAGCGAACAATCATCAACGATTTCATGTTTTGATACTGCAGGTGCAGGGCGTGCAGGCAGGATGGATTCGAGAAGTTTGAGGTTCTCGGGGGTAGTGAACTTATCTTTTGGGAATTCAACGTCGAATTTGACGTAAAGGTCACCACGGTCATCAGGGCGCTTGTAGATAGGCATGCCCTCATGAGGAATACGTTTGACCATCCCGGGTTTGATTACACTTCCAGCAGGATGGAACACACGAATGCCTCGACCATCCAAATGAGTAATGACCTTTTCGAAACCGCAGAGGGCTTCGGTGAGTGTGATGGTGAGATTGCAAATGATATCATTGGATTTGCGTTCAAAGATAGGGTGTTGCTTCAAGTTCACAACCAAAATAACATCTCCAGGTTCAACACCAGGCTAAATAAAAGATCAAAATAAAGAACATACACACACGAAGGAAAAGAAAACAAGCAGGAAATGATTACCGAATGGATACATTAGCTTGAGTGATAAAATATGACGAAAAAAAAAAGTAAAAGCTAATGAACGCATATTTACCTCTTGGTCACCTTCGCCCTTCATAACAATCTTCTGACCGTCAGACATACCCTTTTCCACAAAGACCTCAAGATACTTCTTTTCTACAGTAACCTTCTTGCCCTTGCACTTCTTGCAACGATCCTTTGCAATTTCACCAGTGGCATTGCAGTCACCGCAAGGAACCTGCATTTGCTGGATCATACCCATACCGATCTGTCTCATGGCTACCTGGAAACCACGACCTTGGCATCCACCACATTTCTTCACAGCACCAGTCTTTCCACCCTTACTATTTAACCACAATTTTTTTTCTTGGATTTAGTACGATTGTATTTTTGTCCAGCCACGCCACATACATACCCACTGCAGTTGCTGCAAATCACATTCTTTTCCAATGCTAGCTTGGTGCGCTTGCCATTGTAAAGATCCTCGAGTGTAACCTGAAGAGGATACTTCATCGACTCTCCCTTTCTTGAGCGAGGAGGCATACCGTATCCACCTCCCATACCTCCCATACCACCGAAATCAAAGTGGGCTCCACCTCCACCACCTCCGCCACCAAACAGATTGGCAAAGAGGTCATCAAGACCACCTTCACCAAATCCACCGGCTCCTCCACCAGGTCCATCTTCTCCGTAGCGATCGTACTGGGCACGCTTCTCGGGATCTGACAAGATTTCGTAGGCATGGGAGATTTCCTTGAACTTTTTGAGATCGGAATGTTAATAATATGCACGCATAAAAAACAGAAAAAAACTATATATATAAACTAGATGTACATACTCGATCACCCTCTTCAGGGTTCTTGTCAGGATGATACTTCATGGCCTGAGAAAATAAATCAAAACGTGGAATTAAGTGTGTGTGCTCATTGAATGTACAAAAAATGTGTCATTTTCGTGTATTACCAGTTTTCTGTAGGCCTAAATAGAACATTTAATAAGAAAACATGCACACGCATATACATATACATATATTTTTTTAAAGAAAAAAGAAAAACAGATTACCTTCTTAATCTCATGGTCTTCAGCATCGACCTCGACTTCTAGTATTTCATAGTACTTTGCTTCTACTGCCATATTGTGATATTATATATATATATATATATAAATAATAATGAGAGAGAAGTGTCAAGCGTTTACTTTATAGCAATATATAAAAGATGAGAACCACGTCACGAAAAAGTAGCCAGGTAAAAAAAAGAAAAAGAAAAGGGAGAGATTAAAGAAATAATAGGCTTAATTATGTGCAAAATTATTTTATTTAAAACATTTTTATTTTGTCTTATATTATTTTGCCTTTCTTTGATAATTTATCAAGACTTTTATATAGCTCTTGTGTGATCAAGTCTTCTATTATTATTTAAATATATCAAGTATGCACGCTGGCTTCTCTAGAGTAAGCAGAACATGTTCCTTCTTACAAGGGGTGTTACTCTTTTGAATGATTAAAGTGCCGCCTAAATCAGACATTTTATTTATTGGAATAAAGAAGTCTTTGGCATGATCTTTCAGAAGTTGAGATCTATTCATATATGCTGTATATGTTATGTAGTATCCTTTCTCGAAACCAAGGGCTTTCTATTACTGAACTAGGAAATTCAGAAATAAAATATATTAAAGGCTGCTACAGGATACCTTGGAATTAATGGTACAAATACGTCATTAGTGTTAACACGAAGAATTAGATCTATTCATAAGAAAAAAGATTTAAGGGTGTTTCACAAGCACTCGGGTTCTATCTTCATAATTCTGTGCTTTAATATGTAAAATGACTGGCTTTCGTTAGTCCAATTTTTTTTTTATATAAAAATATATAGTTATACGTTCAGATCAGAGAAAGCACGGAGAAAACAATTGGTAACCCCATTAGAGCTAAATATCTCTTTAGTTTTTTGTTGTACTTTATTTTAGAAGGGGTATCCAGCAATAATTATACATATGATTTATGTGCATGTGCATGTATTTGTATTTGTATATTGATATGTATATTCGACAATTTTGATATTTATTTACAAACTAGACATTGTCCTTTTGCTTACAATTAAATGTATTCTTTTTATGCATATTCATAGCTCATTTGTTTTTCCTTGGTTGGAGAACGAGGTTTGTCGAGAGAAGCCAACACTTGACCAAGACGAGCAAGTTCTGAATCGGTGGGTGATGTAGAAGCTTCATTCTGTACAGGTGCCTTGGAAGCAGGTGTCTTGGCGGCAGGTACTTTTTCTTTTTTCTGTGAATTCTCTAATGGTTCTTGCCGTACCTTTTCTTGTTCCTTTGGCTCTTGTTCTTTGGGCACTTTGTGGTTATGCAAGTCCTTCTCCTTGGATTCCTCGACTTCCAAATGTTCCAGAGCTGCCAATTCTTTCTCGAGTTCGGCATCATCTACACCGGAAAGCTGCATTGCATTTGTTTCTTCTGTTCCTGTCGCGATAGCATTTTCCACCTCTTTTTGAGCATCCAAGGCGTCCTGCATCTTAACCATTGCTTCATCCACAGATTCCAAAGTGAGCTCCGAGCTACCAATAACACCACGCAAAGCATCGGCACCAATATTAAATGCTTCAACGATCTAAATAAATTATAATTCCAATAGTGTTTTGTTTAGAAAATAAAAGAAATGGATTATTATGTATATATGGCTTATCTTACCTGAAGATCATTATGAGAAGCTTCGATCTTCATTAACATGGTTTCCATGGTTTCGAGAGAGGTAAGCCTTCTTTCTAGAATCTCTTCATATTGTTTCTTGCGCTTTAAACAATACAGTGCTCGCGACTTTTGTTTCTTTACGTAGAAATCCTTTGCAGTTCGCTCCAGTCTAAAAGGCGGTAGGTCTTAGATTTTTTTTGTAAAGATATGTACAAAACTAAAGATAAGACAAAACTTACGTTTCAATTTTTCGTTGTAGATCATCGACTTGGACATTTAGTGCCTGACAAGCAGTCTTTATGCTTATGATGGCTTTGTCATGCTGTGTGATTTCTGCTTGTGTTGATCCTGTGTTACTCTCTGGGAATTTCACAACCTAAACGGGAGAAATGTTAATAGTTATTAATATAATAATAATAGCCAAAGTTGATACTGTGAACATATCCAACACACACACACACATATATATATATATATATAAATGAACATAATGATTGCTTTTGAATGACCTTACCAGATAGCTTTTTTCGTAGCCCTTTACGTCATCTGCCATAGCCAGTCCCATAGAGTAGTGAAGATATCTAAGTACTAGTATCAAGTCATTGTCTGTTAATTCTAGTGAATCGCATTTTTGGTATCGAGCTCGGATATCTTCAAATGTCACTAGATGGTCTAGCGCACTCTTTAGCGGACGTTGATAATGGTCCTGAACAATTCGTTTTGCGATTTCTTTTAGGGTAGGCATAACTATGTACAATCCGTGTGTGGCTGGATCACTTGAACCTGGCCTTCGCTGCGGAATCACGCTTCCCATTATCCACGACAGCCAGGAAGCTGAACCTGCATGAACCTTGTCAAAATTTGACAGAGCCACAAGATCACCGTCGGCTTCCATACTAGACTTTAAGCAACATAGAAATACTTGGCTTGTCAACATTTATTTATTCTCTCTTTCTCTTTGTGCATTTAAATTGTGTCATTTTATTTATTTATTTATCCTTTTTTTTTTGGCTTAACAACTCTTACCACTACATGACCCAAGGCTAATGGTCTTCCCATTCCTGGTCTTTGGAAGGTTTCAGACAAACTACATGCCTCAATCGCAATCGCGTGATCTGTAGATCTTAAATATCCTTGACGATTACAGTCAAGAATTACCGATCGCCAATAGCCAATGTTAGCATCGTAACCATATTTGTTAAGCATCGCGAGTTTGGAAAAGTCTGAAAAAAGAGACGACAGACGAGGCTGGGGACTATCTGAACTAAATTCAGCATATTGCTCTGCCAAATAAGCATGAAGCTTTGAGTTGCGTTTCACTGCCATAATTCAAGCAGCAGTACAAAAAGTAGATATATAACTAGTAGAAAACAAGAGAGAAAGAGAGCGAAAAAAAAGGAAACTAAAAAGATAAAGACGAATGAAAAAGGAATAAAGTTGGTTCAACGGACATTTAAAAAAATATGTATTCTTATATAAACTGTGATGGCATTGACGGATTTTTCTCTCTCTCTCCCTGCCTTTCCTTTCTTTTTCTTCCTTTACTTAAAGTACAATCTCTTTGCTTCTTGCTTTCTTTTTTGGATTTTATTGGTCATGACGAATATCCAATAACTCAAGACCGCACAAGTGACGTTCTTTGTTTCTGATTTTGCGACTGTATTCTGGAGGAACACCTTCTGGAATATCAGGTTCATAGTCACACCGTTGTTCGGATTTTCCGGCACGAATGTTACAGATAATAGTTTCTCGGCAGTCTTCTTCATCATCGCATTTGCGGTTAATTGGAGAAGACTTGCCTCTAAAGTGCCAGTATTTTTGAAACATATCCGGATCGTCTTCCATTGCCTCTGTAACATTGTGCCACCACGCAGGTGATAGCGGTGCTTTGGGAGATATTATAGTGTTTGGAGTCAGATAGGCCTCTCGAGCAGAATATTCCTTTTGCCAGATCTTTTGATATTTTGTTGCGATAATAAAAATAAAAGCAAAAATAAAATGAGCAAGGTTTTTTAAAAACAAAAAATAAAACAAGTTCATTAGAAGACTTACAGGTCCCTGCTCTCCCCACATCTCAGCCTCATCAAGTTTAGCATAATATGTAATAGAGTCTACGACCTCAAAAGTATCTGTGTCTACTTTGTAAACTCTAAAAGGCCATGCAATAAGAATAAGAATGAAGAAACATATGAATATGCACAGATGTAATTAATTATAAGCTTATTTACCTAAACCCAGGATTTACATTGAGGTAAGGTGTGATGGAAGGTGCAATGTATGCCATTGAAATAGCACTCTGTGCATTCTTGTCACCGTCCCTATAAAATACTTGGAACTCATCCCTATTATATATATATATATATATATATGTTGACGAGTAAATATGTCGCATATTTACATTAATAAATATTGAATACTTTACTTGTGAGTATGACCAAAGAATTGTCCAGCAATTACGTGAGAGTAACGTTCGACGATCTGATGATAATAGTTGGAGTAATCATGCAAACAGGTGGTGTCTCCGGGTGCAATATGTCCCATAATCCACACACGCTCGCCCGTATTTTCAGACTCTTGTAGTTGAGCAATTAACCAGGATAAAATTCCATTAGGGTCCTATTAATTCGTTTTTATCAAGAAAGAATTAGTTTACCATCTTTTGTTGATAAAATAAAATAAATAAATGAGAACTTGCTTGTGAAATAGGGTTTTCATAGAGCCACCAATTAAGACTGTAACAGAAATTGGTATTGAGACTAATCAATTTGAGACCATCGATTGGTCTGGCGACATAGCTTGCACTATTCTTCTCGACATCTACCAAAGCTTCTTCGGGTAACCAGCCCTCCCAGCTCTTGGCTAGACTACTGTACAACCAATTCATGGTCAAGTATTCCTTGTCGTCTTCGATTGCGATCTTTGAATCCCTGAGCGGAAACACATTTGTCGGGGCTGATTCATGATTACCCACAGCAGGATAAAGCATGGTATTTAACAAGGGAGCGTCAAAGTGTGTGTGTAGTAACCCAAATGACTGATCTTCGACCCACTGGGTTTTTGTGATAGGTAAAGTAGACCAGACTTCATGTGGTGGTAAATCTCCTGTGATCAGACCAAACGCTAGCTTTGGTTCGACAGTAGGGATATATTTTAGCATTGAACTGACTAGACTCACAGGTGTATCGCATGAGTAGTCACCTAAAACAAAAAAGTTTTTTTATAAGTATATATAGTTAGTGTGTTTACTTGATGAACTGATTTGTCTATCTATTTGTATATCTATTTATTTATCTCACACGCACCCCAAAAGGTAGCTGGTTTTGTGATATTTTGGAAATCTGTGTAGGCAGCTCTGCAACAAATTGGTTTGCTGCACCGCACTTCTGTTCCTACCTAAAAATACACAAATAAATACAAATAAATAAAACAAGATCAGTAAAGATTTAAAACAATAGAGAGATAGAGAGACGATGATGATGAGTGTTATGAGTTATTTGTTACCTGATAGTCAGGGTCAATGTGCCAATCACTCAGCTGGACTACCGAAATTAATTGACCTTTTGATCGTTTCACAATTGGGTTTTTTGGTTTTGACTTTGGGAATTGTACAGTCCAAGGAATGACAGCTTTAAAGGAAGAAAGAAAAATGAAATGGCATTGGATGATAATAAACATACAAGTTCATGATAGTATCTTTTGTTTTGTTTTACATAATTGTTATACCTGGATAAGGACATGAATTGAGAACAGCAGCACAGAGTAAATGTCCATCTCGACCAGAAACATCCATAGTCTTTTATACAAAAGAACAAGAAGATTATTACGATTGTGTGTATCGGTATTGTGGTACCAACGATAGCAAATAATATGCTTTAACAAACTTACCTTTAAGACTTTACGTACGACAGGAGCTTGTTCTTCAATAACACCTTGACACTATATGTACACATATTTTTTTGACAAGCAGAAATAGGTGTTTTATAGCTTAGCTTTATTATTATATTTTACTTTAATTCAATTCAATTTTATTTTTCTTTTGTGATCATTACCACTTCGGGATCTAGTTTCTTTGACCGTTTGCACACATTGACAAGAGAGCTAATGAGCATTGCATCTGAGACAAAAGACATTCGTTTGACAACTTGCATTGCTGAAATGCAAGAGCTACATGACATTGGTGCTTTGGTGCCTGTGAGCCAAGAATGAACAGTCATTTCCAGAACTTCTTGCTGTGCATTTATATCTGAAAAGACAAACTGGTCTGATGTTTGGACAGCTTGAGCAATAGTGCCCAGTGCCACAAAGGATAATATTGTCTTTGTGAGCATCTTTCTAAGATAAAGACTTGTATAGATCTCTGTTTTGTAGTGCTTTAAAGAGGTTGGAGAGTTGGATAAAGAGAAAGAAAGTAGAAAGAAGAGAAAGGAAACGTAATTGAATGCATTTTTTATGCAATTCGATAAAATACTGAATCAGCCTCAACTAATGTTCCGCCTTTTCTTTCTTTTTCGATCACGGGGCAAAGTTGAAAAGGAACCAGTTTACCAAATAAAATAGATTGGTTTATCTTTTTTTTTTGTTTCAAAGCGTATATATATATAATTGGTAAGCCTTTTAGTATTATATCATATATTCTTTAGTGGACTTCTTTAACATATATACGAATACAAAAAAGAAGAAGAAAAAGATGATAAAGGCTAATGTTAATAATATGGCAAGTGTGTATATGTATATAGATTCTAATTAAAAAAACAAATAAATAAATAGACAAAAAAGAAGGGGGTAGAAATATAAATAGCGGAGAGATGGATTGAGAGAGATAGAGATAAAGATCTTGATATGATCGATGAAATGAAATTCATAGCTATAAGCATAATATCTTTATACACACGCATATGAGGGCTATCGGTGTGCTTCATATGACCTATTCATACAAGAGGTCTCTAGTTGAAAGCAACAAAATATAAGGAGCTGGTGGTCCGGATGATACAGTAATCTAAACTCTTTGTAATTTGTTGATAGAAAAAGGTAATTTTGACATCACAAGACAATCAAATGAAAGTTGAGGTAAATATAATCCTAAATCGAGTGTTTAGGTTCTCGCAGCTTGTCAACTTGACAGGATAAATTTTTTTGCGCTTAAGCATTATTGGCTTGGATTTGACTTGAGAGTAAACCTTGTTCTTGGTCAGTTGTATTCGGTTCCTATTTGGAGACTCGGTACCATTATCGTCCATAATACACTTTCGACAATTCATACATAATGTATATATTAAATAGTCGTATTGTAGTTGTGAGCGATACATTAGTATTACAACTGTCAAAAAGAAGCAGAAACACATAACAGAGACATTATAAGAGACAATATTTTGGAGCCAAAGGCGGTTGATAAGTCAAAAACATAGAGGCCACAACTGTATGTATTATAGTCTGTTGAAAAATTGAAAATATGAAAAAGGAGTAGGGATAAGTATCATTATCTTTTAGATAAGCGAACATGGCATTCGGCAATAAAAATCTCGGGTGTTTTGGCTTGAATGGAAATAGATGTAGCAGCCAAAAGTCTTGACAAATCTAGGAAATGTCAAAAATATCTTGACTATCAGTTGTGAAGAAAAGAGAAAATAAAAAATACATATAAATATCCCAAAATTACAATAGATTTTATGAGAACTTCAAGACAAAAAGAAAATATACTACACATTTCATTCGCTAATCCTAGGGGGACGACGTTTCCAGATGGGAGACGACGTTTTCAGGTCGGAGACGACATTTTGATTTTACCGGACTACAAATCGTGACTTGCTTTCCGGCATCAAATAACTACATCTGGTCCCTAAGGATTCATACTTATCCTAATAAAGATACTTTAATGCAAGACAAGATAATGGCTTTGGCTAAATGTAAAAGCATCATAGTAAGTATGTAATTTTATACATATATATATATATAATATATTCATGCATTATTTTATATATGTATATAATAATAAAATGGATGCCTATCATGCTACTTTAAGACAGTATACCCTAATAAAAAAATGTCGTCTCCCACCCTGGAAACGTCGTCTCCCACACCTATTTGTCGGGGTTTATACTTTGACCAAAAGGTCGTCTCCCATCTTTATATGGCTGAGTTTAGAATATAGTCAAAACGTCGTCTCCCACCTGGAAACGTCATCTCCCAAAAGTCACGACTTTTCATATCTTGTCTGTTAAAAATAAAACCTTTATAATTTGAATTTCTTTATTAAATACTATAATAAGGTTATTATATTTTTTAATGTGATAAATATTACCTCTTTTTGATATTTATTTAAGATAAAAACTAATAAAAACTGCTAAATCTTCTTCAACAAAGAAAAAATGAGTCGCAAAAACGTCTGAGGATAAATATAATATTAATAAATTTCGCATATTTTAAAAAATGTATCTAATAATTATAAGACAAATATAGTTTACATTTAAAAAACATATCTTAGACAAATTCCGAGTCAATTAGAATTATTATTAATAACTAGACACTAATACGCTTACTTTTTTATATAATTCTTATATATTGTTATATGGTAAAAAAGCAAAAATAGTATAAAATTATTGCATAAAAATGGTAGCTAAAGTCGAGTATTTGTAAGATATACGATGTATTTGGGTCCCGTCAACAAATCACATACTTACTGTTGCTAATGAGTAATATTTTCACGATTTAACTTGAGGCATAAATCATATATTTTCATTTTATGTGATTTAAGTGGAAAAGATTATAATCCATATAATTTGCATTTTTTTCAAAAACTTTCATAATAGATATAAAGGTAATGAAGCGTTTTATGCCTAAGAAAGTTTACATAGCAGTTAAGCTAATATATTTTTACAAAATTCATGTTTTTATTTTTTATTTTTATTTCTTCTGTAAAAACTCTTTCTATCATTTCCTCACAACATGTACATGAGATATTTTATCAAAAATACAAAAAATTAAAAAATATTCATAAAGGACCAAAAAAAGTTTTTAATTACATATATTCAGATAATATATGAATTCAGTAAAAGTTTCATAGAAAACAAATGAGAAAAAAGTAATTCTACAAGCAAATACAATGTTTTATTTTATTGAAAAAATGCAAATTTTTGAGATATTACGTTAGTTTTCTCATGATCGACCTTTTCAATTCAACTAAAACTCCTAAAATACATACATATATCTATATACTACTTGGATCCAAAGTTATAGAGAGCCAGCGCTTGAATTGATGAAATAGATAGATGTAAATGCATAATATAACATATTTGAAGATAGTTTGGCTCGATCTGTGTAACACCATCCGACATTTATGCTTTTTAATTCGCTGGATATAAGTGTAACTTGAAGGGTAAAGTACTTCCCACGAATGATCTCTAGGAAAAAACAGAGCGGAGAGTCATTTAACCCACAAGTGATAGATAGCTTATGTTGATGCAAAGAAACAAATTGATAAGATTTATAAAGATTTAAAAAAATTGTCTAGCTAATAAAATATAAAAGTAAATGAGTAAATAAATAAGAAAAGATCTAGCTAATAAAATATAAGTAATAAAGTATAATTAAAAGAGTAATAAAATAGAAAAGAATATCGAAAAGAAATTATTTTGGAGTAAGATCAATTGGTTGATCTAGATCAGAATGGAGAGAGAGCATGGCATTTCGGCGATCATGCTTGTTAAATTCTTTGAACTTATTCCAGTAAGTATCAAAGTTATCATCAATCTTATTTCTGGAACAACCTAAAAAAAATAATTCAGGAACGGTTGGCCATTTTCTAGAGATATTACGGGAAAGGTCAACTGTTGTCCAGTGATTACTGTTAACATGATTAAAAATCAGAGGTTGTCGTTGTTTGGTTTTGTTGTTGGGAAGGGCGAATGAAAGAAAGGTTGTTGAGGGGGTGTTGGGGCTGTCTGAGTAGACGCAGACTGGTCGTGTATATGTGTCCGCAGCTAGTTGAGCACAGTCGGGTGTGTTAAACCACATACTGGCATCTGAACATACTGGGATGAAGTTGGTGTTGGTGTTGGTGTTGGTGTTGGTGTTGCTGGTGTTGCTATAATCGAGTTGAGAGCCATGTTGAATAATTTTTTCTAGTTGGCTTGTGTCAGTGCCAAAGGTATTTGCGTACAATGTTTTGTATTTCGGCAGGGCGGCTAGCATATCCCTTTTTACAAGTGGAAACTTATTTTGATCTTTGTAGATCAAGTGGGCAAGGACCCGAAAACCACACCATCCGTCAGCAGTAGGGCTAAACCCACCCTTGACATCATCGATTATCTCATGAGAGACAGGAAAACCGGGCTGGAATTTGACCCTCTTGCCAACAGAGGTGCGATTATCATACTGGTAATCTTCTAAGGCGGTGGCGGGTCTTTTGAACCCATTTTTTTGGGGGGCATCGACTAAAAAGTATATAAGTATAAGACGATATTTCTCTTTATGGATTCAATTACACTGTAAAATAAGAAAGCATATTACCTAGGTCGAGAGGCTCTTGTTTTACTTGTTTTGTTTTGTTTTTGGTGGCATCGACTAAAACGAATATTAGTATTAGTATTAGATTACTTTTAATGAATTCAATCACATTGTAAAATAATAGCGCATTTTACCTGGGTCGAGAGGCTCCTTTTCAATTTGTTTTGTTTTGTTTTTGGTAGCATTGACTAAGAAAGCTGTGTATATATAAGACAAGAGTTCTTCTCATAAACTCAATTAAATTTTAAATTAAAAACGCATCTTACCTGAGTCGAGAGGCTCTTTTTTGATTTTTTTAATATTTTTGTTTTGTTTTCTTGTGACCTTAAGGCCAGATAAACTCTTTTCAACCATCTTTGTAACCTTTCGTCGTTACATTGCCTTAATCCCGGCCTATAATTCCATTAAGATAATTAGTTTTGTCCTATGTTTAATATAAGTAAATCACGAAACTTACAGTTCCAGCCAAGATACTTGTCTTTCTCCACATTGGGCGACCAAAGTCCTTTGGCAAGTATTTAGGACGGCTGCTGCCTTTGCGTCTTCCTGGATACTTGACATTCTCTGGCGCTTGCAGTTTGATAGGAGAATGACCATTTTTGCCATCAAAGTCATTTACAGCTTTTTTCACTTTTTTTAAAAGATCAGCAACTTGCTGGCTGCCTTCGCAAGAGCGGAATAAAGCTTCAAGCTTAATGATTTCACTCATCCACTCCTTGGGTTTTTCGATGACAGGAACTTGCATATTTGGCTGATTCCATGCCTTGTCTTCCTTTCTAGCATCAATAATCCATCTATCTGGTAGATCAGAGATTTGAAGATCCCTTTCTACTGGTTGGGTATGGTGACAAGGTAGGCCATATTGAACTTTGTTCATGCAATAGCACTTCTCATCATCTTCTGGTAAACGGAGCTCCTGGTCAAGTACAAGCAACGCTCGCTTTGACACCTTCATGAAGAGGTTTGAGAGACGTTGGTTTCGTCCAACAAGAGCATCGATCGTGTTCGTTTCTCTTATCCTTGTTGCTCGGAAATTCATCTCTAGCCTTTCAATGTATTTGGCCACACTCTCAAAGGCCAACCCCAGAGAAGAAATAGCAGAGATGCCTCTCTTAAAAGCTTGATGAGCACTTTCTACTCGCTGAGTGGTGGTACACCCGAAATGCATAAGCTTGCTAGTGATATACCCTGCCCACTTATCCTTGCAATTCAACCACCTTTCGGAGAAGTAGGTTGATGCCGGTGCTCTGGCCTTGCCATAATCTACTTCTAGCCCAGCACAAGCGTCGTTAAACTTTAGGAGAGCCAAGTTGAACTCCACCTTAGTTCTACTATGGATCATGCGGCTTACATGATCCATAAGCTCTTCTTTCTCGGCTACGGACTTCGTTTTCCCAGAGAAAGCTTTCTCCACACTGTTCAGCATATTCCAGTAGCACAAAAGCTTCTTGTTTTCTGGGAAAACAGTGTCAAGTGCATTCATTAAAGCAGAACACTTGTCTGTTACAAACAGAGTGGTTGATTGCTTGTTCTCAAAAACAAGTGCCTTGATTTGTTCCAAAAACCAAACGTAAGAACCGGTTTGCTCATTGGAGACCCAGGCAAATGCAATTGGAAAAGATTTTAAGGTTTCCCCTCCAAGGTTGTGAACACCCTCGATGCAAATAAGAGGCATTCCCAAGTTGTTTGTCGAGTATGTTGCATCCACCACCATAACTTCGGAGAGTTTCTGGGCTCTTTCCAACATTTTGGGGTGGCTAAACAGGATTCTCTCGAGGCACCCACTCTTATTAGTCTCATAGCGAACTTGGTAACCCTTCGACTCCATAGCTTTGATGAGCTTTGTTCCATCATCCTGAAGAGTAGGAGCAGAAACACGAGCATATGCTGCCTTCATGTTATCAATGTCTTTAACGTACAACTTATGACCAGGGTATGCTTCGTCATTGATTGCTTTTTGAATCTCACGAGTCTTGGTATTTGTCTCGATAAGCTTTGTTATCATAATAGAATCTTCTGTTGTAACTCTTGAGAGTCTGCCCTTCAAAATAGACTCCATACATTCATCGTCAAGGGGATGGTTGTGGAAGGCTTCGATCTCATGAGTGGCCTTCAAGAGAAAGTATCCTTTGGCTGCCTTCTTGTAGGATACCTTAAGGAGATACGGGCACCCAATCATTCCACTAGAAGGAATTTTCTTACGGTCGTTGTCGTCAATCTTTCGGGTGTTTTTATAGTGACCACCCTTAGAACACTTCAAGTAAACTCGAGTTGGTTTACCATCTTTGATGACAAGTGCGAAGTTGTTGGCGAGGGCATATTCTTGCATCTTTGCAATTGCCAGCTGCATGTCATTATAACCATTAACTGGTGGGATGGGGAGAGGTTGTTGGACAGGAAAATGTTCTTTTCCATTAAAAAAACGGATTTCTTTATTGATAGGGTTTATATTGAAGTAAATTCTAGAAAGTACTTATTAACATCATGATTTCTAATTGCTAATCTGCAATGAGCAAAGTAATGTCTTTGATATCTCCGAGAAAAACATTATTCTCTAATACATTTGATTAGTAAGTTCTTACGAGATGAGTAAATAATAGAAAAGAAGGTTTTATAATCAAATATTGAATTAAGAATTTCAGGACACACCGTTTTGCCCTGAAGGATTGGAGAGAAGACATCGGGCCCCGGACAGATAGTCACAATCAATTAGTCCGGTAAAGTCAAAACGTCGTCTCCCATCCTGAAAATGGCGTCTCCCTAGGATCGCTGGTTTAAGGTCTTATCCAGCGTACTCTGTGTATTACATGAAAATGATAGGGTTGGTTTAATGGACAAATGTAGATATTTTTGCTATTAATATGGTAATGATGTAACAATAAAAGTACCAATTGGGTAGTCATCTGATCAAACCTTACAATTAAACTGAACCAAAGACATATAATAAACCAAGTTGGTTTAATTCGCGGAGAGGTGATAGAGTAATACAAAGAGTAAAAGATACTAAGTTCGGCTTCTAAAATGACAAGAACTGTTCTTGTTAACAGCTTTATGAATGCTTTCAATCCATAATTATTTTCTCTTACAGATTCTCTTTATTTTCTTACTAAGATATAATAAAAAATGAGTCACTGATGCTTGAGTCTATAGGAACCAATAGTTCTAAAAATAAAGAACTCTAGGAACCTCTTCATTATGAGATTTGTATTCATTTATATGTTTTCTACTTTCCCAGAACTAATGAGACGGTATATTAGTATTAAAGTATTTATTACTAAAATGACATACAAAGAAGTCTTTAAATTATCTTATACTAATAGTCAGTATACCTCCAGTTATTTTAGAAGCCGAATTTGGGGACTTTTACTTTTTGTATTACTTTATCCCCTCTCCGCGAATTAAACCAACTTGGTTTATTATATGTCTTTGGTTCAGTTTAATTGTAAGGTTTGATCAGATGACTACCCAATTGGTACTTTTATTGTTACATCATTACCATATTAATAGCAAAAATATCTACATTTGTCCATTAAACCAACCCTATCATTTTCATGTAATACACAGAGTACGCTGGATAAGACCTTTAGCTTGCATATTCTACTTACTTCCATCACACACTATAAAAAAATACAAGATAAGAAAATACACAGTCAAAAACGTTTGGACCTCTGAGCCCAAAAAAAATCATGAGATAAATTAAGGCCTATGTTCACCATGCAACTTCTCATCAGTAATAATATCTAAGGCATTCAAACTTCACATAAAAGATGATATGGATGTTTATTATTAAAATGTAAAGAAAAAGAGATCAATATTATGTGTAACCTCATTTGGCCTCAATTACAGCCTGGCATCGATGCTGCATGCTACCGGCCAAAGTTGATGCAAGTTCGAGACCTATCCTTCGCCACTCTCGTTGCATTACAACCTTCAAATATTCAACGTTGTTGATACTAGCCCTCTCATTACTCATACACATCTCGAAAGCTCACCAAAGATTCTTGGTGGAGTTGAGATCCGGGTTTTGAACGGGTCGGCCGCCAAAGCCCTGGATCTAATGACTATCTTTCCACCAGCTCGAATACGACTCAGTATGAAATCTGGCGTTACCTTTGTAGAACACAAAATGCCTATTCTATTTCCGCAGAAGATTTTTGAACCAAAGGATGAAGTTAGGAGCCAAAGTGTTCACGTATTGGTCTTGGTTTACGTTGCCATCTAGGATTACCCAAGGCCCAGAAGCAACTCCAGATCGTCACACTCCCCTTCCCTCACTTGGTCCCTCCAATGATGTTTTCTTCTTTAACCCTTTCACCAACTTTCCTGATCGCCCTGGCTCCTCTATCGTTACCCTCCACTGTTGATCGTATTTCACCTGAACATACTACACCTTTCCACTGATAACTCGTCCAATTGGCATGCTTACTGCCCCTTAAAGTCATCTTTTCTTGTGGCTTGCTGTTAAAGCTGGTTTAGGGACTACGATATATAATCCGAAGCCCAAACGCTTCAGACAACTTATTATTCTCTTTCTACAGACAAATCCAACCATATTCTTTAAGGAAGCCCTTAAGCCTAGAAAAAGAGGTAAAGGGGTTCTTTCGAGCTACTTGACCAAGGCGCGTTTCTGTCCTCTCATTAATCTTTCTAGATCATCCAGACCCTCCTCTTGGCTCTGATAATATTGTCTCATCCACTCTCTTAACGATGCACTTGATGGTTGACAGACTCATGCCTACCACTAAAGAAATCTGGATTGCCCCGTAATTTGCCGAATGCATGTACATTATACATCCATATTTGTAGGAATCACTCTTCATATAAACTACGGCTATTTTCGGATGAATTTGGGTCTTGCATGTTGAATTCGATTAATAAAATTGGGAGAAGACAATGTTTTTATTTTTATTTTCTCGATTTTTTTAATCCTTTTTTGTAGGGGTAGAAACGTTTTATTTTCTGATCGGGAGTGTATTAGAGCCTAGCAACAACATGGTTAAATCTAAAAATCTCTTTCCTGACATGCTGTGTAATATCCTGCCTCTTTCTTCCTAAATTTGACTTTAGCTTATTAGTTATTCTCTATGTATTCGAATTTATTAAGGTCAAAAAATGTTTCGACTTACCTTCAATGTAAAGCCCATTTTCCTTTAGGGTCATAGGCACTAAATTTTTAATTTTCTTATCCAAGCTTAAAAATGTAAAATTGGCTGTGATAGCTTCCTTATCATCAAGAGCTCCGTTAAAATCATAAAGGCTAGAAACCACTTTGACTTGAAACATATTATCGTCTTCTGATGAATATATAACCTGGGCAGTGAGCTTAACGGTAGAGCCAATATCCACTTTGGAATGGAACGTGGCTTCATCCAAAGAGCACATTCTCACATTAGATCCAGCAAACATACGGGCTGTGATGTACGCAATGTTATGCACATAGTTCAGAGTCTGTAATGATGTATATATTAGTATATTATACATAGAGAGCCACTACTTATAGAAATTGTTACCTTTCCACCAAATAAGTATCCAAGAACACTGCGATCCTGCAAATACAAACAGTTATCAAGTATTAGCCGTATTTCTCTTAATTTAGTGGGCTGACAATATATATATATATATCAGAAAAAAAATACCTGTGGTGCTACTATGAAAGCACTTTGAAGAGTTGTATCCCTAATTAACTTGTATTCTCCCATGGAATTTTCTTTTGTATATAGTGAAGGTAAATATTAATTATTGGGCTGTTCTTTATACATAGGCTTACTTTTCTTATCAAAGGCATCTGCTACAATATTATTGGAACCTTTAGATGTCTCAGGTTTACCGTCTGTACTGGTCTTTATATCTTTGTTCGATATATAACTTTTATTCTTCATAACTAAAAAGATCAATATCTAAGTACAAATTCACAATATAATATTTGAATTTCCTACCATTGGCAAGTTCTTGCATCTTTCTTTCTCCAACATTTGTTGTAACAAGTGAGTTTGTTTTTACAGCCTTTCCTGTTTCAATATGAACAGCTACCATATTGAACTTTGCAAGAAAAACAGTATTTGATGTAGGAGCTGTAATGTAATCTATCGTCGAATCTTTGAGTTCCATTCTTGCTCCCAAAGGCTTGTCAGCACAAGGGATTATCTTGGCTTTTACAAGAACTATAGTTGTATACCAGTTGTTAATTTTGCAAGTAAAAAAGTAGTACTTGGACCTTGATTTATTGCTTACCTTCTATACTTGACGTTCCTACATTTACAATGTGCCCACTTAATCTTATATCTTGTATAGTATCCGGAAGTATAAAGTGAGCATGCTCAACAGAAGCTGTCAAGACATGAGAAGGTATACGGTGCAAACAAGAATGAATATCTAAATGCTTAGTCCCAACAACATAAGCAATTTCATCGGAAACTAGATTCACATCTTAGCAATCTGTTTCTTTCTTAGTCTTCATTAAAACTTACTTTGAAGGAGATATCCTATGCTAATTTTACCATTATGAGTTATAGTTTTTTCTAAAAACGAAGGTGAAGACTTGAAGGGTAGCGTCTTCTCGGTGTAACTGTCCATCATCTGTGTTTTTATATATATACAAAGATATATGTTTGAATAAAGTATCTTTACGCCTTACTGTTACAACTTGCCGTCTTTACAACAAAATCGTGTTTAGACTCAAACTTGTCAAATGCTACCAAGGGTCTTTGATTTCCTTTAAGATTCATTTCTTCAGCCCAAAACTTGATAGGCTCTGCCAAAACTACTCTTTCTTTTTTTTTCAAGTGAAAATTTATTAATATCCGTACAGACTAATGTTATTTACGATAATTTTTACAAACCTTTACTGTTATTGGCAAAGTTTGAACCATTACATTTGGCCGAAATACTGGTAACCTTAGTATCTATCCAATTCTTTTTGTTTATAGAATTAAATCGATAAAATTTAATATTCTTAGGAGTGTTTTTTAAAGAGGATAGCATTTTAAAATATTAGAAGAAAAGAATAATTTTTTTTTACTATTATTTCCTGTCTTAAAATACCGTTTTTTTAATGCAAAATAGTAAAGCTCTTTCTTAATTTATTCAATTCATTATGTAGTGCAATGCATTACCCCAAATTTTACATTTTAAATGTATAGACTTAGTCAAAACGATTGTCATTTTAAAGCGTTAATGTCAAAGTTAAAATAATGTGATATAAAGATATTTTATTTGGGGTGCTATAAGACCTTGTGCACTTGGGAATTTAGGCAAACGAATGTGAGTTGAATAATAATTGATGCAAAGCAAAAAGAAGCTCTTTAAATGCAAGGAGGTATGTTAAAAGAGAAAAATAGTATTTGATACAGCATGACATATAGTAGTCAGCAAAAAGATAGCACGGAAAAAAACTTTCATTTGGAGAAAGCTGATTTGGAGAAAGAGATCAAACCAATATGGATAATACAGCAGGTAATAATACATGAAAAATATATATATAAAGAAATAATTAAGGGTCATGAAGGGATCAAGAATAATTAATTATTTGCTGGCAGCACCATAGCTGAAAACGGCTTTCAGCGTGGATATTAAATCCAAAGAGAGGTCCCTTTTAGAAACTCGAGCGATCTGTTAATTTATCCAGAATATTCAACAATACCAGACAAGATTGAGCATACTAGACATAGCTTTTGAAGGACGCATATTGTTGAGGTTGGCCGGGGATAGTGGATATTTTAGACATAAAATGAGAGAAGGGATTACCAGGAACAGGTTCTGTTTAATGATTTGTTAAGTCAAAATTTGTTTTGCCTACCACAAGCACCACTGACACCAATATTCACTCTGATGTATATGTGCTTTACGTATTTAATACAACTAAACTAAAAACAAGTTATGTAATATTATCTCCTTTAAATTTAAGCTTGTCTGGATCACAGCTTAATGTTACTACATAAGGTCTATACGTAAATGTTTATTACTTTTATATGGTAAAAAAAAATGAAGAGTAGTCAAGAACAATTTCTTACATGTAAAGCAAGTTTTAATTCTTATTGATACTTTGCTTATATGTAATGCAATAAAAGACAGAGCTTGAATAACAGGAATATCTACTAAACTACACAATCAGAAACAAAGATATATACGAACAGCCATATTAAAAAAAATATTGAAAATCAATTTTTTTTAAATATAAATATCCTCAACACATGTAACATTATAAGAAATATAAATATATTTTTTGCGCTCAAAATCCTTCTATACTAAATGCTCATTTAAATTATCCAAAAGAAAAACAAAACTAAATCCAAAGCTACTCTACAGCATATACTCTTAATCTTTGTAACTTGTGTGTATTAAGGTATTATAAGCCACGAATTTTTATTTATTTAAATCCGTCAGTGCTCAATGATAAGCCCTCGTTACTAGAATGCACTTTCATATCCTTGGTACCGGAGCAGTGGGATGCCACATTGCATGTCTTCTGCGCTTAAATAACCACAAGGTCACTCTTATCTTAAGATCTCAAAAAGCCCTCCACGACTTCAAAACTAGGAACCAGTCCATATCACTTACATTAAAAGGAAAGCCGCTGTTAGTCGGTGGATTCAACTCTATGGTCGTACACTCCATTTCTTCTCAAGGACCGCTAATCGAGTGCTTGATAGTCGCTACTAAAGCACAAAGTGTAATCGAGGCAGTTTCGCCGCTGAAGGATCGGCTAACCAGAAATAGTACGGTGCTACTGCTACAGAATGGAATGGGCGTCGTCGAAGAATTAATGGACACTGTCTGGTATGGTCAATCACACCCTTGTATCCTTGTGGGTGTAAATCGGCATGCTACTCAAAGGATAAGTGCATTCAAGGTTATCAATCACTTTGGATGGGTTCACCCTGAAGGTCTAGTGGTTTCAGAATGGCGCCAAACAGGAGAATCAAAACAAGGCTTCCCAGTACTAAAGAGCTTGTCGAATATTAAGGACCTCCAATTAAAAATTGTTTCCTGGGAGAATTTGCAGAATAGAATGGCCAAGAAACTTGTTATCAATGCCAGTGTAAATCCAGTTGCCACAATTCTGAATCTCTCTAATGGCGAAATGCTCGATGGTAGTCCATACACCTTGAATCTAATACGAGAGCTCTGCTATGAAGCCTATTCAGTCTTGGAAAATTTCCTTCCAGGCGAGACGGCCGAGATCCTTTTTGAAGGGGTGGTTGATAGTCTTCGCCAGAGCAAATCACATTATTGCTCAATGCTTCAGGATATCCAGTCTGAGCGCCCAACTGAAGTCGATTACATCAATGGATATATCTGTCGTATTGGGAAAGATCAAGACAAAGACTTTAAATTCAATCAAGCCATGGTAGACTTTATTCATGCCAAAGAGAGTGGGAAAAAAGCTGTAGAGAATTCGAAATAAATTAATATGGTGCTATCGGACTTAAGTATCTATGTTTTTGCATTTGTTTCAATTTCTTCTTTGAAATTTTTTTATATGTAATAATCATTTAATCTCCGCTAAATTTAGAAAAAAGTGTGTGTTCCTAAAGCTTGGCCACTTTCTTGATCACATGACTTTTCGTTTTAGGATAAATATTTTCATGTACCGCCTATGAGAGCCATCAAGATGTTTCAACTTCTGAAAAAAGTTAAACTCCGCAAATAAATCTATCAAAACACCCAAACTTTGAAGGGTATCAACTTTTACAAAAATGAATTTAATACAAAACGCTTCAATAGAATTATAGAGAATAGCATGCTTAATAATTATATTCAAGGATTTTTTTATTAAATCCATTTTTGCAAAAGTTGATATCTTTTGAAAAATACTATTATACATAGATACGTAAGTCCGATAGCACCATAAGTGTATGGAGTTTACCGGAATATACTTTATTCATTATCGGTACATATAACAGTTTACGCCACTTTTATAGTAGATTTGTAGCCACAGGGCATAATACTCTAGAAAAACCAGCATCAAAAATATACTAGTATACTGGATGAAATATATTTTGAAATAAATTTATAATAAACAGAAAGATACATATATATGTATAGAGAAATATAAGTACAAAACACAGAGTGTTAATTTCAAGAGACGTAATACTGAGCTTTCAATGTTTTATTATTGCTTGTTACTTGCTGCTCTATACTTCTTTATTTTATTACACCTTGCAATAGAATTCTTATATTTTTTTCTAAATAAAAACTAACGTAAATTATCTAATAACAATGTACAAAGTGAATTCCACTATTTACAAGGCACATATCTTCCAGCTTAACGAGTCCTATTTTGAATAGCGAATAAGATAGAATATTAATGAATATTAAAAAATAAATTCTAGTAGAATAATGATCTACGCTACTTCTTTGGGCAGTTTGCAGCTTTTGGGGGGCAGTACCTAACAGCTTACTGGCTAGTTCATTTTTCTTATAAATTAATTTTGTTTTTAGAATTGTACTACGACTTTTGGTTACATAATTACTATACAAGTGGCAGCAATCACTGTATCTAAAGAGGTGCCTTTTCTTTTGTATTCTAGTGATCTGCTGTTATGCTCTACATGCATCTTCTAAACGGGAGAGATGATTGATTGTTTTGTGTTTGACAATGCCCCATTTTTAAGTGCTTCGGTTCTTGCCTCCGTCACTTCTTTTGTCTCCCGTTTTTGTTTGCTGAGTTTTCTTTACCCCCTTCCCCTTCAGTCTAATGCCCATTCGCTTATCATACATCAATACAAAATATCAAAAACATTAAAAAAAATATAAAGCCCAAAAAATAGGATTGCCACCGCCTTTTAACCTTAGAGGTGCATAACTCGATAAGAACCTTTAAGGCCCAGACTCCTTATAAGAGAATAATGACTATTTTGTTTTCGATCATTAATATTTCTTTTAACTGGCAAACGCCATAAAGATCTCTTTTATTTCATATAATTATTATTGATAGACTTGTGCTTTATGGAATGCACCTTCGATATTAATTAATGCATTAAGCATTGTACCCGGGCATATAAATGAAGAAAAGCTGAGATTCTGCCAGTCCATCTAGTTTTTATAAAAACGAACGGCACCCTCATTTTCAACAAACTTGCACTTTGTCCAGCTATTGAATAAAACCTTATAAATAGGGGTATCGTCCCGGCGGTAGTGCTTCCCGAGAGCTTTTTTGAGATGTTCAGTAGCCTCTACAGTGTGATAGTGAGGTATAGTATGTACAACGTGATGAAGAAAGTGTGTATCTCCAATGTGATGGAAGACGTGATCCAGAAAAGCACCATATGATCGATCGACAGTGAGAGCAACTCCACGCTGGTAGCTCCAGACCTCAGAATCGTAGTGGGGTAACTCAGGAGCTGTGTGCTGGATGTATGTAATCGTAATCATCCAGGCATGGGTAAGGATATGAGGAATTATATAGAATTTTATTATATTGATCAGTCCATAAATGCTTCCTAGGCCGATCAATACCCCAAGCATTATAAGGACGCCGATTATAGACTGTACCACCTGCCAATATTGGCTTTTATCAAATATGAAACAATTTGGATTAAAGTGAGAGACCCATCGTTCTCTTGTCGTATCTCCGGGAGTGTGAAATAGCATATAGTAAGGCCATGCAACAAAAAGAAAGAAAGAAAGTCGCAGGAGTTCAACAAAAGGTGCGTGTTCCAAGATGCTATGAGGACCATCGATCTCTGGGTCTTCAGCGAGAGGAGGTAGACCCGTAGATGAGCGTAGTTTGGGTATATGATTCTAATAAATATCAATAAAACAGGTCTTAGTTTTCTTTTATCTTCACACATGATATTGGTCTTTATGACAAATATTTGCCTTATCTCTAGTAACATGCCCAATTGTGTTATGGTGTTTGCCATGAGTAATTGCCCAGGAGTAATAGGGAACGAGCATGAAGCTATGAACAACCATTCCAACACCATCACATAAAACCTATTTTATATAGACAAGCTGTTAGTAAATGTAAGATTTCTAGACTTGTACAATTAAAATTACCTTTGAAGAACTGAATGCTTGGTGTCCACATTCATGGCATATCATCCAAAGACCAGTACAGACAGCACTCTGTAGAAACCAATACACAGGCCACAAAACAAGGCGAAGTGGGGCAAATGATATATTGCCAATCGAGCTAGCACAATATACCAGTGCTCCAACATAGAATAGGTCCTTAAATAGATATGCGAAAGAACGAAAGGTGTTGCGCTCAAAACAATGAGCAGGGATAATGCTACGTATCTCTCGGATGGAAATTTCGGCAATCTCCCACTCCTCTCCACTTTTCTTGTTCATTGTAGGTGCAGTACCAACTACTTTAACGGCTTTTTTCTCGTTCTCCGTCATGATTATAAAAGTAATTTGTACAGAATGCAGAGATACTTATGAATGAAGAATACTATTTATCGATGCTGGATTTATATACAATATTTAAGGAGGGAACTTTAAAATGTACTCACTTGGCTTATTCATACATTTACAAACTAGTTAAACTATATTGTCGGATTAAATTTGATAATATATGTTTGTGTGTTGATTGTAGAGAGTATTATTGTTGTAACACTAGTTTTAATAAAAAAAAACGAAAGTCTCGTTAGCATTGATGCAAATACAGATTTTATTTTTAAGCTATAATTTTTTGCTAGTGGGTTTTCTGTACTAGCCATATTCTTGACAAGCATGTTTTGTTTCAAGATTTAAGCTTAAAGTGCCCTCGACAGTTTCCTAAAATTCGTTATCACAGAAACTAAATAGAATATAGTCCAAATACAAAAAGGTCAAATATATATACACACATCAAAAATGAAAAGCTGAATTCCATGAGACCACTTATGGTATTGTTCTTTGTATTAGCAGTAGACAGATGCATTTTCCCCTACTGGGAAGGTTTTTTTTTACGTGCTCTCTTAATTTTTCGCTGACTATTAACCTTTTTCATGCCTTGTACGATACTTTTTTTCTCCTTTATTTATCTTTCATTTTTGCTTATTTTTTCATCCCCCCTCATATTTAGGAGGTTGCTCTTATTGTTTTTAATTATTACTCAGTTGTCATTGGGTCGCCTAAATGCTAAAGTCTGCAAGGGCTAGAATAACCCACAATAAAAACATTTTCACCTGTCTACCGCTATTGTATTTATTTATTTTTACTAGCATCATGTTTAGCAAATTGACTGTGTAAGGACATGTCAAGCTAAATACTACCCTATTTTTTCTTCTTAAAGAAAAAAGTAGGTTGGCCCTATCGTACTTAAAGAATCTAATTAAGGTAGTTTTTGAGAGGCAAGAAACATTAAGCTATTAAACCACATGGTCATAAATTATACACTGTTTAAAATACAATCCGCACATCGCTAAATCACACTTTTGCTTGTTTGTTTTCAAGCCATTCTTTATTTACTTGGACATGGTTTAAAGACATTAATAAATTTGGGGATTGTGTGCGGTGCGTTTCTTTCCTTTATCAGAACGTTGCTTTCGAGTTGACACCGTTTTATTGGTATCTTTATTAAGCACTTTTTTAAAAGTAATAATAATAATATACATATACATGTATATATATATATATATACATACATAATTAGTATCATAAACATTTGTTTCAATTGATACTTACCGATAGTGTTGTTTAGTGAAATGCCTCTTGACTTTTTAACTCCACTCTTTCCAGATAAGACTTTACGAGATTTACGATATGACTTCTTGTCTTTTTTGGAAGGCCCCTCATTATCACAGCCCGGAATTAATGGGTTTACATGCCTGCTTGTAGCTGTTAGATACGGAGATTCAGTGAATGGTTGTCTAAAAGAATCTATTGCGAGCATGCTGTTCACTGAACCATCTATATGTCTATAGGTTTCTGATCTAAATTGAAATATAAATCAGTTAATATAGGCTTTTCCGATTGAGTTATACACACTGGTTTGTATTTTAACTTACCCCATTAGATGATCCAATGGCATATTTTGTGGTGCAAACGTATTAAACTGTGATCGAGGGATGGATTGTAAAAAGTCGGCTGTATGATCGAGTACTGCATGATCTTTGAAAACAATTCCATATAAATCACCCCCAAAGAAAAGATATAAATATTATGAATGGCAACAGTTAAAAATAAAAAATAAAAGATAATTCTACCAGACTTTGAGCTATTTGTATTGTCATTGGAAGTCTGCTTAGAATCCTGTAGGCCATTATTCCAAAACTTTCTCAGCATCATCTTTGCACCCCAATTTCCAACACAAGCTCTCAGTGGTAAATGAGGAGCTGCCAGTTCTTCCAGATAAAGCGCGGCACTGTTCTGTGCACGGAGCGAAAGACTACCCCATGTAGTATTCTCATCTATGTCATGCTCTTTGTTCACCCTGTCAATTACGGAATTTATCATGTGACTTCTTCGAACATTGTCAATACAAATTCCAAGGTCTTCAATAGAAAGGCGTTTGGCAGAGGGTCCGAGAACATCCCAGGCAAGTTGCTTGTAAAGTCCCCAGCCAAACTGCCTTCTTTGTCCATCTTCATCTCTCGGATCAGAATGGCATCTTTGAGGGTATAGCATGTCGGAAAATACTCCAACTTCCTTTAGAGAGGCAGGAACATCGTAAGGGGATTTCAAAGAAAAGTCGAGTTTATCCCACTGAGAAAGATCTTCCTGAAGCTTGTCCAACTTTTCACTAATGGCTGCATTTTCTTTACGAATGTCATTTATTTCCGAGAGAAGTTCAGATTGGCTAGAGATGAGGACTCTGTTGGATTCTTTTAATTCTTCGAGCAGGGCGAACAATAAATTCTGGTTCATTAGTGCTAATGAAAGTGAAAAAAAAGGACGTCTATATTTCCTGGTATATGATAAAGTATTAACTAAAAAAAATGAGGCTTATCTACCAGGAAATAAGACAAAGAAAACGCACCTACCCGAAAATAAGAAAAGTCATAATTTTACAAGTCATTTTGATTATTGTTTCAATTTACAGAACATTTTCCTTGGAACAAGAGATATTTATCTTAAGTTCTTAGCATCTCAATACAAATTTCCTAGGCAACTTGAGGGAGTTATTTAAATTTTTATAAAACTTTACAGGTACTTCCTGACAAGAATAAAAATATAATGATCTTTGCAAATATTCTCAAAAGTATGATTAATAGGACTTAATAACGACAATCTCATGCAAATCAGATTTCAACATAAAAACGTTGATATGGAAGAGATCAAGACACTTGCTTATTTTAATTTGTTTTCTCTAAAGAAAGAAAAACCTCTCAAAACTGTTGCTAAGATATATACTGTTTTATTTACTCAAATATTGATTGTTGACATGTATAGACAAGAATGTGTATTTTAGTAAAAGAAAAGGTTTTGTTGAAGGGGTATAGAATGTCTGTTTCAAATAAACTTCACAAACAATAAAAAGGATCGACAAGTCAACATTCTGGTTAATATTTTATCATTTACCAGGAAATATAGACTTTCCCTCCTCCTACTTCTCCTTCTACTCCCCCACTTTCTACCACATGAACAAACGTTAATATATTCTTTTAAATAAAAAGCCTTGACTATATATATATTTATATTTATATATCATATAAATATAAGGGTTTGACACTTGTATAACACCACTGTCGATTAGGTTCCTTTATTTATTTTATTTCTTGTGTGTGTGTATTTATATACATTTGAATGAAATCAAGCTATCCTGTAATATTCTGCCTGTTAGTATTATCATGTAAAAAAGAATAAAATACATGGCTGAACAAATTATAATTATAATTATTTGAAAACAAAAAACATAAAAGCTAAAAGGTATACTCCTTTTAATTAGCTATACACTCTTTCCCGGAAATTATTGGTGCAATTTTCTATCCATTTCTCTGCTTAATCCATCTTTTTTTTTTTGGTGTATTCCACTTTTGCACCAAATTGATTTTTTTTGTACCAATAATTTCCGGAAAAGAGTGTATATAGATTATTTTTTGAGTGACAAAGCACATGCTCTTTAATAAGTTAATTGGTTACCAACAAATAAAATAAAAGAGAGCGTTGATAAGAGAGATGGAAATATTTATATCTACAGATAAAAAAAAATTAACCCTCAAATTGTACAAGTGTAACCCATATCACAATTGTAACAAAACAAAAAACCAAAAACCAAATGTGCTCTTGTGCATAAAAGCATGGATAAATATAAATATATTCTGATGAGATTAGTCGATAAGAAAGATATACATTCATTAGATTAAACCCAAAAAGATTCTCCTCTTTTTGCCACTTGTACTATGATCAATTCACTAGATAATCACTGAAGTCACAGCCAATAGAAGGAGAGAAAGAGAGAGAGAGAAAGGATGAAAAAAAAATATTGTATTGTGTAGAGATATCAAATTTGATAATTACAAATATTTGTCTATTTGGTTCAATAATTTAAATGAATGAATAAAAATGAAAAAAAATACTATTATTTTAAATGACTTTCTATATATATATTTTAGATTTCTTTAATTCTTGTATATATATATATTTATTGTAAAAAAAAATGACTTGATTTTGGTTTTGGTTTTTTTTTATATAAAAAAATGCTCTTTGATTAAGGGATTTATAGTGCGGTTTCGGTTTCGGTCTCTGTCTTGGACTTGGACTTGAATGTTGGAAGTTCGATTACTTTTGTGCAGTTCTTGACTCCCTTGAGTCTGACCCAACGACCCGACCGCAGTTCCTGTCCGACACCAATGACAAGCAGTGTGCGATTTGATGGGAAGACGGTCTTGATCTGAATGCTGTTCACCACACCCTCGACAGGGATCTGGCCAATCTGTGACAGGTTCTTGTTGTCTTTCGAAAGCTTCCAGATACGCACAAAACCATCCCAAGATCCAGAAACCAACAAATCCGAGTATCGTAGGCTTGCAAGAGCTGTGATCCAATATGGTGTCTTGATGTCTCCCTCTGACTCACTCTTGACTACCTTGAGGCCGTGAGCAGCGCCAAAGCTAAATGTTGGTTTCTTGCGGTTGATATCCCACAATGAAAGAGTACTAAGAAAGAAAGAAATATTTTTTTTTGTTAAAGAAAAGAGTAAGATTTATGGTATTACTATTTAACCCTTTGCCCACTCCCATTTTCCCTATATTTTTTATTCTTTCATCGGTTCAAAACTTACCCACTGTCACCACCAGTAACAAACATATCCTCATCCAATTGTGCAAGGCAATCGATAGATCCTTCGGTGAAAGATCTGACCTCTTCACCATCGGTGATCTTAGTTGTGACACCACCTCTGTAGACCAACTGTGACTCTTCTACAATCTTCCACAGGCGAGCTGTCTTGTCACGTCCACCCGTAGTCATACAACGTTCTCGACCAAGGGTATCAATGGCTGTGATTTGGTCTTGGTGTCCAAACAAGGTTTCTATGTAGGTGCGTTCGTCGATATTCCACAATTTGATGGTACGATCGTGAGATGCTGAGTAAAGTTGGTTTGATCCTTTACGGAATACCAAGCCCTTTTTTTTCATAGAACAATAATAATAATAATAATAATATTTAATTTAATTGATTTTATTTGATTTTATATGTGTTTAATACAATATCCAATATCCAATGTCCAATGCACACCGATTCTTTAAACACTTTTATATATACTGAAATAAAATAAATAAATTTAAACCTACCGAAACAGCATCCTTGTGATGTGTGAATGATGAAATACGTTGGTTATCCTTGACAGACCAAATGTTCAGAATCTTGTCTTTACCACCACTTGCCAAGTACTGATTGTCTGAGCTTAATGCAAGTGAAAGAACATGGTCTGTGTGGCCTACAAAGTCCTTGACACCTTTACGTCCACCAGGGAATGTATGAAGTTTCTTCATAGTTTTTACGTCCCCTACAGAATTAATAAACAGGTATTTTGTCAATATATAACCCTCATAAATTCCAGCATTCTCTCTCTCTCTCTATTTTTTTTTTTCATGTATGGTTGTGTATTGCTGTCCATTCATTCATTTGCCCATCCTCCCTTTTCTTCACTCGTTAACTTGTCCAATATTTTCACTATTTTGTTGTATCCTCACATTTGATAATAGATCCATCTTTTGAACCAGTGTAAATAATCGAGCCATTCTCAGACAATGCTACTGCAGTGACAGCCAACTGATGTCCACGACATGTTTTGATGCTTGAATCGTCTATTGCTTCAAAATCGTACTGTGATAGTTATACAAAGTTAAATTGACTGATTAATTGATCCATTGTGAGCATATAGTATAATTTGAAGTCTTACAAGATCAGCGACACGTCTGTGAAGTTTGCCTGCAATTTCATCCTGCAAAATAAAATTCGATCAATAAATTGTTGAATATGTATATTATTTAATTATTTGCTAATATCCTCGAGTAAATATGCACATTAATACATATACATATATATCTAAAAAAATTTTTAACCTTACCGCATCCTTTTTAAGGCGATCTGCAATGAGATCTCTATCGAGATCTGCGGCATCAAATCCATCAAGATCATCTATATATATATATATATATATATTGTGTTATTGTAATGTCAGTGTCAATGCCAAAATGTCAACGTTTAGCTCTTTTTCCCTTCTTTTATGTTTTGTGTGTGTGTATATGAATCCGGGATCATTCTTTTTAGTCAATACAAAAAAAAAGTCTAACCTTCAAGACTGTCTTGGATTTTGTTAAGGTAAGCTTTGGCAAGACGAACACGTTTCTCGGCTGCAGTTTCTTCGATTTCTTCTTCCGAGGAATCCTCATCGGAGGCCATTAGGTTCATGTCATCAATGTTGCTAGGTTCATTGTCGTCTTCATCGTCGCTATCTTTTTTGTTTTTGTTTTTGTTGACGAGCAATTTTTTGCCACTACCGGTAGTGTTGTTGTTGTTTGAAGAAGGTTGGGAGCGTTGTCTTTTTGGTGGTGCTGATTTACCACCTCTTTTGGTAGTCGAAGTAGTATTGTTGGTAGAAGTGGTCTTTCGCTTGCGGCTACTGGAAAAGAAGGCGTCAGGCATCGTCAATGAAAAAAAAAGAGAGAGAAAGGTTCTAGTGGTGGTGAATGCCTATTTTTTTTTCTATTTTTTTATTTTTTTTTCTGCTGTTGCTTAAATGATCTTTTTTAAACAAGATCGAGGACACTTTAAATTTTATTAATAAAAAAAAAATTCAAATAAAAAAAATAAAATATATAGAAAATAATGTGTGTGTGTCTTTTTTTTATTTTATTTAAATAAAATAAAATAAAACTTCAAATGAAAAATTTATTTAAAAATTATAGATTGATAGATAGTACTGTATCATATTGTACTGCTCTTAATGATATACCTATAACTATATATGAATTGATATATATAGTCTACTTCTTCTTTACCTTGTTATATTTCAATTATTTATATATAATATAATACATAATACATATATATGAAAATTAATAGTCAATAAAAATGCATTAGACGAAAAAACGGACAATGAACAAGCCACACAAATGGTCACAAAAGTAAGATAGAAAGCCAGACTCAAAACTAATAGACCACCACCACCACCATTAACCCACATATACATATATTAAATATACTACTATCAAACCAGTAAATTAATAATAATATTCTTGTATTTCTTCACTTACTTACTTACTTACTTATATATATATACACAATAACTATTGGTATTGCTGCTTAAAGTAAAATATTAATAATAGCATGAATCCACCTACACCGCAATACATATTCCGTGGCCACCAAGCAGCAATAAACACATTGTGTTATTTTGGAGATGACCAGTTTATTGCATCAGGGTATTAATAAGAATTACACCTCATCTCATCTCATTTGATAATAATTATAGACTCACTCACTCATCCACTCACTTGCTTATTCATTATCTATGCGTGGGTGTATTTATGGTTTATAGAGATGGAGATGGAATTATTATAGTGTGGAAAATGAAAACCCGCCGTCCAGTATTGAAGTGGAAGGCTCATGAAGAGAGTTGCCTGTGTGTAAAGGTGTATAAGGATCGACTGGTGAGGTAAATACTTTATATAGCAAGATATTGCAAATCTACTGCATGTTAATAGTAAAAAAAAAAAAAGAAGAAAAGTAATATGAACAAATTATTCAATAAAGAAAGAACAATATCATATTTATATAATACAAATCATTCTCTTTCTTTCTCAATATATTTTATTACTATTTGAATTTGATTTTGATCTTATTTTGGATTCAATTGAATTGAATTGAATTGAATTGAACTGTGCAATGTGCTTGTATTTTGAATGTGTGGCTGTATATATAATTATGTATATTTATGTTAAAGCCAAGGGAGAGATGATAAGATTCAAGTGTGGCAGCTACCTGACCTGGAAGAAATAGCAGTAGTGGTTTCTGTATCTGATGCTCAGAATCTCAAGCCACCAACCTTGGTATTTCATATTCCTTATGATTCACTTAATTTCTGCAAGTTCTCTCTGTGCATCATTCCAGGTACCAACCAAAACAAAAATAATAATCTAAAATCTTGTTATCACAAAACGTTATCAATTTTTTACTTTATTTGTTAATCAAACAAAATATATATAAAAAAAAGACAGTGTTCTTCTGGCATTTCCTTCAAATGGAGACACACCTCTCGTGAGTTACAAGCAAATAGTGATATTATTGTATATCTTATATATCATTCACCACTTGATCGGCTAGTCACAATAAATGTATAGGTATTTAATTACTATTTTACTATGAATCTAGGTGGATATTTATGATCTCACCCTTAGGAAATGGGCTATCAGAACCATTGGACTCGGTACCACTGCTGGTCTTTCAAAAAAGGGCCTGTGCATGGCAGTTGAACTAGTTGAAAAAGAGGAAAAGATATGGTTACTGGTTGGATACGAAGATGGTTCTGTAAGCATGTGGTTTTGTGATGTGATACAGCGTGTGGCCAGTTTGGTATGGGATGTACAGAAACACAAGCAGCCTGGTGAGTCTGATTTGTTAAACAAAACCAAAAGAATATATATTTTGCTTTGATAATTTAACCATTTCTAATCTGTATGATAGTATTGAGTATGGCAGTGGACCGATCAAATACCTGGGTTGTCTCGACATCAGCTGACAACCAGATTATCAAATACTCTATTCAATCGGGTGATGTTTTAAATCAAATAGCCTTGAAGAAGTCCGGTATTGCGGCTGTGGCCGTGCGTCCGGACAACAAGATCTTTGCCACTGCCGGTCATGACGGAAAGTATGTGTGTGTGTGTGTGTGTGTTTTGAAACAAAAACAAAAACAAAAAAAAATACCCTATTTTTCTTCCTCCATCTCTCTCTCTCCAAATTCAGTAAAACAAGATTTCCTTTTTTTTTTATTACTTATCTCTTGTACTCACACACTCTTACTTTCTATGTATGTGCGTATTTATATTTATAGGATCAGGGTCTTTTCTTGTTCAAGTCTGCGTCCACTTGCAATTCTGACCTACCATCGTGAAAGTGCTTATTGTGTGGCATTTGGTACACAATCTGACTGCAATTGGCTCATCTCTGGTGGTAAAGATGCGCGTATCAGTTTGTGGGCAATTTACTGATTAAAAAAAAAAAGGTCAATTTTCTTTGTATTATTATTTAATACACACACAAAGAGATATAAATAAATAAAATAAAAAAGATTCCAAAAGCAGTTTCGGTTGACTGATAGCGATAAGAGGAAAAAATAAATAAAGAAAAGGCAAAGATAAAGCTGTGTTCTTGTCTTTTTGCTTCTTTTGGACAGCTTTGTCCAACCAACCTCAGACTGATCCACCTCATAAAATACCTATTCTTTCGAGTCAATTAAAACCCAGGATTGCCTATCAACTTATCTATGTCTTTTGGTTGTGCAAAGAAAAGAAAACAAGACCAGAACAATCATAAAATAGAAATACAAAATAAAATAAAATAAAATTCTGGCTTATCTTTAAGTATATTACATATGTATCAAATTATACTGTAGTATAAAATTGATCGATCAATCCTATAAAAGAAAATCACTCAAAAACCAAAATACTTCTTCTTCTTTTTCCTTTATTTGTTCCTTTCAACTTGATTTAAAATAATAAACATAAGAATCATATGGATCCAGAAGCAGCAGAAACACCGGCTCCTTATGCTTCCGAGTTTAATGCAGGCGACATTGCCTGGATTCTTACCTGTACAGCCCTTGTCTGGCTCATGATTCCTGGCATTGGATACTTTTATTCAGGAATGGCACGCTCAAAGAACGCCCTTTCACTTATAATGTGCTGTGTACTATCACTAGTCGTAGTAACCTGTCAGGTAAATAATTAAACAATGATTATTGATTTTTTTTTACTAATTAACGATCGCATCTTATCAGTGGTTTATTTGGGGATTCAGTTTGACTTTCAGTAAAGGCGCAAGTGTCTTTATCGGCAACCTCGACAACGCCTTTTTGCGCAACGTTCTCGGCGACCCATCAATCGGCAGCAGCAGCGTCCCCGACCTCGTCTTCTGCATCTACCAGTGCATGTTCGCCGCCCTCACACCCGCCTTGGCCATCGGGTCAGCTGCCGAACGCGGCCGCCTCTTGCCGATGATCATCTTTATCTTTATCTGGTCCACCATTGTCTACGATCCCATTGCCTGCTGGACCTGGAACCCCAATGGCTGGAGTGCCAAGCTCGGTGCACTTGATTTCGCAGGTGGAACCCCTGTCCATATCTCGAGTGGATTTGCCAGTCTTGCCTACGCCCTTGTTCTCGGACGCCGCCAGGGTCAAGGAGGAACCAACCAGGTTAATGAGTTCAAGCCCCACAACATGTCCAATGTCATCCTTGGCACAACTTTCCTCTGGTTCGGCTGGTTTGGCTTCAACGGTGGATCTGGTCTGGCAGGAAACTTGCGTGCCTGCATGGCATTTGTTGTAACCAACCTTGCTGCTGCTGTGGGTGCGATCACCTGGATGTGCATCGATTACCGTGTCGAGCGTAAATTCTCTGCCCTTGGCTTCTGCTCTGGTGCGATTGCTGGCCTGGTTGCCATCACTCCTGCGGCTGGTTTCGTTGGACCCGGACCTGCGGTGGCGATTGGTTTCATTGGTGCGGTTGCCTGCAACATGGCCGTCTACCTCAAGCACTGGCTCAAGTATGACGATGCTCTGGATGTGTTTGCCCTGCACGGTGTTGGTGGCTATGTCGGAAGTATCCTGACCGGTATCTTTGCCGAGTCTTACATTGCCGGTCTTGACGGTGCTACTGAGATTGCAGGCGGCTGGATGAACCACCACTGGGTCCAGATTGGCTACCAGTTTGCTGACGCCACTGCTGGTGCTGCCTGGTCATTCTGCATCACTTACCTGATTCTCTTTATCATGGACCACATTCCCGGTCTTTCGCTCCGTGTTGATCCCGAGACTGAGATCCTTGGCCTGGATGCCGCAGAGATCGGTGAGGTTGCTTATTATCACGTCGACAAGATTGTAACCGTAGATCCTATGACTGGTGCGCAACAGATAGTGAAGGAGGAGGTCAAGGAGGTCCATCCCCAGGATTATCCACAAGGAGCCATTTCCGACGATCAGATTGGAATCACCTCTGAAAAGGAACACTCCCATTAAAGGACAGCGGCCAAGAAACAACAACAACAACAACAATAAGGGTCAATCCAAGATATCTTTATGGTTTCAAAGTAACCACCCCCCTCAATATTTAAACCTATCTTTTATATATCTTTTTATTCTTTTCTTACTAATAATTCATAATAATTCATAATATAATACCCTCTTTAGCTTCTTATTCTATTATTTTTTTTAGTATTTTTTTTTTAGTATTTTTTCTTTCTTTTTTTTTTATATTGTTTAAACCTTTTTTTATTATTATTAATTGATTACACTATGTTTAAACTATTTACGCCGGCCCATTTACATGTAAAGATAATGCATGAATTTGAATGTGAATTTGAATGTTAATGTTAATGTGTATGTAGAGTCATTATCTATATTTAGTAGAAAGTAGTTAATGCACTCGTTCACTAATTCACTCACTCACTCACTCAATTGCACATATGCATATACGTACATGTTACAAATATTTATTCAGTCAAAATGCCTCTCCCATCTTACTCTATTTGTAGTACTAATTCTCACTATGTTTATTTCTCAATGCATTAAACCAAAATCAAATCACTAGTATATATACATTGATCATTGATCTTAATAAATTAAATTTATCTGTGCCTTTCTTATATTCTTCTCCGGCTTCCCCTTATATATATATATATATATATCAGTAAAACAAAAAGCAGTAGAATATTCTTTTGCTATTCGAAAAGATAAAGAAGCGAACGAACCTGGACATCTGAAAGTAGTTGAATGAAAAGGAAGATATGTCAAAGTTGTAGTGAATTGATATCAAGTGTTCACTTTTTAATTCCCAATTCTCTGGTCTTGTTATCACTAAATTTTATGGCTTAAATATCGTTTGCTGAATATTAGATCTTTTACTTTTATTTGATTAGTATATCCAGCTACCTTAAACACAGCCTTTACTACTACTTCTCCTATTATTAGAAGTTAAAAAAAAACAGACTAAATAGTATCAAGGTTCTATGTTTTTTTAAGATTTTCCTAGAGGGATTAAGTACTCAAGTAATGTTTTCATTTCATTTACACAGACTATAGACAATAATAATATTCCACCAAATCAATCAAAAAATAAAAAGCCTCTCCAGCTCTCCCATACTAGCTTATCTAACTTTACTTGACAGCAAAACTGTATTCCTAAAAGTGTGTTTAATTTAAGTAATAAAGCTTACTTTAAAAGGAACTTTTTTTTTATATATATCGATTGGTCAAATATTAATCAAAACTTATAAAGAATATGTATAATGATGACAAATTTAGTACAGCAAATACATCAACAAAAGAAGTAGCATTTAACAATAAAGTGAAAAACAGAGGACTAATAACCTAGGAAATTGCAAGCCATTTTGTTACACTATGGCTATTGTAACCAACCCGTATACTCGCCAACCAAAAAGACCATTACTCCTTCCAGTAGAAACCGCTCGATTACTCTTCCGCTAGAATATAAAAATTCGTCTTCAGTTACAGAACCCAAGGGTTTGGGGTAAAGAAGAGAAAGGGTATCATCTGCAATAATGCTAAACGCCTTTGTTTGCTTATGGAGTACAATGAGAGAAACTGCCTGAAGGATTGACATTATAGTGTATATAATCATAATAATCTTAGCCAATCTGTCTAAGTTTGGTCTCATGCATTCAACAGTCGTAAAAAGTAGCTGCCCAAGTGTAATAAGTATTTCAATATATGGGCTATCGTCCATATCGTGGGCCGTTTTTGTATTTGGCATTGGTCATTACAGGCTGCCCCAGGTCCTCCAACATTCCTCCGTTCAAGTGTGTCCAAGCCTTCTTTGGGATAAGATTCATTATCCCGGCCTATAATCAAAGATTTGGCTAGGATACAATGCTTAATTTTCTTTGCCTTTTCGGGACCCATTATATGAAGAAAGGCGGCTAGATATCCTCCATTTCTGTAGTAATCAGGATCATCTTCTTCTTTTTTTTATCGTCTACTAGTCGATTTCTTAGGCTTACAACGTTTGAAAATTTGCTGCCATTGTCCTTGTCTGCTTTACATTCGGGTGTAGACGCCAATAGTAGAATGCATAAGGTAAACGGGAATATCTGTAGAAACATTTTACAGTATAGCCACGCAGAAATATAAAATATACAGTGGAGGAATAGAAGAACAAAAATAGGTAGAAGGATCTTTAGTTAATATTTGTTTGATTATAAGAGCTGGAAACCCGTTGGGAAGACATAGTATTTATGTGTTTTTTTTTGAAAGTGGCACAATATATAAGCTTTAAGGGCTTTGAACCTAAATGGCGAGGATGCTCATCATTTTGAAGTACATACTATGTAGGACTATATCAAGCAAGATCCTTATTATGATTATGATACAGTAATACTGTGTTTATATATCTTGTATTCTGCTGAAATAAATAGTCACTTAAATACACTATAAATGATGTGTATATATACATATATATCTTCTTTATTATACTTGAGTAATATGTAATATTAAAACGTTTTGGAAAGGCAAGGGCCTAATGTCATAAGAAACAAACTGTTGAGAGGTTTAGTATCATATTTTTAGCAAAAAGGTTTTGTGTTTTGATACACAAGTTAGATTTTGATTTGAGCTTAGATCCAAATAGCCACAAATCAGTCTACAAAAAAGAGTTGGCTTGAATGACCCGTTAATAATTATGGCTTGAAAGAATCTTTTTGGAATACTTTCGAATGTCTGTGTGTTTTATCAGATAAAAGGCTTGGTAATTTATTGTATCACATTCGGTATTATATAGGCACACACACACACAATTTTTTTTTGGATAGTAATGATGATATATGTAAAGGTATATTAAAATATAAGAAAATGTTTCTAAATGTATATAATGAACATGTTTCCCACAGGACATATACTATCTAATCATGCCGCCAATTGACCCCATTACTTGCAGTAAGAGATAGAAGATGATCCACTAAGATTGGTGCAGATGTTTTTGGGAGTGTTGGATGCAGGAGTGACATTAATGTTGGTAAGGGTGACACTCTTACAAGGGCTACCTGTGGAGCAGTTGATGTTGACAATAGGTTCCTTTGCAGTGGAAGACACAGTTCTGCACAAGAAATCAATATATAATATTAATAATTATTATAATATTGACGATGATGATGGTAGTGGTTGAAAGAGCTGTTTTTACAGAAATTTACAATTGTTTCTTCGTACTTACCCATAGATGTTGTTGAGAGTGACACCACTGATACTCAAAGAGGTACTTGCAGAATTGCAGCTGGATGACTTTTCATTATCACAGTAGTGTGTTGTAATAATGATAGGATTATCGACATTCTGAAGGCTAATGTTGTCAAACTTGACACCAGTAACGCTACCCTTTCCTCCAGGCCAGGTCTTAACTCTAGATAACAAGATATGGTTTTGTGTGTGAATATGTGTACTACTAGCTGCCAAAAATAAATTAATTACCTGACACCATTTTGACAGTTGATACACTTGTTGTTCAAGAAATTCAAGTTGGAGACAACATCAGTCTTGCCATCCTTGCCGAGGGATCCGACACTGAAACCGTGGCTTCCAGTACAGGTAAGGCCAGAGACAGTCAAGCCACTGACACCACCATTGACAGCAATACAGTCGTCGCCGTTAACAATGTTAGAGTTGCGGATAGTGATCCCGGTCGATCCAGAAACATCAAACGCATCAGTGTTCTTGGCAGGATAGCTTGCTTTAGAAGAAACGGTATTGATGGTCAGGTTCTCAAAAATAGTATTGCTGCATCCATTGATACTAAAGTGTGCCCGGGGAGCTTGCTTGATTGTAAAGCCACCAAAGTAAGAGTTGGTAGCCTTTGGCTTAAACACCACAGGAGCATTTCTGTTGACAGCATTGTACCACGCCTGACCGTTTCCGTAAAAGGTACCCTTTCCAGAGAAGTTGATCTTATCACCGGCAAGATAAAAATAGGCAATTGCGGACTCAAAGGCGGTGTTGTAGGCAGGCAGGTTGACAGTCGATCCAAACTCAACCTTGACGTTACTCAGGCCAGTGGCAGACACAACAGACTTCATGTTGAAAGTAGCTCCGGCAGGAAACACAACAGTACCGCCGTTCTTACAGGCTGCAAATGCAGCATTGATCGAGACAGAGTCATCTCCACTGCTTGAAGTCTTGACAGTGCATACAGTTGCGGCCTGAGTAGTGCTAACGGCCAATAAAAGAACCGAGGCAATTGAGCTGATACCAAAGAAACGCATAACGAATTTGAATGTGAGAAAAGAGATGAAGTAGGGTAAATGTAAAGATAAGGAGAGGTGTGGGTATGAGTGTGAGTGTGAGTGTGAGGGAGGATAAAGATAAATAAAATCAAGTTTACTAGCTTACATATATATATATATATATATATATATATACTTTTTCATCCTTCATATTAATATATTCTGACTTTAATGCTTTATTAATGTAAATTATCAGCTCATTGCTTGAAGCCGTTAATGGAACTGAACATCAAAGGACATTAATGATCCACTCGGAAATATCGAAGAGCTCAAACTATTAGCAAAAGAAAGCAAAATTCTACGAAGGATCTATCTTAGTAAACAAGTAGGTGTCTTGCTCTTGTTCCTTTTCTTTTCATTTTATTTTTTACCTTGAATAAAGGCTTTAATTTCCGGTCATGTTACATAGTTGCTCAAGTTGATGCTTCATATTGGGAATTTTGCTCACACAGCAAATTTTGTGCTCCTATTGATCCAATAAGCAGTGTAATGATCGGCGTATCTTCCTATTTTATTTATATAATATAAATATTTTTAAGACGAAATTACATGTACAATATACACCTCATTTAAACAACAATTTAGCGTCTTTATTACTTGATATTGACACTAGGAAGCTTTACACAACCAATGGTCTCACAATACTTTGTTTCGACTTGGTATATATTCCTAATTGAGATCAAATACGCTGAAAAAAAATTAAATTGCCTAAAATTAGATAATTAATACAAAAGCAGATAATATATCTATATGACATGCATGCATTAATTCATTTACCTGTTGTTAGCGCCAATAAAAAGAAGCAAATAAATAAAGTATCAGGAAGATACACAGGCAATATTACACCCACACATAAAAGCTGTATAGTAGATATATGCCAACTGACAATACTATAAATGTAGATATCCTTATGTGAGCACTGCATTAAATGTATTAATACTTCAGTGGTACTCGCACTCAAAATGTAGTACAATAATAAGGGAAAAATATATATTTTATCGGCTTTCTTCATATATGGATATTTAGAAAATAAACCACACACATATGGCATTCTCATTCAGGATCAGTCAAACGTTTGGCTATCATTAAATTAGCAATATGTGCAAGTAGATATATATATATATATATATATTAACATATATTATATGTATATAAAGCAGAGTTAAATCTTGGCATACATTTCTTTATGACATTAAACACGAGATTAATTTATTGCTTGTCTCAAACAATATTTTGTTTGAAATGATGACGGGGTACAAATAAACGATGCCCAATACCCTGATATCCAAATACTGATGATCCCAAGTTCTAGAACACTACCAAAGGCAACGGCAACAGCAACTGCAATAGTGCCCAGAAGAAAAATGGCGTTTCCTGATCCGTACCTTAGAATTAATTCGAGAGTATTTTAGTAATATAGCTAAACCCCTCTGTGCTTATCCAAAATAGCCAGTGGTAAGGAAGTAACTGATTTTCATACCAAGAAACCGTTACTTCAAGTGCGTTTGGTCGATTTTACTCCACATCAATATAGTTTGTTTTGTATTAATCATGTATTATTGTGTTCATCCATCTACATATCTTTTCTATCTCTTTCATCCACCTTTAAACCATTAAGAGTATATTTCCTGAATCCAGGTAAGCTAGCCAACTACCACATTAGTAATACCCTTTTCTTTTAATGTTTATCTCTTTATAATCTCTGATCCAATTTGGATTGCCAGATCCAAGCCAAGTGATTCTGGGCTACATGAAAAGCAAAACAAAAATAAATGTACATTAGAATTACAGAATGATTGATTGTATCACATTATTGTAAATTTAACAAATTGTAGATTTTATGGCATGTCAAGCACGTATTAAACTTGTATTTATTCCTGTTCGACTAGACCTCTCAACACTAACCCAAGTACCAATAATTGATAATGCGTTAATTAAAGAAATCAACTACGTATGATTTTCCGCCATGGCATCCATTTACACTTTCTCTTTTTATAAAGCGAGACTTTGGTTTAAAAGGTCTCAAATTCCATATGCGTATTGTATCATTTAGTGGAATGGTTCTTTGAGTACTTTGTGTCTATCCGGCCTACTTCAACAAACGGTTATAGCCTCGATTACATACACAATCTGGTTTCTTTGTTAAATTTATTTTCATGACTTTTTTTGGGTGAAGAGTAATCCTGATATTATGTTATTACTAGTACCCAAACTTTTGTTTTATTAAAATTCTCCTTGTTTCTATGCTCTTAATTGTGATGATCAAATACCTCTTCCTCCTCCACCTCCACCTCCTCTCAGGTACACACATCCAATTATTTGTAATTTGTACTTAGCCAGCCGATAAATATTTTTTTTAAAAGAATTAAATCAGTTCACTATAGATTCTGAACCAACTTCACAAGCCAACCTCGAATTTGACACAGCTCTTTCAGTTACTCAAATCTACAATGGAATTAATGTAAGAGTAATTCAACCATTCTAATGCTTTAAAATATTACCAATTTTCTTTTGTTTTTTATTCGAAATTCTTTTAGGTAAATCATTCGAAAAAGTTGGATTATTTAATGAATGCTATCATAAATGGACAATACTGAACTGGTCCACCGTGCCTTTGAATTCGTTTATAAAAAGTCAGCATTTTGATGTCCGGAATCATGAATGTTAATATATGTAAAGAGTTTTTAAAATGAATTTTGGATATCATTTATTTATGTTTAATTGAGTACATATTTTAAAGAATAAAATAAGTTACTGATGGCTCCATATTCAAATTATAGGACTATCCAGGTAAGGTGAAACTAACGAAAAGGTTTGGAATCCAATGTTTAATACTGATATAAATATAATGCTTAAAAAATAAGTTACGTAAAGGAACCAGAGACCGTCCCGAGGTATGCTAGTTACAAATAAGCTAGAACATAATGTTTGTGTGTGTATTTATATATCGGTTTGTTATAACAGCACCTTGGGGTATGTGTCGTACCAAGTCCACATACTTTAGTAGTTGATAAAGGAGATTCTATCGAGAAAATCAAAGTCTCTATATCTTTAATTAAGGCTGGAATGCAACCTATAGTGAGAGGTAAGACTCTATACTTGAATGATATTTTTTATATAATTAAAATTTTTATGGTCTAACGTTTTTTTTTCTTTTAGAGTTTTCGCGTGATTTCGAATTTAGTAAGTATTATACTTCCATATATTGATATCTATTTTTTTTAAACCTTTGAAATAATGTAGAAGGAGTACTTTCGGGCGGACGTGGATATAATGAATTCATTACATTACAACATTTGCAGAATTATCTTACAGACGACCAACTTACTCTTTCTATTGTTCTGGCTATTGAACAAAAAATCAAAAATTTACTGGGTGGACCAAGTTTACATCCAAAATCTCAACCTTTCAATTTCTCTAATCAAGATCTAAAAAACTTTCAAGACGTTACTATACATGTCTTTAACGAAAAAAATGATGGATCAGACGAAATGGAAACCAATTTCAACCACGATTCCACTGCTAGTATACGCAGTAACAAGAGGAAGAGAGTGGAAAGCACTGAAGATATTAAATCCAATAAAAAGATCACACTACATAGCCACAAGTTTATTCTTGCTTCAGCATCTCCTTGGTTTAGGGATACATTCCTTAGTGGCATGAAAGAATCTACTGAAAATGAAGTGAAAATTCGTGGAGTTGACCCAAACATATTCAAATGGATATTCGACTTTAGCTATGGCAAAGATATAAAGATAAAAAATAGTACCCATGGTATAAACATCATCAAAGTTGCTGATCGTCTCCAGTTCAAAATCATCAAAGACTATACTTTTTTATGCTTGCAAAATCATATAAACAAGTTCAACATCTTTGATATCTGGGAAACATCAGGTAAACGAACGTATGACAGGAGTTTCATTACCTTTACTTATACTTGCTTTAGATCTGTGCGATTGTGTTGAAACCAGAAGATTCTGCATGCAATATATGAGGAGTAACTACGTTGATATTTTTTTGTCTCCGGGTTGGCTTTCGGCCAACGATGAGTATGCTCTCAAAGCAATCAAGATAGATGGCTTAAAAGGAGTAATGGATGAGACGATATTTTACAGAACAGTAATGACAAGAAGAAGAGCTGCCGTCATGGAATTGGCCAAATTACGTATAACGAAAGAGAAAGAATGGAAGGAGGAATTGCTTAAAGCACCATCTGGTAGTTCTACTCCCAGTGGCGAAGATGAATCGGAAATAGTTAAAGAAGTCAAAGAAGAAGCCAAAGTCTCTGAAGGTGATGTCAAGGTCTCTGAAGGTGATGCCAAAGTTTCTGACGATAACTCCAGAGAAGATACTGGCGGAAAAGTCAAAGAAGATTCTAAAGACAATGGCAAAGAAAAAATGGATACAAATGTAAAAGTAACAGATAGCGGAGGTGAAGATTCGTTAGGAAATGTAAAAGCGGTAGTTGAGACAGAGGCTGAAAAGCTTAAAAGGTTAGAGAAGATACGATGGGAAGAATACATTAAAAAAGAACTGGAATCTACACACAAACATTTTGAGACTATGATTCTCCATATACGATTCCCTCAGATGGGGATAGAATTCCTTGCCAATACAGTCGAAAAAGACGATTGCGTTATGCAGATACCAGGAATTAAAGACGTAGTAAGATCCATTAGCTTTTTATTTGACGTTTATTCTAAAGTGTAGATTATATTATAGCTGATCGAATCGTATCGACACAAAGCTTTCCTCGGAAAGCAAGAAGTATCAAAGAAGTATTAAAGTCGAACAATTGAATCAAAATAATTTTATGAAATACTACAAGTAGACAAACCGGTGCTTACCTGTATCAGCTTAATTATGTACCATCACTAAATATATTTATTAAATAGTTTTTTGTCTCTTTATTTCCTATCATTTGCCGTATATGGATAATTAATATGAAAGATGAATTTATAGGCTTATAAGAAACATAATATATGTCTTTTAAAGAATTCGAATAATGTGTGAAAAAAACAATATAAAGAACACCTTGATAAAGTAGCAATAGCTCTTAATAATCATGGTAGAATGTGATTTCTTTTAGTACATTTACTTTTATATATAAAAGCATATGTTTAGTGATAATTTATATGGCGTTTGTTGGTTCAACAACAACCTTTATGCTATTTGCTTTCTTACGGGAATTTCAATTGATTACAGGAACCTTTTTGCTTTACGACTAATGTCAAAGTTCTCTCGTTTTGGCTATGTAGCTCGTCTATTGCCTCACTGATTGACGCTCTTATGGTTTCTCCTTTTCTCTTTAATGTTAGGGCTATATTCTTTCTTTTATTATATTTACAATTTTTTGGCTTGTTGTTTCTATAGCCATTAAGTATTTGATGGCGCGATGTTTATTTTACTGATATCCTGCTGTCTTACAAGTTCTGACAATATAGTACTACCATTATATAAACCCCAATTCTCTGCCCAACATATCTTCCTGTTATTAAACTATTTATCCTCGTAGTCTTATTTTATAAACTATCTATTTTTTATTTGCTTAATTATTAGTTCTTTGTCTGGTATTCTGAGGAAAATATAAGACTTGCACTATAGAATGAATAATAAAACTTGCGAAAGAATCTTAAAGAAAATATGCAATAATCCGTATATCAAAAAAAATCAGATCAAGTAAAGTGTGAGAAGAGAGATCGTTTGTGTATATGATTTCTCAAAATTAAATAACAGGAATATTTTATGATACTTGAGACTAAATAGTATAACATCATAATATATTTATTATGCTTTTATTCATTTTATATTTATTTATTTGTATCCCTCTTATATAGAAGATTTAACAACAGTGGCATTGGCTCGATGTTCCGGGATTGCAGACCCAGCAGCAGTCAGCGGTACAGTAAGGATCCGATGAAGTCTTGCAGTTCTCGATGCACGATTCACACCTTCCAGATGCTTCAGGAGAAACACCTCTACCCTCCAAGAAAGGGAGGTTGGGCAAGGCAGTTGCCATTTCAAAGGTAATCAACAACAAAAGCAAGAGGATAAACTTGTGCATTTTCTTTTATTTTCTTTTCCGTTGGCTTGTAACTACAAAAGAAGACAATTAGAGAAGATTAATGAATGCACTTGGATCAGAAAACGGCCAGACACAAAATGAGTAGATCTATAGTAAACGGGACGATCAAGAAAAAAAGAAAAGTAAATGTGGTACCTGATAGACAATTCAATTGACTTTAGAGTCGAAGGAATAAAGAAGAGAGAAAGAGTAGAGTTGGTATCGTTTAATGATATTTTAGTTGGCTATTTTATAGCTTTTTTTCTTCTGTTTAAAATATATCTCTCTTAAATGATATATTATAATATCTGAAGCATATCAGTAAATAAAACAGATCCTTTAGGTAAGAAATAGCCATTTTTGGATATGATGGTAGAAGAAATGCAATCAAACAACCTTGTAAAGTTTGACAAGTAATACGGGAAAAGAGAGACCCGGGTGGTTTGCTCATAATACAAGGGTGTGAAAAGATACGTGTGAAATGTTGCACTGGAAGCAGTGTGCAATATAGCTATGTGTAAGATGAAGGCCAATTAGGTGATAAGCTCTAGTATTACAGCAAACTCGAAAGTTTTCTTTCCGGATTAGTAAACGAGGCTTCCTCATAATATGTAAGGTCATTAGCTAACAAGAGTGAAAGAATAAAGAGCATATAAAGTAGAGACCTCTAATATTATCATTCTGTGTGTGAGAGTATTATTTGATGCTGTGTCTATTTACACGAAACTATGTTTCAATTGTAATACATTATGACAGTCTGCTCTATGGGTAAAATAGCAGTAATGATACTCTCTTGTTTGTAAAGCATAAAGTAATTTAAGGGACAACGTTAATCTTAAATACTTTTTTAAACCATACTTATTGAAAGCATATTTATTTCTTTTATTTATGATGAATATATTGTACACATTCATACGGACCATCTCTTATATAAGCTTGTCTTGAGTAATGATTGACTGTATAATAAATTTGTTCAATACGTTTTACGTTTTTTAGCTGCTTTATTTTCCTCAAAATACTCACTTGGTTTTCTGAATTAACTGGGACTTACAGGAAAGTACTGGGGGTTCACGTTACTCAATTATATGTGATACTAAACTATGTGTAGTCTTGGGAAATATCTGTTAATATCACATAATGGTAAGAGTTCAAGGTGTGAAATAAGATATATGACTAATTGATGACGCAAGGTACAATATCGGCTCTTCTGACCGCGCATTATGCTCGGAAAATATGTAAGAAAAAAACCTGTAATTCCATGTTTATTATACATTTATAATTGAGTACAAGACTCTTTTTTCTGATCTGTTACCCTAGATGTATTTTTAAAATCAAAGAAACATACGGAAAAGAGAAATAAAGTAACGTACAAGATAACCAAGAAGAAAAAGAAGAAGAAGAGCACCAAGAAACAAATAGACACAGGATTGTTCATGTTCGCTTTGTAAACCTCTCTGCTATCTATTCTTACTAACGTATGCTACTGACTCTACTATGCATTGAAATACAGTATCATCTTCAGTAATTGGCAAAAGACAAATTGATACGACGTATGATTCGAGCTCCCTCTGTCGTGTCGCCTATTCAGCTTCCAATAATACTTCGCAAAAACAGCACTCGATCTTTGAAAGTTACCATTTCTGATTTGTCTTTGTACTAATTTTCGATCTTGTGAATTGATTGTGCTAATGTGTACGCCTAGGGCTTCTTTTTTGATGTAAATTCTACATGTCTTTCAACGAACATAACATTTACCGACGTGGGAAGTTTTGAGTGTGTATATCTTAGGAATAGATTTTGATCTGGAGGATATTTTTGACGGGAAACGTTTACTACTTGGATCAACTTATACATAGTGTACACCTTGTATCTCTCACGCTCATCGATTGTGCCTACCTCTAAAAGAAAATTGAATTACAGCTCCTTTAATGTGCGTATATAGCCAATGTTACACCTACCACCATCTGGTGATCCCATACAGAGTGCACATTTCTGATATGTAAACGTCCCGTGATTGATTATTGTGGCTGTCACATTGCTGTCAAACAGTGCACCTATCGATTTCCTTTCTAGCACTACTGTTTTTTAAGTTTAAACAGAATATATACCTTTTGTGGTAATAATGTTACATAAAAATACCTGGATATTTTTTTCTTATATATGTATATTTTTATCTGCAAGCTATAATAAACGTCTCTATAAATTTTCTACCTGTAGCAAACTTATCTATCCTCCGAGATATCTAAATAGCTTTAGTACTTCTTTACTTTCTTCTTGTCTCAACAACCAAACTCTTTTACACTTTTCGATATTTCCTTATCTTCTTCCTGTTCCTCCCCTTCATGAGACTCTTATGGGACTTTATTTTAGTATTAATTAGTCATATTTCTCTATTTTACTTTTAAAAGCTAGTTGCACTAATAGGTGCGGGATTTATTAGCAGAATAAGCACTTTACAAAACATAGCAGTATCATCACTTTTGAGATCAATTCCTATACATTATTTGTTTGTATAACACCTTTCTCTTCCTACTAGTATATAACACTTTGTTTCTGGTTTATATTTAGAGCATTAATCACTTTAAATGCCTTTTATTGCCAGTGGGTGTCAAGCAAAAAACATGCGGGAAAACAAAAAACCGCAGTATAAAGGAACCTGATATATGAGTGATTTATTGAATTGAGATTACCGTGTATGTAACTGACATATAGCCTACTATAGCTGTAAAAAATACTTTTGTGTACGGTATAAAAGTATTAATACTTGATATAATTTATTAAATATACAGAGTACTTTACTTGGACCTAAAATGCTTTTATTTTCTTATGAGAGAGTAGATTATATTCTTACAGAAAGAGAATAGAATATCAGAGAAATGATTGATGAGAACATGCTGCAATTAGTCGTAGCTTAGCTTAGGAATTCTACTTGATAGTCCTATTCAATGTATCTATAATATTCTTTATAGCTTCAGACTACTTTATTTTGTATAATAATTATATCTTATCAATTATTCAATTGTAAAATGTTGCTTGGTATTTCGCCAAAGAATTTGATTTTAAAATTCCTTGATCAATTGAAAGAAATCTCAAGAAAGGAAATATGATCGCAAAATATACCTACACCTCATAAGCTAATTTAATGTTGTGATGAGTACTTTCAGTAAGTAAACTTTCTGATACTTTTGTGCAGTTAGCAATCTTTAAAATAATAATAATAAGAGGCTTAATGGTATAAAAGATCAATTGATATTTATTATAACTTATGCTTAATGTAATATATATAATCCCAAAAGTGTTTGATACTCTAAAAGCCATTATTCTTTTCCCAAATCACTTAAGGTTAGGTGTGTTAAATATCTAAATTTTTTGATCCTGCATCTGTAAATAAATTGTATATCAAGATATATTTTTTTTAAAAAAAAACACACACACATTTGAAACCCCCTTTTTTTTAAGAAGCCAGTACTATTTCAAAAAAGAAAGGATGATCTATAGTTAGAATTTAGTCAATATTGAATTATATTCGAATGAGCACATCTTTTAAAAAAAAATATCAAGATTTGGAAATATTACTGACTACTCTTATATTTATTCTGCAAAAAAAAGATTATAGACTATTGATATGTTCTGTCTGATTTCTAAAAAACAAACGAATCGTTGGCTATCAACCAAGATCTTATACAATACTATGCTTTTGTAAGGAATGGGGTATATTTCTTGACAGATATTTGAAAGAAAATCATTAAAGAATCTTCTTGAATATATCTTTTTATAAATACTACGCGATAATTAAACCATATGTCTTTAGGTAAGTAAATAAACTTATATGTATGATATTGTATATATTTTGTGCTTGTGTGGCTGGTGTTATTAGTACAATATTGTTCTTTGTGGTGTTTGTTTCTTTTCTATCTTATGTCTACTTCTAGAGATATCTGCTCATGGATTTTCTTCATCTCAATTGTAACCTTTCCAATAGACGTTATATCAACCCATCACAATACTCGCATTACTCGCATTGCCTTACAATATTTTACATTGAATACTACAAGACTCTATCTCTTTGGCTTCTATTTTTCACATCATTTTTAATATTTTCTTTCTCTGTATTAGGGTAGCAGTTTTTGTTGCTAGTCAAGACAAAAGATGTTAACCTTTTGTTTTGTAATTTTTTTGGGAGATTTAGACCTTAGACTTACTAATCTATATTTATGAACTTCTTAGGAAAAAGCTTTTTTTTTTGTTTTCTTAGTTTTCTTAGTATTCTTGATATTCTACTATGAGCTATCAGTTATACTATTTTATTCTTGGGGTGTCACTTGGTCTTAAAACTATATGCATTATAAAATTATTATTTTAGTATAAAGAATATATTTCAATCTAAAGTGTGTCATAAAACACTTGGGAGGAATAAATGTGGAATAAATGTTGATGAGGTGTGTTAGAAAAAAAAGTAGTTATCAAGGCAGAAAAATGGCACAAATAGAGTAAGTAGGAAGAGAGAAGAAAGTAGATAACAAAAATTGCTGTTTATTATATTTAAAATTAATATTAAAATAAAGATTAGAAAAGATAATAGTGCATGCATTATGATCTCTTATTTACAAGCTCCTTTTGTTGCTCTAATTAACAACAATGGCAAACTCCTCCTCTTCCTGGTATACACTTCCAGCAACAGCTAGCACTGCAGTAAGGATCAGAGGATTTCTTACAGTTCTCCAAACATGAGTTACACTGTCCACTAGTAGCCGGATCGACGCCTCTACCATCCAAGAAAGGGAGATTGGGCATAGCAATTGTCATTTCAAAGGAAATCACCAGTAAGAGCAATAGAATAAACTTGTACATTCTGATTTTTTTTTGGCTGGCTTGTCGTAACGAAGTAAACTGACAGGTAAGGTAAATAAGCGGATCAAAAGAAATAGAAAGAGAAAGGGCACCGGGTGGGCGGATCGAACGGCTTTAAAGGCGAAAGAAAAGGTAGAGCTGGTAAGATTGATGCTGTTTGTTGATCTTCCTTATGCCCTTTATATATATTCTTTTAAATATATTCTTCTGTGAAAATTATAATGATAGGTTAAATGTATCTTAAATATAAGCATGTTTGTTAATTGAGAATGATCTTTTCTGGATCTGGATCTGGATCTGGTGCTGAAGTGAGAAAGGTCAGGTAACCATGTAAAATGTTCCAAGTAGAACAAAGAGAAATTAGAGGACTTCAAAACTCATCTATAATAAAAAGAATGAAAGGATAAGTAGACAATGTATAATCATAATTAGGGCAGTACATAGCTGCTTGTAAAAAGTAGTATTAATTGGGCGAAACGTTTTTAATTTTACAGTTACATTTGAGCTTCTTTTTAACGAGTTCATGATCCTGACTTTCTCATAGTGTGTAAGACAGATTTATATTCTAATTAACAGCGCAAGAAGCTAAATACAAAAGCATTTCCGCATGTTCTATGTGTGGCTATAATTTGATATATCTAATTTATTTATCTCAAGCTATATTACAGTGCTACATAATAGCTTTTCATTTATCTATCTATACTTAAAGCACACCGTTAAAGATCATTTACACGCAATTTTATGAAAGCCCCTCATAGATTAAAGATACGCTGAAGTATAAAGAAAAATAAAACCAAAAAAAAACAAACCATTCAAGATGCACAATAAGAAATCCGGCAAAGCAAAGAAGTTAAGATGGGATATATTATTAATTTAGTGACAAAATAAGAAGAAGAAAAAACACCCTGTATGCTCTGAATTCCTATGCTACATGGGCTATTTAACTTGCTATAATGCCTTGCATTCCTATACAAGGGAGTTTGTTTGCACTCTTTCTATTTATTCACAATAAATACCTCTTGTTTAACTGTTTCGCTCAATTATTCTATTTTTGCTTTTCTTCTTAATGTCTCTTCTATTTAGTTCTTGTATTTACTGGAGTTTATGCTATTTATGTTATTTATTTTTGGCATTATTCATAGACACATAATATCACAAGTTGTCGAACAAAAGTTCATTCACATTCACATCTACAAAATAATAATAAATATATATATTTTGTATTATAATTCACAAAGACATTGTTTGGCCAGGTTCATTTGATACATAGCAATACTTGATATTTAAAACCAAAAGTTGTATTTGTCTATGTTATTTTCAATATTGCATGTTAGTCGTGAGAATATATGAGTTAATATATATTGTTTTGATATTCCCTTTTCTAGCCAGCCCTCAACAAGGACTTACTACGCTTTTGTAAGTTGGTTTGACTGTATGTGTTTAAGGAGCAGTATCTGAGCTTACAGAAAAACTGGATTAAATGACTATAAAAATTGTTTACTGGACTCCTACACTCTTCGGTTGGATCTACCTTTGAAATTTAGAGATTTTGATCTGTAATTTTATTTTAGTTTTCGTACAAGTTTAGTACATACTACCACCTGGTGGTCCCATACAGATTACATATCTCACAAATTTAAGTATAAACGGATCGAGAAATACGAAAAAGTTTGAATTGGGTGTTTGTTATGGTTTTGCAAATAATTGGATAAATGAATGTGAGACTAGCAAGATTTCCTGAGAGCTTATTGTATTTCATTTGTCTTTTCTTTCTAATAAGCAATACAAAAAAAATGACCTTAGATTATAATCCTAGAAATGGTCTTATTATTTTTATATTTTAGCAATGGTATTTTTTGCCTGCAAAACATTATAACACACTTATTGAATGATAGTCTACTGAACGCTTTTGGAGTTGTCAATATGAAGAGTAATTTGTTTATCTATTCCATCCATAATCAATTGTTTTATTGAAACCGTATCTCAGTCTTCTTGTTATGAATTGTGTGGTTTTGTTTCTTATAATAGTTGTTTAGTCAATGCTTGGATTTTGCCCATGGTTATAGCCATAAGCGGTTCCATGAAATCTTGTAGAATTATTGCTTAACAAAATTTGAGAGTATTTAAGACATTACTAGAACTACGCCTTTTACTTTTCTCTCGTGGTTTTTCTGAATAGTATTCGACATCAGCTTTTACATAGAATGAAAAAAAAGGGTCTCTTTACACATATGTTATTTACTTTATTGTTATTTAGGATTCAATACTTACACAATCTGACCTCTTAGTAAGCTGGAACTACGTTTATTTAAATAAAATGTTGATTATTGGTTGTCAGTCTGATCAAATTTTTGACTGAAACCGCTGGTAAGCTTATATTCTTATCGCTCTCATTCAACCCTCTGTGAAGTTTATGAGGTCTAGTATATGTTGGTATATTACTTTCACACTATGCTGAAAACAATTTTTTTGGTTCCCGATTATAGCTTTCAAATTATTGGAAATGATCGCTCTAAAGCTTCGTGCATATTCCAACTATTGCGCATTGTAGGTATTGGTATGTGATACAAAATATAACTTCCCTGTGACTTATTACATTTGCGTATTGCCATTTCTCTTATCTCGCCTAATATACTGTTTTCTTTAAACAATTCAATGTTACTTCCCATCATGTGCTTGTTGCGTATACGTATATTATAATTCTGAGCTAAATAGGGTAGCGCCGACTCTCGGATTAACACTTTTCTTTATTGTGATAAAGGAATCTTACCACAGTCTCAACTCACCCACATCTTTTACAGGTATTGGTTACATGTACTATTTGAACTTTATATTCAAGCTTCTTACAAGTTCTTTCTCTACAGCTACATGGTACGAAGAAAGTAACTCTTGATGATAAATATGACTTACTCTATTTTTCACTTGGAGGGTTACTTGCTTGATTTTTGTATTCAGTTTCTAGAAATTTACATGTAGTACCTTAAGAATCATGCATTTTGTATTTAATTCGAAGCCGAAGAATTCCGGTTTGTGGGTTAGCTTTAACACCCGTGTTCCAATTGGTCACATAGCCCAATGGCTTTGAATTCTGGACAATTTATTCGAAATGGTCTATTTTAAACTATCTATTTTGAGTTCTCTATATTTTCTACCATAAATATTGGTATAATATATGCGTTGTCTGGGTCATTAGATACTCTTACTTTCTATTTATTTATGACAAGTCTAATGAACTTACGAATGTTTATGATGAAGAAGAAGGTAGCTTACATTCAAGTAAAAGGGGGTTTTGATAGATATCGGTACACTATCTCTCAGTAATAAAAGAGCAAGTATATTCAAGAGCAAAAAATTGGTGTGTACCACTTTGTACATGTATTCTATTTCTGTTTTGATTGGTAGCTGTCTTTGTCTTACTGTGTCTCCCAATTGTGCAACACCCTCCATTTTGAAGTTTTGATATTTTATAAAGGGGTATTTGTTTTTATTATGTTATGGCATAGAGTTGGACGATACTTACTAACCTCTCTTACTGTAAAGAGAAATTAGCTAGTAGCTTGAATGCTAGATATATAAAGTCTTTGCAAATTTGAATACCATAAATAGTCACTTTTTATTCTACTTCTTTATGATACATATATGTTAATTTTATGTTCTATAACACCGTGGGACTGGTTGGTAGTTTAACTAAACTTTATACTTATGTCTCACAATAAGCAATTGCTAATAACGGGCCAAAGATTCCCTTTAATTATCAAGAAAACTCGGTAACTTCTCCCCAATCTTTGCTCGTAGCACACCTTATAATATGTTACTGTTCGTAAGATTATTTTATTATAATCAACCACAGATAAATTTACCTAGCTACAGTCGTCTTTCGATAAATTACAGCTGCTAGTGTCACCTCTTTTGCGAGCAGCTATTTGACCTTAGTTTGCTATAAGAAACAAGTTAAAACGATATAGAAAGCCAAATTTCTACAATTCTTCTGACTTTCCTTATGGAGTTCACGGGGCTATAAAACCTTAGAATAAACAAGGTGGAGGGAGGTAACAATTGTTAAGCCTTTTTAAGCATTACTGTGCTTCCACTTTCAATTTACCGAATTTCTGAAATCGCCGCCTATTTTTTTTTGAATACTTTTGGACATTTGTGTGAGGTTACCGTATTCAGAAAATATGGACTAGTTTAGTCAAATATTTGAAGCTGATTTGCCACCTTTTTCTTAAAATAAGTTGGCCAAATTTTTTTTTGACTTTTTTTTTATAATCGTAACTATTATTTCTAAAATGAACCTCTTTCACAAGGATCAAAAATGCAGTATTGTAGACGAGTTGGGCAAGTAAGCGACTACTTTCATTGTAAGACTGTCATATTGATTAACATATTTGATGAATAAATCAAATATTTATATAAACGTTATCCATAAATACTTCAATAAAGAACCTATATAATCATTTTGGTATTTGGCCAGGGGTTGGTCTACTAATTTTAAATATACATAAATAGATGACAGATAATTTGTGTGTGTATTTTCTTATAGTGATGTGGTGCTTTTTATCTGTGTATAAGCTTTTTATATATAAAGCCATTTCACTGCTGACAAGAAAACGTTGAATAGATCTGCTGGTAATATGAAACAGTTCAGTAAATCAAATCCTATAATGGACAAAACTACAAGTATAAATAATGGTATACAATGTTCTATACTCAAGGCTGATTTTACTTTATAATTTTAATACTTAAAAAAAATACTTGCAAAATAGTGGGGTACTTCTTTTTCTGATGCGGATCAATCTAAGTTGCCTTAATATATTGAGCATAGTTTTTTGAATTTTGGATATTTTACTATCAATTATATAAAAAATAAGATAGAAGTATATGTCAAAGAGGTTGGTATAAATGCTTACGCAATATAAAGCTTCTATTTGAAACATAATAGTAGTATGTCTGATCTGTCATTGGATCACCTTTAAAAAAAGAACTTGAACTACTATCATCAGAACCGTTAAGATGACCGATATCCAGGGTGGTTAGATGTATCTCAATAGCTATAAGTACCATAGACAAGAAAAGTCTTTAACAAACTAATGGCTTGAACTCATATAAAGCAACTTTTATGAACCAATACCTATGAAGTATAAAGATAATATCAAACTGTTCGGAAAGCCTTATTATTTTATTACTCGTAATTTAGTTGATACATTTTATGCTGTGTTTATTTTGAATCTTGAAACGCCTTTGCATATTTGATTTGGAATATCTTTGCTTTCAATACGTAGTCTAGTTTTTCTCGTACCTGATCTTTACATTATTTCGTGTATAAAACTTTATTTGTATTTGCAAAAGGCGTCATACTTTGGTAATATATATGCTTACATCAAGTAATAATAGGGCATTCGAGACGCTCCTCATAAAATCATTGCTCTACCTTTTACCAATTTCTATAGTATATATTTTGAAAATATTTGAAAGCTGAAATAAGGGGCGAAATTTACTTTCGCTTAATGTACAAAGCTACAGACAAAAAATAGGTTTACCAGAACTGTAAAATTATTATTTGTAACGTAATTTTGCGCCTTATATCGATTATAAGCTGTATAACATGCTAGCCAAATACAATAGTGGAAACTATGCTCTGAATTATACGTCTCGCCATTGGCTCAATCTCTTGTTATCAATAAGATATTAATGTATGAAATTTTTACACCTTACTTAGGGCTTCACATCCACCCATCCGGACACAACCCCAATACTCCCTGCCCAGTGTGATTCTGTTCGTGATAAAGTTTGACTTTGAATGAGAATGAGGTAATCTGAAGAACAATTACTGGGGATATGACTATATTTTTAACCATTTACATTTTAAAAGCCTTTGAAAACTGTCGATCCCCACCTCTGCTTCATTCGTCAACCTAAAAAAGAAGCCATCAATTATTCTCTAGTTAAAAAAGTATTCAAATGTTTAATCTATAGCTCAGTAGTCCACTGATTTTTATTTTTTGAGTTGATTACTTGCAAAGATCCAGGCGCTCCTAACATTACGGGAATATGCTGGTTATTATGCTTCCAATATCTTGTGAGAAATTGTAGTCGCTCCAATCACCCATACATATATATATATATATTAGCGCGCTCACTTGTACTTTTTCTTGGATATACTAGAAAATGCTCTTTATCTTCTTCTCATTCTTTATAATAGCTTTCAGAGATATGGTGGTAATACATCATTTGAAAAAAAAAGGTATTCTTTCTGTCAATTGTAGCAATCAAGCTCCTCTTCTCAGGTACAAACATCCAATTACTTGGTAATTTGTACTCAGCCAGCCAATATATTCTTTAAAAAAATCGCTTCACTATAGATTCTCAATCAACGTCACAATCCAACCTCGAGTTTGACACAAAGCTCTCTCACTTGCTCTAATTACAATTGAATCAATGAGTAAGAGTAGTCAATTATTCTAATGCTATAAACATTGACAATTTTCTTTTTATTTGAAATCCTTTTAGCTACAGTACTTAAAAACGTTGGATTATTTAATGAATCCAATCATAATTGGACTATACCGGAATGGTCCAAGATACCTATGAAATATATTTTAAAAAGTCAACGCTTTAATGTTGGGAATCATGAATGGTAATATATATAAAGAGTTTTGAACTGAAATCTAGTTATTATTCACTTATATTGAGGGGAGTATATATTTTAAAGAATGATATACTTATGACTACATTCAATTTATAGGATCATCAATGTAAGATAAAACGAAGAGAAAAGTTTGAGAGCCAATGTCTAATACTGATATTAAAAAAAAACTTTAATTTCTACAAATAAGTTATATAAAGGAATCTCAGATAAACCCGAGGTATGCTAATATCAAATATACTATAACTTAGTATGTACATGCGTATTTATATGTCAGTTTGCTATAACAGCACCTTGGGATATTTCTTATCCCAACGGGAGTATACCCAACAAGTGATAAAGGAGATTCTACCGATAAAGTCAGAGTTTGTCTATCTATAATTAAGTCCGGGATAAAAACTATGGATACAGGTAAAACTACATATATGAAAAATATCATATAATTCAAATTTTATGTTCTAACATGTTTCTAGAGTTCTCGCATGACTTTGATTTTAGCAAGTATTATAATTTGCTATAGGGCGATCAATTTTTTTTAACTTTTGAGATAATGTAGAAGAAAAAATCGCAAACGGACGTGGATATGATCAATTCATTACATTGCAAGATGTACAGAATTATCTCACGGACGACCAACTTACTCTTTCTATTAATCTAACTATTAATCAAACACACAAAAACTCACTGCGTGGGCCCCGCTCATATCCAAAGCCTCAACCGCTCAAGTTCTATGCCGAAGATCTCGAAAACTTCCAAGATGTCATTATACATGTATTCAAGGACGAAAATAACGAATCAGATAAAAATGAAAGCAATCTCAACCACGGTTCGACCGATAGTATAAACAAAAATGAAAACAAGAAGGTGGAAGACACTGAAGGAACTATATCAAATGAAAAGACTACACTGCACGGCCACAAGTTTATTCTTGCTACAGCATCTCCGTGGTTTAGAGATATATTCCTTAGCGGCATGAAAGAATCTACCGATAATGAAGTGAAGATTCACGGCGTTGACCCAAAGATATTTAAATTGATTTTCGACTTTAGCTATGGAAATGATATATATATAAAAGATAGTATCCACGGTATAAGCATTCTCAAAGTTGCCGATCGTCTCCAGTTCAAACGTATCAAAAAGTATGCTTTTTCATGCTTGCGAGCTCAGATCAAAAACTCCAACATATTTGATATCTGGGAAGCATCAGGTAAGAAAAAAGTTTGATAAAGAGAAAAGATTGCTCATATTTGCTCTAGACTTGTACGATTGTGATAAAACTCGAAAACTATGCGAGAAATATATGAGGAGTAACTATGCCGATATATTTGTGTCTCCAGAGTGGCTTGCTACCAGCGATGTCTATGCTCTCAAAGCAATTAATATAGATGGATTGAAAGGAAGAATGGATGAGACAGTATTCTACAAGGCAGTACTTTCAAGAAGAGAGGCCGCCACCCAGGAAGTCATCAATTTACGTAAAGCGAAAGAGAAAGAACTGGAGGATAATATGCTAAAGGCACAGCTTGGTAATCCTACTCCAAGTGGGGATAATGAATCGGAAGTAGTCAAAGGACTCGATGAAGGAGCCAAAGACCCTAGGGAGGGAGCCAAAGACTCTGAAGCTGATGACAAAAATTCTGAAGATGCTTCCAGAGAAGACACCGGAGAGAAAGGCAAAGAAGATTCTAAAAACAATGGAAATGAGAAAATGGATACAAATGTGAAAGCGACAGATAACGGATGGGAAGATTTGCCAGAAAATGTAAAACCAGTAGTTGAGACAGAGGAAGAGAAGCTCGAAAGACTAGAGAATATACGATGGGAAGAATATATCAAAGAAGAACTGGAAGCTATACAGAAACATTTTGAGACCATGATTCGTTATATACGCTTTCCTCAAATGGATATAGAATTTCTTGCAGATATAGTCGAAAAGGAAGATGCCGTTATGCAACTACCAGGGATCAAAGATATAGTAAGAATGATTAACCTCTTATTTGGTGTTTATTCTAAAGTTTACATTATACTTTAGCTGATTGAATCATACCGACATAAAGCGTTCCTTGGAAAAAGAGAAGTATCAAAGAAGTATCAAAGTCGAACGATTGAATCAAGCTAATTTCATAAAATACTATAAGCGGACAAACCATTACTTACCTGTATCATAGCTCAAATATGTACCAAAAGTATAAGTATTTCTTAAACAATTCTTTACAACTTTCTTTCCTGTTACTCTTTTTATGAGTGTAATTAATATAAAATATATCCTTAATTCAAATGATTTAAACTATAATATACACACGTATAAGCACAATAAATGAAACCACTTTATACTGGAAGCAAAAATGATATCTTAAAAACCATGACAATCAAGGTATGGTGTGGTTGATCCAACACCATCTTTTGTGCCATTTGCTTTTTTTGCTATGGAAATCTCTTGGTTAAATAGTTATTTTTGTTTTATTTTTCATACCTATTATCAGGCATATCTCCCTATAGTCGTTTTTTTTGGATTTTTTTCTGCATTCTACATAATCTTGTTCCTATTGTAACAATTAAGCATTTCTTTGTAGAGCTTCTTGTTTCGCAAGTTTAGAGAATAATCTAACTGGCATAAGTACTCAATATTCTGACTATTACATGTTTCATTCGTTATATTCGCTATTCTTTCTTTTATTATTATATTTAAAATTAATATAAGAAGTAATAGATAATAATGGTAATAGAAATAACAGCATCAATATCAATTCTATTGCTGCTGTTATTCTATTTCTTTAAAAAAAGGGGTATGGCTACATTAATTAACAACAATGACAATTTCCTCCTCTTCCTGGTATACACTTCCAACAACATTCAGCACTGCAATAAGGATCTCCTGACGTTTCGCAGTTTCTTAGACATCTGTTGCATTTTGACCATGTAGCAGGATCTACACCTCTAGCTTCCAAGAAAGGTATATTTGGCATGCACATTGTCATTTCGAAAGAAATCAATAGAAAAAGCATTAAGATAAACTTGTACATTTGTTTTTCTTTCTTTCTTTTAGTTTTTTGTTGGCTTGTAGAGACAGAATAAGTGGGCGGATCAAAGGCAGGAGTAGCAAGTGAGTTTGCAAAGTCAAAGAGAACAAGCGAAAAATAAGGTACGGGATATATAAGTCCAAATAGCTTTAGAGACAAAATAAAAGAGGGGGGAAAGCTTGTAGAAATGATGTTATTATTGACCTTTTTTTTGCTTGTCTTTTATATAGTTTTACAAGGGATATTCTATGATGGCACATGTAAATCAAGAACCAAAATAGATTCGTTAGATGTAAGACAGTCTCTTTCTCTTTTGTGGATCAAGTATTAGACCCAGTAAATTTAATAAAGCCTGTAAAATTTGATAAAAAGAAAGTAGAGAAAATAAGAAAAGGCCAGGGTTTGTCTACACTAAAAATAAGATATATATGAGAGGGAAAGACTTTGCATTGGAAACATAGAAAGATACGGATACGAGTATAAATGGTATTGATTAGGCCAAAGGTTCTAATTTTACAATAAAATTATTAAATTAGATACATTAAACAAACTTGTTATCCTGATTTTCTCATTGTCTGTAAGACCACTTGTTAGCATTGAAGAATACACAAGTCAAAAAACAGTAATAATAAAGTTTGTTTTGTGTGTGTCTCTTTTTTGCATATTTTATATATGGGCATGTCTAGATATGCAATACTGTTCTACCCAGAACTGTATTTTTATTGTGATACATTATGTTTTATTCATGTTAAAATAACGGAACTCAAACGCTTTCTTTAACCAGCACTATAACAAAAAAAAAGGTTATCCGAAAATGAAACAGTACATGTACTTTCAATATTGTATATATATTTGGTTCAATTCGATTCGATTTTTGTATTTTTACGAGAGTAAAAATATGGTCCAATGTGGATATATGAAAGAAAGGATAGGTAAGACAATTATACCAATTGACTGGTAAGACTAAAGACAAGGGTACAAAATGGGTAGGTTTGTCATATTTTCTTTTGGCGCATATTGGAGACACAACAATCTATTTGTGGCAAACAAGTAATTCAAAGTGCATAATTTGAACTAAAGGCGTACGATTTTTGGGCTTAAAGTTTTATCATTATTCTTGTTTATATATAGCCTGCTTAGAGAAAATTGTCAGATGTCAAGCCAAACAAGATAATAGTAGTAAAAAGAAAATACTATAGTATTGTATGAGGTATGTAATATCCAATATTGCGACTCGGGCCTTTACTTTAAAATGTAGAGCCGCCTGGTATATAGATTAAATAGCTTAATTGATCTAAAAAATAAACGTAAAGTTCAATTGAATGTTTCAAATATCTTATCATGAGATTTATAACAGGATCACTTTCATTAGAATGAAACATTTTTGATATTGCTCTTGACTGTTTGCCATGTTATTTCTGATTATTATTTTTAAAAAAATGAGAGCAAATGAATATCATATTTGGTTCATTAAGTTTCCCAACAGTGATTATAATAGCAATATCTGCGGTTATACTCTGCTACGTTATATATCTAAAAGTCAAGACAGTGATGCTTAGAGCACACTGATTTCAAATAATATAAACCATATCTATTATTATTAAAGAGGGTATATAACATGTGGATTAGTTTTCTGTTAGAAAACCCTACTCTTATAGACAAAAGCATTAACCTGAAACGGTTGATTAAATTAATAACAATTGTATTTTATTTTTTTATATACTGGTATATGTATAAATATGCAAATATACATGCATAGATACATATAGTACAAACCATTTAGATTTAGATTTTCATTAGCATCAGTATTAGCATTAATATTCAATTCACTAGCTGACGTGACTGGTAAATTACGTGTGTCTGCACCAAGATGTTCTAATATTCGAATTTCCAGTTTTTATTTTTTATTTTTACTGCCAGAAAAAATCGCGTTTTTTTTATTCTTCTTTTTCTTCTCGCACGAACATTATGAAAAAAGTCGCAACTAAAGAGAAAACCCTTGACGATTTTGGTTCCAGTTCTTCTGAGCCTGAAGAATATGAGGTGGAATCGATTGTTGATCATCGTTACCGTGGCAAGGGAAAGGTACGCTTTATAAACATTTATTTACATGTATAGGCACGCATATTTTGTGAATCCAATTCAGTTGATCATCATCATCATTATCATCATCAAAAGATAAAAAAAAGGAGAAAGTTCTGCAGCTTATAATAACACAAATCGTGGTTATTTCTTATTGTTGTTTTTATCATTCTAGAACAGAACTCTGCAATACAAGATTCGTTGGAAGGGTTACAAAGAAGAAGATGACACATGGGAGAATGAGGACAACGTGTATGTTACATATATATATATATATCTGTGTGTGTGTACATACTTACAAAAAGAATATATTAAATAGTGATGCCCCAAAATTGGTAAAGGCTTATAAAGACAAAACCAAGGAGCCAGTAAAAGAAGAATCTTCACAAGCAACTACAAAGACAACAAGCTCCACTCGTTCAAAAAGATCAAACTTGGGTACATCACCTTCTGGAAAGCGCAGGTTATCTGAATCTGATACCGAAACACATACACCTTTAAAAAAGACAAATCTCGTAGCCAAAGGATTAAATTCTGCTGCTACTAATATCAGTGCTAGCAGAAGAAGCACAAGCGCAAGCACTAGTACCAGCACCAACAATGGTGCTATTAGTAGATCACGCTCTAAAGGAAGAACTATTCCATCGTTGTCGGAATCAGACTCTGATTTTGCTGAAGACAGCAACTCGTCAGAAGAGACACCCAAGAGATCTCTTGCACAATCCTCTAGAACCAAAAACAAGAAGCTGTTAATGGTTGAAGAAAAAAAAGAGAAGAGAGGGAAGAAAGAATCGAGAAAAGAAAAAAGTGAAGAAGTAGAGGTAGATGTAGAAATAGAGGAGGAGCAAAACGAAGAAGACGAAGAAAGTGAAGAAAAAGATGAAGAAAAAGATGAAGAAAAAGATGAAGAAAAGGAGGATATTGAATTGTCACCCGATGACTTGGAATTTGCTATCAATGATCCAGCATATCGTGCCAATGATAGAAATTGGAAATGGAATAGGGATATCAAGGATATCGTTCTTGTAACTCGTCAACCCAAAGATGATCCAAACGGTAAAGTTGGAATTGTTGTTCGATGGTAAGGATATGTCCTCTATATTTTTTTTTGGACAGAGAAAAAGAGGGTATAATTAGGTTTCTAATTTATGGTCTACAATAGGAGCGATAACAAGTTGGCTCTTTATCCCAATGACATGCTTAAAGCCAAATGCCCACAAAAAGTAAGTTAAAGAAAATTATATATATATATATATATAACCACATTTCCATATTTGTCTAACTATTCTCTGTGTATGTGTTTGTGTCTGTAGCTGATTGAGTTCTATGAAAGCAAATTATGTTTTGATGATTTATCTCGATCGGATAAAGTTACAGTTTCAACAAAGTAAAATATGGTTGATAGAATTAATGTTATAAATTAGCTTTCTTTTTTATTTCAAAAATATACGCTTTTCTTTAAATATTAAAAAAAAAACCAAGGCAAGGCAATACAATACAATAAATAAATGTTATTTTTTTCTGGGTTTTTGTAATTAATACTTTTTTATTTGTTTTCTAAAACAAATAATACTGACTGTAGCTTTAAATACTTGCTTAATTGTTACAAAACGTACCTTGATAAATTGATAAGGACAGACCAAAGAAAATTGCTTGGACGTAGAGATTTTCTACGTACACTACGAAAAAAAAAAAGAAAAGGGACGGATTCAGAAGGTGGTTTTTGAAAAAGATCATAAGCATTTTTTCAAAAACATCCTCTGAATCGCCCCTTCTCCCCCAGGATCCACAGCCAAGACTTCACACCACATTCTTAATTTCTTTTTGGTGACTGACAACCCTTTCGGCAATAGTATTTACAAGACTTGTCTGACATAGACCCCCGAAAGAAACGGGTGATTATATCTTTTTTTTTTGTGATTGTCACACTCAATTGCGTATGAGTATATATTATACTGTTTACATGCGATGGTCAATATAGATAGGATACCCAATACTCTTGAAAGGGTTCTCGCGTCAATTCATCAATTTTGAATTGCTGGTCGACTTTAGCAAAGTTGTTCTGGGCATATTCAAAGGGTCTTCTTCCCATTGGAAAGCGATAGGAATAGTGAATATAGAAATAGACCAGCTTATGATTGACGATTTGGTCTCATTTTCGTTGCTGTGTAAAGAGTATCAAGAAGAATAAAGCTTATAAGAGATAAAGACCATCTCTTCCGCATACACTACTTGTTTTGTGGTATAACTTATCAATAAAGCAATTGAGTTGATTAACCTCTGGTATCTACAGGTATTTATTCTTTTCAAAGAACTTCCGGTCCAAAAAAGTGTTTTTTTTTTCTTCTCTCTGGGAATAGTTTTACTTGCTGACCTTGTATGAATGTCCAAACTACAAGAAGGAACATATATTTTTTTCTGATAAACTTTATTTTTCCGTTTTCAGGCTAAAGGCTTCAAGGGTATCTTGTTTATCTATTTTTCTCTTGGTACCTTTTTAGATACATAGGGAGGATAATTAGTAAACGCCTGTCCATTAGACAAAGAGATGTCATATGATACTACAATAGAAAGTGCTAGAGTAACCAACTCGATACCCCGTAAAGAAAGTAAGGTATATATGCTTGTAATACATAAAAGTGTTTTTTATGGTTTCTTTGAGATCTACTATCTTGTTTTCGCTTCATAGCTTATTAGACCTTTAGAGCAGATGAAAATAAAAGAGCATGATTATAATAAAATTCTATTGATGGTGAAATCGGAATGTACGCTTTGGTCACTCTACAAAAAAAAAGCTGATAAAAAAAATGATTACGAGACAGACTTCTTCCTTAGGGTACATATTTATCTTGTTCTTGTAAACTAATTATTAAAACTTTCATTATTTCTGTTATATCATTTCCCCTCTCCATCTCCCAAAAATAGCTTCGTGTTCTGTCCCTTTTCTGTTCTTTTTTTTTATTTTTATTAGTCACACTTCCACAAGTTGTCTCCCGCCTTCAACATTAACATATTTAGTAACTCTTTAATTGGAATACCGACTGTCTAATCTGGATTTGATTTTCCAAGTATCTGGGTTTTATTTTAATATATTTTATCCATAAGAAGGTAAATATATTGTCTGGCATTTAAATATCGATTTGTCCAAAACATATATAAAATAAATCAAAATCAAAATCAAAATCAAAAAAGAAAGGAGGCGAATTTTATTCTATATATGATTTTGTAAGCCCGACCACAAGATTTTGAAGTGACGATATCAAAGAGAACGGAACCACGCTTGTGCCCAATAATAAAAATAATAAAAATAATAATTAACCCTCACACTATATTTCTCATCATAACTCTTATTATTTATTTATTTTATTTTATTTTATTATTAATTATTTTGGACTTCTCTTCTTTTTCGCTACATTGTAATAGTCATTCTGCCTTTGCTCATTTCCCCTTTTCAAATCCTCTTCTTATTCTTTACTCTCCTTAACTAGAAAACCAAAAAAAAAAACCACAATACCATAGTACACACATATAACTACTTCTTCAAACTTATACATTTACATACTCACTCATACATACATACATACATACCTGTACTCAATCTTCTAATCTCTTTATTGACTTGAATTTTCATACCTTTCAAAAAAAAAAAAGAAAAAAAAAGAAGAAGAAGCATTCAAACTAAAAAGAAGTAAAAATAATAACATAGTTACCCATTACTTACACCACCTTTTTCTTTCTTTTCTTTTCTTTTTACTTCTTACTCAATTACTCACTCATTTACTTTCTTATTCCAGAGTCGAACCATTAGCCGCCGTCTTACCTTTATAATTTCTCCTTCCCCTTATTTCAATACCTTTATTCATTCAAACCAATCTATATATAAAAAAAACGAATAACCAACAATGGGAAATACGTGTAGTTGTTGTACTGATTGCTTTGGAAGTAAGTTCTTTTTTTTTTGAAAAAATTAAAATTAAAATAAAAAATGACGACGGCGGCAAAGTATAAGAAGAAGAAAAACTAATTTACGTTGTTTATTCATTTTGTCTAATGCTCAAATGTACATTTATTCCTACCTATCTCTTTTATCTATCTATATATAAAACTATATACGCATCTCTACATATACTTCTCTTTTTGCATCGTGTCTAATGAAGAGCGGAACCGTACCGGCCTTTATGAGCCACTTTTACAGGAAAATGAGCGCGAGGCAATTGCCGAATTGTTACAATACCTCGAAAGTAAGATTGACTTTTTGGTCAGATGTCAAATAAACTGACAAGCAATAATACATATATACATATGAGTACAGTATAATAACCCCCCAAAATAAATAATAAAATAAACTCTCTAGATCGTAACCAGACAAACTTTTTTGAAGGCGAGCCTTTACATGCCTTGTCAACACTAGCATATTCAGATAACGTTGACCTCCAAAGATCAGCAGCACTTGCGTTTGCAGAGATTACAGAAAAAGGTGACAAAATAAGGACTACATACACTTGTTATACGATATACGAAATACGAATTACCAATACCAATACGAAGACCAATACAAATGCGTACACCAAAATCAATATTAATACTAATTATTATTACTACTACTGTTGTAACTGTTATTCTCGATACGCTTTACACACATCTACAAATTCTCTTTCTTCTTACCTTTATATACACCCGCGTCTATGTCTATGTCTATGCTTACATACCATACAAAAGATGTGAGGCAGGTTGGCCGGGAGACACTTGATCCAATTCTGTTTCTGTTGCAGTCGCACGATGTTGAAGTCCAGCGAGCAGCGAGCGCATCCCTGGGAAATCTTGCTGTGAATGGTATGCCTATTTGTTACCTTGTCATACAAAATCTGTTACCGTTGACGAATAAACATAATATATATATATAAATACAGTGTGGTATGGTAATATGTGGTTTACTGACTTGACAATTTTGTTTGTTTTTTTCTTTGTCTCAGCCGAAAACAAATTATTGATCGTTAAGCTCAATGGCCTCGAACAATTGATTCGTCAGATGGGCAGCCCAAATGTAGAAGTACAATGTAATGCTGTTGGTTGTATCACTAACCTTGCTACTCATGGTGAGCAGATTATTTCATTTTTATATTTTATTTCTATTTTACTTTTCTTATTTTAGATTCATACAAATTTTGATACCATTTTATGTTTTCAAACCCTCTTTTAAATAAAACACACACACATACGACTAAAACAGCTATTGAATTATAATGATTATCATTTCTTTATTATTAAAATTGAAAACATAGATGACAACAAAGCAAAGATCGCAAAGTCGGACGCTCTCCGTTTGCTGGTAGATTTGGCCCGATCCAAGGACCAAAGAGTACAGCGTAATTCAACCGGCGCTCTACTCAACATGACGCATACCCGTACGTGCCTCTTTATTTTTTTTCTTTTTTTCTTTTGTGTCTTTTCTTGTAGTATATAGTCTATTCTTCTTTATATCAATATTTTATGATATTTCATTATATGGCTATTATAATCAAGTATCATTTTGGTTATTTTGCTTTAATTTATTTTATTCAAAAAAAAAAGAAAAAAAAAGAGAGAGAATCAACGCACTGACCCTATTATATCTATTTTTCTGTTAATCGTGCTAGAGGAGAACCGCCAACAGTTGGTAAATGCAGGGGCAATCCAGGTCCTCATCGGTCTACTCAATTCCCCAGACGCTGATGTTCAGTACTATTGTACCACCGCCCTTAGCAATATAGCCGTCGATGGTAATATATATATATATATAAGGATTTATATGTGGGTTTATAAGTGTATGGGTGTATATGGATTTGTGAGTGTGTATATGTATATAAAACACTTTTGTTAACTTATGACCAAAAAAAACCCCCCACACAGCCGGAAATCGAAAGAAACTAGCCCAAACAGATTCTCGGCTGGTTCAATACCTTATTGCCCTCATGGATACAAAGAGCTTAAAAGTACAATGCCAGGCTGCACTTGCTCTCCGAAACCTTGCTTCAGATGGTATGATCAACAACAATAATATAGCTATAGAATAAAGGAGAGAAAAGGGAAATTGTCCATGCTTTTTGGATTGTATAAAAGAAGAGGACATTCTTCTAGTGTGGGTGTTGCATATGTGTCGTATATGTGTTGTATATTATATGTATTTGTGAATTGATCTTCACCTTCTCCTCTTACTCCTTGGAAATTCTTATGCTAATTTTAAAATATTTTTTCTCTTTCTTTCTTTCATTATGTCTGTTTCATTATTGGTGAATTACTATAATTATTATCTTTTAGAAAAATACCAACTCGAGATCGTACGTTGCAAAGGTCTGCCACCCCTCCTCCGTCTCCTCAAATCGGCGTTTCTGCCTCTCATTTTGTCTTCTGTGGCCTGCATTCGAAACATTTCCATTCACCCTGCCAACGAGTCACCGATCATTGATGAGGGTTTTGTGAACCCACTGATTGATCTACTGTCGTACGACGAAAACGAGGAGATCCAGTGCCATGCGATTTCGACCTTGCGCAACTTAGCCGCCAGCTCAGAACGCAACAAGAGAGCGATCGTGGAAGCCGGTGCAGTAGAACGCATCAAACAGCTGATCGGTGTTGTTCCCCCGACCGTGCAGACAGAGATGACGGCCGCAATTGCCGTTCTGGCCCTCAGCGATGATCTGAAACAGCGCCTGCTGGCTTCGGGTGTGCTCGAAGTCCTGGTACCCCTGACATCAAGTGACAATATGGAGGTCAAGGGAAACTCGGCTGCTGCAATCGGAAACCTTAGTTCAAAGGTCAAGGATTACACCCCATTCGTCAAAGTCTGGGACAGCCCGACTGCCGGAAGTCTGCATAGTTTCTTGGTCCACTTTCTTGATGAAGAGCAGGACATTGCCTTTCAACACATTGGTGTCTGGACAGTAGAGCAGTTCCTCGAAGGAAATGGTAATTCAAATAGTTTTTTATTATTCTTATTATTATTTGTGTAGTGTGTATATGGCATGTGTGTAGTGCGTGTGTGCGTGTGTGTGCATGTGTTTGTATATACTGATATTCAAATCTGTTCATGTGTGTGGGTATAGATAAGGAACTGGTTACCAAAATAGCACAGTCTCCCTCTATTGTTCAGTCTATTAGAAGAATTGCAAATGCTGGTCCTGAAGAGAGACCAAAGAAGATGACAGAACATACAAATGAAGACACTATGGATGAGATGGACGGTGACATATTTGGCTTGGCCAAACGGGTGGCTGGAATGCTTCAGGAAGTACAATCCACAAAAGGAGATACCGAGAAATGGTTTATAGGCAAGAGACAGCAGTAAAAAAAAAGAAGGAAAAGAGAAGAGAAGAGAAGAGAAGAGAAAACTGTCATGCAAACGGATTTCTGCTCTCTTATTTTCCTTCTTTTCTTTCTACTCCTACCTCTACACCACAACATCCACAACAACCATAAATCACTGCCACCACCACCACTTCCACCCAACCTTCTTGTCCCTTTATTTTCAAATCCATTTAAACTATCAATTTATCACACTATCCCCCCTACCTTCCCTTACCCTTTTTTTTTCTTGTCTCTTCCTCCCATCTCTCTTATACACACACACACACATTATATATCTACTTCCAAATTCCCCCCCTCCAATCCCTTTTCTTCTTTTAATTCTTCTTCTTCTGTTACCCTTCAACCAACCAAAGTATTTTACAACCCATCTTCATTAAATCACTCCCACTTGAAAACAACAAGAAAAATGGCATTCCTTTAAATTACAAATAAAGAAGAAGAATAATAATAAGAAGAACATCAAAAGAGGTTGAGATGGAGGAGGTAGAAAGGGTAACATTTTATATCATCTTTCTTTCTTTCTTTTTTATAATATACTTTATATAATATTTTTTTTCTATTTCGATCAATCTATATCTTTACTTCTTTTTTTTAAATGTGTATGTGTATGTGGTTTTGTATTTAATATATAAATTAGATTTTTGAGCCAACAAAAGCACCACCATCAACCTATCAATAATAATAAAGATACATATTAGAATAAAGTTCAATTGAAGAACAACAACAAAAAATGATCAAAATATACAAAAGTACATTTATATTTATATATATTTTTACTTACAGTGATTGTAGCACCTGTGGTATAATGACCTGCTCGAGAAGACAGATAGATACAAGTGCCAGCAATATCTTGAGGTGATCCAATACGACCAACAGGAATAGAGGCAACAATCTTGTCACCCATCTTGTCCAGAGTGGCTTTCATCATCTTGGATTGGAATGCACCAGGAGCAATTGTGTTGACCAAAACACCTCGAGAACCCAAGTTAGATGCCATGTGGCGAGAAAGATGGTGAAGTCCAGCCTTGGAAGCAGCATAGGCATAAGATTCTTGAGGAGGAACCTGTATATCAATAATTAATTATTAAAGGTTATTCAATTGTTAACTTTTATCTATCTATCTATATATAAGTAAGTATATAATTATATATTATTGGCTTACACGAAGTCCATCAATTGAACCGATATTGATCACACTCGAAGGGTTTGAAGAATTAGCCTTTGCAGTCAACAAAGGCAGGCATCTACATTTTTCATAAACAATTAGATCCAATAAAACTAATAGTAATACTTTATTTTGTGATTGCGATATATTATTCACTCACTCAATCATATATACTTACGCTTGGGTCAATGTAAAAATACGCTTGAGATTAAGACTAATAACCTTTTCAAAGGCACGGTCAGGGAATGTATTGATTGATTCAGCCCAGTTTGCGCCAGCATTGTTCACAAGTACATCAAGATCTATAGCAGTGTAAAAGATATACATACACAATCTAGTAAATATATCTTTCTCTTTTTCGTTCTTTCTTTAAGATAAGATGTGACTTACGGGTTTCTCTCTTTGACAATTCAGTTACAAGACGTTCAACATCTTCCAATTTTTGGAGATCAGCGGGAATGGAAAAACATTTTCCAGGTCCCATGGCTGTCAATTCTTGAGCAACCTTTTTATTTTATTTTATATATACAATTATTATACATGTGCACGTGATTTTCTTCTTCTTTTAGTTATAACAAAATAATTTTTACATGATCATCTAAATGAGTAATGAGATGAAGCTTTTACCTTGTCACAGACATCTGCAGAACGACTACTGATGTACACTTTAGCGCCAGCAGAAATATAACCCTAATGTCGAAGAAAAAAAAATAAAAATAAAAGAGGTTGTGATGAGGTTTTGTTACAAAAAGAAGAATATCTCTTATATTCACATTTGTTAGTGTGCCTTATTATCATTAAAGAAAGAAAGTGTTCCAATAAAAATTATATATATATATATATATACTTACAGTAGCAATCATTTCACCAATTCCTCGTGAACCACCTGTCACCAAGACAACCTGGTTGATATAATATTTATCAGGTCAATATATATATATATATATATATGTAGGTGTTTGTTTTTTATTGTGCATAGTGTAGTGTAGTGTAGTGTAGTTTAATTGGTTTGCAAGTATGGACTGTACCTTGTCCTTGACACTAAAGAGAGATCCAAAATCCATTATGAAATCAATTAAATAATAAGAATATTAAGAATGATAATAACAATAAGCAAAAACAAAAAAAAAATCCAAAACAATAGAAAGCTTGGTTAATGGTATTTTTGGGGAAGAGAGAGAAAGAGATATATATATAGAGAGAGAGAGAAATTTAATGCGATTTGCTTTCTATTACACAAATTAATGACTAACGCTAAATATCGGTGCTTGATCGTGAGAGAGCGAGCGAAATTATTAGCAAATGAAATTTACTGCTGTAATACATTTTACTATGAGAAATGAGTGGTGATTTTGAAAAAAAAAATATGATTTTATTTTCAAAATCGTCACATTTTTTTCCCTGCTGAGGTACCTTTATGTAAGATAGAAATACGACTAACATACCATGCAGATTTACTTTTTGGTAAGGACTAATGCTCACAATTATTTCTCTAGTATTCTCTAAAGAGCTGTAATGCTTTGAATCCTGACACAGAACGACCCTGAGAAGAAGAGGATATCATATAATTAGCGCTGAAACATATTGAGTATAAATAATGCTTACCTCTGGGAGAATAAAAAAATTATCATCGTCACCACTTTCTAGTATAGACAAGCCTTGACTGAAAGTGAGCATGAAGGATCATGACCCAACTCAAATTAACCTGAAATATACCGTTACAACTAGCTCCACGTCCACCTTCCCTTCACTACCCAAAAAAAAAAAAGAGGACTCGGGACAAAACAAGTAGATGGACCGCGGTGTTTGTCGTAGATGAGTATTGATCACTGTTGAATCCGAGAGTAAGTGTGAAGTATAGTAGTTTATCCTTCAGTTCCTCCACTTAGACAACTCTGTCTTTACTATATAACTCTAGTATTTGGATCGAAATACTAAAGTATTACCTATAACATACATGCTCTCTTTTACTCAAACTATCTAGCTAATCTGGCAGAAAAAGTATCAGATCAATAGGCCTTTCCAGAAGAGCAATTCATAATGATACTAGTTATCAAGGCATATATTTCAATATAAATTAGAAAGAAAAAACAAACAGGCATATAGATACCGGTAGTTGGCTCTGTGTAAAAGGACGGTCGAATTTCATTATTTCATTATTTTCTTATTTCTTTTGAAATAAAGCAACATATATAAGCTTTTACAAATCATTTCATCCATATTTTCTTGTTTCTATTTTTCCTATAACAGTGACAAACTCATAAGAGAACAGTAAATCAAACCTTTACATTTGCGAGTCGTTATAATTAAAAGTAAAGAGTTATCTACCTCTACACTACCTGGGTTTTCGTTCAGCATCAAATTCAAACACTGGAGCAGATGGCTTAACCGGCTTACCTTCAGAAACCTTGACGTTACCAGCAATGAAAACAAAAAAAAATGAGTGAAATACAAGATCCACAATCCAAAATGGATACTATAATTGCTAATGAACCTGGCAGAGTCCACATCACAAAAACGTATCACACACACACCGAGTGATTTGAATTACAATGGATTTGAATTGTAACAGATATAAAAAATACTATTTTGACTCTCTTTAATAAATGTCACTCTCACAGTGTCTACTTTTCTCCTATATTGAAATACTAACCCATAAATAATCCCGAATATCTCGAGAAGAAAAGGAAAACACCCAGGATGCATCGTTTAATATAGCTTTTTTTTTATTATTTATACCTCGAATGCTGAAGCAGTCGGGTTTTATAGGTATATAACAAAGTAATATAAAAAACATATGTTATCCACCCCTTCCTTTTAGTACTCTAGGTCTGGATGTGAGAGAGGATGCCATGAGTATGCATTTCTATTAATTCAACTACCCGTTTCACATGAATATATGTAACAGTAGGGAAAAGTACTGGAGGTATTGTGAGTGAGCTAATAAAAGTATTGGAAGAAGTGAGTTTCCTTTGAAGGATAAACGCAGAAAAGTAAAGAAGTCAGTTATTTCAAAATGAATGTGTTGGATTTGATTTGTGTAGCGACAGCTTTAAAGGTAGAGTACAAGTCCAAAAGCAGTGATTTTTGTTGTTACACTGAGTTGGACCGTGCACTTTATAATCAAGAGCAAGACATTTTTCTCTCTCTTTCTCTTTATAAAACTAGATGGTTTCTTAAAAATTTACTCGATTCAAGCCATGTTCGTCTCCATTATGAAACACAATAAAAAACAAAGGTAAAATTAAAGAAGAATTGGGTGTAAGTTGAATGAGATCTAAATAACTGCTCTCTAAATCTAAAAATGAAATGTAGGGCTGCGTTTTTTTTTGCCAGCAGTTGTTCTTGAACTCATATATCAGGGTGAGCATGATAGTTATATTTCTCTTTTATGATCAATCTCGTAAGCGCTGTTAAAGTTTTATCTGTTGAGTACTTCTGAAAAAGGGCTAAGAGAAAGTATCTGGTAATGAGTATGCGTATTACTACGTTTAACCATTTTGTTTGTAAAGTTTCTGTTTGTTTGTTTGCTTCTTCTATTGACTAGAGCTTTATGCTTTTATAGACTTGCTTCACATACTAGTATTAGAAATAGAAGCCAATAAAAGACAGACATGCCATAATTGAAACCAACTTTGTCCTAAAGCAAAGCAAAGAAATAATAAAGGGTTTCCTCTTGATCAATGTCGCAACAACTCTAAAGACGGAGTACAAGCTCTAATAACGGCAGTTTTTAGGGCATTCTTAACTGGTCTGTGCACTATTTTGTTTGAGGAGACAAGAAAGAGTTTCTTTTTTTTTGCTTGTACAAACAGGCACAAAAGAGAATCGATGGTCACTAGGAAATTGATTCACATATGTTTCAAAGCAATATTAAACAATAAGAAAAAAAAGCAGGATATATATTATCCGGGTCTCTTCACAATTGAGGGCAGAATGTTAAGTGGCAGGCTGAGTTTTATTGTAATGAATGGAAGTATGTTCATAATTAAAAATGTCAAGGTAATCTCCTATATGAATAAAGGTAGTCAAAGCTCGATAGGATCATTTTTGGAGATTTTTAGTCTGCTTCCTGCTAGTCTTCTCTATTATTATTATTTTGGTATAGTGATGGTGATAGTAATATGATTTTGCTTCTGCCGATCTTATCACTATATCGAACTTTGGGTGTAATACATCGGGTTGATGAACCGGGTTATTACGGATTTGATTTTTTTCTGAACTTGGTTCACATGCTGTGCTTGACATGTATTGAGTAACCGCAGTGATACAAAAAATAAGGACAAGTCACTATACTGCTATCCAATAGAACACTCTTCCCGCATAATAGTCATAATAAAACATATAGACCTAGTGTGACTGGACAGGTACCATTAAATATAAATACCCTCCGTCTATTCAGTCTTTTTTTCAATCAGTTTCGATTTGACTTATATATCTCTTAATAAAAAAATTATTTTGAGTCTCAAAGTACTTATCAAGCTTACAATCCTCCCCACAAAATACAGCATTCTTTTTTACTTTGAACATAAAAAATCAAATAAAATATTGCGTATATATTTCAACATGTCTATTCCTACCAATTCTACCAATGTGCCGCCCATTATTCCTATTGTATCTCAACAAGAAGGTCAGATAGCAGTTAATGCCTCTACCTTTGAAAAGAACATAGAAGAATTAACGGGTGTAGACACTTCTATCCCTAGTAAAAATAGCTTTGTATCAAGAATGACTGGCTCGCAGTATGCTCCAAAGGTGACTGGAAATGAAGCTTTTGTCTTGAACAAAGAAAGTAAAAGAATTAGCCGCCAGAAGGCAGAGAAACTTTTGAGCAAATATAAACGTGAATCGTATTGCCTCTTGTCTGCACTTTATGATGCTAATATCTTGAAAGACCGAGTAAGTGAAGCTTCTATCTCAAAATAAATGGAGCACTGCACAGAGCAGATGGAGCGCATCCATAGTATACTAAAAGTCACTGAGAACATTTCCCCTATCAACACTACCGGCAACAACATCAGTGTCTGCGACATACCGCTTTTCCAGATTATCGGATACTCTGTGCCAGATCAAAACTCTAAGGTGTACAGCAATGTCGAGCACTACCTGTCCGCCTTTGAGAAGCTTATGACAATTGGGTGCGAGCACATCGACTCTGCTTGGTCCAGGTGGTTGCCCATTGCAATGACCCACGAGTACGATACCTGGTACCTGGAAAACCTGAGCAACAAGAACCTCACCTGGGCAAAAGCAAGAGCAATCATCAAGAAATATTACAACACTGAAGAGTACCAGTGCATTATGGCCACCGAAGCTTTAGCCATGTACATGGGACCCAATGAGACTATCCAAGACTATGGGCAGCGGTTCCAAAGAGCCTGTCGTGAAGGAAACATCGGCCAGGACGGTTTAATTTCCATTCGTTTCTTGTCGTCTTTGACACCCGCCCTCAGCCACGCCACATTCTCTGCCTGGTTCACCCATAACAATAAGGAGCCAGATTCTGTCTAGAGCATCTTGAATCTCGCCACTACCTTGAGCAGGCCAATGAAAAGGATGAGAGAAGAGGCTGAGAAATAGTTCTCTTTTTCTCATCGCCGCATATACAACGGTAGCACCAATCGTCTCATTCTCCCAAAGGGCCGCCCAACTAAAGCTTCAGGCTCCTAGTCTTGTGTTTCACACGGCTTCTTCTGCTACCCAACGGAACACTCTTCCCGCATAACAGGCATCATAAAACATATAGACTCAGTTTGACTGAATAAATCACATTTTAAAAAATAAATACTCCATTAAGTTTTGCAAAAGAGAACTGTGATTCTGTTCAATTTTTGCCATAGTATTTGCTTTGCTCGAGAGTTTCGAAAGAGAAAGAAAGAAAAATCTGATAAACATGTTTTTAAATAATTTATTAAGATATTTCCTGTAATATATCTGTTAAAGTACTATTTCTTTTTTCTGGTCACTTTTTGTAATGGGGCTAATACGCATTATTTTTCTTTTCTTTTTTCGACACATATTCTGGGCTTAGGACTGGATTATCACAAAGGCCCAAATGAAGCATGCCAAAAAAAAACACTGCTTAATGTCTCCAAGTCAGCATGTATGACACTCTTGAAAACCTAATATATATTCTGAAGCTTACATGACGTTGAATACACCAATAAAGATATTAAAATTAAGCTCCCATTATAGCAGTTGTCGTTTTCTCTCTCTGGCACAAATAACTTTGAATACAATTGAACCTTTAAACCCTTTTTCAATTGATATTATATAAAGTCATTAGATATCGTATTTTAATGTGCCATTCAAAATATAGTAACAGAAGAATCAAATAATAAAATTGATCTATCAAATAGGTAAAGACATGAATAAGTATTTTAAAGAAGCAATTAGAAGAAGAAGGTTAAATTTCAATTTAATTTTCAAATAAAGGCAAGTAATCTTCATCTTCTCCGTCTATCTTATCCCGTCTTAATTCCTAGATATAATCCTCTATAATTGGTGGCTCTAGCCCAAAGAATAAACTTGTTGGTAAGTCGGTGCGGTGAACACAATGAAGCAAGTTCTTGAAGACAGTGGAGAGTAAATACGTAATTGCTTAGTTTTTCTCCCCTTTCTTTCCTGCATCCTAAAACTTTGTATACTTGAATTATTTTTTCATTTCACCAGCCTCCCATTTCATTGCCCTTTGCACTCTTTCCAGACTTTTGTTGAATATTTTATCCAGTTCTATAATGTCATAATTAATTTCTCGTATATGCTTGTATCGACTATATATAAATATCATTACTACTTTACCGCTAAGGTGTTCGTATGTAAATGGTCTGTGCAAGCATTGTGAGATTAAATAAGACGAAATGCCGAACAAGGCAAATGACCCGTCGGTATCTGAGGAAAACTTTAGATATGTCTCTATTCTTTCCTCAAGCTTGGCCATAAGGTGTAAGTACTGGGAATACCCCGAGCCGACTTTTCTTCCAAGCACACTGCTGGTTATCCCATCGGGAGTGACAATGGACTGGTAATCTAATCTAGGAAAGTGCTTCCAGCCATTGTAATAGGATTCTTTAAGCTCGTAATCTAGACTTGGATTCTCCCTTTCTCGCACTGTACCATCAATAAAGCCAACAACGTTTGGTAGTTTGGCACCCTTTTCATAGATTGCGCTTACAAACCTTTCCAAGTTCTCGGGACGAAATTGATTGGCATTAAATTGAAGACCCCACTTAATCTTGTCGATCAAAAGTCTCTCCACCCCTTTTCAAACAACAGATACATTGGTTGGACTCATTCCGAAAAGCGTAGGCATATCTTTTAAGGTTCTTTTGAAACTATATCGGTTCACCAACATTGCAAAACCAAGATTCTTGCGCACCTGTATACTAGAGAAGTGACATACATGATCCAATCCAAGTGCTGTTGTTATTCTTTCTATTTCATCATAAGTGAACCGGAACAGATACACACAGACACCATAATTCAAGGTAGTCATAAGCAGCTTGGTGTATGTAGTTCTTGTTAGACTTCTTTTCTCTTGGTGGGAAGCGTCTTCCTTGTCCTTCTTCTTTTTCTTTTTTTGCTGCTGCTGATGCTGCTGTCTTTGCTGTTCTTGTTCACGGCGTTATTCTTCTTTTTGACGTCGTCGTAGGCGCTTTTTGAAATCCCTGTATTCATAGAGATCCGCCATTTTACTTTGGAGTTATCTTGTAGAAGTTTTTGTATAAAGAAGCCGCTAGGGAATGAAGTTCAAAGATGTAGACCATATTATTAGATAAGAGATAATAAACTCTGACTGGCTAGTTCTTTTTCTATTTCCAATTGGATTAAGAAGATCATTTTTTTAATAGAAGAGAGGTGTCACAGAGTGTATAATCTAGAGAAACCCACAAGAAATTATTTTTATCTGATGGAAGAGATGGTACTATGACCGCAACTTTGTCTAATATGCATTTAACTTAATTTGAACTTTTTTTTAAAAAAAAGTGTGGAGAGGAATAAATTAATTTTATTGGCTAAGCTTATCTTAAACTTTCTAGTCTGACCACACCAAACAAATACAATTGAAGAAGATCAAAATAACATTTAGAGAATCATAAGGCATTAATTCTTAGCTTTAGGACACGACATTATACTCATATGTAAAAGATATTAGATTATGGATTATGGACGTCACATTTTACCAGTCGGATAGAATACAAATGTCGTGTCCTAAAAAATATATTGTTTCTATTAAGATTACTGCGTAACTGGTTACTGCATAATTGGTAATTGATTCCAGTAACTGGAAAACTGTCAAACTGGGTCACTTGCAGTGGTTATCTGCTGGGGCCCTGACCCTTATTAATGACGTATATGGTACATGCCTTCCCACTATCCATATACTTATACATGTATAGACATCAATGAAGGAAAATTGGTAGTATGTACGAAAATGTGCATTCTAATAAAATATAGTAAAAGCAAAATACCTGCTATATATATTATACTTTTATATACCAAACTTCATGGAAGAATGTAAAAAAACCGTTTCAATTTTAATTCGCTTTCAAGTCAACCCAACCCCTTTCATTTGTTTCTCCTTTGTGATTTTCTTTTTTGAAAAACACATTTATATAAACCTTTTTACTGTCTTGTCTCTTTCCAAGGCTTTCATTTACAAAGGCTTTAATCCCATAAATGTATATATATATATGTGTGTGTGTCTTACATCTGGCTTAACTGGCAGTATTCTTTTAGTCTAATGTCAATATATGTACAGTCTCTGTTACAAGTAAGCAGGCTCTCTTGAAAACCACTTATAATACCAACAATGAGAATACACCATATATATATATATATATATATATATATAGAATTATAGTTTATCTGTTGATATTAAAAATCCTTTTAGCCAAGCACACCTCACGTACCTACGTTATTCTTTTATTTCTGTTTACTTTTAAGAACCTCTTCTTTTACACATTAAAAAATAAATCATAGTATTACTATCACTATTAATATAACTATTTTACCACCAATAATAATAATAACATTAAAAATAATTTATATGTAAATATATTATATATATATTTATATTAATTATTTTTTTTTAAATTTTAAATTTTTATTTATTTAAAATAGAATGGCATTCTTGTCTCGCCATTTTCATTTCACTCTGGCTTTATTCCAAAGATCTACCGTTCTGACAACCAACAAACGTCTACACGCCATGAGTACGGAACAAACCTCCCAGTCTCTGAAACGTCAACATACAACCAACAATTATGGCTATTCAAAGACAGGTGTACCCATGAAGATCGTCTTGGACAACCGCGAACAAAAGATCTGCGAATTACTTCAAAACGTCTCACATTATCTCGCAAAAGAACGCCCAGATCTACCCCTGATTGAATCTCGCATTGCAGGTGGATGGGTTCGAGACAAGGTACACTAATTGTGTAGTTTTTTTTCTCTTTTAAAAAAACTATATAAGAATAATGATAATGTTAATGATAATGATAATTAAGATATTAACATTGCTTATTTTTATTTTATTTTATTTCATTAGTTACTCGGAAAAGAATGTCATGACATTGACGTGGCCGTTAATTCCATGATGGGATTTGAGTTTGCGCAGTATGTCAATAAGTACCTTGAAGCCAACAACTGCCCCACAAGATCGATTGCCAAGATTGACAGTAACCCAGCAAAGTCAAAGCATCTCGAGACAGCCACCACAAAATTATTTGATCTCGAGATTGATTTCTGTAATTTACGCACAGAAATTTATACTGAAGATAGTAGAATTCCAGCAAAAGTAGTGCGTAAACATATTCTATCTTTTTTTTTTACATTGATACATTTGTATCTATATACCGATATATCTACATGATCTATTGGCTCTATTCATTTATTGATTTTTATCTCAAAAAAAAAACTCATAGACATTTGGTACACCTCTTGAAGACGCCTATCGCAGAGATACCACTATAAACAGTTTATTCTACAATGTCAATACTTCTTCTGTAGAAGACTTTACAGAAAAGGTAATATATCTATATATTAAAATAAAACTAATATGTATTAGTTTTTTTTATTAATATTATTTAAATAACCAAAAAAAAAAAAGAAAGATCAATAACTTCCAGATATACTTATTTATTTATTTTATTTATTTTGTAGGGATTGTCTGACCTGACCCATGGATTGATCAGAACACCTTTGTCTCCCTTTGAAACCTTTAGAGACGATCCTTTGCGTGTACTTCGATGCATTAGATTCGCCAGTCGATTCGATTTTGACATGGTTTCTGAACTGTGTGAGGCAGCAAAACACCATGATATCCGGGAAGCACTATTGTCCAAGATCAGTCGGGAAAGAATTGGATCCGAACTCGAGAAAATGATCACCGGCCCTTCGCCTCTTCACTCTATCCAATTGATCCAAAATCTTGGTCTCTACAATGTTGTGTTTTCATCTCCTCCCACTATCGTGTCTGGTTCTCCAGAGGATCCCAAAATTGCTGTCAAGGCAGTCGGTGCTGTTGAATGGTAAAAAAATATATGGATAAATATCATTTACTGATATATATTTATATATATTCTTGACTAAAGAAAAATAAAGACTCATTCATTCATTTATATCTCTTATAGGTTATCTAAAGGAAATACTCACAAAGAACAACTCTTATCAAAATCAAGTGATGAACTCAGAACCCTTTATTTGGGTGCCAGTGTTTTACCCTATATTAAAGTCAAGGGAGAATACAAAAGAAAAATCATCCCTGCTGTTCAGATTGTTTTGCGTGATTCTTTAAAGGTAAATAAATATTTCAAATCTTCCTCTATCTATGTTATTTTATTATAATTTATTAAAAGATAATAAGGGAAAAAATAAAGGGAAGAAAGAAGATAAGGATGTGTCTAGAACAAACATTTACTTTATTTTTCTATATAGACCACAAATCTAGACATCACTACCATATCAAATATTTTTGAAATCATCCCTACGCTACGTGAAGCATCAAACAAAAATATCGATGGTGGAATCAAACGCTCAGAATTAGGTACAAACTACAATAAGATCATTACAAATATTGTTTCATTCGATGAAATGAAATGAAAAGAAAGAACATGAAAACCAACCATCTCCTTTTTCTTTCTTTCTGTGTAGGTGTCATTATCCGTAACCTTGGACATCTTTGGACAACAGCAATAAAGCTTGCATTGATCAAAGAATTGTTGGATACCTTTGAAGAAGTACCTTGGGAGAACCCATCTTCTATTCAAGGTATGATAGTATATATATATATCAGTCATCTATATTGATAAATAATGGGACTAAATTAATGATATTTTAGATAATATTGGAGAGGAACTTTGCAGCAAGTACAATGCATTGATCTCAAGAGCTTACGAATACGGAATTGAGACATGTTACACCTGGAAACACCGTATGGATGTAAGACTAACTGTGATTTGTAAAAGAGAGAAAGAAAGGGAAGAAATTAATCAAAACTATGGATTTTGTTTTACTTTATTTTATCTTTTTTCTTGGGATTTAGGGTAAACAAGTAGCAAAACTATTGGGGATCAAGCCAGGTCCGGGTATGTCTAACCTGCTCTTTAATGAGATGGTTTGGCAATTGGACTACCCTAATGGCACAGACCAAGAGTGTGAAGATGCTATCCGTAAATATTGGGCAACAGTATCAAAGGCATAAAAAACAAAAAAAAACACACACACAAAAAAAAAGAAGGAAACAAGGAAAATTAAAGCGCTTAATTTGTTCATGTATTTTACTTTCTTTATGGCCAATTGACCAAGGAAAATTTTCTCTTTTTTTTGGAATATTCCTCTTTGTAAATCTCAATACTTCTTGTCCAAACACAAAAACAAACAACAACAAAAAACACGCAATTACACATAGCATAGCATAGCATAACATAGCACAGAATATCATATAAAAATCGAACCCAATCTCTTGTAATATAAGAGAAAATTACCTTTTTTTTTGCAAGATTAATATATAGCCATAGAAAATATAAAGCAAATAAATTACACACATACATACCAAAAGTAATGCTTATAAAGAGAAAAAGGAAGAGTAAAGAGAGAGAGGAAGGGAGAGAAATAAGGGAGGAGTATTTGTTTATAATACATTTCTATCTTTATACTATAAAAAGCTTGTTTGAATTTATATATATATATATATTAACTTTCTTTCTCACTTTGATCTGTTTCTTACTCTTCTATTTGTCTTTCATAATTATTCAAGACTCACCAACAAGATCTCAAGATCTCAAAAACAAAATCCCTCATAAAAACTTGAATTTACCCCTCAAATGACAAAAGATTCAGACGAACCCAACTACAGCATGTATTCTTTTCTTTTCTTTTTTTTTGCAATACAATAAACACCTTCCTCAATGAAATTAAATGTCACAAAAACATAAAGTCAATTTGACTAATGCAGAATCCTCAATTTAGTTGGAAATGATCATAAGGAATCCAGTAAAAGTTGCCTTGAAAACAACCAACTGACAGAATTCAGAGCTTTACTTGCTAGAGATAGTGTATTTTCTGTAAAATATAACCAATATTCTGAGGACGACAACAATCACAACTTCTCAAGAAAAATCATGTTTGACAAAAGCGTCCTCAATGAGTTAAATACCAGTTTCAAGCCATGGTCAGATACTCTCATTCCAACTGTTCTCAGAGGAACAGTAATCCCATTACCAATATTTCTGAAAATTAAGGACCAAAAAAGAAAATTCAATGCCTTTAATGAAGATTCATTTGATAATGATATCGATATGGATTCCAATGGGGGTTCATTAAATAATGGCAATCGTGCAAATTCATCCAATAAGGTTAAGGATTACTACAAACCACAAAGGTAAACGAAATGTGCTCTATTGAAACAAAAAAAAGTAAAAGAATATATAAAAGAAATAGGTATAATATGTTCGTATTTATTTTATTGTATTGATTGTTTATATATATATATATATATTTCTATTACTACCAGTGAAACTAGACGTCGCAAGCGACAACCAAAAGGTCCTGTAGAAAGACGAGAGAGATCAAGTCGCCTACCAACGACTTTTATCAATCCTAATCCCGATTTTCCCAGCTATGCTGTTAAAATTGATCCTCATTTTGTACCAGTGTTGAAAGAACATCAGGTAAAAAAAAAGGAACACATAATATATATATGTATGCAGAAGGAAGATTGTACAAAATATTCAACTAGATAAATTTGTATTTTAGTTGGAAGGCGTACGATATATTTGGGATTGTACTGTTGCAAAGCACGAAGGATGTATCCTAGCACATTCAATGGGTTTAGGTAATATATATATATTTGTGTGTGTGTCTATATATGAAATGAGCAAGGAATAGAGATTTAAAAGAAAATGAAAGAAAAAGATAGTAATTCACTTGATCAATAACTTACATAATCTCTTGTGTATTGATTTTAGGAAAGACACTTCAAACCATTGTTTTTGTCACTACACTTATTCAACAAATCAGCCGTAGTATCGCTATGCTACCAAAATACTTACATGTAATAAAGACAAAGAAGAAAAAGAAGAAGAAAAATAGAAATAAAACTAATTATTTGCTGTTAAATAAACTGACACAATACTAATATACATCCATGTGTACTATTGAACAGAGTAAAAGAATCCTTATTCTTGCGCCTACCATTGCTCTTGATAACTGGGTTAATGAATTTGAACGCTGGCTGTCTCCGGATCTGCAGAACATTGTCGGACATGCTGTCAATTTTAATGATCCTGGTTTGGTCAACATAAGTTTGTCTCGAAGGATGATATTTCTTGACCGCTGGTTTGTACATGGAGGAATTCTGTTGATGAGTTACGACCAATTCAGGTGTCTGCTGAAGCCAACACAGATACCGCTCGAACTAGAAAAGCTGGAAAAGTATCTACTTAACCCAGGTCCATCTGTCCTTATTGCAGACGAAGGTCATCGTATCAAAAACAGTCAGGCGGTCATTACAACCTTGGTCAACAGGATTAACACACCAGCCAGAGTTTGCCTGACTGGATATCCGTTACAAAACAATTTGGCAGAATATTATCACATCCTCGACTTTGCTTCACCAGGACTGTTTGGAAGCCCAAATTCTTTTAAAAATACTTATCAAAAAGTAATTGAATCAACGTATGCCGATTCATCAAAGTCTCAACTATACATGGCCAAACATGCGTTATATCAACTCCACCTTCTTAGTTCAAGCTGTATTCATCGGTAAGCTGTGATCAAACAAAATACTATATATATATGTGTGTGTACATTGTTTGAGAGCTTGAATATACAAATATGCTTTTAGCTTGGCTAACACCAATTAACTGGTTAGAAAGGATGCTTCGATTCTAAAAGCTGAACTGCCTCCAAAGGTCGAATACGTTATCAATTGCAAACTCCTGGAAGTCCAACATTCACTGTATATTAGAATGTTGGAAGAATTAAGAATAGCCTCGTTAAACCCTCTGATAGGACTTATTTTGTTACGTGCTATATGTAACCACCCCTTTGTATTCTTTAAGGTAAGAGTATGATGGAAATTTCCTGATATATATATATATATATATGAGATGAAGCTGATAAAATACCTATGGCATCTTGCTTAACTTAATTGTCGTTATTGTGATTAGATGTCGAATAATAGGAAACTACCTGTACAACGCAAGTTAACGATACCAAAGTTGAATATCAAAGTGAATATTGAGGAAGACCCCGAGAACATCGATGAATTGGATGAATCAGAATACATCAATGACAATGAAAATGAAAACATCATTAATAATAATATTATTATTAATAGCAATAGTAATAGTAACAGTAATAGTAATAACAGTGGAACTATTAGTGAAGATAAGACTGAAAATACTGTTGGAGATGTCACTGGAGATGCTACTGGAAATAACAACGACAATAACACAGATCCAACAGAAGAATCTAGCGAGTTACTAGATGATCAGATCGAAGCATTTGATCCAAACGAAATTGCTGAAGTAGAATCCTGGAAAAATACCAAAGCCTTACAATGGGTCACAGATGCTTTTAAACCACTCATAGGTAAATGCTCTATATACCCATTACGAACAACTTGAGAAACTAAAACCAAAACCAAAATGTGTCTGTGTATGTATGCGTTTTATTTTCGTTTATTTTTTTCTTGGTAAATTTGTAGATACATGGGAAATGTCTTCAAAAATGAGAATAATTATGGATATTGTAAAGTATGCCTCAGAAATTGGTGACAAGGTTCTTATTGTATCTCACAGTCTATTGTGCCTTGGTAAGAAGCTTGATCAACAACAGTACGAGTGTATATTTAACAAAGATGATTTAAATTAATCGTTTTTATATATTTGTGTGTGTGTAGATTATATTGGAGAAACACTCAATACTATGGGATACAAGACATTACGAATTGATGGAACTACACCACAGCCGGTTTGTAGACTTCTTGAACTATTAACTTTATGTTTCTAACTTTCTTTTGTCGTTATTTTATATAGGTTCGTCAGCCATGTATTGATCAATTCAATGATGATCCAAATGAACAAACTATGTTGATTTCTGCTCGAGTAAGAATTCATTTGCTGTGAAATATTCATTATTCATTTATCAAGATTAACCTATGATTCTCCTTACTCTCATTTGTATTCTCTCTTTTATCTTTATAGGCTGGTTCTATTGGTGTTAATATCGTAGGTGCCAACCGAGTGATTTTATGTGATTACGATTGGAATCCCTGTCACGAAGAACAGAGTATTGGACGTGTCTACCGTTACGGACAATTAAAGCGGGTATATATCTACCGTTTGGTTACCAATGGGACAATCGAAGAACGTCTCTTGAACCAAGGTATTCACAAACGTGGTATATCAAGGTATGGTTTGTCTTTTTTTTAAATATATATATATATATACATTAAATATATCAAAAAGAAAGAAAGAGAGAAATGTATAATAATATTCTAAAATAATCCTTATATTTTTAATAGTCGAGTAATTGATAACAAAAGAATGACACCACAATTGGAGCAAGATATGAAAAAATATTATTCTGAACCCCAGAAGAGCTATGACCCTTTAAAAAGTGATCTTGGATTTGATGTAGATGATCCTGTCATGAAAAAGGTTATCGAAGGCCTAAGGGATTGTATTGCAAACATTCGACTCGGTGATAGTTTAACGGAACCTGGGTTTGATAATTCTCCAGAAGTCAGCAAGAGTGATATTACTAAGATAAAGCTGGAAGTATATAGAATAAGATCAGTGCATCTCAGAGATGTAATCAGGAAATATGGTCGATAAAGGGATTTTTAAATAAACAAAAAAATGATATAATGTATAGTTTATATCAAACTGAGATAATTGGCAATCCAAATATGTATATATGTGTGTGTGTTGTTCACAGTTTGCGTTGAGAGAGATCAAATTCAGCAGGTACTACGTCTACTTCCTCCAAGACTTGTGAGATAATACGCTTTTGGTCCTAGTATATTTATGAGTTTTCTCTTCACAATTGCTCGCTATATTATATACACTACCTCTGCAAAATAGAACTCGCCTATGAATTTCTTATTTTTTAACATAATCGGAATCCATTGACGATCATCTGTCCACATATCATCGTACGGAATATCATCATAAGAGAACCACTCGGGTCTCATCTCTTCAGTTCTATAATTAATATTGTATAAGTAACCCAAGCAATATCCACTTTTCACATATATAAGTATATGTATGAGTGCATGTAAAGCTTACTCAGTAGGTGTTCCATCATATTCAGTAACCACATAAACATGTACTTCCATTGCCACAGGATTGTTTTCAAAGCTAAACAGGTTGAGGCCTACTTTCTTCATGTTTCTAGCACTAATAGTCGACTCTTCCTAAATAAATAGACCCACACAATATACATATATACATATGTATATATATATGTATATAGCAAGAATATAAGTTACTTATACACACAGATACATTTGTTTGACGTATAACTTACCCAGAGTTCACGGTGAGCAGCTTCCTCAACCGTCTCTGTGGGCTCAAGTTTTCCTCCAAATCCTAAATGAATGCCACAAAATGTATTTGTTTGTTTACTTTTTCTTTTACTTTATTAAACAATATTTTCAATGCATGATATCTTTTAATTTTTTTGAAGTTATTTTATCTAACCGTTGTATTTGTTCATTCCGAACCCTCGTTTCTTCATTCCAAGAAGAATCTAAACATTGTACATTGGTAATCGTATACCGGGATTTGAATGTTGTTTGTACTGTTACCTTTCGATGAGGCTCATCTAGAGTAAGTACAAGAGTGAATGGCTTCTTATTTTGAATGGGAATCATTAAGGCCAAGTTTCAAAGACACAGAATTTTTTTTTGTATAGGCATATGACACATAGACAAATATATCATTTTTAGTATTTTACACGGAGACTTAATATATACATTGTCTGCACAAGTAAAAATAGATTATTGAATTTTACTACAAGAAAATCACTTCAAAGAGCATGGAAATAAGAATCTATAGCCTTTAAATATTGAGAAGTGATATTAATCAAATGATCAATATTCGACAATATCACAGTGGCATCTATTCATACGAGCTAATACAATTTTTGCATAGACATACAATGCGTATTGTATACTTCAAGTGATATTTATTTTTTCTTTATTTTTTATGGGTGAACATGTCTAACTAGTTAAACGTTGGAGAAACTGCCTAGGTTATGATATATGTGTAATTAATGCCATTGTATGGCCACTTTGACTTGGACAGAAAGTTTAAGCTGTATAGTTCAAAGCTCACATTTGTTCACTGTTCTTGTACGCTCCTCGTATACTCTCTGGCCCTTAAGCTTCGGTCGTAAAGATATATATCTGTAGTCGCACTCGGAAACCTAATTGCTTTCAGTTTGTTGTTACTCATTCCATTTACCTGAGTTTAATTCCTTTTTACTGCCCTCTTTTTAAAAAGAAAGCACAGTGTGTTACAAAAACTAAATGAGCAGACTGTTGGCTTCTCATATCATTTTCAGTACAATACTTTTATTAAATTGAAAAGATAAAAGCTACGGCAACAACTTCAACTGAATGTAAGTATTTGATATAAATTACAACCATACATCAAAATGTTTCATCAAAAAATCTTTATATTAACAGCTTATATTATGTTATTTGTGTGTGAAAAACCGATTGCGTCTTGCATATATTTATTGATGCCTCAGTGAATCAAATGTAACCAGATTTGTAGCCTACAATATTAGTTTGACATAATATTATTTTGTAGGACTGCCTATTTAAATTGTATTGATATTTGTATATATTTCAATAAATTCGTTTTTCTCTTTTTCTCTTTCTTTCTATCTTTCTCTACATATCAGTCACTATGGGAGTTCCAGAACTACCATTCGAAATACTCATTAACATTGCTGATAATCTATGGAAAACGGACATCATGTCTTGCGCTCGTAAGTGCAAGAAATGGAGATACCTGTTTCAAAGAACTTTGTGAAAAATCATAGTGATTTACAACTGTAGCCAATTGCCAAAACTTATCGACAGTATTAAAAACTCCCAAAATATATCTACATCACATCACCTCATGGTTCAAAGTTTATGCTTAAGTATGCATTGCCATTGGTCAAAGATACCGAATATCCAATATTCAGATTTATTCAGATACCTGCCAAACTTGAAGCGCCTTGATCTAGAGGGTATCAAGTATGATGATATTCAAGCAGATATCACAGTATCAGATAAAATATGGAAGTCACTGGAAATCTTGAATATGACTTACGGCGGCAGTGATGAAATACAACCAGAGAGAGACGTACTTGGGTTTATAAATATATGCAGCTCGCTCAAGGAATTAGAAATACGTTATCGGCAACGTGGCTATCGCATATAGCTTATGGTTGAGGACTTTGACGACATACACCAAAACTTGCAAAACCTATCGTCTATCACAGCTGAAATATATATTTATTCCGAATTTCCGGATGCGCTGGACACAGTCCCAAATACAATACCGGCTTATTCTGTGACATCCCTGGATATAAATTCGAAAATATACGATGACGGACACGAAGAAGGGGAGGAAAAGGATTACGAAAGTGAAAACATAAATATTAATCATTGGAATTCCTGGTGGCTGTACTATTTTGGATACAAATATCCCAACTTGCGTTCTCTAAAGCTAAATGTCACAGATATGTTAGATGATGCGCTCTATCCAGAGGAGAGGAAAATAGTCTTATCTCTTTTTCACTCTAATCAAAACGCATTTCGACACCTGGAAACCTTCGATCTCAAGACCACCAGATATTTCGACTTTTCTGACTTAATTCTGTGGGAATTGCTTTGTAAATTAAGAGTTCCACTTAAGCATTTGTCGTTAGATACAACATATAGGGGCAAAATAGACTATTCATACCCAATGGATGTTGGCAGAATCTTAGAATCCTTTTCTGGAACACTCAAGAGCCTTTCACTTACAGGGTTTACATATAACCAGAAAAACGAATATACGATTCAAGAAATGTCCTCTTGCTGCCCGTTTTTGACGAATCTATACATCAGTGATAGCAGTTTCTGCCTTAATTTAGATGATCTACTGGACAAGTGTTCCGCCCTCGAACAAATGGAATTCTCTGGTGCAAAATTGTTTCTTAGTCAAAGCCGAATAGCCGAGGAGTCAGAGCAGCAGCAGCAGCAGCAACATGGATTGCGGATATTGACATTAAATAAATGCTCTGTAGCGGCTGGAGTATTCAATTATGTCTCTCTCAGGTGTAGAAGCTTGGAGCAAATGACTTTGTATACTCTGCGCATCATTGGATCGATTTGTGAAAAAACCGGGTGTTTGTTATTCGATATGTCACATATTTTCTTAAAGACTCTGAACATCGGCCAGGTTCAATATGGCACATCATACGAAGAAATTAGGGACGATAATAATATTGGCCTGACACTCCTGTCTTGGTTAAAGGATATTCCGCTATCAGACAAAAAGAATGAAAAAGAAAAAAAAATGATGTGGATTCAAAGTCTCTTGTAGAAGCAAGCCACAACACTTGTTGGTTCTACACATATTGGGATTTTGGGTATAATGGTCTATCCCGCACAGATACTGCAATACTTACAAAGAAAGGAGTCGATATCGCACTTGAATACTACCAAAACTTTCAGTCAAGCAAAGCACGCTCAACTTTAAGCCATGATACCTTCTATAATGTAAACTATCCAGGGAGCGGCTGGAAATACAGACTTTATAAAGGATACGTCGAATGGAGATTCGGTAAGATTAAAACTCGCCCTGTTATATGTCCATCAAACGATGACCCGTTTAAGGAATAGGCTGTCCAGTAAGCTCTTTTAAAGAAATGAAGTAAAACAAAAAGAGCTTGCACAAATAGTATACCTTAAATATTATTATAATCGTAGTAAAACAAGTAATAAACGATGGATAAGTAAGGTCATAAAGCAAAGCACAAAGTCTCAATAGCAAAATATCTAGTCTTCAGCTGTCAAGCTATCAATATGAGAATAAAAGGATAGCTGCTCTGTACTGTACTAGATTTTTAAAAATGATTGTTCATGACTCTTATTTATTTGCTTTTCTTCTGCAATCTTCATATTCTCTGTGATCATTAGTCTTCTGATGAAAAAAAAATAGACATCTGTTGTCGCACTTGGAAATCTTATTGCTTCTGTCTGTCTGCTATTCCTTTCTACTTTTTCTAGTAAGGCTCCTTCTTCTTTTGTCCTCCCTTAAAAAAGCACAGTGTGTTACAAAAGTCAAATGAGTAATATGTTGGTTTCCTATATGATTTATAGTGCAATTCTTTTATTAAAGTGAAAAAGTAAAAACAATACAACAACTTGAGCTGAATATAACTATTTTATATCAAAGACATTTATAAATGAACATGTTCTTTTGAAACCACTCATATAATAAAGGTCTTTCGTATCATATGTTATATGTGTGCAAAAGCCTAACTGCGCCTTGTACATCTTTATGGTTACCTCAATGATGCAAATGTAACCATATTTATAACTCTCATTATCAGCTTACCGCAATGATTTTTTAATCCTTCTATTTCAATTTGATTGACATATATATATATATTAACATATTCATTTTTCATCCTTTTCACTTTCTCTCTTTTTCTCTTTCTCTTTATTTCTATATAAATATTACTATGGGAGTGTTAGAACTGCCATATGAAGTTCTTACGCAAATCGGGGATAACCTATCAACAACGGACAGGCTGTCTTGTGCTCTTACGTGCAAGGGATGGAGATACCCGTTTCAAGATGCTCTGTGGAGAAACATGCCGATTTATACCTATCGACGCTTGAAAAAAATTATTGAGACTATCATAGCCTCCCAAGATGTATCTACACCATGCTCTCTTTTCGTTAAAAGTTTACGCACATGTACTTCTAGCTATCGGTCAGAATTTCCAGATATAGAGTTTTCTGAATTATTCAAATACCTGCCAAATCTGAAGCGCTTGGATTTAGGCAATAGAAACTACAGAGAAATTTACACGGAAATAACAAGATCAGACAAAGTATGGAAGACTCTAGAAAGTTTGAAAGTAAAATACAGTGCAGATACAGAAATGCTACCAGAAAAAACCATATTTGAATTTATAAATGCGTGCAGCATGCTCCAGAAATTGGAGATACATGAGCGTGGGCTGGGTTTTTACATGGAGCTTAGTGTGGATGACTTTGACAACATGCACCTAAACTTGCAAAACCTATCGTCAATTAAGGCTGAAATATATCTTAGCTGTGACTTTTTGTATACACTGGACACAATTCCAAATACGACGCCTGCGTTTGCTGTCACGGCCCTAGATATAAATTCGAAACAATACGAAAACCACGATGGTGAATTTAGTAGAAATTGGAATGAATGGAATCCTTTGTGGCTGTACTATTTTGGATACAAGTATCCGAACTTGCGATCTCTAAGGCTAGAGGCTACGAGCATATGTGGTGACGAGATAGATTTGGACCAGAGGCAAACAATTATATCTCTTTTCCAGTCCAATCCAAACGCATTTCAACACCTGAAAACATTTAGCTTCACATGCGACAGCTATTTTAGGATTGCCGACTTTGTTTTATGGGAACTATTTTGTGCATTAAAAGTTCCTCTTAAAAGCTTGACGTTGGATGCAACATATAACAATGAAGTAGACGACTCAAATCCAATGGATATCAACAGAATTCTAGAATCATTTTCTGAAACACTCAAGAGTCTCTCGCTTACAGGGTTTACATATAACGAGAAGGACCGATATTCGATTCTCGAGCTATCCTCTTACTATCCGCTTTTGACAAATCTTTGCATCAGTAGCGAAGAACTCTCTCTTAACCTGGGTAATCTGTTTGACAGATGTGTGGCCCTCAAGCAACTGAAATTCTGTGGTGGAGATTTGGTCCTTAATCAAAAAACGACAATCGAGGAGTCAGCGCAGCAGAAACAGGAACAGTATTATCAGCATGGACTGCAGATTTTAATTTTACATAAATGCTCTCTAGCTGCTGAAGTATTTAATTACCTCTCTTTCAGGTGTCAAAGCTTGAAGCATATGACTTTGGACACTGTTCTAGTCAAAGGATCCCTTTGTGAGAAAACCGGGTGTTTGCTACTCGACATGTCACATACTTTCTTGAAAACCCTGAAAATCGGTCAGCTTCAATACAGCGTATCAAACCAAGAAATGTATGCCGATTATATTTGTTTGACACTCCTGTCTCAACTAAACGACACTCCGTTATCAAAGGGAAAAAGCGGAAAAGATAAAGCAAGAATTGGTTCAAAATACCCAACGGTAGAACATCATGATATTATGTGGCTCTTCACATATTCGTACCGTACAGCTTTTCAGAAATCCGCCCTAGAAACTAAAGAACTTTTAGAGGATGAAGTCGATATTGCACTTGAATACTATCAAGACTTTCAGTTAAATAAGATCATCTCGACTTTAATGGATAAAAATTCGCGTGTTAGAGAGCAACAACTTAAATATAGGACATATGAACTTCACAAAGGATATGGCAAATGGAATTTTGGAAATATTGAATCTGGTCCTTTCATATGTGGACCAGACGATATCTAGTTTTAAGAAATATGCTGTATAATAAACTTTTTTTTTCGAAAAATAAAATAAAATATAAAATGAAAATTAAGTAAAGTAAAGTAGAGTAAAGAAAAACCAAATTTACATACATAATATAATGTAAAGTTTTATTCTGAACGTACTAAGACAAGACATAAACAGTTGATGAGTAAAGCCATAAACCAAGGCACAAAGTCACAGTAGAAAGATATCTAATTCTCAACTGTTAAGTTATCAGTATAATATTAATAGCAGTAGCATGTAATATTACAGCACTTTTATACAAGTAAGATTTACTTTTATCTTGTATTATTATTTTTGCTGTCGCAGTGGTTCAAATGTAACTGGATTTGTAACTTACAATATCAGTTTGACACAGTATAATTTTTTTGTATGACTGTTTATTTTAATTTTATTGACATTTATACACTCCGACAATAAAAATCATCGATGAACCACATTTTTCATGCTGCTTTTTTTATAACATTCTTTACCTTTCTCTTCCTCACACCTTTACCTAAACTTAACCACCAATGTCGAAAAGTAATAAAAGAATTAAAACTACTCCATTCAGACGCGAGCTGTCAGATTTTGAGCGTAGAGGCATTGTTTGGCTCTCAAAAGCCGATCATACTCCAACTGACATCGCAAACCGTATGAAAATTCCTAGAACTACAGTTTTCGATACAATAAAGCACTGGGAGACTACTGGAACAGCCAAGGCAAAGACCAGACCTGGGAGACCAAAGAAACTTCGTGCAACAGACGTTACAAGTCTTTGTTTGAGTGTGAGACGTAATCCTTTTGAGAGTTATGGATACCACCAGGCAAATTTGGGAGCTGCTGGCGTTATTGTCTGTAGACAGACAGTTATCCGATACCTACGAGCAAAAGGCTTCGGTTCTTACACCCCTGTATCTAAACCAAAGTTAACCCGTGATCAGAAAAAGAATCGGTTGCGTTGGGCTAGAGCTAGGGCCAGTTTTAGCATCGAAGACTGGAGCAGAGTGGTGTGGTCAGATGAGTCGAGGTTCATGGTGAAAGGCAATGATTCTGACCCATCCGTAATTCGTAAACGAGGGGAGAGGCACCAGGAACGCCATACACTAACAACAGAAAAGTATGGAAAAGGTTCCGTGATGGTATGGGGTTGTTTCTGGGCTGGTGGCATTGGGCCATTATCGTTTATCGAAGGATCTGTAGACCAAGATGCATACGTCAATTGTCTGTCTAAGGACTTCAATCCCTGGTACAAACAATTGAATGAAGAACATGACACCATGTTCACATTCCAAGAAGATGGTGCTAGCTGTCATACTGGGTCCTACACGACGTGGTGGAAAAACCGTTGGGAGATTAAACGATTTGACTACTGGCCGTCGCAAAGTCCAGATTTGAACCCAATTGAGCATGTCTGGCATGCCCTAAAGGCCAAGGTTCAAGAGAGAAAGGCCTCTATTAACAATGTGCAAGAGCTGAAGGCCTGTATTCTTCAGGAATGGGAGTTGCTTGACCCTGGAGTTCTGCAAACTCTTGTGGCAAGTATGCCTGACAGAGTTAAAGCAGTCATAAAAGCTCGTGGTGATCATACCGTATATTAAACCTCATTTTTTTATTTTTATTCTATAATATATATACATTTCTCTATAACAACACAATGTTTGGTTTTATTTTGTCAACTTCTTGAGAAGATATAGCATAATGAAGTTGATGTATGGTTTATTCGGGGGTAGAAATCAAAGATTTTGTCGGTGATTTCAGTTTTGGGAGTGTATAACTATCGCCAATTGCCAAAACTTATCTACATCATTACCCCTTGCGGTTCACAATCTATGCATAAGTATGCATTGCTATGGACCAAAAGCACCATATATCCAATATTCTGATTTGTTCAGATATCTGCCAAACTTGAAGCGCCTAGACCTAGAGAGTATAACGTATAATGACATTCAGGCAGCGATATCAGCATCAGATAAAATATGGAAATCTCTGGAAAGCTTGAATATAACTTACGGCGACACTGATGAAATACAACCAGAGAAAAACGTACTTCAGTTTATAAATACATGCAGCTCGCTCAAGGAATTAGAAATACGTTATCGCGATCGTGGTTATCGCATAGAGCTTACGGTTAATGACTTTGACAAAATGCACCGAAACTTGCAAAACCTATCCTCTCTAAAGGCTGAAATATACCTTAGTTTTGACTTTCCGAATAAATTAAACACAGTTCCAAATACAATACCGGCGCTTTCAGTGACATCCCTAGATATAAATTCGAAAATGCACGACGATGGGCGCGAAGAAGAGGAAGAGGAAAACGAAGATGACGACTACGACGACGAAATTGAAAGTGAAAATGAAAATGTGAATGAGTGGAACCCTTGGTGGCTGTATTATTTTGGATACAAATATCCAAACTTGCGTTCCCTAAAGCTAGAAGCCAAGGGTATACGTGGTGACACTATAACTTCAGGTGAGAGGAAAAAGATCATATCTCTTTTTCACTCCAATGAAAACGCATTCCGACACCTGGAAACCTTCAACCTCAAAACCAACAGATATTTCGAGTTTTCTGACTTTATTCTATAGGAATTGTTGTGTGCATTAAGAATTCCACTTAAGCATTTGACGTTAGATGCAACGACTGATCGTGAAATAGACTGTTCGCACCCAATGGATGTTAGCAGAATCTTAGAATCCTTTTCTGGAACACTCGAAAGCCTTTCACTTACAGGGTTTACATATAGCCAGAGGAATCAATATACGATTCAAGAAATGTCCTCTTACTGTCCGTTTTTGACGAATCTATACATCAGTGGCAGCAGTTTCTGTCTTAATTTAGATAATCTACTGGACAAATGTGTGGCTCTCAAGCAACTGGAATTCTCTGGTGCAAGGTTGTTCCTTAGTCAAGGCACAACAGCCGAGGAGCCAGAGCAGCAGCAGCAACATGGATTGCGAATTCTGACGTTAAATAAATGCTCTGTAGCGGCTGAAGTATTCAATCATGTCTCTCTCAGGTGTAGAAGCTTGGAGCAAATTACTTTGTATACTCTGCGCATCATTGGATCTATTTGTGAAAAAACCGGGTGTTTGTTATTCGATATGTCACATATTTCCTTAAAGACTCTGAACATCGGCCAGGTTCAATACGCCACATCATACGAAGAGATTAGAGACGATAAAAATATTGGCCTGACACTCCTGTCTTGGTTAAAGGACATTCCACTATCAGACAAAAAGAATGAAAAAGAAAAAAAGGATGTGGATACAAAGTCTCTTGTAAATTCAAGTCACGGCACTGGCTGGTTCTATACATATTGGCGGATTGGATATAACACTTTACCCCGCGTGGATACTTTAATACTTCCAAAGAAAGAAGCCGATATCGCACTTGAATACTACCAAGACTTTCAGTCCAGCAAAGCACGCTCAACTTTAAGCCATGATATCTTCTATAATTTAGACTATCCAGGACTTGACTGGAAGCACAAACTTTATAAAGGATACGTCGAATGGAGATTTGGCAAAATTAAAGACCGTCCTGTTGTATGCGAAGCAGACGATGATCCGTATAAAGAATAGGCTATACAGTAGGCTTTGTTAAAATATGAAGTAAAACAAAAAGAACTTGCACAAATAATATGCTTTAAATTTTATTCTTATCTTAGTAAGACAAGTAATAAGCAATTTATGAGTACAGTAATAATCCAAGGCACAAAGTCTCAATAACAAAGTATCTAATTCTTAGCTGTCAAGTTATCAATATGAAAATAATAGTAGCAGCGGCTAGTATTAACGATATAAGCATTTTTAAAACAAGAACTTATAATGTATAATACATTACAAATAATATATATAATCGTGTGTGATTTAAAAGAGAAGGGCTTTAAAAAGGCATAAAAACTATATCTTATATATATATTATTCTGTAGAGTCAGAAACATATTTCTTCAACTTTTGTAGAGATCTGTAAGGTATATGGCTTGTATATTCCTGGAAGAAAAGGCTCTATTCACATGTACCATTGGGGGGAAGAAAATCTATATACTATTACTGGCTGCAAAATTCAAGCGTATCAAATCAGTACCCATAAATTAGGATTGCTTAACGTCTTAAAAGTGAAGTTGATCTGAACACAGGAATTCTTGGGAAAAGGCTTTGCGAACAGCTACCAACGGGGAGATCTGAGTTAGGCCAATTACCACAAAAAAATAGGAATAAGCATTATTATTCCGAAATAAAAATAGGTCTAATATCAAGTAATGACAAAGAAGGTAGCTCTGAATATAGAACATGAAATTGCGGTGTTTCTGAAAATGTGTCTCAACATCAATTGTTCATAGACTATAGCCTTATACAACCAATATCAGTTTCTATTGGGTTTCGGCCTAACTGTGGAACTGAAGGGAGCCGCTTGGAGACAAAGCAAAGGCTTTCTACGAAAGCTGGTCTCAATTAAGGTAATTTAGCGTATTGGACTCTGAAAATTTACGAAAGAAGGTTCATGTTTGCTAGGTTCGGCTCTAGCCTTTAAATATCAAACATCAGGTATGCTTTAGAAGAAACGTGCTAATAGAGTATTAAGTTCTAACTTTTATTAATTTTTATAAAATATAAAGAAAATAAGGGTTAACAATAAAGCATTCTTTTTCCTTGAACCAAACAGCTTGATCTACTGTCACATTGTAAGAGAAAGGAGTAAAGAAATGGCACTGTATGGTCCAGCTTACATATATAAGATAATAAATTTAAAGAATTATAAAGAATGGTACTATTTAAAAAGGTATTCGCTTGAGAAATAAACATATTTTCTACTGTCATTATCTTCCTTTTCTTTTCTTTTTTATAAAGCACATACAAATAGTGTTTCGCATTTTTAGTAAAAGTGTTTGCGTTATTTCTTTTTATCAGTTTTATCATGCTCTTGGTACTCATTTATCGTTTTATTGACTCTCACATCTCATTACGACTAGACATATGTACAAGATTTAAACTTTTTATGTATAAAAAACAAACAATGAAAACATCTAAATAGTTTAGAATAACCCAGAATTCTATACAAAAACTATCGAAATTCAACGGAGACAGTGCTATTATCGTCTTCTTGGTGCGTTGGGTTGCCATTCTCCGGGTACAAATGTATCTCCCTGTCCGGTCGGGCGAGAGGTTTTTTTGGTGGAAGATGCATCTTCAACTACAATCACCAACAATCATACATTACCTACTACTCTTAGGGTATATATATATATGTTAAAACTTACCTGAGGCATCTTCTGGCGGAGATCCTCTTTCGATCATTTTGGCAGGTTCTGCGGCCTCTTCTCGTTCAATCTGAAGCTTACGCTATATTTTGATAGTCAGTATCTCTATGAGTAAACCGATAAATCACCGACCTCTGCCCAAGCATCATCTAATTTCTTGGCCCTTCCTTGGACAATTGCCTTTCTTCTCTCTTCCATTACTAATTCTTGAATACTTGGAGGAGTAGGTCGAGTATGGCGCAACCAGGCATGCCATTGTACTACAAGAGAATAAGTTGGCAAGAATGTAAAATAAATAGGCCATTACGTTACCTGGTAAATGCGACTGTTCCAGCAAGGTCATGTCATCGTGGTCCTTCATCTGCACCCAACGCTTAACGCGACCACCTATGCGCATAGTAAGATCTGAGTGCATGTTGAATGGTGTTTAATGATGTAATGTACCTAGTGGATTGGGCATTTCCCAGTACTCGTTGCCTTCGAGGTCTTTGCCTACTAGAGCGTGCTTCTTCCATGGAAACCTGACTGTTTTGTATACTTCAGAGAAACGCTGAAGGAAAGACGATGCTGGTCGTGACATGATCTAGTTAAAGATGTCATTGACCTTTACCAGGCCTCTCTTCCTTCTTCCGCTCAGTGGCTTGGGGAAGTTCCTGTAAGTAATGGTCAATGCGCTGATTTTTTTGACTATCTTTTTTATACATAATTCTAATGTATCTATGTACACAATTTTCACTAATGCTTCGCACATAAAAAAATAATAACTTTTAAACAAAAACAAATCATAGAAAAACAAATATCAATTTTTTTCTGACACTTACAGTGTATAACGGTTTATTTCAGCAGTAACTACAGCAAATTTATTAGCTTCACTTTCTCCTTAGGTCTGGTACTGCAAACTGGAGGAGACTTTCCCTTTTCTTTTTGTAGTCTGTCGAGGGAAGGATTGCTCAAACTTCAAAAAACATTATAGTTTTTCGCAGCTTTCATACCAAGCTGAAAACGACATTCCGGAAGTTTAAAGTAGCTACTATATTTCTGTTTCAAAGACGACGGCGATAAACAGGAATTTCTTTAGTGAATTCGACTGTAAAAGCTATGGTCTTCAAATATAGTTGGTTTTTACACCTGTATGATAAAGGTTATTAAGTTCTACCTACGTTAAAGTAAAGGCTTACTCTTTTTATCATAATTCCGTTTTAAAACCGATACATCGACATTATCTGTATAAAGCATATATCACTAGTATCCTCTTGCTTTCTCCTTGAAGCTTTGTAACCCTTTATTTCATGTCACTTACTACGCCCCAAATGACTTGTGACAGATTTTATTATTCGATATTTTATGTTTAGAATATAACATCTGTAGCAGTAGCATTCAAATTCAGTTTTTTTGTTATTTAAATGCTTTTTGGGAAATGATGTTCAAAAAATCGTTTGAAATAGTAGCATTTTTCTTTTCAATAAATTGTACTGATACGCTACACTAGTATTTGAAAACAGTTGGTGAAGACAGATCAAAAGTTCAAAAAAAAGGGCAAAAAAAGGATAAAACAAGTTCAGGATCAACTTGGTTAATCAGACTAATTTATGACTGTCCGCACCTTTTTTTAAAAAAAACAATTGTTCAAAATTGTGCTTATAATGCCGTCTCTATCATTAACTGGGAATCTTTTATTGTAAATTATTCTAGATTTTGCTCCCTAGCACACAGTTTTCATCAAATACATGCTCTTCTTTTCAACCAAAATGACACTTGAAGAATACTAGTTATTTAGAGTCGATTAAAAAATTGACCTTTTTTTGCCCTTTTCTTTGAAATTTTGGTCTGTCAACACCAACTGTTTTAAAATATTAGGGTAGCGTATCAGTACAATTCATTGAAAAGAAAAGTGCTACTGTTGCAAATTCTCACAAAATCACAGAATTTGAGAAGATTTCATAATTTTTAAAAAATAAAATTAAAAGGGGGGAGTGAGATGAATATCAGTCATGCGGTCTATGCAAGAGTGGCGTTTTAGAGAAACCTTATATTTTTTATAAAATGATTGGGTAGGGGTAATCAAGTGTTTCAAAAAATATCACCACGGCTAGGAAAACTTTGGTGATTTACAAACCGGTTCGTTGGACGGGGTAGCTATTTGTTTCAGAAACGCCTTAGTGTTTCAGAGAATTTTTTAGATTTTATTATAAAATGAATTAGACGGGCTAGTTTTTTTTTACATATAAATTCTATGCTTTTGTGAGGCAAAAAAGGAGATACCTTCACCATTCATTTTGTTAACGGATCTAAATATATCCTAACATTTTCAGAATTGGTCAATACCCAAAAATCGCCCCGTTACTATTCGATTTTTAAAAAATCCAATGCTTTTCTAGACTCTTAGAAATAATTTCAACAAATAATCAATCCTTCACTATTCGTTTTATAAAACCAACCCCCCAAGACTCTCTTAACTCTAATTTCATAAATGCATAACTTACCCTTCCCCCCACTCTCTCACTCCCCCCTTTTAATTTTCTTTAAAAATTACAGAATTTCTTAAAACTCTGTGATTTTATTAGAGAATCTGCAGCAGTAGCACTTTTTATTTTCAATAAATTAAGTGCTGATAAGCTATACTAGTATTTGAAAACAGTAAAAAAATGGAGGGCCAAATATTAGTTCAATACAAAAATAACTATTTAAATAATAATTATACTATCAAATATACTCTTCTTCACTGGTAATTATTTCTAAGAATATTATATAGGAATATATTGAGCAGATGGTAAAAATGACCAAAAGAATTCATTAAATGTTTTCGAAAATGTAACTGCTGGGGTTACTTTTCTTTTGCTACATTTGCTAAAGTACATATATTTTGTGTAAAACTGAATTTAAATGTAACTGCTGGGGATGATCTTAAGCTCTGCACTGTCTTTCAATTACAAAAAAAACATGGCTTCCTCCACTACCAAACCGATCAGGGCGATCTCCTCTCTTCGGTCCTTCTCAACTTTACTCTCGAATCCTTTGTTCTCTCTATTCTCGCTTGTCACACATTTCTAGAGCTTACCTTACACTGCTCAAACTTTCCACTGGCTCTTAAAGTACTGGCACATGTCAATGATGTGATTGGATGCTTAACCTTGCGGACATCACTCGACCACAAAACCACCTAAAACTCAATGTTTGGCCCTCGAATGCTCGTCTTAATATGCACAAAACTTATGAAATATTCTTCTCGAGTAATTCCCTCCATCAGTGGAATGTTCTTCTTTAACAAGAAGGAATCCCGGCTTGGTGTGGTTGGCCTTCGCCAAAACCCGCGATATATTTAGGGTATCCTCTATTTCAATCCCCTGTCTAACGCAACCACGCCGTCAGCCAGTTTCTTACCACCCTCTGCATCTTTCTCAGAATTAACTCACATTTTTCCTCTCGATCTGTAGTCGATCAACGATATTAACATGCTCATTCTCGCTACTCTGTGGCATGTCCTTCGTCTCGCCCAGTTCCCTATTACTTTTTCAAGTCACTTCAATCCACAGTAAGTAAATTCATCATTCAGCGTATATTTCTACCCAGTAACGAATCATAATGATCGGCGGTGTTAGGAGTGTCTTAGAAAGCCTCAAGATTATGGGAGGATTAAATAAAATTGACAGAAGGGTATGTATGGTGTATGTGATACAAAACTGACTATAGTGAATTGAGAAAGGAAAAGGGAAGAAAATGAAGAATATCTTAAGATCAATTCAAGTGTGCTTGATCAAGACAGGTATATAGTAGAGCATGTGCAGCAGCAGTGACGGTAAAAGTAGAAAAGGCACATCGTTAAAAAAATAAGCCCAATACCCACCCCAAACTGCCCGTGAAACGATTCGAGGATTTGGTAGCTGTGAAGAAGGTGTCTTATATTTGGAAGTAACACGTTGGAAATAGAGGAGACAACTGCTGGAGGAAACACAGGAAAAGAGGAAGCCACTGGGAGAGCACTATCTTCAAAATTGGTCATACTTTAGAATAGGTGTCATAAGGTGTTTGGGTATTTTGGTGTCTAGAGGGGATACAGGAATAGGTGGTATTCTGGGATTACAAAGATGGTGGGGATAATACGGTGCAGCAAGCTTCCGCAAGAGATGTGAGAGAGAGGTAAAGACCGGATTAGTTTCCACTGTACAAAGGTAAGTGTGTAGGAGCTAGGACGACGCTTAGGCACGGTGTTTGCACGGGGGATATGGAAAGATTGTGAAGAAAAAAATTGGATGAAAGAAGGAGCAAAAAGAGAGGCCTGTAGAAGAAGAGAAAGAATGGGCCAAATCGGGTATCATAAAATAGGAGACATATGGAGATAAGATGTAAGCATATAACAGAACGGTCAGTACCTTGAACGGATAGCCTGGAAATATGGTGCCCTTTAGACAAGGGAGACATTGCTAGGCGAAGAAAAGGAGGTGAAAGAGAGTCGTGAAAATATATACTTGATATATTGTCATGGTACCGAAACTCCCGAGGAATGACATAAGAAGATGAGACTGGGTACCGTATATAATTGAGAAGAAGCGCCAGACAGGACGCCACCGACAATTCACTGGCATGCCGATATTGGGATATATAATTGAAAGTATTGAAAAACAAAGCGAAAGAGCGGTGGCGGAGAAAACACAGGGAGGACTGGAAAGGTGGGGAAAGAAGGTATAGAGTGGATCAGATGGTAGACAGGAGGGAGAACAGATCAATGACACAAGGTAGGAACGGATTCATAGAATGGAGAGTGAAAGCGTAGACGTATTTGCTGGAGGGATGGAATGAGCCAACAAAATTGTAGAAAGACTTGGATTTTGCGTGGACTCAGAATCTCAAGGCTACCAAAGGATTGAGAGAGGCAAAGAGTAGTGTAACTAATTGAAGGGAGACCTACGATACATGACAGATTTATATATTATGGAGTGAAGATTGACAAAGAAAGTGATATTGAATATACTAAAGCAATCAAAATAATAAATAACCATTATAAATTATGAACTTGGCTACCTTGTTTTTATATATATAAATATACTTTAAGTTTTCTTATGAGAATATAAAAGAACAATGTGAAAGTATTCAGTCTGTAGGTGTATATCTTATATATACGCATGTCACTTTACAGGATAACAAAGGAATGAGAACAATACAATATATAATTTATATAAATTTGGTTTTTACTTTATTTTCTAATTCATTTCATTTCATTTTTTAAAAGGGCCTATTATACAGCCTATTTACTAACGCTCGACAAAATCTGATTCACATATATAAGGACGGTATTGAATTTTGCCAAATCTTAGTTCGGCGTAACCTTTGTAAAGTTCATACTTCCAGGCGTCAGTCAGGTCGTCTCCATTATACGAGCTGTCATCAATTGAAATCGCATCGATTTGGTTGGATTGAAAGTTTTTATAGTATTCAATCGCAATATTGGCTTCATCCTTTGAAATTTCTGTAGTGCTTAGGGTCTCTTCCCCAGTATATTCCATATCATTATATGTGTAGAGCCATGTGATATTGTTACATTCTGTTCTCGGGTAGTTTGAATCTATTTCTGTTCTTTTTATTGTGTCCCTTTCATTTGACAGCGGATTGTCATGTAATTCAGATACGAGTACCAGACTGGCCCAATCGTCATAACTATGTACTCGGTCTGATCCGTGGAATTGAACCTGGCCAATTTTCAAAGTCTTTAAGAAAGTATGTGACATGTCGATTAACAAACATCCGGTTTTTTCGCAAACAGATTCGCCAATCCACAAAGACCTCAAATCCATACGTTTCAGATTTCTACATCTGAAAGAGATGCAAGTAAGTACTTCAGGCGCTATAGAGCATTTCTCCAATGTCAAAGATCGAAGGCTATGCTGATGCTGATCTGTCTCTTCAGTTGTCGTTCTTGACTTAATTAACAATCTTCCACCACAAATTTCTAGCTGTTTGAGGGCCACACATCTGTCCAATATGTCATCTATATAAAGCGACACATCGCTGCCGCTGATGCAAAGGTTCGTCAAAAACGGGCAGTAAGAGGGTATTTCCATGACTGAATTCTGGTCCACCTCTCTATATAAAAACCCTGTAAGAGAAAGAGTCTCGAGTGTTTCAGAAAAGGATTGTATAATTCTGCTGAAATCCACTGGGTTTGAATCGTCTACTGCGTAATTATTTGTTGCATCCAATGACAAATGCTTAAGAGGAACTCTTAATGCACAAAGCAATTCCCATAAAATAAGATCGGAAGACTCGAAATATCTGTCGGTAGTGAGATCAAATGTTTCAAGGTGCTGAAATGCGTTGGGGTTGGATCGAAAAAGAGATATCATTGTTTGCCTCTCGTCTGAGCTTATCGCATCAGAGCACATGTCCGTAGCTTCTAGCTTTAGATATCGCAAGTTTGGATACTTGTAGCCAAAATAGTATAGCCATAAAGGATTCCATTCGTTCCAGTTTCTACTAAATTCACCGTCATGGTTTTCGTATTTTTTCGAGTTTATATCCAGGGACGTCACGGAAAGTGCCGGCGTCGTATATGGAATTGTGTTCAGTGTAGTCAAAAAGTCAGAACTGAGATACATTTCAGCGTCAATAAACGATAGGCTTTGCAAGTTTTGGTGCATGTTGTTAAAGTCCTCCACACCGAACTCCAAGCGAAAACCATCTCCGTACTTAATTATTTGTAATTGTTGGAGCATGTTACATGTATTTATAAATTCAGGTAGTTCTTTTGTTGATTGTCTTTCTGTATATGCGCTGTAGTTTACTATCAAAATTTCCAGAGAATTCCATACGTTGTCTGATCTTGTTGTATCTGTGTAAATATATTTATATATTTCACCGTTTAAATGCAGGCGCTTCAGGTTTGGTAGGTATCTGAATAATTCAGAGAATTGTATCGCTAATATTTCTGGCGCAGAGCAATAATAATTTACGTGTAGACTGTAAACCCAGGGGCCGCGAAATATGGATGTACTTTGGGAGACTTTAACCATGTCGATAAGATTTTCCAAGCTATCACAGTCATGAATATATATGTTTTTCCATAGGGCCTTTTGAAACGGGTATCTCCATCCCTTGCACGTAAGAGCACATGAGCGCCTGTCTTTTGCCCGGACTTTATGAGCAATCTGCGTAAGAATTTCGAATGGAAGCTCTGATGCTTTCATAAAAATAATTATATAGAGGGAAAGAGAGAGAAAGAGAGAGAGAGAAAGATGGGAGGTAGAGTTAAAACCGATTTTTTTGTATTGTTTATTAAGGGTATAAACCCGAAAAAAAAAACAAATATATACATATCAATAAAATTACAATCGAAAGCTAGCAGAAATTACTGCGCCAAACTGATCATGTGAGTTACAATTCTGGTTACATTTGAATCATTGAGGTAACTATAAAGATGTACAAGGCGCATCAATTTCTTACACAAAAATAATTGAAGATAAAAGATATTGTTAGTATACAAGTGGTGTCGAAAGAGCATGCTCATGTATGAATATACTCAAGATCAAATTGCTATCTTCAGCTCAGGCTGCTGCATTTTCATTTTTGCTTTTATTAAAAGTATTGTACCGTGAGTATCCAATAAACTAGCACCTTGTTAATTCTGCTTTTGTAACACATTATCCTTTTTCTAAGTGCAGACAAAAAAGAAGACAAACTCGGGGATGTAAAAATGAATGACAGTCAACCGAGACCAATTTTGTTTCTGTGTGCAACTACAGATGTCATTTTTTTTATAATATATCAATAATAGCCACGGAACAATTGAAGAGTGCACAAGAAGAGTTCACTAACCTATGTTGTGAGATTGCAAATTCAAATGTACAATCCAAGTCAGAATAGTTACCTCATTATTTTTATGTACATAACTGAACAGACCAAAGTTAGATATTTTATTAATCAGACTATGTGCCCTGGTTTTATGACTTTGCTCATTCACCGTTTATATCTTGCCTTGTTGCGCTCGAAATTAAACTTGCAGTGTATTATTCATGTAAATTTAGGGTTTATTTTATCTTTTATCTTATTTTGAACAGATACTATTATACAGCCTATTATCTATAGTAAATCATCGTCTGATACACATATAACTTGAACAGCTTCGATCTTGCCAAATTTCAATTCGCTATACTCTTTGTCAAGTTCGTGATTTTTGCTCATTTCGGAGGGTTTTTCATTATACAAGCTAGCATCTTCTAACGTTTAACTGATTTTTATCGACTCAAAGTTTTGATAGTATTCAAGTGCGGCATTGGCCCCTTTCCTAGTAAGTTCTAAGCTCTTTACGCCATGATCCCCAAAATATTCATAGTACCCATATGTATAGAACCAGCTAATTTAGTGATTTTCTACCATAGGGCACTCTGAGTACATCTCCTTTTCTTTTCTTTCGTTATTTTCATCCGACAATGAATTGTCGTTTAATTGAGGCAGGAGTGTCAGACTGATAACAACATCTTGATACATTCCTTGGTTTGATGTTCCATATCGAAGCTTACTGATATTCAAAGTCTTTAAGAAAGTATGTGACATATCGACCAGCAGGTATCCGGTTTTTTCACAAATAGATCCCTCAATGAACACAGTATCCAAGCTCATATTATTCACGCTTCTACATATGCAAGAGAGGTAATTGCATACTTCAGCGACTACAGATCATTTACGTAAAGTCAAAATCTGCAGTCCGTTATACTTTTTCTGTTTTGAGTCCTCGTTTGTCATGTATCGATTAGTGAACAATGTTCCACCGTGAAATTTCAGTTTCTCGAGTGCCGCACATCTGTCCAATAGATTATTAAGATTATGGGATACATTGCTGCCACATATGGAAAGATTTGTCAAAAACAAATAGTAAGAAGATAGTTCCAAAGGCACACCTTCATTCTTATTGTTATACAAAAACCCTGTAGCCGAAAGTCTCTCGAGTGTTTCAGAAAAGGATTGAATAATGCTGCTGGAATCTATTGGGTCTGAATCGTCTAATCCATTGCTATATGTTGCATCCAGTATCAAATGCTTAAGAGAAACTCTTAATGCAGACATCGGTTACCATAAAATAAGGCCAGAAGACTCGAAATATCTGTTCGAAGTGAGTTTGAATGTTTCAAGGTGTTAAAATGCGTTTGGTTCGGATTGAAAAAGAGATATCATTTTTTGCATATCGTCAGAACTTATTGGATTAGAACATATTTCTGTGGCTTTTAGCTTTAGAGAATGCAGGTTTGGATACTTGTAGCCAAAATAGTATAGCTATAAAGGATTCTATTCATTCTGGTTTCTACTAAATTCACCGTCATGGTTTTCGAATTGGTTCGAGCTTATATATAAGTATGTCATGGAAAATACTGGCCTTATATTTGTGATTGTATCAAATGTAGTCGAAAAGTCAGGGTTGAGATATATTTCAGCCTTTATAAACGATAGGGTTTCCAAGCTTTGGTGCATGTTGTCAAAATCGTCCACCCTAAATCAATTGCTATAACCATCTCCATACTTGATTATTTATAATTATTGGAGCATGTTGCATGCATTTATAAATTCAAGTAAGACCTTCGCTGTTTGTTTCTTTGTACCTTAATGGTATCTTAATTTCAAACTTTCATGAGCTTTTCCAGCTTCAGCTTGCCTACAACCCCTAATTCCGATGAAGAACGACACTTGTTCCGCCAAGAAATCGCAGAACTTATGTACAAACGTGTGATAGAGAATGAGCCCAAGAAATCGCCAGGCTTCACCAGTCCCATGTTCGTGATTCCAAAGCAAAATGGTGGGCACCGACCAGTGTTCAACCTGAAAAACCAGAACAAACACATAACAGCTCCGCATTGAAAGATAGAGACGTTACAAGAACTATATAAGTTGGTTCTTCTGCAGGATTTTCTGACATCTCTGAATCTCTCGGGCGCCTTCCTCTATATACTGGTTCACGAACCATCACGGAACTACCTCCAGTTCAAGCGGGAGGATTCGACATACCATTTCAGGGCATTTCCTTTCGGTTGATCTGTAGTCCTTTGGTTATTTACAAAGATTATTTGACCAATTCTAGAGGGAGCCTGCAAACAGGGGATCAGAGTCAGTATCTACTTTTCCTAATATTGAGATACTAACCTAGAATCAGTCCCAAATACATCAGCACCGATTTGGCCGAGCACTATATGACATCCTCTCTCATTTCAATTAGCCACAGACTCGCCCATAATACTGAGAGACGAGGACATATATTGGCTTCTCCCAAGATCCCGTGGCTGTTAAAGAACCCGACCTAAAAATTCGGTGTATTCAGGATCTCGGGCACAAGTATGAAGAGATAGGTTTGAGTGAGGAGGCACTCAACCTGCTTATAGAAGGTTCTTTAACTAATACACCGACAAACCGTGTGTACCAAAGAGGTCAACATCTGTTCATCACCTGGGCTCTTCAACATGATGTTTTTCCGACAGAATTTTTCGCCCAAGATTTGGTTAGTTTCCTGGTGTATTTCCATTCCTGTGTATATAGTCTGGCAGCAATAAAGAATCATCGGATGGACATTTTGAAGTTACACATTTAACCAAGTAGTATACGGTAGTATGAAGACATATACTTTCTTTTTGTTTGTCTCCCATACAAAAGACACTCGATTTCGACAGACCAAACCCACAGTTAATATTGGACCAACTTTATTATACATAGCATCAACTGTTTCCTCCACGAGTACATCTCTCCCCCCCACTATCACAGAAGTCAGCGTTTCTTCTAGCCATGGCTACCTTTCTACGACCTTCCGATTTCTCAAAACTTCGGTTGTTTTCCGCCACCGTCAACTTCACATCTGGTGCGCTCACTTTTGATGTTTTGGCACCCAAAGAAAGTCAGAAAGGACGGAGAATAGGGAAGACGATAATTATCTAGAAGCATGCAGCCGCTAGTCTCTGCCCTGTTCGTACCTTTTGCGCTCTCCGTGACAATCCTAAAGCACAATTCGCCCACAAGAGGCATTTTTCGTCAAAGTCAACCAACCAAGCCGAGCAGTACAGACTTCTACAATTTCTCCTTGAATTAGAAATTCGCTACCCAGGTAAACACACTACACAGTATCAATTAGATCGATAGCCCCCTACCTTGCATTGGAGTGTGGAATACTTGCAGTATATATTGTAGCTCTTGGAAGCTGGTCTTAATAAGATACATTCTAAAACTATCACAGACGAAACCACAAGTCTTCTGCAAACTTCATCAGTATAATCTTACAAGTTCCAGTTGGTATTTCAGATGAGAACGGCGATGAATTTTCTGATGTGAACGAGCCCACGGAAAATTGAACTCTGAATCAGCAATTGTTTATTCGCAGTTCGTTTGACGGTCTCACCCGAATTTTGGAAGAGCCATTGTTCCTTCCCAGCTAGTTTTCTGGTATATCTACGAAATTATTTATTTATTTATTTTTTAAAAAAAAGCAATATTTAAATGGTTTCAATAAAAACAACTTTTCCGATAAGGAGTTCCATAAGCACCCTTTACCTGTATATTTATTTTCTATTCATCTTGGTTATAAATTTGCTCTAAAGATTAAACTGATTCTTGTTTTTTTAACCTACAAGTATGTAATTAGTAACAAAGAATTAGAAAATGATTAGGGTGTCTGCAGAAGTAGTATTTAAATTCAATTTGCTTATTAATTAAATGATTTTTGGAAAATGCCGTTAAAAAACTCTTCTATAATTAAAGTATTTCTAACAACAATATATTTTTAAATTTTTAAATTTTTATCAGTTGGAGCATGGAAATCACATACATAATTTTAAAAAATAAAATCATCTTAAGAAAAGAAGAGTGTGTTTGAAAATATTATTATTTTTCAAGTGCTTCATTTTTATTGAAAGTTAAAGTGAAAGTAAAAGTGCTACTGCCGCAGATTCTCTAATAAAATCACAGAGTTTTAAGAAATTTTGTAATTTTTAAAGAAAATTAAAAGGGGGGAGTGAGAGAGTGGGGGGAAGGGTAAGTTATGCATTTATGAAATTAGAGTTAAGAGAGTCTTGGGGGGTTGGTTTTATAAAACGAATAGTGAAGGATTGATTATATGTTGAAATTATTTCTAAGAGTCTAGAAAAGCATTGGATTTTTTAATAAACGAATAGTAACGGGACGATTTTTGGGTATTGACCAATTCTGAAAATGTTAGGATATATTTAGATTCGTTAACAAAATGAATGGTGAAGGTATCTCCTTTTTTGTCTCACAAAAGCATAAAATATATATGTAAAAAAAAACTAGCCCGTCTAATTCAATTTATAAAAAAATCTAAAAAGATCTCTGAAACACTAAGGCGTTTCTGAAACAAATAGCTACCCCGTCCAACGAACCGGTTTGTAAATCACCAAAGTTTTCCTAGCAGTGGTGATATTTTTTGAAACACTTGATTACCCCTACCCAATCGTTTTATAAAAAAAATATAAGGTTTCTCTAAAACGCCACTCTTGCATGGACCGCATGACTGATATTCATCTCACTCTCCCCTTTTAATTTTATTTTCTAAAAATTATGAAATCTTCTCAAATTCTGTGATTTTGTGAGAATTTGCAACAGTAGCACTTTTCTTTTCAATAAATTGTACTGATACGCTACCCTAATATTTTAAAACAGTTGGTGTTGACAGACCAAAAGTTCAAAGAAAAGGGCAAAAAAAGGTCAATTTTTTAATCGACTCTAAATAACTAGTATTCTTCAAGTGTCATTTTGGTTGAAAAGAAGAGCATGTATTTGATGAAAACTGTGTGCTAGGGAGCAAAATCTAGAATAATTTACAATAAAAGATTCCCAGTTAATGATAGGGACGGCATTATAAGCACAATTTTGAACAATTGTTTTTTTTAAAAAAAGGTGCGGACAGTCATAAATTAGTCTGATTAACCAAATTGATCCTGAACATGTTTTATCCTTTTTTTGCCTTTCTTTAATCTTTTATTCTGTCTACTCCAACTATTTTCAAATATTAGTGTAGCGTATCAGTACAATTTATTGAAAAGAAAAGTGCTACTGTTGCAAATTCTCACAAAATCACAGAATTTGAGAAGATTTCATAATTTTTAGAAAATAAAATTAAAAGGGGAGAGTGAGATGAATATCAGTCATGCGGTCCATGCAAGAGTGGCGTTTTAGAGAAACCTTATATTTTTTTTATAAAACGATTGGGTAGGGGTAATCAAGTGTTTCAAAAAATATCACCACTGCTAGGAAAACTTTGGTGATTTACAAACCGGTTCGTTGGACGGGGTAGCTATTTGTTTCAGAAACGCCTTAGTGTTTCAGAGATCTTTTTAGATTTTTTTATAAATTGAA